CCTTGAACTACTGCATGACAGTGGGGGGAGATGATGGATCGTATCCATCGAGTTGCAATGCGCAAAAGAGAGAAAAAAAAAAAGCCACAGCTCAGGCTTTTCTCAGCGCTGCACAGATCAAGCAAGCAATTGCAGGAAAAAAAAATGACATTCAATTGAAACTCGAAAATACGAACACCACAGTGGTTCGGCGTGTGGGGGCAGCCCGCCTGTCTGCAGGATTTTGCGCTTTTTATTTTTGCTGCTTAGCAGCAAATCCCACAATGCACCACCTCGAGCTTGACCATTGAGGCTTTGGCGGTACCTGTTCCCCCTGCAGCCGAACAACGCCTCACTGTCGCCCGATGATTCCTTCGCTGTCGATCATTGACGACACTTTATTATTTTATTTTCTTTTGTCATTTACTATTTTTGTCTTTTTATGCTTGGGTTATACGGTGTCCTGGGTTCTTGGGAAAAGGCTATAGTGTTTGAAAAGCACACAAAGAAGCAGAACGCGAACGAAGAAGAGGGAAGAGGGAAAACTCGGCTAGGTACCGACCAAGAATGATGATGAGCTCTAACGTGTGTGTGTACCTCGACGACGGTGGGATCTTGATATTGATAACGGGCTACGCAGCACAGCAAACTTGGACGGACCAGGACATCGGGGAAACATTATTTGTTCCATTTGATTTTTGTCTTTACACTTTAGACGGCACGCGGCTACCAACCAGATTATGGAGTTGAATCCAATTGAGAAGAGGGAACGCGAGGACCCTCGCTGTTGACGATGAGCGGAGATTTGAACGGGATACTCGGATGGAGGAATTTAATCCGGTCACTCGTTTCTATTTTTTCTTCATCACATTCGCTTAGAGATCAACATGTATCTTCTATATTTTACAAAAATAAAAAATAAAGAAAATTCAAAACATTTTTTGTTCCGTGATAAAAAAGAACATGCCACTTTTCCTTCCGCCTTCCGAGTGTTTTTCGGGAGTGTAACTTCGGCAAAGGAACTGGGAGGCATCAAGGATCAAGGCAAGGAAAGGCACGGCTGTGTAGACTACGGAGTACTTTTCCGCCCTCTCCACCAAATGCTACCCCATCGAACTCCATTGATCTTCATCTCTGCTGCGTATGCTTTGCAAACCTCTACCGGGATCTTGAACGTTAGCGTGGGAGATTAGATCTACCATCTGACATACCTCATTTCAAGTATTAAGAAAGTATTTTTAAAGTATAAGATTTTAGAAGATATACCCGTATACTACTTGATTCGGGATACATTAGGTAGTGGCAACAATTTCTCGCACTAACGTTTACGATCCCGGGATAGGTATATATGAACTTATGATGCGTTGCTTCATACCTCGGGATAGCATCTGATATCATTGCGTAGTAATGGCATCCCAGCTGTTCTGATTTGATCAATCGCTCTCGGCACTGCTTGGAGAGCGTTCCACTTCACTGGCACCCACCCACCCATCCATCCGTACCTGCTAGTGTCGTGTCCACTCCGCTACGAAGGAGCCTGTAGGCTTGATGTTTGTCTTCCCCGCCTGGCTAGCAAGCCAAGCGTGAGATGCCTTGGCCTGGCCAGTGCTTTTGCTCAACCTCTTGATTTTTTTTTTTTTTTTTGGTCTTGCTGATGTGGACTCCAAACCCACACTTGCAAGGACAACATCGATGTATACGCAAAAAAGCACCGACTCGAGGCTCCTCTCTCTCGCGTCAAGTCAGACACCCGGACCAACTTCGCCTGGCCCTCGCTCTCACTTGACTTTTGTATCCTCGACTTCATCGGCAGGTTCAAGGGGGGGGGGGGGGGGTGCCAAGAAAAAAGATCCCAGGCGCAGGACGCCCAAACATCCCCTGGTAGCAAGGATGTCAAGAGCCTAACGCTGGCTCTGCTCCTCCTTGTTATCTTCTCTCCTGCACACACATTGATGTCCTAACCTCTCCTTCGCCTGAAGTACAAGGCGTGAAATCTCTGCCCCACCTGAATAGAGAGGGACAAGAACAGGACCAGAAAGGAAAAAAAAAACTTTCAAATTCGTCCTGTTCCTTTCCTCCTTGGTCCCGAGAAATCCAAGCTCTCGCTCTTTGGAGTAGCCGAAGAGTCAGATCTAATGCACGACGTGCATATACCGGGTCCTCCAATCACGACTTGCTCTCTGATTTTTTTTGTTGCCAGGGGTACATATCTGTGTCTTTTTCGGGCAGTGCAGAGGAGAGGACAATTTGGGTGTGTGTGCCTGGGGAAACAACTTTTCTCCGAAAAGTCTTCGCGATCTGGTCATGCTCATGCCGAGTTGCTCTGAGGAAGCGAAGGAATCATACGAAGCCGTTGGTGATAATTCTCCGCACGATAACTCCCGTCGATAGCATTATCTAGTCCCTTTGGAAGAAAAAAGAAAAAAAGGAAAAAAAAAAAAACGTCGTGATTTTTTCCCTTTTTTTCTTTACTTCCGTCGTATTCGAGTTAAAACTACTTCGTCGCATATCCGTACTTGGTAGACTTATTGTCGTATTATCTCTATGTAGTGCGGTTTATCCTCGTAGCACGGGTGATGCAATGGTTCGTCCGTGGTGAGCAACAAAAAGCCGGCATTGCGCCAAAGAGGACAAAGATCTCCAGGCCCCAGGGGCAAAAGCCGTGAGCCATGCTCCAGATTAGCAGCGATACTTGCCATATCCGGCTGGGGAGGATCGTCCTTTCTCTCCCATCTCCCGCCCTGTTGGCCGAATCCGTGCTGGATTGACTTTAATGCCGTTCTTAATGCCGTTTCTCAATGAGGTAAAAAAGGAGATGTGTACCTTTGTTTGCGCTCGGAACCCAATGCCAATGCACAAAAAAAAAAAAAAAAAAAAAAAAAAAAAAAAGGTAATTAAGGTGTGTTGGATTGGGTGGTTGTACAGCATCGGACAAACCTGGGGCGGGCAGCCAGGACTTTCCGTCTTTGGACATCACGACACTGGAATTTGACTCGATTCAGTCAAACCGTTGGCGACGTGACGCATTTGGTGGAGGGGGGGATAATGTCACCAAACGCAGCAAGGGAGACGCGCATATAGTAGAGACAAAGAACTAAGACAACTACGGATCAATGATTTGATGTCTGCATGTCTTTCTGTACGACGCTCCTGCTCAGCTCTCAGTCTCTCACCACCTCCCCCCGCCCAAACAGTTGAGAGAAAGAAAAAAAAGACGCAGAATGAATGCCATTGTGGACTCCATCGACAACTGCGCGTCTTCTGCAATCATCACTCGATAGCTGCAAATAACGGACCGCAACAACGGCCTCCACTGATCTGCCGCACGAAAAGAACAGAGATCGAAAAAACTGCGAGGCATCGATCGAAAGTGAGTTCCTCTTCTCTCCAGATCAAATGGGTCCCGAAAGCCGCTTCAAGTCGATTCGCCAATTCCCCTGCGTGCGTCGCGTGAGGAAAGAAAAGGAAAAGAAAAAAAAAACCACCCGTGGTTCTCTTCGCGTCAACCCATGGTCCAGTCCCCGTTCCCGGCTCTTTTTCATTCCTTTCCTGTCATCTTTGCTCCGCACCCAACAATCGTTTGGTCTTGGTACTCCCCAGCTCCTAGTTCCCAGTCCCACCCGATCTCCGAGCCCTGTTCTCGGCCATATCATGGAGCCCAGGTCCCAGCGCCGTAAGCTGCCCACCCGCGCCCGTCCCCATCGAATCCCACCGCGGGCCTGCAATACCACCCTCCCCGCCTCTCTCTCTGTCTTCTCCCCTCTCGTATCCGTGCGACCTCCACTGCTAGGAGAGAGTCAATGTGTAAGAAGGAGTGCAGTGTGCACTGCGTTCCTGCAGTCTTCGTCTACCGTCTTGCAGTTGCATCCACCAGAGTGGTTCGCTCTGATCCCTCCTCTCCGGATGCTCTTCTTTGTACAAAGTCTGGAGTAATCCATCCCTTGCTTCACTTACATCGAAAGAGAAAAAAAAAGAAAAAAAGAGGAAAAAGAAAACTAAAGTAAAAACAAGAAGTAAAAAGAAAAGCAAAGAGAATTTCACCAAAACTTGAAAGTTATGCAGGGAGGAGAGAAAAGGGTCCTTGCTTGCCTCAAACATACATCAAATCAATAGATCAAACCGAGACCTCAACTATCGAAGAAAAGCAATCCTCAGCAGTAGCAGCAGCAACAGCAACAGCCTGGCAATAGTATGTATCCACCAGCCTATCTTGTGGTATCTCTCAATTTGATTATGATGTCTCTTTTCTCCTGTCCCCCAAAGAAGTAAACAAGACCGATCAGGCAGCGCCAGCGCAAGACACGCATTCGATGCCCTTAAAAAGCAACGACAACTGCCTTCGCGATCCAAGACACTTTCCTGATACGGCCTCGCCTTCGTGCTCGGCGAGGATATGGACTGCAGCCCGGCTTGCGCCGCGAAGCCCCAAATCTCACACTTATGCACCATCGTACATACGGATAGGACATACTCCGTACACAGATACTAACATCAATCATGGTTTCGGCCTTGCTCCATACCCTTACTCCTATCACATGCTGCTGTGACGCGTACCAAACCTCAACTTCGCGGATATGCCTTCTTTTTTTTGGTCTCACACCGGAACTCGGCTGCCACTCATTCTCTCTATCTCGATAGCTTCATTGCTTCGTACTCCCATCTCTGCATTAGTTCCGTAAAGCCATACCTTCGTGCTCATGACACCCACCCATCAAAAAGGTTCTATCGACAGAAATAAGCATGCAAATCCCTGCACCAAGACAAATTCAGATTCCCTCCCAAGAAGCAATGAATAGAGTCCGAACCCTTAAAAAAAAAAAAGAAAAAAGAAAATAGAAGAAGAAAAACAAAAATGATATCCCAGCTTCCAGCAAGAACGCCTACCCAATGCAATGCAAGTCTCTACACATAATCATGACAAGTCCATTCTCTCCGTCTTCTCATGACTTTTCATCATCTCGTCGCTTCCATTCTCTTCTTCTCTCTTCTTTCTTTTTTTTTTTCCCCATCTTTCCTTTTTCCTAGACGGCAGCAACACCCCTCCTCGTCACCGGCCTCTTCTCAGTAAACTTCCGCAACCTCCTTACCCCCAAAGTCTCGTCCCTTCCGGGAGCCACACCTAAGTGCCACCTAGACTGCTCCCCCACCTCCCTCTCGACGCCAAGCCTGTCCAGGAGATCCTCCCTGCTCCTCGGGAACCGGAAGGCCGCGTCCTCCGTGATGTCCTCGTTCGTGATGAACGTAAAGATCTCAGCGAGGCATGTCACGGCGTGAGGCATGCGGTACGATCCCCGGCTCGGAAGCAGCGCCGCGAGCCCGCAGACGAAGAGACCCAACAGGGCAAGCGTGACGCCGAAGACGGGCATATTGGGGAACATGCGTACATCCGAGGTGCCGCTTACGGTAAGGGCCATGAACAAGCCACCGCCAAGAACGGGTAGGAAGATGAAGAGGGTCGAAAGGAGTGAGATGAGTGCCATGCGGTAGTGCCTGTTCTTGAGGGCCTTGAAGGTGGACTGCAGCGGAAGGCAGGCCGGGTAGTCGAGGAGGACGGACTTGGAAGCGGTCGATCCTTCCGGGTTGGACAGCTCAGCCCATGGCATGAGTTGCCGGTATGACATGTCCAGGGACTGGAAGAGTAAGTACAGTATCACTCCCAGTAGCGAAGGAATGAACCGGTACACAAAGTTGGCGGGCGAGAATGCGTTCCTGTCCGGGCGCGCAGGGAGCTTGGGCCAAAAGCCCCGTGACAACTTCGTGTTGGGGTGGAACGAAAGCACAAGGAGCACCACCAAGAGGGCCGCACCGACAATGACGAAGCAGAGCATCTGGACGTTGCGCAGACACCACGGTAAGTATCGATACCGTGTCTCCGGCGTCATCGCCCTTGGGATCTGCGTGAGACTCGAGTGCGCGGATTCAACGTCCGTCTTGTAGAATTTGGCCTTCTTCTTGGACTGTGAAAAGAACTCTTCAATGGTCTGGTGCTCCTGAGCTGCTCCGATGCCCCACCAAAGGAACCCTCCCTGGTCCTCTTCCGGAGCGGTGCTTACTCTCTCGAGTCTCCAGTACCCAAGCCTATCGATGGCACGCTCCCGGAGCTTGTACTCTAGCTGGCCAAGCGTCTCAACTCCCTGAGTACCGTGGTAGCTGTGGTTGACGTTGGAATAGTGCAGCATGGGTACCATGTCCGCGATAGACCTGATGTCCCAGATCATACCAGTGACACGACCGAACCAGAACCAGGCAAGAAGCAAGACGGAAATAAGATAAAAAACATAAATCACCACGAGCGTCCACGCGACGCCCTGGACCGTGGCCCATATCCATTCCCCTTCGAAGAAAATAATTCCAAAAAGCGACGATAAAAGCGGGATCGTAAAGTTCAACAGCCACGTAACAAAGATGCAGATTTTAATCGGCACGGGCCCGACAAGATGAGGCCAGAGAAAAGACTTTGGGTATAAATGCTGAAAGATTGCGCCGTAACGTTCTAGGGGGTCGTCGCGGGACATACGCTCAAAAGGCAGAATGCGAAAAGTCGTGAGGATCATGGCCTGGGCGTAGAGCATTATTACAGCACCAACCAGCTGCGGCAAGATGCGAAACAAAAAGTAATGGCCGCCACTCGGCGTTCCGGGGTATATCAATAGCCCATCGTGCTGTTTAGAGTATGCGGCGGAAAGGGTGAGGGCTGCAATCATGAAGAGGCATAACGTCGTCAAGAGCAAGAAGGAGGGGATGCGGAGGATGCCGGGCGTGTAAGTCAGCGGGGCTGATTTGTTGCCGTATCGAGTGCCTGGGCCGACGTCGGAATGGGCAACGGGAATTCGCTTGCTGGCGCTGTACAAATTCGACCGCGCCTTCACATAGGCGGGGGCGCTCGCGGTACTAGTTGACGAAAAGGACGGCGTATTATCGTCAACGGCGCCGAAACCAGGGCGAATGGGGGCGGCCGGCGCTAGTTGGCCCGGACGAGCAGCGGACGACGCCGGTGGTTGTTGTTGTTGTTGTTGTGAATAGCGGGAAGTGGTTGGAGGTGCGGCGATAATTGGCTCCGTATTTGCGACAGAGGTCCTCGGCTGAGTCGCGACGGGGACGACTGGTTCAGGGCCGGTAAAGGAACCACCACCATTTGAGGAATCACTCTGCGAAAGTGGCACGCCGTCCTCTCTCGTCAATGCCTCCAGCGCGTACTGAATGAAAGGCGTGTCATCCACTCCCGGCGTCACCTGGCCGTTTCCTTGGGCCATTTCCTCCCTAGCCAACCTCGGCCTGTCCGCATTCTCGGCCTCATTCATTGCAAGCTGGGCCTCGTCGAAACGCACCGTTGGTGTATTATACGGATTGCGCGACCGTTGACGACGATGATGGGCAACGGGAGGCGTCTGAATTGGTTCGAAGCCCTGCAATCGCTCTACCGCGTAAAGCGTGGGAGGCGAAAAGTTTTCTGGCGGTGAAGGCACCCAGGGCGCTATGGCCTCGAAGTCGGCGTCTGGCTGCTGCTGGTGGGATGGAAGCTGCGCCGCAGCGGGAGGGGGAGTGTCGGGGTAGAAGTGATCGGGACTCAGACCATGGTACGGGATGGCGGTTGCCGTAGATTGCGAGGAAAGAGAGGAGCGGTCTGAGGAAGGTGTCGGGGCGGACCAGAATTGAGGAGGGAAGACTGGCGCTTGTTGTGGTTGTTGTTGTTGTTGTGGACCTGCAATTCGAGAAAAGACGTAGAAAAAAAAAAGAGTGAGCGAGCAGCGATTTACAAAGTGGAATATTTGATATTAATATGGCAGGAGGAAGGGCCAATCAAGTCATAAATGGATGGGTGTGCCGATGCGTTGGCAGCCAGCAACCTGCATAGGCATGGCAGACCGCAGGGGGGGTATGGTTTAGTAGGGCAACGGGCAATGGGCGGCGTGGGCAACGTGGGCATTTGTATTAAGGATCGCAAGTGCAGATGCAAGCTCTTAATTGATCCAATGAAGGCAACGATGAAAGGACTAATGGGGAATGGGGAGGCATTGATGGAGTGGTGGAGTGAGGACACATACGTGGACTCTGATTGTTCTCATTCTCAAAGTCATAGCCGTAGCTAAAACCTTCGAAGTTCATGTCGTCGAAGTTGATCTAGTTGATCGAGTTGATCGAGTTGATCGAGTTGATCTGGTCGGTCGGTCTAGATGCCTTCCGGGTCGTCGGCGACAGCTCCGGACATGCAAGATAAGCCAGGCTTGGATGCTCCGCTGCGGAAGTGTGAATGATTCGACCAATTGTTAGACTGTCGTGCATGTATGAGCATGTAGAGCTAGAGAAGTGCATCATAGACAAGTCTTGAGGAGCCCCGTCGTGGGATATTACTGGAGTTTTGTTCATGGTGTTCAGCCTTCTCTATTTTTCTCTTCCATTTTTTCTCTTTGATCGTCTTCATATTTTCGAGAGGTTGGGCCTACCATCATGGCCCTTGAAGCCCCAGATGCCCCCGACTTCTCTCACCATCAACAACCCTAGAGTTACTTTGCGATGTAACTTGAGCTAGGCATGAATTGGGCAATACGAGAAGGTTGGGGTCATTTCTGCCCGCACCCGACAGGCGTTCATTAGGCCTGTTGCCACCTGGTCCACAGCCGTATTGGGCCGCCAGCTGGCTTTAGCTTCCCAGCCACGCTACTTTCCGCGTCTGGTCTATCCCGGATCGGGTAACATCGAATGGATCTATTAACGCGCTCAGCTCGCCCGCACTTCATCAAGCTGCAAGGGCGACTTGAGGAATTCTTCCCGGCTTGAATGCTTGATGGAAAGAGTCGCCAGATTCTTGGGCGAGATGGACCCATACCAAGGCACATGCCCTCACGAAAACGTACTTGTTCTTAAGGTACAGTCCTTCCTCTTCCAGACGCTCCCTCTAGCCGAGGAAGGGGCACATCGGAGACAAGGCCGGTCCGGCCTGTGGATCACGAAGGCGCAATCGAGGTCAAAGGTGGCCGCTGTGGGAGATTGCTTCGTAACTACGAAGTACAAAGGTACTGCTTACTCTCTCAAAGGACAGAGTGCCATCAGGCGCCGATTGAGTGCGACAGGCGGAATAGACATTGGACTCATTCATTATCACACCGGCTTTGATGTCCATGGTCCCGAGCTCTGCTCCATGTAATTTATGAAATCGGGCTGCTCAGCGACTGGAACTGGCTTTATCCGATCTAGCTTGTATTACCACCGACATCAAATGACTGAAATCAACTTCATTGACGTATATACCCTACAGAACAAAGAGCGTCAAGATTACAAGACTCGTCTAGAACTCGCCCGACAAATAAGTTGTTACCGGGTCCCATCTGTCGTCAAGCTAGATGACAATGCCCGACCTCAACCTCGTCCAAAGGATTACACGCCTGGTTCTTACTGCTTTCAACCAGTTCTCTCTCGGGATCATCTAGAGTATTCTGCTTTCGTGGATTTTGTTGCCAGCCGTTGCCTGTCAAGGCTCCCCCTGCAATTGTCGGTTCCTGCAGATGTTCCTGCAATGGCCCGGAGAGGATGCGGCGTCGCACTAACTAGCACCGTCCATCAACTTGTTTCACTGTTTCTCGACCCCCACATATTAAATCTGACAACGTTGGTTATGTCTTCGATTTCTCTTTATACGAAATACATAAGTATTAAACTCTCTCCTTATTTAGAGTTGAAGCCGTCTCTGTGCCATATGAAAATCCGTGGGTGGCTGGTAAGCCGTCATGAAACGTCGTCAAAGCTTCTTAATCCGTCCCCGAGACGACGGGGGTTAACCATACACCCAAACCCAGGTATCGAGGTGGTTGGTAAGCAGAAACGATCAGATCCGTCGTTTAACATCTTCGCCCTCGAAAGCGTCCACGATCCTACCCCCAACCCAATCAACAACCCCCCACCTCCTCTCCCTCCGCTTCGTCCCCTTTCCACCCCCATCCCAAACCCCCAGCTCATCCAACAAAACTTCCACAACCCAAACCATCTCCCCGTCCTTCCTCATGGCCATCCCCTCCGCGTCCCCCCTGGTCCTCGGAACCCTCGTACATAGCAAATGCAAATCCAGAAACTGCGTAAACACCAGCCCGAAACTAGGTTTCCCGGAAGACCTAGTCGTACCGTAGGAGTAGACCCCCGGCGTATCGAAGATGGACCGTAGTGTCGGATCTACCCGCCGAGCAGGTTGGCGGAGTGGTCCCCCCGGACCGGACATCGTGGTAGGAGGAACTGCCATCTCCGGGTTTTTAGCCGTCGCTATGGAGTTTGTGATAAGGATCAAAGGCGAGGAAGACATGGCGCGAGCGAGGTAGCGGAGGTGAGACGAGAGGAGTTGAAGAGACGTGTGTGCCGTTGTTTTCTCTGCGTGTGTGAAGAGCGTCGTCAGGAGTGTCGAGAAGTGCGTGATGAGGATAATGTCCGGCTTCCTAAGCCCGGATTCTTCCTCCTTCTGCGTAGGTTCTGGTGTTGGCGCCATTGCTGCCGAAGGTGGCGGCGAGGGAGATAATGAGACCTCTTCGTCGCTATCTGGTATCTCGTCTCTCACGGCCTTTGTCTCCATTTCGGGGCCTGAGGACTTCTCCTCTGGGCTGCCTGGGACCTTGGGTGAGGGTGCGGCGCTCGCAACGTTCTCCTCAGCACTAAGATCAAGATCGTCGAGGACCTCCCAAACGCCTTTGATATCAAACACCCTCACAATAGACACCATCCCCAACACCTTCGCCACTATCTCCCTAACATCCGTTAGCTGCTCCTCCCCCTCGCCCTCCCCAGCATGAATCTCAGCCACTGCCGCATCCCTAAGCATCCTCACCATCGTCCCAGTCGGCTGCGTTGAAACCACCAGTGCCTTCTCGGGCTTGCCCTTCTTTATCCCCCGCCATACCGTCCTTGCAATAACCTGCAAGGCCAACTATCGAACGTCGTCAGAGCCTCTCATCCTAAAGAGGAAGGGGGATAAAATAAAATGGAAAAGGAAATTTAAAAAATAAAAACAAAAATAAAAATAAAAAATGAAAATTTAAAAATTTAAAAAAAGGGCGAAAAAACTCACCAGGACTCCAAAGTCCTCCTCCTCAGAGCTAACGCCAACAACACTCCCCCTCTCCAAACCCCCCATAAGCACGTACTCGTCCACCTCCCCACACCCGATCCCGCAGCGTCCCCTTTCCCGAACCGCATCCCGCCGCCGCCTCTCGAGCCGCGAGAGCACCGAAGCCGAGACGGGGAGTATGTCGGCGAGCGCGGCGTTCCTGGTTTCTTCTTCCGTCATGGGTCAGTCATTGCCCTGCGGTTTCCCGTCGTTTCCGCCTCAAGTTCCTCGTCGGTGTCGTTTGGTGGGGTAAATTTCGAAACAAGGTTGGGGAATCCCGGGATTGCGGGGTTAATGGATTTTGGTTGGGATTGATGACCCCTTCGAGGCCAATTCGGTGCATTTGATCAGATTACGCACACGCGTCTCGGTGAAAGTCATACGCTTGCGTTTGGGGCAGAACTTCGCCCCCTCGCCAGATACTGCTTCTGCTTCACATTATCAGGAGCGCGTCATTTTGCGCTTCTTCTTCTTTTTTTTTCTTTTTTTTTCTTTTTTTTTTTCTTTTTTTTTCTTTTTTTTCTTTTTTTTTTTTTCTTTTTCTTTTTTTTTGGGGGTTTTTTTCGTGGCTCGACTCGTCGAAAGACGACAGCTACAAGACCAAGGCTTATAGACATTAAGACGTATCATTATTGTAGGCCACTTTCAAAAGAAACCAGATTTGTACGGCTTGGATATATGGATTCATCTATCTACTGCATTACCAACATTGTCCGCTCTCCACCTAACAAGTTTCAAGTTGTTCCCCCCTGGCCGGCCCCTTCATTCCCGCCCCGCCGAGCTTCCTTCTGCTTTGCCGTGTAAGTATCAATTATTGAGGGAGCGAATTCCCCACCATAGTGTGAAACTTGGGGTGACGAGCCAAGTTGAATACACCTCCCAGGCAGATTCCAGCTCAAACCAAAGGTATTAACAGAAAAAAAAAAAAAGGAAAAGAAAATGAGGTATCGGGAGAAAGTACACCGCCAAACAAAACATTTAGACAAAAGGAAAACTGCGCGGCAGTAGTAGACGCGACCAGAGAGAGAACGAAGGCAAGAATGGTGTGTGTTTTGAATGTATGTCCATGGTGTCGACATTGATGTTTATCTCCTGTACAATCCCGACTCCGTCGAGAGGGTAAGCATGGATGACAGAGTGTGTGTGCTCACGGAGTCGCGTGCAATTGCCACCGGTGACGTCCAGTTTCTTCCCAACTTGGTATAGGGTTCGACACACTCCCGCCAACGTTCGGAACCTGGCCCGGTAGATTCCAGATATACAATGAAAAATAGAGATGCGTGTGTGTTATTTCGAAAACAAACACGCGCTGTTGTGTTGTCGCCATCGTCTTATCACTATTTCGCCTCGCTGTTTAAACGCACGTAGCCATCTCTGCCGTGGGGGCTTTGTATTCTTCTTCTGCTCCCCGGTCTCCACTAAATAGCCGTGCCAGGAGCAGCGGTAGTAGATGCGTCAGGTGCGTCAGGCTGTGGTCGGGTTCGTCTTCCGCCCTTGAGACTCTTCACCCTCGCCAACAGTCCACTACCACCAGGCTTCTCGGCCGAGGTCGACATCGTTCCTTCAGCCGTCGACCTACGTTCTATACCGATAGAAACCTGTCGTGTTCGTGCAGGAGGGCTGGTGGGAGACGTAGAACCATCTCGATCTCCCGGCTTCTTGATCGAAATGGATTCGGGTTCGTTGTCAAACTCGTTGGAGTACTTCCGGCTGTTGCTTGATTCACCCTCCGTGGTTCGCCTTGGCAAGTCGGGGTAGGTAGGACGACGGCCTCCTTCTCCGAAACTAGGCCGTCCACCGGGCATGTATTCTCGGGGTACCTTGTTTATGCCCCGGATCCTCTGGGCCAACGACTTCTTTCGCTGTAATCCGCCCTCTGCCATTTCAGCCGCTTGCTCGGCCTCCCGCTTTTGGATTACGGCTCTTGCGGCCGGCGTGCCCTCGAGGAATGTCGATGTACCTAGACCAAGACTCTGGTCGCCGTGCAACACGTCGCCTCGGCTAGTTGGGTCAAAGAGCATCTCGGCATGAGCACGGCTCCCATTCACCGCCCCAGCGTAGTCGGTGAACGCCTCGTTGCTGCCCATTCCCATAAACGTCGAGTGGTCGGGTCGGTCCCGAAGTGGACCTGAGCCGCCGATCGAGTTGTTTAGTGAATCTTTGGCGAATGCATTCAATGGAGCACGGCGGCTGCCCTTGCGGTTTCGGTGGGGATTGCACGCATCAAACGGTCCATCGTGGTGGAAGGCTACTTTGAACAGGTGTTAGTGCCCAGGTAATAAATAAGAAGTGAGTTAACTATGAGAAGCGGGTGTCTAAGAACGGGAAATGGCAGAGACACGACGCGGCGAACCGCCAAGTATGCTTTTCGATACCCTTCTTTTGTTGATACAAAAAAGAGAAAAGAAAGGGGAAGGATCCGGCACCAACTTACCTCCAATTCCAAACATGCTAGTGGCATCAAGCTGGTCAATAACATCAACCCTCCGATTTGGGCGATGCTGACGATTCCTTTTCTCCCTTTCACGTCGACGAGCCTCACGCTGTTTGATATCCTCTTCGGTCAGGGGCTTCTCGATATCGATCAGCAGGGAAGAGTCCGAGTTCCGACGGGGACGTCGCTCCGGCCGCTTGTGCGGGGACTGCGAAGGGCCACCGGGCTTGGGACCACCGGCCTGCATCCTCCTCGCACGCATAGCTTCTTCCTGAGACCGGGTCGGTCGATGATTGTGGCCCGGTCGGGGCGGCCCATTCTTCGGAGGGCGGTTCATCGGTCGGTTCTCGTCGCCCTTGGGTCGTGCTGGCTTCTCGTCTCCCAGAGTCAAGGAATCCTAAGAACCCCACCAAAATGTCAGCATATCCATACCGGCGAGGACATAGGCAAGATCACCATCCACGCTGCTTAAAGGGCAAAGTGGATGTGAGATGGTGACACGGTGACACGGGGAGACGAAGCAATATACGTACAAAAAGCTCTTCGGCGCTGGGAGATGCTACTCTATCGGATTGGGTCGACATGACACCCGGTGATAGCAGAGGTTCAGATGGCTTGACTACCGGATCAAGAAATGGGTTTCTCGATAGAGGACGAGCAGGGATGATGGGATCGTCGAAGGGCGAGGCGGGAGGCGGCGAGGTAGGTTTATTACCGAAGAAGTCGTTGACGGGGGAGGTGGTTCGATTGCGGAAAGGGTTATTCGAGGCGAGATTGAGCGTCAGGCCTGGGCCGGCGGAACCTTGTCCTGCTTTTTGTTTCCGTCAATATCAAGGAACCTGGGCGCTATCGGACCGGTGCCGTGCATGTGAATGATGATGCTGATAAGGGATATGAAACAACAATCTCGACTTGACACAAGATTCGGATGATTTCAGGAGGATACATGGAGAGCAAGAGATGAAGGGAGACAAAATGGGTGACGGGGGGTGGGAGCCTATCCAACATCGTCGCACGAAGGAGCGGAGCCAAGAACAGAGGGTGGTGCAGGGAAATCAGGATCGAGGAGAATCAGGGAATTGAAATCAAGGCACGGAAAGCAGGTGGGGGGTGAGAGAACGCTGGGAACACTGGGAACACTGGGAATGCTAGGGGTGATTGGCGGTATCTCTTACCTGGCGGGAAGGACTGTGCCGTCGACATTCTGATCGTTGGTCGTCGCGTATGACGACTTCAAAATTGTGATAGGAAGGAGTGCGTTCGCAGCCGTTTCTCGTACTATTTGCGTTTGAGCTGAACCCCCCCTTTTTCCTTCCCAGAGGCGAAAGGCAGAGAGGAGCGTCGTGAGCTTAGGATCGGTCGTGCGTAGAAAGTGGGACAAGTTGGTTTTGAGTTTGGTGGGTGTGAGGAAAGAAGAAAGTCGTATTATTAGGGGGCCCGAAATATTAAGCCGGGAGGGAACAATTGGATGAACTTTTGGTCAGAACGCCCAGAGTCGAAGAGAGTCGAAAGGTAAAAAAAGGCGATGAATGAATCGAGTGAATTGAATTGAATTGAATCGAAAGAGCCCGCTGAGCCAAAAATCGGTCGGGGACTTGAATTGCTCCAGAAGCTCTGTGCCCTCAGTAAAACTACACTGTATGGAGCGTAGCGTGCTGTCGTTAGTGGTGCTGAGGTACCGTACCACGCTTGTCTCGCCCTAGTGTACTTTGGACCCAGAATGCTGAACGGGTGGTTTATGGTACTTCGTACAAGTACAATTGTATCGACGGGTTCCAGTTATTAAGGGGGCCAATCGGCGGCAGGAAGTTTGAGTACTCGGCAAAAGGGTCGCAAAATGATGCTAGTGTTGAGAGGCGAGAGTAGAAGTGGGGAAGCGACTTGTCAAAAGGAGTGTTTGGTACAAAGAATGCGACGCGTTCTGGCTTGGGGCGTACGAAGAACGGAGAGTAGTGGAGTCACTGGAGTGTCGTCAGACAATGCAGCGGCCCTGGTACCCTACGAAGTACTTCGTACAATATTGTACGTTGCGATTGGTACCTTGTACCTTGACCCACTGCTCTGGCAAAGTGCCCTGCAAGAGCTAATAAACTACCGCAGAAACGAGTGTTAGATTTGTTTCGGGTACACTTCCCTGCAATTCAAGGTGGACAAAAGAGAAACTCAGATGAGAAACGGAATATGTACATCGCACAGCACGATTGAGTTGCTGTGCGTGGAACATAGTGTACGAAGCCTCTAGCGACAAAGTTGTGGGTGGGAGCGGGAGTGACGAGTAGTGAATGACGTAGGGCATGACTATACTTTCTCCAGGACCATGTCCACGAGGATTTGACGTTGTGGGGACGGGTACTACAAGCAGGGGCAATAGGTTTCAATGACATTTTAGGAGAAAGATATGCAGGCTTCCTTTTTTTTTTTTTCTCTTTCTTGGCAGACTTCTTCCAAGAAGAGAAAGCAAAGAGAGGTTACTCACGTACTTCGTGCTCTGCTGTCGTGCGCCCGGGGTGCTGTGCAAGGCGTACGCGACGGACGGTCAGTTTCCGGTCGTGAAGGGAGTTGGAAAAAGATTACGAGGTAAGTGAAGACAAGGCCAGGTTCGGAGATGGGGGGACCCCAACAAAATATAGCGCTCGGCACCAGGGACGGGCTCCGGCGAACTCGGCACCTCAGTTGGACACTTGGACGCCACAAGGCAAATCGGGCAGGCAAGATGACAGGATTTACTTGTACAAGATGGTAGGGGGCGAAGCAAGGTGGCATCGAGTCGCTACGGCATGGCGGGCGGGAAGGGAGGATCGAATCTTAAATGTGGATGGGCTGAAGGGTTTCAACGAATAGAGACTCGGAAGGGGGCGGTATTTGGCGCCATCGACAAGAATGACGAAGAGCAAGCGTTGAAAGAGGAAAGAGAGCGATGTCATAAACTTACCTGTGTGTCTCCTTTGTCCACAAGTGTGTGTATTTTAGAACCAATGTACGTCCACGGGTCGGTGGCACGAGACCGTTCTCGAATCTGGGGAGACAACCTTAATATAATCTTAGAGTCAAGTTGTGAGGTTGTCGAGAAGACAGAAAGACATCGAAGTTCAAAGCCGAGGCGGAGTTTCTTCAAGACGAGCCCGAGCAATGCAGGGCCTTTGAGACTGCTTGGTTTCTGGGTGTGGGAGTGCGAGGATCGTGAGTATTATTAGAAAATGGAATACGAGGCCAAGTCAACAAGATTGATCAATTGTGATCGTTGGATCTGTTCAACGAGGGATGGCGCTATCGAGGAGTGGTTGTTGTGCCAGGCGACGCTGATTGGAAAGAAATTCAACTGTCAGGGGTACAAAGTAGTAGTTAATTATGGAAATGCTGCAAATGGATTTTCGAATCTCAATCCGTCGATCCAAGCGTTCAGAAGTCTGGCCAAGGTGGTAGTCGTGGGCTCGACGGTGGTTCTGGTTCGGCGATAGGGGACTTTGGCGTGTCCTTGGTTAAATGAGGATGCTCTACCTGTGTGCTCGTGGTTGCAGTTTAGCCAAGACGACGAGAGCTGTCAGATGGACGTCGACGATCGGGTTCCTAGCGGTGAGCAGTTGCGAGCAGCGTCCGTCACTTGATTCGAGTTACGCGCGGAGGACGGATTACCGAGGTTGGCCCTCTGCAAACACTGTACCCGTGTATGCTGGTGAGATGCAAGGTAAGGGGCGTTTGTCTTCATCCATTGATCAAAACGGCATTAAATGATTCCGATCAATTGCATCGCCACTTGCCTCGTGGTTTAGTTTAGTTTGAATAACAGCGCAGGCACTCGAGGACCGCTTGAGCCCGTACCACTGGCACGGCTCCATCGTCGCCCCCCATCTCCTTCGGATCGCTGAGCAGTGAGAACCGAGTAATTTAGCAAGCGTGATCTGTCAATCCGCGCCGTTGGCGGTTAGGACCCCTGCTCTGCTTTTCCTAAACGGGCCTCTGCGGTGCAGTGTGCGCTTCCGTCTTTCGTCTCCCCTCCTTCCGACTCTTGATCGACCCCTATTTCTCCGCCCTTAAGTGGTCAAGCTTGACCGCCAGATTGGGATCAGACTCAAGAGATAGAATGGATTGATAAATACGAAGTAAACCCTGCGAGAATAAACCAAACCCCACATCGCTCGGTAACCCGGGTGGTTAAAGCCAGTGGCGTTTCTTCCACCTCGTGGGTTTGACTTGATGGTTTCAAACGTCCTTGTCCGAGCAGCCTCGCGCTGCAAATCAATGTTCTTGGAGGTCCAATCCACTTCCGTCGACTCGCTTCAACAAAATGATGAATCAAAGCATACACTACAATTGTCCTTGAATGTCCGAGATGATCATCATGCTTTGCTCCCTTTGCTGCAGTCTTCGGACACGCTCCTGCACCAAGTATCTATGTCTGTCCAATGGCTTCAATTCCTAAAGCAACATTGGCAATGGGGTCTTGCGGTTTATGGCTTGGGTTCGTGCACTTGATTGGCTCGGTGATCCAAGACCGTGCTCGGCCGTCCCTCCAGAGCTTGAATGACGCTTCCATGTGCGGCATCACGTCGATCTGCACCCCACCACGAAGTATGGAGTATTACGAAGTGGTAACACCTCAATTTGATACCTGTACTTCGTACTCCATAGCGTTATCTCGATGCTCGTCGCCCAGCCTCCAAGTACAAAGTTGCTCCAGTCAACTACTCAGTATTGTCCAAACGAGGGGCGAGGCTATCTGGGATTGATACTTGACGTCCACCTCATCTTTCAAACTAACACGCAGCGCCGGGTAGGCATTATGCATGGATAGGCTCATGTTCCAGCTCGATACTAACAGAACTAAGATTACAACTGTACCGCAAATGCTCTTTCCGTTTGACTCGGAGACCGAGTTCGCACATGAAAAAATGCCTTTGGAAAGTATGACCGAAGGGTAAAATTCGACGAAGTAGATTCAGTACATGTACTCAGTACGTCACAAACGATACCGTCGTATGACCTCCAAACGAGGGAGCATTCGGTGTCCGCCAAAGCAAACTCTGATATGGTTTCCAGACGTCAAATTACCCACCACTGTATTTGTATTTCGTATGTATTGACGTTGCAGTCGGCTAATGGAAGATATCACAATGGGGAAGTATGCGACATGACAGGTACTTCCCGGCTCACGAGTCGCGACTACACCGGAGTTGGCATCTCGTATTCTAACGATTGATGGATTGATGCTGTTAAAAGATGCTTGGTATTGCCGTTCGGTGTTGGCATCGTTAGGCCGTTCCGCTCTGGCTCTCCTATTTCACAAAGATGGACATCAATAGATCACTAGTTAAATTAGCTCGATGTCATTCATCATTCCACTGCTTCACTGTAACCGTAGTAGCGACGCTGGACGCTCGTCTCAACGCAACAAAAAACTACGCGAACCATCTCTGCTGTTCTTCGTTGGAGCTACTTCGTACTTCGGAGTTAGTGGGCCATTTCAAGATTTGAAGCTAATCGTGTTGAGTTGCCTCTTCGAGTGGATAGTCCCTCTTCGGTATTATTAGTACACTACTTTTGGAAAAGGTGAAGGCACGGCCTTCTTATTACCAGACTTGCCAGGCCATCGTCAAGAGATCACTTCCGCTTCTTACTTTGTAGGCTTGGAATGGCGAACGGTCCAATGGGTCCGAGAGTGGTCTCGCGACTTATACGGCCGACCTTTTTTAATAGATGAAGAAAGAGGAAAAAAGAACGCGAAAGGAGGATTAGATACCCCAGAGCTATCCGTGCTACGTGACCTACACGAGATAGCTTCATATATTTTCGCGTCTAGACGTCTACTTAGTCGAACCCCTTTTCTATTCCCCCACATTGGACACATTTTTTTGTAGTCCCTACCCATCCACTCTAACCGGCTCATATCAAGTTCGATTCGAGGGCTTCACAGGGCTGAATCGAGAGAGGTCGACGTAGTGGCGGCTAGTTCAATGGGTTTCATTCATTAATTTGGAGCTTTAATCATTATGGATAAAAGTTGCACAAATAGTCATAACATCATCCCAGCTCGGAACCATCGTCATTCTTGATAAACTCATCCAGTCTCTCCTTCAACTCCTTCACCGTAACTCCATCACGGTCAAAGTTCCTCTTAGCATCTTCGTCGTGGCCTTTCCGACCGCCATACTTTGGAGGGATGAGGACGGACCCGACAACATGGACGACTCCGTCACTGGCGATGCCGTCCTGGACCATGACACAACTCTTCCCGCGATTGATGGACATCTCAGAGAACTCCATCCAGGTTACGACGTCGACCTCGATTGTGCGGTTTGGAAGGAGAGATTGAGGAGAGGCATGGCGACGCTTAATCGGGGGCAAGGACATCTGATCTGCCTCTACCGTGAAACCGGGTATGTCGTGGGGAGATGCCGTCTTGGATTTGTAGTAAGCGTCTGAGTAAAGTGTTGCGTTGATAACAATATGGTATTCTAAAAGGGCTCGAAGGTACTTTTCCCCATCCCTGGAGAAAAGAAAGCGAGAAGTGTCCGGGCGGAGCTTCTCCCATGCTCTATTCGAGGGAGCGAATATCGTACCTCCCGCCTGCGGTTCCTGGCGTAAGTCGTCTGCAAGACCCGTCTTCTCCATGGCAGATGCAAAAGTGGTAAGCTTTGCGGGGAGGGTCTTGATAAGCTTGCCCTGCCGTGGGGGAGGCATCAGGAGGTCCTCGATCATGTGGAGGACGCCGTTCGCAACCTCGATACCGGACTGGGTGATACGAGAGCCAAAGTTGAGGTCGATCCCCGAAAGATCTACCGAGACGCGCACGCGTTGTGGTCTGTAACCTAGCGAGCTCTCGTTGAGCAGAGTCGGGATGGTGTGCGACGACATGACGCGGTCGAGGGAGTATATGTCGTCTACGACATGGTACCTTATCATCTTCCTTAAGAACTCCGGGAGTAGGTGTTCGCTTCTGAGCTGGGGAAGATTCTCGAAAGCGGTATCGGCAGGGACAAAGACCGTGAGACTGCTGTCGAAGTCGTTAAGTTTTTTGCGAACCGAAGGGTACTGGTTGATGAGATCGCAGAATTCCCGGGTATTTTCGCCTAAGCAGATGAGCTCATAGGCAGTGACCTTCGCCTGAAGGCGAGGTTTTGGGTCTCCGTCGACATGGTTATTTAGAAGTGGGGACTCGGAGAAGGACGCCGTGACGTCGTTTAGTTTATTGGGCCCTTCATTGTCGGGTTGTCCACGTAAGGGATACTGTCCTGGATAGGCCAGGATGGCAGTAGTTAGAGCGAGTTGGAGATAACGGGCCTTCATCTCAAAACGTCCCCAATTCTCATCCTCACTCTCGTTGATAACCAGAAATGTGTGGATTCAGGAAATGAGCTCTCCGCGACAGTCTGGCTTATAGAGCTCTAATGTTGTTTGAACTTCGAATGAGCGGGCAACAATCACCTGTGACTAACATCAGACGGCAGGTGCTAGAGTAAGGCTCTCGGTGGCAAGATGTCGCACGTAACAAGTGTGTCGAGGCGAGTGCGCTGCATACAGTTAGACTGTCGAGTGATGAGACCCATTTGCGAGATTCTAAGATTCTGTATATCTCTAACTCTTGGACTTTGATGGCGAAACTGAAGAAGCTTATGTCTAAGCTATTTTATCTGGGAAGAGCGACTTGGGTTTTATGGAAGTTCGGTTTCTACCTTTGAGGGCGAGGATGAAGATGTGCCTCATCAGGAAGGCGTTGCGTGATAGTTTCGAACAGGATTCCGCACGGCTCTGTAGGCAAGTGGTGCCACTTGTGGCTCCGTCAAGGCAATTCTGCATCTTCTACGAATTGTTTCATTTTTGCAAAGGACTCGTGGGACAGAATTTGGAGGATTGTTACAATTAATGTTCTTCGTAGTATTCTTAAAACTGGGTTGATCCCGCAATGGTGGCACGTTAAGGAACATTGAAGGTGCTGGAAGAGGGTCTTAGTGGATACTGGAGGCAGCCGTACCTAATCTGACATGCCTTGGAAAGCCCTTACACCAGATCCAGTCTTTCTAGAAGAAAGGTACATATGGGAGAAAGTCCTTTCTCAAGATAGATGGACGCCGGGCCTCTATTCCCGACCTTGTGTCGTGAACAGCTGTTCGTTCTAAGTCGTTGGCACCGTTGAAAGTGTTGGGGACAGAATCTTTTGGGGAGACATCATTCCCGTCGCATCCTGTTTGCCTGGCTGCCGAATCGCCAACAGCACCTTCGGATCTTCGCTCTGCATGTTCGTCGGGCGTTTCTGGGATCGTCGACAAACGACTCCTAGTCGCGATGTTGGTGACACCCGTTCGGGAGAGTGATCTCGCCCACTCGAGAGTGCTCTCTCGAACCCCATTCAGATAAGGTCCTATGAGCGTGCCATTAATCAGTTCCCTGGTGCATGGAGCGCATTGTTTTACCGATTCAGGGGCTTTGTCAAACACTCCGAGTGTGTGGGCAAGCGACAGCTCTTCACAGCTCACCTGATCGCCAAGTAGTTCATCATCCAAGATTCCATCGTAAAAGGTAGAGAAAAGATAAGCCCCGTTAATAATCTTCGAGCGTATTGGCCTTTCGATGAAGAATAGGCCCTTGATAGCCCAGTATCGCCGGATCACTTTCCCGTCCAGGATATTCCCTCCTGTAAAGGTCGAGGTGCACTCGGGACACCAGCCGAAGATGATTTGGCCCGTGGACTTGGTGGAACGGCTTGCTCCATAGCCGATGAACTTGCAGATATGGCCCTCAAATTTATGGCGTTCTTCTTCCTGCCGTTTGCGGGAAACGGGGCATTGCTGGACGCCAGTTATGCGGTGGGCACAGACTGTGAAGACTTGTGAGGTTAGAAAGCACATTTTTGTGAAGAGGAATGGGTAATGCTCAAAAAGTAGAATGCCGTGCCAGTACTGCAGAATCCAGAATCGCGTGGAGCGTTCGTGGAGAAGCGTAATGAGTTGAGTTGCGTGATTCGATTCAAGTCTTGGGGAGAGCTTTCCTAGCTTTATATATTGGGCGGACTGGATCTGAAGCTGGAGATAGTTGCGATAGACAAAGAGGCAGAGAGAGGCGAGGACTCCCTCCAGAACACAGTAGTTGCGTCTACTGAACAATACCACAAAGAATATAAATAACAATAGATATAGCGTCAATTGACTTGGGAATTGCTCATCTGTTTTTCCTCTATTGTCTTCTTCCGCCCTTTCTTTGTTCGTGAGGCCAACATTGATCTGCATCTAGCCGGACTCAACATTTACATTCCAGACTTCTTGTTCTTCTCCTTAATGGGGAATTCACTCCCAGTGACATTTTTGTACCCGCTGCGAATGGCGCCGGCAATCTGATTGTCCTTCATCTGCTCCAAAGCAGACTCGTTGGATTGGTCGCCTTGGCCGAGGAACTTTTCCTGGGCATAGTCGATGGCTATGGTCGGGTTAGAATAACGACATGGAAACTAGAGGAAGGTATTGGCAGGGAATTGGAGCTTACCCTTGTCAAGGGCATCTTCGTTCTGTTCGCCCTCGCGGCCACCGCCGGCCATTTCATTGAGCTTATTAGTGAATCCACCTCCGGAGCTACTGCTGCCTTGTTGGGTCTGTTGGTTTTGGCTGTTGTTGGTGTCGTTGCCGGAGTTCCCACCGAGGGCGTTCTTGACCAAGTTCATGATTGTGTTGGATGAGCTGCAAGGTATTGAATACTGGTTATGTACGATGGAAGCTTGAGAATTGGAGTTAATCGGTCATCTGTTGGGCTCGAGTCTGGGCCTGTTATATAAAATTATCAAGCTACGAGATGTGAGAGCATATCGCCTCGACCTGGACCTGGAATGTTTCATTCATGAGTTATTGGGAGGGCTTTGAGACACTGACGTCGTGTGGCTGGACTTTCAGCTTGCTTGTGAAGCGGAAACAGTGAAAAGCTTCACGACCACCTCCTCAGATTGGCCACGAATTAGACCCAGAGCAGTAAAATTCGAAGCTTATCAGACGCGGAAGATGGATATATTCATGATGGCAGCACCTCTTGGGAAGAGACATAGATCGATCGGAGGGTCACTCGTGGACACCAAGCCAACATCGGTTACCCGAATCGCAGCCAATACATATCGAGCAAGGATCAACTCGGGGGCTTGGTGAGCGGTTCTAAACTGACTTCGACGGGAAAGCCTTAGCTTGAAACTTGCATGGAGGCTGAGCACCTTTTGGTATCGGTAAAGACTGCTGGTCTGCTACCCCCAAGGGAGCTGGAGCGGCGGCGAAGAAGGCATTGGAGAGTTTCTGGCTCCCATGACAAAGCGCCCTGCGTCCCCAGACAGAGATTGACTCATGTTTTGAACCGTATCCCAGATCCCAGATGGGAAGGGGGGTTAACACCGAAGACCCGGGGTAGGAGCGCCTTCTTCAGACACCCCTGAGAACGATATCTTATGTGATTTGATCAATGGTTCTGGGTTTATATTTCTCATTCCACTGCTCAATTTCCCCCTTTCCCCCCAGACAGGTCCTCATCTGACAGTGAGCAGTTGTCAATTAACGTTTCGAGCTCATTGCTGCTTCAATGGCGATCAGAATGATACCTTTGGTCTGTCTCTGTTCACAATCACGTGATATCTCTGACTCCTTCGGCGTCCCGTCGCATGTTAGTCACCACAATTGTTAGAGGGGAGGTGCGATGGTGGGGTCATTTTTCCAGGAACTGCCCCGCCATGGCTAATCGGGCTTCGTAGAGTTTGCACCAAGGCTGATTCAATTGCTGTCGCGACTGCAATATTGCTCCTCTCATAAGAAGAAAATCTGGTCGATTTTCTCGAATTCGTCCTTCGTCCCTGCGAAACTTCCTTTTTCACTTGTCTACCGATCTAGACCTTTCACCTTACCACGACAATGGCTGACGCCCCTTCGGACCCGAAGCCCCCCGCCGCCGAAGCTGGCGCTGCCGGCGCTGAGGGTGCCGCGCCCTCGAAGAAGGCCGCCAAGAAGGCCGAAGCCAAGGCGAAGAAGGAAGCCGAGAAGGCTAGGAAGGCTGCCGAACGAGAGGCTGCCGCCGCCGCTGCGAAGGCTGCTAGTGGCGCTGCTGAGGACCTCGCCAAGGAAAACTACGGCGATATCACACCCACCACCAAGGTCGATGCCGAGCGCGTACATTTGAAGGATATAGGGGATGAGCATCTCGACAAGGTCATCAAACTCCGGGCGTGGATTCAGAACTCCCGTCTTCAGGGCGCCAAGATGGCCTTCGTCGAGCTGCGCGAGGAGAGGGACTGGTCCATTCAGGGTGTCATGGTAGCCAACAACGAGGGCAAGCCCGTCTCGAGACAAATGGTTAAGTGGACTGGCTCTCTGACCCTGGAGAGCTTCGTTCTGGTGGAGGCAAAGGTTGTGAAGCCCCTGGAGCCCGTCAAGAGCTGCAAGGTATCCGACTATGAGCTTCACATCTCGAAGTGCTACCTTGTCGCCCCTGGACCCCCCGTTCTCGGAATGAGCTTGGCTGTTGCCAACCGAGCGGTCTCTAGCTTCGAGGATGAGGAGCACCACGCCGCCGATGCTGGTAAGGATGTCGAGGAGGTCAAGGACGGGGTTGCTGCGCTCTCTGTTGACTCTATCGCCCATGCGTCCATGAGCACCCACCTGAACAACCCCGCCATGCACAAGAGGGCTCCTGTGCAGCAGGCAATTGCTGATGTCCGCATGACTGTACGAAAGCTATTCAGCGATTACCTTGAATCCAAGGGCTTCGTTCAATTTGAGCCTCCGTGCCTCATTGGTGCCTCTTCCGAGGGTGGTGCCAACGTCTTCTCCATGCCTTACTTTGACAAGGCCGCTTTCTTGGCGCAGTCGCCTCAGTTCTACAAGCAATTTGAGATCGCCGGTGGTAGGAAGCGAGTATACTGTATTGGACCCGTTTTCCGTGCAGAGAACTCCAATACCCCCAGGCATATGACCGAGGTGAGCATTTTTATGTATAATTTTATGAAGAAGCTGTGACTCTTGCTAACTCTGTGTGCGACACCCGTTAGTTCACCGGTCTTGATCTCGAAATGGAAATCGAGGACCACTACCACGAGGTTCTTCATATGCTGGAGGGCGTTCTGCTCTACATCTTCAGGGGCCTCGAAGAGAAGTGCGCCAAGCAGATTGAGCTGATTCGCACCGTATACCCGTCCGAAGACTTCCTGCTCCCCGAGCCAGGAAAGGAAGTCCGTCTCACCTTTGCCGAAGGCCAGAAGCTACTCCGAGAGGAGGGCCCCGAGGAGTTCCGCAACGTCAGTGACGACGAGGACATGAGCACGCCCCAGGAGAAGGCTCTCGGCGCTCTCATCCGAGAAAAGTATAAAACCGACTTCTACGTCCTCGACAAGTTCCCCGAGTCTGCCAGACCCTTCTATACCATCGAGGACCCCGAGAACCCCAAGGTCACCAATGCCTACGATTTCTTCATGCGCGGCCAGGAGATCCTGTCGGGTGGCCAGCGTATCCACGTCCCCACCGAGCTTGAGGCTCGCTTGAGGAAGAAGGGCATTGACCCCACCTCTCCCGGAATCAAGGAGTATGTCGATGTGTTTAGGTCCGTTGGCGTGCCTCCCCACGGTGGTGGTGGCATCGGTCTCGACCGTGTCGTTGCGTGGTATCTCAATCTCCCCAGTGTACATCTAGCGAGCTACTATCCCAGGACGCCCAAGCGACTTCTTCCTTAAATTTGTTTGAAAGGAAAGTTAAGGAATGCGCCGCCGCAGCCTTTAACTAGTACAGGAGGACTTTGAGGAGCGATGTGTTACGAAATAAAAATGAAAACCGTATTCGATTGATGTAAAGACAGCGTGATTCAAAGACTCTCTCTCTCCTCCTAAGAGCAAACCACAACAAAACAAGACAAAGCTTCCCCTAAAAGCTAGATAAACAGACGAAGAAGGAAAATTACACCACATCCACAAGAAAAACTAGATCCTCCACAATGTGCCAAGGGGACCATGTCCCACCACCCTGCCGACGACCCTCCAAAAGAAAACATTCATCTGTTCCAAAATCAATTCCAAAGCGAAAGCAACCCCGTCAAAGACCGGTCCCAGAATCCCCAACAGCGTGTCCAGGCAAGAGCAGGCCCAAGCAATAAACTCGTACCTCGTAAGCGTCAACCGTGGATCAACCCTGAAAAACCAAGCGAAATACGGTATGCCGTACTGCAAATTATGTCCGTACGCCGCCTTCAGCCTCGAGTTCCCGAAGAGCCAAAGCTCGCGCTCTCTGCTCGCCGCGACGTAGACCTGGATCGTCATGAGGAGTAATACGTGGTAGAAGATGTACACTGCGTCCTTCGCTTGGAAGCACGGCCAGCAGAGCGGAGGTTCGGGGACCGGAGGGTGCTGTTGGTGTCGTCTGCGGAGGCGGAGGAATGGCGGGACGAGGTAGCGCTTCGCCTTGGTGAATACGAAGTCCGGAAGGTGCGTGAGCCAGAGGAAGAAGACGAGGATGAGCCGGATTAGCCGGACGTAGGCGCGGACGTGTTCGTAGGCATGCTGTCTGGTGGCCGCTAGGGCGCCGGTGATGGGACCGCGGGCGATTGATTTCTTGCAGTTGTAATCTAGCACGCAGGCATGGGATCGGTGGAATTGGCAGTTGCAGTCGCACCCGCAGCCGATGGTAGGGTCGCATGGGCAGTTGTTCCCTGTTCTGGCCTGGTCATTCTTGGAACTATTGTGGCCACAACATCTGCGGTGCCTCCCCTGATCCCGTTCCTCATTCTCTGATACGTATGCGGGACTCTTTTCGAGAGCTTGCCTTCCTTCTTCGAGGACCTTCTTGTGGAAGTCGACCTTCCACACTTCCTTGTCGATCCAGTCCTCCAGCTCGGATAATCTTTCCCTTTCGGCCTTCCTCATCTCCTCATCGAGCTGCGCGATCTCGTCCTGAGCCTTCTTGGTGCCGTCCTTAATCATGTCATCAAGATCCTTCAGTTGGTTGCGGAATTCAGGATATTTTCCCATGTTCACACGTGGATGTTTCTCATGGTGCCCTTTGCTATATCCCCCGCACCCACCGTAGCCGTGACCGCCGGTGTCGTCCTCGTCGTTATCACCGCCAAGGCCATCATCGTCGCTCTCGCTTGTATCCGTCTCTTCATATCCGCCGTGGTTCCCACACCCAACCCTTGGTTGTACGAAATCCCTCTCCAGTTGCTGAAGCCTCTCGCTAATCGCAACTTGATCAAGCAGGGGCAGCTTAGTCTTCTGGGGTTCCTTCCCTCGCTGAGCAGGCTTGTCCTTGCTTATGGGTGCTTTACCCTTTCCTTTGTCTTTCGGTGGTTCAGAAGGTCCAGCCTCTGGCTGGTCTTCCTCATCGTATTGCCTCCAGATGTCGACGCCACTCTCCGGGTCTTTTCTCGTTGTCGGGGGTTTGGTCGTTGGCTTTTTGGTACCTCGCTTTTTGGTTGCTGGCTGTTGAGTTGTTGGCCTTTGGGTATCTGGCTTTTCGGTTATTGGCCCCTGGGTCGCCAGCCTTTGGGTTGCTGACTGCCTAGTCGATTGCTGTTGAGTTGCTGGTTGTTTGCTAGTGTCCTGCTGAGTCGATGGCTGTTGAGAGGTTGGCTTCTGGGGGGCTGGCTTTTTGGCTGCTGGCTTCTGGGTCACCCGTTTTTGCGCTGCCGGCTGCTTTGCCGGTTGCTGTTGAGTAGCTGGCTTTTGGGTTTCCCGCTGCTCAATCGATGGTTTTTGAGCGGGTGGCTTTTGGACTACCAGCTGCTGAGTCGATGGGTGCTGAGTTGATGGGTCCTGAGGCTGAGCCGTCGGCTTTTGGGCCGCGGGCTGCTGAGTCGAATGTTGCGTGACTAGCCCCCGAGTCACAGGCATTTCGATCTCTTCCTCTTCGTCCGCTGGCCTTTCAGTTGCCGCCTGTTGGGGTTGTGGCGCCCTCGGGGGGAGCAATGGTGCGACTTCAAACTGGTGCGATCCTGGTGGAAGAGGCCCTCTGCTGACTTTGAACCCTCCTTGGGGCTGTTGTTCTGCCTGCGGGAGCGGCCGAGGTCTTCTGGGTCCCGGAACGGGTGGGTTCATCGCTTTTGCCTTCCTACTCCCATCCACAATACGCTGGAGTTCACTAAGAGACAGGTCCCGCGGCGAAATGCGTTTAGGCGGCTCTTTTTCTGGAATCATAGCATCTCGAGGCTCGGGGATTGCTGTATCCGAGATGTCGTGCCCTGGAGCATTGGCCTTCCCGAACTCTCTGTCCGTACGTTCCAGCTGCTGCATGGCTTTCTCAAAAGCGGAGATGGTTCCCGGAGCGTTGGTCTTCTTTGCCTTCTTTTCCGCCTGTAGCCTATTTTCCACTCGCTGGTGGATTTCTGCATACGAACTTCCCATCGGGTTCAGCGAAGGAAAGAATCTATCCGGGCCGAGAGCGGGAAGAGGCTTTCCAGGCGACCACATCCGTGGAGGGGAGTGTAGAGGAGAGGAGTGTTTCTGCGGACGGATGCTAACATCGGGCGATGTGTCATGGGTAGAATAAATGTTTGGACTTTGCCCAGGACGCTGCGGCACAGGAGGGCCCCCAGGACTCAACTGGACCTCGAATAGCGCCTCATGTATCGGTGGCGGCTGCTGCTCGCTCGCGTCATCTATCTTGGCGGTCGGGAGCCGTTCACCTTCAGTGACATAGGGGTCGGATGCGAAAATCAACGGAGATTTGGGGGGCTCGGGTTCGCCGACCACCGGATTTTGCTCTGTCTCTTCTTCTGCCCCCTTTTCTTCCGCCCCCCCGCGCAAATGCGCTGTCCTCTCCCTCACCAACTCTCTAAGATGCTCAATCTTTGTCTCGGCCGCGTCGAGTTTCACACCGAGGTACCCGAGCTGGCTTTGAAGGATAGAAATGTACTGTTGAGCGACCTCCAAGGTTGCGACTTTCTCGTTGCGCCATCTGACCACCTCCTCGGCGAAACGTTCAAGTGGCTCGTCGCTTGTGGTATCTTCGAGCGCCTTCACCTTCGAACTTGGGTCTTTGTCGTTGAAAGGGTAATATCGCAAGATACGCTCGCTCATTGGCCATATCATGCTTCGGTGTAGGAATGGATGAGCTTTCTGGGCATCGAGCAAATCTGTAGCCCTCAGCGCTAGAGCGGTCCTCTCTGATTCAAGTTCTGGCAGAGACATCCACGGACGGCCTCTGGTAGCGGCCCACATCGAATCTAATTCCTTCTCGATTTCCTCGGGAGGGCAGGAAGGGCCCATTCGTTTCTCAACTATAGCCCTATTTTGCTCTCGTTCTCTCTCATCGGCAGTATAGTCAAAGATCCTCCCCTCCAACTCGACGCGCCTCTTTTCAATTTCCTTGAGCTCGGTATCACGTAACTGAAGGAGTTCATCCTCGGCTTGTACGTAATAGCGAATGTCGTCAAGCGTGTCGAGCAACTCTTCGTACCTCAGCTTCTCTTCTCGTACAACCTCCACGTACTGTATCTTCTCTTGAAGTATCTTCTCTTCGTCAGGGCTGAGTCGCTCTTTGCGATTGCTGGACTCGGCTTTCTTGTCTTCGACTTCTTTCTCGCTATCATGCAGACGTAACTTGGCGTCGGAGAGGTCTGCTGCTATGGAGTCCTGGAAACTCCTGAGTTTTGAGCGGATGGTACCCGCTGTTCGGTCCAGGAATTTGCCGAATGCCTTGATAGCGACGCTATTCCCGGTCATGGCCTCAAAGACGTATGTCGTACCCTCCTCCGATAGCTTGTGAACCTCATCACGCCTAAAACCTATGGCTTTCATGATTTCGGAGTACTGGCTTTGCAGCTTGTCGCGAATCTTGAGCGCCGCATCATGCTGGGCCTTGATTTTCATACGCAATATCTGGTACTCATTCTTCCGTTGGAGGACCGCGTAAGTTTGTTCGATGGTCATGGAGGCCCCGCCATATAAGTCGTCAATCTCTCTGCTGACCATCAACTGGCAAAGGTGTGCGTCCTGCATTTTTTGGTGTAGGTTAGACGTCGCGCGGGTGTTCTGCGTAAGGAAATCGATGAGAGATTGCAGGAGTGGTGTGGACTCGTTTCCGGGGGACGTGAGGCCCTCATCCAATTTGGAATTCAGAGAGCCGATGGCTTCTGTGACAGCTGAATGGTGCTCTTCGAGTTCTTGAATGGAGGGTTTAAGTTCAGTGATCCTTAAGGGTACCTTCTCGGGTGGTAAGCCAGCGATGATTGACAGCCGGCTGCCGTAGTTTTTCAGTATACCATAGCAGTTCGTGAAAACCAGGGCAGAAGCCCTCAGTTCCTCTTCTTTTCCAATCAAGGGTCGGGGCTTGACGTTCCAGTCCTTTTTTCCATCCTCTGGTTTAATGTAGGTGCGATGTGTCCTCTGCCGGTCCTCCTCGACATCACGACTCCACTTCAGCAGCTCAGCTTTGTCCTCTTCGAACTTGTCTAGGAGCGTCCGGGCATGTTGGGCCCGTACTGAATGTAGTACAATTGAAGTTTCAAGCTGTCTCTTGGTATCCTCGAGCTCCCGGCGCAACTCTTCCTTGGTCTCCGAGTCCGAGACCTCCTCTGTGCCATCGAGCCATCTCGAACCCTTATTTTCCCGCGCCTGCAAAAGCTGTTCCTCTAGAGCGGCGATTTTCTTGAGACTGTCTTCATGGATCGTCCTCAGACGTTGCCTCGCCGGATTTATCCCCCTGATGATCATGTGGCACAAGTCTTCTTCATCGCATAGAGCGTTGTAGCGGCGCATCTCCTCAGTTTGCGCCTGATCAAAGCCGAAGGGATCGAGGGGAATGCCAGCATATCCGAACAGTGCCTCAAGTTTCCTCTTCTCCACTCTAATATCGGTGATGCGGTCCTTCTGGCGGAAAGGATCTACCTTATCCTTTAGCTTCTCGAGTTCGTTACGGAGGAACTTATTTTCTGCCACAAGCGTCTCAGGCGTTGAGAACACGTCATCAGAGTCGGCCTCCTGAACCCGCTGGGACCCCATTTGGGATATTTTCCGCTGGAGCTGGGCAATTGTTGCGAGGTGTCTCTCTATCTCTGCTCTAGTAGCGGCAGGGACTTGTTTCTCTAATTGCTCCTGAAGTTCTTGAATCTTGGCGGCGAGTTTGTTGGCCTCACGATCATAGCCTTCCGTTATCGAGGCGGTCACTTCTTCCCGTACCGTTAGGAGTTGTTGTTCAAGATCAGAAACTCGGAGACGCAAAGTTTCGACTTCAGGGGGACCGTCCTTAGATTGCAAAGAAATCGCGTTCTCGAGCTGGTCCGTAAGCTCCTCGATCTTGCGGGTCAACTCCGAAACTCTCTCAGTGTGCTTCGTCTCTTGGGCGGTAGACAAATTCCTAGTTTCGGCGAGCTCTGTCTCGGCCTCTCTGAGTGCCGATCGTAGGCCGTTCGCTTCGCTTGCCGCCATGGCTGTAAACTTAAAAAGCTGTTCTTTGAGTACCCCAATATCCTGTGAAAGATCCTCGCGCAACCTTTGGGACTTTTCCAACTGCTTCTTTAGACTCCTACCGTTCTCGCCGCATTTTTCCAGCTGTTCGGTTAAACGATCCCTCTCCTCTTTTAGGCCTCGCAGGGTGAGCAACTCACTTGTTGGCCGAGGAGTCCGCGGCAGTTCAGGGTCGAGTCCAAGGTTGGAAATAAGGGAAGAACGCCGATCAATCTCGTGGCTCGTCAACTCTTGGAGCTCCGCCAATTCTGCAGCTAGGGTAGTGGGTGGCAGGTCTCCTGGGAGACCATCAGAATATGCTTGGCTACCGTCGGGAATCGAGCTGTCTTGCGAGACCACTGCGTCCTTTCCGACTACTGGCGACTTGGCGGAAAATGGTGATTGTACGCCCTTGATTTTCAGTAGGGCCTTCTCGAGGAGGGATATTTTTGCTTCGCTATCCTTGACCTGTGCTATAGCTAGGTCGCGGACCTCTTCGGCAGTGGCGAGGTCGGTGTTTATGACATAAAGTCTGTCGAGGGCATCGTCGATCTGCGCGGTGAGGTGAGAGACTGCATTGGCTGTGTTCACCTCCCTCTCAGCTTTAGCCTTGTCGAGCATTCGTTGGAGCACGTCGGCACGTCTATCTTGGTCGTTGATGCGGCGCTCAAGCCTAGCAATAACAGTTTCCGGTTCATCTTCAGGTTTCTTCTCTTTTTCTCCCCTAGACTCACGAGGAATCACAGGGAGATATCGGCGTCGGCTCTTCATTTCCTCTCGCATAGTCTTGATTAGTCTTTCCTCCTCCTCAAGGTCGTCAAGAGCTTGGTTGGCAACACGAGCCATCCCATCAATAGTGTAATCCCAGAGCTGGTCTTTGTAGTGTCGAGAAAGCATCTCCTCCTCGGGGAGTGGCGGGTACTGACGGCGGAGTAATTCTTCCACAAGCTCCTCCTTCTTCTCCTTAATGGTATCAAAGAGTTGTTGGTACTTAAGCTCGCTCTCGTAAGACCGACCCCTTTCCTGCTCGAGCTCCTCTTCCATTTGGCGCAGCTTCTGCTCAGTAGCAATCTTAGCGGCAGCCAGGTTTCTGGCATGCATCTTAAGCTCCTCATTATGCTTCTCCACTGCCTGGGCATCTTCCGCCATTGAGGCCAACTGATCCGCAACATTGTTGCTGTCGAATTTTGTCTTCGTGATATCCTCCCGCAGAGCCTTGACTGTCTTCTCCAAATTTCCGAGCCTTCCTTGCTGGCTGACAACCGTCTCTTGAAGATCACTGTAGTACTTGTCCTGGTCTCCTTCGCTCGTCTTAAGAGGGCTGAGAATTGCCTCTTTCTCCAGAGGTTTTCGAGAGGAAACGGGGAAATCGCCAACGTATTTAGCCACAAGATCATGGATATCGCCGGAAAAGCTGTCGGCATCTGGAGCAGGAGAACCGTCGCCAAGGACGACGCTGGCACGTGTTGCCTCAACAATGCGGCTAACGAGGACACGAAGCTCGTCGTCAAAATTTAAATCGGGATCATGCTGAGGATGGGCAACGTTCTCAATAGGTGCGCCAATGTGAGTGGACGTAGGGTTGTCAGGTGTTGTAGGGTTCTCAATCGTAAATTCATGCTCAGGGGTGTCTTCGACGGCTTCTGCGTGCTCATGACTTATGTGAGCTTCCAAAGGTTCCTCGGACTCGTGAGGTCTGAGAGGCTCCTGTGGAGATTGCGGTTCTTCGGTTGTCTCCATCTCATGAGAGGGGCCAATCGGGTCTTTGGTGGGCGAGGACATGGCTACATGGAAAAACTGAACGCTCGGGGATGGGACATTGGGAGATATGGCGTCACCGATGTACAATCCTTGAATGAACACAAGATAAGAAGATTTCGAAATCACCGGAGCTGTTGGTTATGGAGGAGGCCTGATATGATAAAAGAGAGAAGAGAATCGGGAAGACAATGGCAGGGGACGAATCGAATGACATATGTGAGAAGAGACGAGGGCATCTTCGGTGCTGAACTCTATGAAACCTAGACTTAATGATTCGAGAACTCGCATTTACCTACCTCGTCAACCTCCGCATGGGGCTCGAACAAAGGTGGGTGCTCTCGAGCACCGGTTGCGGAGAACGTGCTCGGACGAACATACGGACTTGGTTGCTAGGAATCCTAGAAAGAGTCCGGAATGGGTAAACGGAACGCATTGCGGCATTGTGGAACAGGAATCTTCTTCGACAGCGAAGGAAACCGCGCAGGGCTGGAATTTGAAAGAATTGAGTGGTGATCGGTGACCTGGCGGTTATACACAATCGATTGATGTCTAGAATTGTGAAGTTTGAAATGCTGTCTTCGAGGAGGTCCTTTAGGATTCATGGAGAAATTTCTGGTTTCGGCGAGTCGCTCAGTTTTGGTAGAAAGAAAACAAAGGTTTTATTGTAGAATGTACATTTTTTGCAAGGTCATAACGTCGTGAACTGTAAAATTAAACATTGCACTCATAGCAATGCATTCATGAATACCAGCCTCTGGCACCGGGTCCGCCTTGGGCTTCTTCACGTCTGTGCGGAATCATGGGCTCTTTGATGTCGAGCGTCTTGATGATGTCTCGCCAGGTTGCCATGTCTAGGCTAAAGACAGCTTGATGCTTCGTTTGGTGCCGACTAGTTTCTTCCTCCATTTCGGCAGTAACGGGGGCTTGGTACCACATGTGTTAACAGGAATGCAAAGAAGAGGCTACTTGGCTGCCACCTTGGCGGAATTCAACTTACCGACAGATGGAAGGCCGTCGTCATCTAGCTCGATGCGCACCTTGTTATCCTTGATAAGAAAACTGACGTAGAACATATTCTCGATAGACTGTCCAAACGATTTGGGGTTTATGACGAAGCGCATAAAGTCAACACCTCCAGTACTTCTTAGGCCAAGTTGATGCATCAGCCGGATCTGCTCCTCAATTTCCATGTCTTCCGTGATCAAGTCGTATACTTCCTCTTGCAGTTTTGTCTGGATGCGCTGGAGCCGCTGGAGCACCTTCCCGCAGATGACGGCCAGGTCATTGTCCTGTTTGGTCAACTCCTCGGCGTTTATAACTTCAGGCCTCGTTTCCGCGAGCTGGTTGATTCTGAAAGGCGCACTCCGCTTCGTAATTTTCCGCGCTTTTTTCTCCACAGATAGCGGGCCTAGGAGATGACCCTGAACAGCTGGGCGACCAATACTTGGCAGACAGGCGAACTGGCCAAAGTAAGCCCAATTTAACATGTCGCCGTCCTCGTCTTCACCGTCAGAGCCTTCTTGTCCTCTGGCGATACGCCTTCTGCGCTGCTGTTGGGTACTCGAGAGCTCTGGGGCATTGTCGCCATGATCGTTCGCTCCCTGGCGCATGTATGTGATGCATTGGGACACGAATTCGTCCACATCGATGCCGTCGGCGGTATTTCCCTGAGTTATCCGAACAGTCTTCTTGTATGACATGTCCGCCGCCGTAACCAAGAGACGGGAGTCTATGACGGCCTCGGTGGTTTGTTTAATATTCTTGTTGATCGTATTGGCGGATACAATGAGATCGCGAATGCCAGTTGACTCGCTCTTCAGATAATCGTCGGCATTGTCCACAAGATCTCGACCTAGCTCCCGCAGACCTCGCTGAATGTCGCGCCGCTCCTCCACTGATTGATCGGGATCGTAGGCATCGGAATCATCGTCGCCATCTTCATTATCGGGCTCGATGGTTCGCCGCCTGTTCGAGGGGCCAGCTCCCGTAGATGTATCGGCTCGTTTCCTCTTTGATCCGGACAGGTCTCCGTCTGCTCCCCTATTTCTCACAGCCAAGTTTCTGCTTTCTCTAGGGGTAAGACCCGGACTGGAGGAACCCCCCTCAGAATCACCGGTGTCAGACCGGGGCATTATGATCAGTCGTGGCTTGGCCTGGTGGTTCGGGCCAAAGAAGAGAATGCCGAATTTTGTGTACCAGCGTATTAGGTATATGCGGCGGGATTAGTGAAATAGTGTGATGTCGATTTCGGTTTCGATGTCGATCATGGAGTCTATCGGTCGCGTCGTCAAAAGTGCTAAGGCAAGACGCGATGCGAATAATTGAGGGTTTGCCAAGCGTGAGTGTGGAGGGGGTGTTAGAAGCGCTCTCAGCAGGGCGGGGTGTGGGGTGTCTTTATCTTCTTCGAATCAGCCGTTAACACCTGTCCATACTAATCTGCGCTGATGACTTGCAGAAGTTCGCAGAGCTCCCAAGTTCCCAGCAAACAGGCGACAACGTCACCGACATCGCAAACACATAAAGCGTCGCTCTCTCCCGCTTTTTTCTAGCTTCCTTTCCAACATGGTATAAGCCATACTCACTGCTGTTCTAACAGTCTCGAGGCCATGGACTCCTACTCTTTCGCGACTTCGGATGCGCTCGACCATCCTGTCAGCATCAGGATGTAAAGCTCCCCACCTCCCATGAGTCTCGAACATCACTGACGCCTAGATTAGAATCGGTCTTGAGGGAGACGAGCCGCCTTTTCGCCAGTCTACGCTTCTCGAGAGCCCGGCGCTCCGCCATGTTGGATCCAACATAAGGTATCCTAAACTCTCCTCTTTCGAGGCTGCTGCAACCCGTACTAACACCAGACGACCTATGACAGCCCCCATTCCGATCTCTACGTGACAGTCCAGGTTTGGGCAGGATCCAAACCACTTACTGTCCCCATCCAGACTGCGTATAAGTCGTTTCGATCGGAGAGAAGGTATTATTCGTGGCTTGTGTTCTCCGTTTTAATATCATTCTTCCAGTTGCTAATATTGAATGCGCCCGCAGGTGGAACGAATGGTTGACCCTTCCGATAACCTACTCGAACTTGCCTCTTAATTCATGCCTTGCGATAACGTTGTGGGATCTTTCCCCGGCGAGCGAAACCCCCGGAATCGGCCACACCATACCCTTCGGAGGCACTACGCTGCCCATGTTCGACAAGGATAACCAGCTCCAGAAAGGAAGGCAAAAGTGTACAGTCCACAGGCATAAGAAAGCGGACGGAAACGATAACACGATAACTCCCGCGTTTGAATCCAAGAAGAGGGGCGCCGCTCGAAAGGGCGAACTGGCGCCTGTGGACAAAGATGCCGAAGAGCAGGAGAGGATGGAGAAGCTGTTTAAGAAGCACGAGATGGGCGAGATTCCCAGAGTTGAGTGGCTTGACCAGCTGGTCTTTCGCGGGTTCGAGAAAAAAACAGCAAATGCCTCGATCAGAGCCATGCAACGCCAGCGCATAGGCACCAGCAACGAACTGAACGCCGACGCGAAAGCTCTCGCCAAAACCAACGGCGGCCCAAGCGCTCTCGCCGAACGGAACAGCCGCCCATCGAAATTCGTCCTGAATGTCGAACTCCCGCGTTTCGATTTCCCCGTCGTCTTTGCTGACCGAGAATACCCACCACCGGCCATATCTACACTTCAACACCTATCGATCTCCCAGTCGAACGTACTGAAGCCGCCGCCGGAGGTCCAGTTCGGCCCAGGAATCAACGCCGTCGGCGATGCCTCGGCCAACTCAAATAACCGCCTCGTGAGGATATATGATCCGGAAGTTGGGGCCCGCGACAACCCAGCCGATGCCAAGCACCGAAGGCTGTTCCGAAGTGCACATAGAAACGGAATTATGGATAAGGATCTAAAGCCGAACGCCAAGGTGCGAGATGAGTTGAACCTCATCATGTCCTACGGCCCCACTCACGCCCTTACCCCAGAGGAGATGGACATGGTTTGGAAATTCCGCTATCATCTCACTAGAGATAAGAGAGCCCTCACCAAGTTTGTGAAATCTGTGAATTGGCAAGAAGCTACCGAAGCAAAACAAGCTGCCCAGTTACTTAACAGGTGGACCGCGATCGATGTTGACGACGCACTGGAGCTTTTCGGGCCATCTTTCGACAGCCCCATCGTACGAGCCTACGCGGTCGAGAGGCTACGGAAAGCCAACGACCATGACTTGCTACTTTACCTCTTACAGCTCGTGCAGGCGCTTAAATATGAGCACATCGTTGCTTCCGGTGAAGAGGGCACACAGGATTCATCTCTGGCCCGCTTCCTCATAGCGCGCGCAGCAGACAACTTCAAACTTGGAAATTACTTCCACTGGTATCTCATGGTGGAATGCGATGATAGCAGTCCCGATCAAGACATAGACTACCGAAACATATACCGCAAGGTGGCGTATGACTTCATGGTAGAACTTGTTAAACGGCCCAATGGCGCCGAGATGAGGAAGGCGCTGCTCAGACAGGCAGAACTAATCACCATCTTATCGAAAATCTCGGGCGATATCAAGTTGTCTAGCGAGTCCATTCCCAAGAAAATCGAGAGAGTCAAGCATTTCTTGCACGATCCCAAGAATGAGCTTCTTCATATCGACCCACCCTTACCTCTTCCTCTAGACCCGGAAGTCAAGGTTGTCGGCGTTATTCCGGAGGAGACGACGGTTTTCAAATCGTCGCTCTGCCCAATCAAAGTGACTTTTAGGACGGCGACGGGCGGACGCTACCCCATCATCTTCAAAACGGGAGATGACCTCCGGCAGGATCAGCTCGTGATCCAGATTATCACTTTGATGGACCAACTTCTGCAAAAAGAGAATTTGGATCTCAAGCTATCGCCTTACAAGATTCTGGCCACGAGCACGACCGCCGGAGCCTCGCAGTTTGTCCCATCCGTCAGCTTCCAGAGCATCGCGTCCAAATACAGCAACCCAGCCTTGACTTATCTCAAACAGAACAACCCGGATGACAGGGAGCCTCTCGGAATTCGTTCCGAAGTCCTCGACACGTACGTCAAGTCCTGTGCAGGCTATTGTGTCATCACATATATCCTAGGCGTTGGTGACAGGCACTTGGATAACCTGCTTCTTGCGCCAGATGGACACTTCTTCCACGCCGACTTCGGATTCATTCTCGGCCGCGATCCCAAACCATTTGCACCGGTCATGAAGCTGACTAAGGAAATGGTGGACTGCATGGGCGGTGTCCAGTCAGAACACTACAAGATGTTCAAGCAGTACTGCTTCCTGGCATATGCGGCTCTGCGAAAGTCATCGAACCTCATTTTGAATTTATTCAGTCTTATGGTCGATGCCAATATCCCTGACATTAGACTTGAGCCGGATAAGGCCGTCATCAAGGTCAAGGAGCGGTTCCATCTTGAGATGGGCGAAGAAGACGCCATCCGCTGCCTGGAGAGAGTGATTGAAGACTCACTTCAGGCACTTGCTCCTGTTGTTATAGATAAACTTCACGAACTGGTTCAGGCTTTCAGGGCATAGAGAGGGTGTTCAACTAATCATTATTATGGACTATGGGAATGATACCCAGCAAGATACGGGCAACTAACTAATCTATTCCTTTTTTCTTTTCATGGCTCCATTGTTGATTTCAACTCTACTAAGGACTCTTAAGTATCTGGACATGTGCTATTGCCTTAGAACTTGGGAAGCCACCTTGCAAAGTAGGAGATTGGCTGATGATGAACTCGACCGGCATGGCCAAAAGCCAACACTATCCCATGTCCCATGTGAGAATGCGGTTCAACGAACAGGCACACTGTTCCCAGACCCTCCATACCTACACATACCCTTTCCACGCCCAGATCTTCTCTTTATACACTAGCTGCCTCTGTGACCGACCACTGAATGTACCATTCACTTGGAAGCCGTGCAAACAGGATGGTCAGGCTCGTTGGAAAGATGGAATCCCTCGGGTACAGCTATACCATTCTTCTCTTGTTCTGGGCCATTCGGCTTCCTTCTCCCAGTTCCTTCCCTCGACATCGATGATCCTACGCGTCTCCATTCATCAACCCTCGGTCGCCGTCTTGTCCAGGCGTACTGTCCATCACCTACTTAATTCCCACATGTTTCCTCTCTCCCAAGAGCAGCGATTTCTATATACCCTTCACTCCCAAACTGTTGGAAGCACTTCAGATCGATAAGAAGAGAACCAAACACACCCCCCCATACAGAAGAGAGTATTCGAGCCTTCCACCACAAGGGGGCCCCTACAAACTTCTCATCATGGCCGATTCATCTCGCCCACGTGAAGATCGGGCCCAACCGAGCAACGCCGACTCCTCAGACCGGTCCGCACCTTTCTCCCCTAGTGCCGTTGTTGTTATCCCCCTAACTAGTAGTAGACAACCTCGTCGTGGCATTTTGCCCGCCATCCTTCGACGCGGCTTTTGGTCGAGATTTTTCGCTACTCGGCAGCCCTTCGAGGCACCGGATTCGGTTTCTGATTCGGATTCAGATGGCGAGGACCAGTACGAGGATGCTGTCGATACGCTTAAGAACGGCGAGAGCATACCTGAGCCCAATAACTCTAGAGGCGACAATAACAGCACGTATTCGCGGTCCTCGGACGGTTCATCTGGTGAATCGAACCGCTCTGATTGGAGCTACACGCAGCCATTTCAACCAACTGCTACTCACGATCAGCATTCCCTAGCCACGCGCCTCTTCAACGTTGATCCGCCCGAGCGGCTTCTTAACGGGGAGACGTGGCAAGTCGTCGAAGGTCGTGCGCATTTGCCTCACGGATATCAGAATGGAGATGGATCCACCAACACCAAGGGAACTTACCGCAGGGTGAGGGATGGCATTGCGAGCGTTGGTGGTAGGATTGAAGGTGCTGGACGACGCATCGCCGGAAACTTGTCAATGAGTAACCTGAGCGGACTTGCGAATGGTATTAGACGTGGTAATGTTAGGCGAGGACGGCCTGGCGACTCGACTCCCCGAGGCTCTCGACGGGTGGAGCGAAGACCATATAAAGATGAATCTAGCTCTGAGGGTGATGTCTCGCCTCGGCCTCGTTGAAAATGGCACATGGAGCCGGGGAAATGCACTCGATTGTCTAGTTTTTCGACCACTGTCACTTACCTTTTTCACTCTTTCCTCTTGGGCGTCTACAAATCGGTTATGGAAGGGTTCATGAGCACTTCATTTTTGCAGGCGAAAAATTTTTTTTTTTTGCCCTCTTTTCTTTTTTTCCTGCTTCTGTTGTACAGAGAGCATCAACGATGAGATACCAATGAAGTAGAGCCAGGTTTATGGCGTACATGATTTTCTTTCATATCCTCTTACAAGTTTCATACAAACGAAAAAAGCTCGTTTCTCCTAGTGAAGTTTCTAGTTCCAGCTTATGTTTCTCCAAACAAGAAGAGACCCTTCTTCCCCCTAAACCCCTCCAGACCCTTCTGAGCCGCCTCTCTCAAAACTTCCTCCTCCGTCTCCCAGTTCCACTTGACCTCCTCAACAGGCGCATCATGGAACTTGCCCTCCCGCATCAAATCAAGCAGATACTCGATCGAGTACTTCCTTCCCGCAGGATCCTTCTTATTCCACCTTGTAAGCCAGAAACCAAGGAACCGAATATCCTTGAAAATGAGCGCCGCCGTAGGCAGCATGACGGGCTGCTTCGCCATTCCTCCATAGGTGACCATGGCACCTCCTTCGGACAGCGAGCGCGCGATGCTCGTCGCCGATTTTCCGCCCACGCAGTTAAGACCGAGATGTACAGGGTCGCGTCCGTGGTTCGTAATCTCCTGCAACCGCTCCCTCCAGTCGCGCGTGAGGAACTCGGACTCGGTGACGACAACATCGGCACCGAGGTCCTTGAGCTCCTTGCGCAGCGCCTCCGTCTCCTCGGGGATCTCGCGGTCGCGGATGACGTTGATGCTCCTCAGCCCCCAGATCCGACCGAGCTGAATAGCAGCTCGTCCGACGCCAGAGTTGGCGCCGTTCTGGATGAACCAAGCACCACTTCCGGGCTCGAGATGGTTCATGGGCAAACCCTCCTTCACCCCCGCGACGGGCCCGAAAGATCGAAGGAGTCGGTACGCCGTGCAAGGGTTCACGCTCACCTGCGCCGCCTGCGTAGGTGTGAGTCCCTCCTTGTTAATCTTGAGAAGCGTGTCAGCCTCGACGAGCGCATGGGTCCTCCAAGTGCCGAAGCCAGATGACGCGGGGAGCACCCAGTCACCCTTTTCGAGACCTGTGGAACTCGAGCCGGTGGAGACGACTTCGAAGACGCCTTCATTGCCGGGGACGGCAGCGGGAGGTTGGGTGCCCAGCTCGGAGGTGAAGGTGGGCTTGGCGCCGTAGGTGCCTTGGATGGTGTTGATGTCGGCGGGGTTTATGGGGGCGGCGAGGGCGCGGACGAGGACGGAGGTGGAGGGGATGGAGGGGGAGATGGAAAACCTGTGGATTCTACGGGGGAGATATGTGAGTTAGTTTTATGAATATAGTTGACGAGTTCGAAGGTAGGGAGAGGAGATAAGTGACTTACCGGAGGACATCGTTCGGCTCTCCGTATTCAGAGAAGACGAGGGCTTTTGCTTGCGTATATCCGTATGGGCCGGACAGCCATCTTGCCTGGCTCGGTAGACGTCCTGCCAGTACCCGAGCGCACGACTTGGATAGCGTCGGCCGCAAGCTCGAGCCGGACATGATTGATCGGGCTACCATCGTGACCGGGGCGTTCGTTTTCGTGTACTCTTCCGGAACGTTGATGGAACGCGGAATTCGACGACTTATTCGCCCGCTGGTCCGGATAGAGTTCAATTGGCTCTTGCCGGCCGCTCTTAGCTCAACAAAGTTCGCCTTGGAAAGCCCTCGATGACTCGTAGTAGGTCGAGCTAGTTCGATTGAATTGCTCTCGAAAATTGGCAGCACGAGAGGGTGACAAGGCGCTCTCAATCCGAACAGGATCTTGTCTCCAGAGCTTCTTGCTTCCGATGACGTTTTTGACTGGACAGACGGAGCTACAAGTTACCTCGGATGATAGCTAGAACCCAGCAGTGGTCCACAAGTGCTACCAACTGCCCATACAGTAATGAACTTGTTTCCCAACTTTGACGCCACCCCAAAAGTTGCACCCACCACCACCATTTTTGGAAGTGAAACTGGTAACGGAGGTGGGCCAAAGCAAGCCACCGGCTCGTTCCCGATTCGGCTCCACGAACCTCCTACACCACCACCATCAACCATCTCTCTGCATCCTGCATCAACTGACGAATCCCGTCCCCCCTCCCTTTTTGAGGACAAAAATATATTAAAAAATTTTACCTTAGTATCCCACCTCCCTTAAAGCGGCCCCCCCTTCTCTCAAAGAATGAGGTCTTTTGGATGGTTGGGCAAACCATAGCAAAAGAAGAGGCCAAAGCGCAGCGTGACCGGGAAAGTGACTTGAAAGGAGGCATTTTGTTTGTTTAATGGTGTTTGTTGGCCCGTTTAGAATGGCAATGTACTTTGGCGACTTAATTTATGCCGCAGGGACGGGCTACAAGTTTAGAGGTGAACTAAGACGCCACGACAGTATAATAGATAGCACCATAGCGGGGTCGCTCACGAAGCTTGGTTTCCTATGCTTGTCCTTACCAGTGCATCTCGGATGAAAACTACCGAGTACTGCACGAAGATCTGGATCTTGCTGGATCCCAAGTCCACGAGCTCCACGACGGAGAGTGGATGCGCTACGTCGTTGAGAGGGGGAAAGATACTCACCCTCGGTCGAGGAGCCCGCTCAGGAACCTACGGGTGCATTATCCAACCCCATGGAAGAGCTCCATGCTTAAGAGCTGAGAAGAAGAGTACTGCATCAAAGAAGAAAGATCACCATTTCATGAACACGGAGAATCGGATCGGTGAAGACAATACACAACAGTTCAAGATTGTAACAAGATGTATCCTCCACCAGGCTACTTTTAATTCCACAACCATTGCTGCGTCTGATAGGAAAAAAAGTCGAAATATAAACCTCCCGGCTCGACGGCGGCACCCAGGTAGCTTTGAAAGAATAGGTACAGGAGATGAGAACAAAAAGAAATGAGCGTGTTGGTTGTAGCCAATGCCTGTAACTTTCTCCCTCGGAATGCCGTCCTCGGTAGACCCAACATCGGATACACTGCGGATATCTATCGGTGCCAACCTGCACCCTATAGCATCCTAGTCCTTCTTCTCGATTTGCCAAAGGTTCGCCCCTGACATGTCGGAGTATGATAAAGATAATTCTAGGGGGAGGGGTCAAGCGGCTGAGGAATGGTACAAGGCGAGATGGTGGACAAAAAGGAGACAGAGACGGATAGACAGGCTGAGCGGACGGCGTTAATAGAATGCTGCGTAAGATTCGGTGGTATAATGATAATCCGCAGGCGAAGAAACGGAACAGCTTCGAAGTAGGGCCTCGCTCGTTGGTGAAGTAGTTATGATGAGTAAAATAAAGAAAACACAAGCAACAGATTGGTCATTACAATATCTGTGGAAGTGACAGAGAGTCACACAGGGGTATTTGAAGGGGGGGTAGGTATAGGTATCAATGGTAAGACACTGGGTATAGACGAGACGAAGGAAATCGTATCAAGATGGGTTATGGCGAAGGGGGGTTGGTAATAGATCGGAAAGCCTCAGTCGAGTATCGCAGAGAAGAGATACGACATCAGTTTCCTTCGGCCAAAGGTCTATCCAAAAGAGGACCCGTTTCCAAGCCTCTCTCATACAAGGGATTTCCAATAGCCAGTGTCGTTCGAGGCGAACGGCAAGAATTATGGTGGTCTCGAGTAAAAGTATCGCCATATGCCAACCTTTCCAACTCTTGGGTCAAAAGGAGAATAAGAAAACAGGCGTGAAGGGAAGTCGAAGGGAAAGAGAGAAGTAAAGAAGGGTTCAGGAGAAATGGGTAGAGGAAAAGAAAAAAAAGAATCAGGACATTCCGACCAGAAGGAGTGTGACGGGACTCTTTAGACAACCACTCAGCCTTGTGGCTCCTAATGCCCTCGTGAGATTGCACAAACACCAACACTCCATGCGCATGTATTATCAGCCGACTCGTAGACGCTCACAACTTCCAAACATCGTAAATGAAAGGCAACTCGCCCCTCTCCACTCTCGGGCTACTTGATGTTCTTGAAGAGATCCTCGCCGCCTAGGCTGCTGGAATCGCCTAGGTCCAGTTTGGTGCTCAGCGCGCTCAGCTCCGGGATCATCGGGGGTGGGGGGCCTTGGGGCTTCGTAGCGTCCTGGTAGAGGCCGCTGGATCGTTTCGAAGCGTTGTCCAGAGCTCCTCCGGATCTTAGGCGCCTGAACCAGCCGCTACTCCGTTTCGCCTTCTTTTCGTCGAGGATGCTGGCATTACTTCGACTTCCGGGCCGGACGCCATTCGCAACGCCATTACCATTGGCTTGGGATTCACCTTCCTCATACGTGTTATTCAAAAGAGTTCGGCTAAACAGTCTGCGGATGCTGCCTTGTCTGCTAGACAGCGCGGGGGATAGGGGAGTATCGTCGGCCGGTCGCTTGGTGCCTGCAGTCACAATCGTACCATTGATGTTATCCTTTTGGGACTTCGATGGCCCTTCTGCTCCATTTCCATTCGCGTTCGCGTCGTTGGGTCCCTTGTTCTCCTTGTTGGCGTCGGTTGCCGGCGTCCTCGGAGGGGTGGGAACTTCCAGAACGGGGGATGGCAGAGGGGGAGGAATATCGGTTCCTTCGGTCAGTGACCCGAACTTGAATTCGAGGGCCGGAAGTTCGAATTTCTTCGACTTTGACGCCGAACCAGGCGCAACCGTCCGCGTAGTCGAGGTCGACATCGTGGCCTAGGGGGCGTGTATCGGCTCACGTCAGGGACCAATTCGATTGTTTGGGTGGACCCAGTACCGTGATGAGGAAGGGAAGTCCGGCGAACGAGGACCGAGCCCAACAAAAGTAATCCCGGGTAGGACGAGTAATTGGCCTTGGGGTGGTCAATGGCAGAAGGCTCTGACGTCAATCCAAGAACGGGATGAGAACAGCTTCGATTCGAATTCGAGATGATTTGTTTTAATATTGTCCGCGCGGAAACGGGGATAAATGAAAAGAAACCGAAGAGAAAGTGGTGTGGAGGTAGCCAGATGCTATTAAAGTGACTGGCTGGGTACTTGCGAGGGTTGCGAGGGCACTCGGTAGATTAAACGATGCGACTTCAGAGAGGGTACCGCAAGGTACGGTACTCGGAAAAGCTTAGTGGTTCGTTCCCCTGGATCAAAAGTGTCGCGGTCGCGATGTCCCTGTCTTCGGAGACAACTCAAAATGTCGAGTACGAGGTAGTTTGAGATGGCCCAAAACCTCTTGCGAGAGAACAGGAGAAAAAAAATATGTGGCCGTTTGCGTTTTCTAGAAATGCGATGCACACAATTGATCGATTGCTCGCTGGCGATGTACCTCGTACGTTCTCGCCGAGATGGGAGAAGCTGCCTGGCTCTGGAGTTCGTGGTCGACTGTACCCTTGCGTAATTGTGGCGTTGGCGATCGACGACCAGAACTGGTCTGGTCAGGACAGAACGGGCAAAGTCAATTCTTGTACCTGGTTTCTGAAAGGCTGGTGTCGAGGCACGGCGGAGATTTGCTGGTAATAATTGTAGTAATATAAAAAATTGAAGCTCCAACGTTGTAGTATTGAATGTTTCACACAACGCAGCACAACAGTCGTACTTCGTAGGTGTGTCCACAGGACAGGGCAGGAACAAAGATGCACCGCGTAGTATAGAAGCACGGGGGCATGGGGTGTCTCGATGTCTTAAAGCCTTAAGCTGTCGTGTGGTTTAGGCCTTGGATGTTGAGGGGGATTGGAGAAAACACAAAAGGGAACCGAGAGAGGAAGGTGGAGAAGTACTCCGTACCAGAAGAGGTATTACCAGCCTCCAGATCAAGTCTGGGCAAGGCGGTACATGTGTACAGAATATCTTCGGACACTACCAGAAGTAGTACACGACGAAGCTACAAAGTACGAAGTACATAACTTTGGACATCGATTACTTCCGTCGTGCATGCAGGTAGCGCGGACTCCTTTGACAGACACCAGCCAAACCTGCAGGCGGGCTGATTTAGCGTACCGTAACCTTTGGCAACTGATGGCGAAACATCAATTCATCGTGAGGGCAGGTACGCAGCATTAGTTGTAAGTACGAAGTACCCCAGTATTATTTGAATTTTTTCCTCCCTCCCCTTCCCACTTCGTCTGCCTCAGCACTTGGTCCATGGGTTGGACCGATAGGTACTTCGAACCTCCTACCTGTGGAGAGGCAGTCAACATCAATCACTCGTCTATCAAACTACCTCTCTTCTTCTTCCCCCTCGACTGTCTTCTACGAAGCACTGATATCATCGATCAAACTCTTCAATGGGGTTGGCGTGGACTTGACCTCTTCCGCAGTGTCCGCACAGGAAAAAAATTTAGTGCTCCTCTATGTATACTACATGCCAACCTCCCTTACGGGTCTTCCCCAACGATCCAAGGCGATTCAATGGACGACTGTTCAGGTAATCCTGCGTAAGTTGCTTGACTAAAGCTGCAATAGGACCACTGATGGGACGAGCCCTAAGCCAGTCGTTGGTGGTCGCGGTTCAAGCCAGTCCACTCAGGAGGCGAATAATGGCTCCTGCTATAGCCCACCCGAAATCCCCCTATTCCCCTATCTTGGATTTGAGCTTTTACCCCTTACTTCGTGCGCCCCTCGCCGGAAAACTAAGATTCGTGTTTGCACGTTCTGAAGTAGCACCAAAAAAGGTAGGAATTATAAAAGTGTTTCGTAAGCCCGTCCGCCCATCGGAAGCCGGGTCGACGTTTATTGATCCGTCCATTTTTTTCCCCTCTCCGAAGGATCGGAGGAGTTTCCTTGGAGCTAGTCACGAGCAGCGAGGAATGGCTTGTCTGCCATACCCTCAGACTGCCCATTCCAGATGCGGGATGATCTGTGCAGGACAAGCCCGGCTGGACAGACGGTGGGCGCCACATGGATGCAATGGTCGGCCGTTTATGGGAACTGCCGGTGTTCTCGAAAGCTCCAACGCGAGCTTTGGTCCGTTGCGTTGAGTCCGGCCGGTTCATCCCTCAAAAATCCCACCCTGGGCGCATGGAGAATCTCTGGCGGCGTACTGCGGGATGAGTCCAGATATTATGCGACCGAACCAAGGTCTAAGATCTCAAGGCATGACTGTTCGTCTGCAAACCCTTGTTTCTGACTCCGCAGACGACTGCATTGTGCTTCATAACGTCGTTGTGTACCATTTCATATGGAGACCTGCACTCATTCAGTTACCTCAGACATTACTTCGTACTTCGCACGTAGTATGGACCTGTGCTCCCCATGTCTTGCCGCTCCTCAGTCCTCTTTTAGATTCAATACATACATGAGAGACCCTTGTCTAGGAAGCTGTACTGTGTCGTACCGCTCCAGTAGCTTGGTAGAAGGTCACAGTCGCCGAGGAAAAAACCCAAGCCCCACGGATGTCAACTTTCCAGCCCGACCACAGCTAAAGATGTCTTAGAATAGGACGGCGATGGCATATGAACCGGCGATGAAAATGCCCTAAACAAAGAAATCTGGGTTCAGTCCGACGGGCAAAATACAGGGCGAACCTAGAGCCTGACTTATCAGATTACCATGCAGTCGGCTTGTTGCCCGGCAGTCACTGGGTTCCAGTATCAAATAACGGGTGGTACTGAGAGGGATTGGCGAGGAAAAAAAAAATACGCAGGTCTCCGTTTAGTTTAAGTGAACCAGATAGAGGTAACATAGAAGCGGTTCATAAAGAAGGGTATGAATATTCTTAGTATGCTTCACATCCGAATAACAGGTGCGCATACGCACATCCGCTGAGCTTCCCGAAAACGAAGCGCGAGTACATATTGCTCTCAGCCCCAATCTTCCCCCACTCACCGAGCCGCGTCGTTCTCGCCGGTTGACGAGAGAAGCAGAAACTGTATCATGAAATCCTCCATCCGCACCTTTCAGCAACGCGGCCGGGAACATGAAGGCGCTTTCTGCAGTATCCAGCCCTTCCCAAACTCAAGATCCCAGAGTCGAGCCATCTACGTATCATTTCTGCGGCTCGGCATACTTCTTGGTCCACTCCTTTGCCGTTTGAATAGCAGCTTGCTCGTCCTCCTTCCAACTCTTGGCTACGTCAGCGGCTAGTGGGTCATCGGGATTAGGCGCACCGAGGAGCGCTTGGATCGAAAGAAGGATCGTGCGAATCTGGAGGGCCGGAGACCAGTTATCTGCAACAGGAACCATTATGTTAGCGCGAGGATGATTCAAGGAAAAGTTCCGAATCCATCAAAGGGCGCGCAGTACTTTTCAGGACATCCAAGCAGATCCTTCCCAGCTTATCAACGTTGGGGTGGAAGATTTTTGTGAGGAACCGAATCTTGGGTGGGGTCATAGGATAGTCGTCGGGAAGGAACAGCTCGAGCTTGAAAACACCTCCTGCTTGGCCGTTAGGACTTCGTCATAAGTCACCCTAAGTATTCAGCGCATCACCGACCTTCGTAGGGCGACTGTGCAGGACCGTGGATCTCGACGTCGAAATATCGAAGGTTGTCCTCATGAGGGACCGCACTGATTCCTGGAACGCTATACCGATATGACCACTAGTTAGTTCTGGGAAGGGGGTTTAGCGGAGTTGGAAGGTCCCAAGGACGTACGGCTCCTTTTGGAGACGCTCAGTCTCCTTGATAATCCTCTTCGGCAGCGCCATGTTGCCTCGGCCCTGGGATCGTGGAACTAAACTATCTGACAACTCTAAAACAACGACAGTGCTCCCGGATTAGATTCCAGTACTTTCGACTTAGGAGTCGACGAACACTCGGGGACTTGGGGCGAAATGAGGGTTGAGGCTGGGCTAAGACGAGGCTGAAGGATGGCGTCGCGGGGTAGCAATGAGACACGAGGGACAAGGGAATGGCAAGGAAGAAGGCGGGGGTCTGGCTGATGTTCGGAATCCGCCTGGAGTTTCGGAAGGGAGGGAAAGGATGCCGGCGCAAGAAACTAGGCTAGATCAAATGATGACTGATTTGATGTAAAGTATTAACTGGTCGAAGACTAGAGAGAGCTCACAAACTTCAGGGTGGGTGGGTAGAAACCAACTGCAATCAATGATGCAAGAATGGAGGGGTTAATTCACTTTGTCTGACCAGAACCCCAAACCGCTTTCACAGAAGGCAAGTGGAACGACAGACCAAGAAATTGACCGGGGTGTTTGGTGAATTCCAAGGTCAAGACCAGCTGCTTCAAGGCGGGCCAACATCAATGGAGCTGCAATTTAGTGAGCGACTGACCTATACACCCACTAAAGACTTGAGACTGGAGGGGAATTCAGGCTGCTGCTTTGGGGTGTTCAGCCTGGCACTATAAGTACATCAAACTTTGGGTTGACAGATTGATGACGATTATTGAAAAGTACTCATTAACTAAATTTATATGGCGTGATACTTTCCCACTAACATTAATCTTGACACTCGGCTTTCATTCAATCAAGATCCAAGCTCAGCTGCGTCGCACGACAACTTGGATGACAATGGCACACTCAACTTCTAGCTCGTCTCATCTCATCTCATCAACAGTCGCTTAACCTCATCCCCAGGCCCACTTCGGTTACACCTAATCCAAGAGTTGCGCCAAACGTCCTTGGACTACATCGAGTCGAACCTCGCGTGACTCGACAACGGCTGAATTTGCGCCATCTCTTTCTCGAGACTACGCCAAGGAGTAAGAGTGGCTGGAGATGAGGCCGACTCATCCAAGCTTCGCGAACGATGCCGCTCCTCTCCTCGGACCTAGGCGACGTGTCGAAAAAGAGGAAACCCATCAAGTCGGCTTATGAAAGTGCCACTTTTGACCATGACATGACCATTCATGTCGATGGCAAGGTTGGTTCCGCAACGATTTCACCTTGCGGACGGGATGTCGCTCTTGCGTCGTAAGTGGCTCTCCATCTTAACACAGCCCAACCCCAAAGCTAATGAGTCCGTTCATCATTCGGCTAGCCCTGATGGCCTTGCTATCATTGACCTAGACGACCCGTATAATCCTCCCCGTCGCTTGAGAAGCCATGGCCTTCCTTGGCTCGTTGTAGATGTGCAATGGTCTCCTTTTTCTGCCCGCGACTACTGGGTCGTATCAACAGCGAATCATCGCGCCCTCGTCTGGAATCTCAATCTCAGGGATGACTCGCCCTCAGGCGCTATTGAGCACTCTCTCAGAGGACACAACCGAGCCATCACAGATGTCAACTTCTCCGCACATCATCCAGACTTCCTCGCTACTTGCTCAGTCGACGGCTACGTGCACTGCTGGGATCTACGGCGACCTAGACAACCAGTCGTTACCTTCTGTGACTGGTTTTCGGGTGCAACGCAAGTTAAGTATAATCGCCAGGACCCTCATATCCTGGCATCGTCACATGATAGATGGCTTCACATCTGGGATGAGCGACGGCCTAGCGAGCCGCTGCGGTCTATCTACGCCCATAACTCCAAGATTTACGGCATTGATTGGAACCGAGTCCAGCGAAATGCTGTCGTTACGTGTTCGCTAGACAAGAGTATCAAGTACTGGGATTATAGTCGACACGACGACGTTCCGGAGCGGGTAATCAGGACGGACTTTCCGATATGGAGAGCACGGCACACGCCATTCGGCAACGGCCTCCTTGCTATGCCGCAGACCGAGCCCGGGGACCTATATCTCTATCACAACAAACGGCCCGCGGAAGCCCCTCTCGACGGCAGAGCTGAGCCCGCCGCCGTATTCCCCGGCCATGGCAACCACAAGGTTAAGGAATTCCTATGGAGAAGCCGTGGAGGAGTCAGTGATGAGGGCCGCGATGAGCGCGAATTCCAGCTCGTGTCCTGGGGAGCTGACAACCAGCTTCGACTCCAAAGCATCGACGCTAGTACATTCAGATCTGTCGGCTACGTCAAGGGTGCCCCGGTTCAAGAAAAACTCAACATCACTCGTAAAGGCGCTGCGTACAAGACTTTTCGGTCAGTTGGGGGAGAAGGCCACCGCGACCGGAGGGACGCGACGATGAGTGACTTGAAGCCCTCTACCACGACCAGCAAAAATTACCAGAGCGCTCTTACTATGGGTATGAGGACGATGCCCATCAACCGACATAGGATAGGTGCCTCGTGGAGGGGAACGTCAATGACGGCCAAATCATCCAATACGAGGGACCTCAAAGGCAGCCTTGCACAAATTGGCTGGATGAAGGGTGTCACTATGACCAAACGGAAGCCTTCCGGTGAGGATTCCCAAGGGAACCAACAGGGTGCTAAAGACCCGTCCTCCCTATTTGGCCATGGCTATCTTAATGATGAGTGGGGAGAACCTGAGACAATCCAGGAAGAGGTGCTTCGCATAAGCCAGCAATTACCGAAAGTGAAATGGGAGTCGATTAACATGGAGACTTTAACACTCGAGGCATCCCTGAACGGACCCTGGGGTGTGGGCGGAGCGTCCATCTTCTTCAAAGTTAAAGTTGATATCCCATCCAATTACCCAAAATCCAGGGCGCCGAAGTTTACTATCGAGAAGACGTCGCTTATGCCCCCCGCAACTCACAAACGGGTCGAAAGCGATATATCTAAACTCGTGCAAAGATTTCTGGAGAAGAAGCCAAATTGCCTGGATGTGGCATTTTCTTACCTGCTTGGAGATATTGACCTCGAATCCAGCACGTCATTCTTCAAGAATGTGAAAGATCTGGAAGACGGCCTGGACGGGCTTGCGGATGAAAGTTCCAGCGAGGATGAAGACAATGACATTCCCGCAGGCGGCTCGGCTTCCATGTCCCAAGAGTTGACATCTAGCGTCGTAGCCGAGAATTCACTTGCTCCGACAACGCGAATGCCCATGCCGCCACCTCCTCGTGTGTGCGGTGCTCGCTTCTCCCATGATGGGCGTCTTGTATGTTTCTTCCCTACCAAAGAGGAGAAGATGAAACTTCTCTTCGCGCCACTGGACCCCGCAGCCGCTGTCGCCAGGGATAGACCCAAGGACGAACCTGTGTTTCCCGGGTTTGGCAGACTTATCCAGGAATCTCCACTCCGGCACCGCTATGCACAAGAGGATACGTCAGCCACAGAGGACCAATCCGAATCGGATGACTTGGCAAGCTCGTCGACTTCTTCGAGCGACTCTGAGTCTACCTCGATGCACAAGTCCGGTCTCTGGTATCACCCCGGCCGTTCTCTACGCAAAACCTGGAGTGAAAGCCGATCCATTCGTTCTAGCGGCGGAGGAACTGGCGTCGGGACAGGAACCGGAACCGGGGCTAGCAGAAAGCGTCTGAGCCGGCCCAAAAGTATTATTTCCGTCCATGACCTCCGTGGTGACCTACCTTCCAAGAAGGAGTTTGCACAGGAGTACCTTATTTTCGGAGACGGTGCCAAGGTGTGCAGCCATAATGCCAAGGTAGCTGAAAAGTACGGCCGCCATGACTTGGTTGATATCTGGAAATACGCAGCTCTCCTGTTGAGGAAAGGAATTCCGCTTGACCTCATACATCAGGAAACTAGTCACGAGTCTGTTCTCGTTATCGCACGCGACGTTATGACGAGGCTTCACGAGATGGAGGATGAAGACTCGGAGTATTCAACATCGCCTGACAGCGGGAGCGGGTTGGTCGGCCGAGTGAAATGGGGCTCTCACCCTCTCGCCCTGGCTTTCGTCAAGGACTTGTTTGCCTATTTTGAGCAACAGGCCGACGTTCAGATGCTAGCTATGCTGTCGTGCATTTTTAGCGAGGCGTCCACTCAAGATTCGGTGGCCTACATTGATTCTCATATTACCCAACCCGAAACGCCTCTCCCATTAAAGGCGCCGTCATTTTCGCTAGATTATTTCCCTGCAGATGCAGGCTCCTTCCATGTTCTGCCACACGGGCCACACGGTCATGGGCACGGTCATGGTCGCAGCCAGACCAGCTCGGCCATTCACACACCGAAAACCATACACACTCCGGTCCGCTATTCCGGCTCCCAAATATCAGACGACGGACTTTGGGCCGGCGATCCCGGGTCCAACTCTTACTCATGTGGAGAAACGCCGCCAACGAAAGGCGCGCGGGACTACTTGGGGGACGTAGATCAAACGCAGAGCCTCTCGTCGTCGCCCAACACTCGGCCGTTCAAGAGAATGAATTCAGCCCTGGCGTCGAGCATCGCCGCCAACTTTTCTCGTCCATTCGCGAACTCGACGTCTTCGTCGCCACCAAGTCAAGTACGGAAACGGCCTAGCCCGGCGGAAGCGATCCTGGGCAACCTCGCGCCTGCCGGCATCGGAGGAATTACTTGGGGCGGCTCAACGCTCCTGGGAGATTCAGGCGGAACGGCGAGGACGTCCATGTCCGATGATGACTTTAGGGAGGAGCTGCTTCCCTTGGTTCCCATCCAAGTCGCCATAGCGGTAGAGGATCAGGCCATGTTCGACGACGATGGATGGCTCGTTGTGCCGTTGCTGGACCCCACGGAAAGTGCGATGCACGCGTGCTACCGCTATGCGTACGCCGAGATGCTGCACATGTGGGAGCTGCCTCTGGCACGGCTGGAGGTCATGAAGTTTAACTTTTTGAAGGGGGGCAATGCCACCCTTCACAACAGCAGCAGCAGCAACTTGGATGGCGGTAGCCACGCGTCCTTTATTACCGCTGTTGAGGTCACCGCCGCATCGCCCAGTACGCACGTTCACCCGCCGTCGCCTATAATGCTAGGTAAGAAGGAGCAGCTCCATGCCCTCATAGCTTCGGGCCGCGGACTAGACGTTACCGGCGTATGCCGGATCCACGAAACTCAATTGGAGCCTCTCGAATACACGTCGTCCACAGAGCCGCACGTCGGCGGCGCTGTGGGCACGTGCGATCGATGCCGCCGCCAGCAGAAGCAGCTGCGTTGCGTCTACTGCCTCGAGCCCGTGGACGCGCTCTACCCTCCTTGCCTCTCGTGCGGGTGCGCTAGCCACGAGACGTGTCTGGCGGAGTGGCACGCCGCGGGCGAAGTTATGTGTCCAGCAGGCGACGAGTGCAACTGCGTCGAGGAGGCGTCGCATGGGCAGGTGGAAACGTGGGCGGCCATGATGGGGGCTATCGGGAGGCACAAGAAGCGGAGGAGCTCGGCGCTCACCGCGATTGGCACCATGGTCCCGCCTCCCGGCGACGCCGAGCACAGCGACGGGGAGGATGGTAGACCGAGCGGTGGCGGGAGTAGCTCCGGGTGGGAGAATGTGGGTTCGGCGGCGGGGATACCGTCGCGGCCGCATGGTAGCGTGACGTCGCCGGCTAAGATTAGCCTGGGGAATAGGCTGAAGAAGTCCGCGGGCGATTGGGGCCGCGGGTCACATTTGCGGAAGAATGGAAGTGGGCAAGGCCGAGGCGGCAATGGGGGCAGTGGGGGCGGAGGGGGCGGAAGCAATCCGAAGAGGAAAGGGGCATGATCCGGAGTGTGTAGGAGAGATTGGTAATATCATTGCGTATCTACGGGGCATGGAGCTGGGGAAAGGTGAATTTGGACTTTGAGGATAGATCATGACGGGGTCAAGATGTTCAGTTGTAAGCTCTTGTATTAGCTGCGAAGCAGACAGACAGTGTAATCCATATTCGTGTATAAGTTCGACGCTGCCTTTTCCGCATTTCTCCATCGAGAGAAGTTTGGCCGAGCAGAGCCTAGACGGAAGGACCAACGAATCGCCCTCCCGTCCGCGGCTCAGGAAAGGAGTCATATGCTCTCTTCCCGTGCTTGTTCAAGGGAGAGCAAGGGTTAGTGGCCCCGAATCCAAAGCAAGGTGAATAACTAAGTGGTCGGGAGGATCGTGCCAGCCGAGCTGCAGTTTGCGTCGCGTATCCGTTCGGAACGAACTGCCTCGACCTTCTTTTTTTTTTTTTGCCTTTCGTTTTCGTTTCCCTCTCTTCTTTTCTCTCCCGTCCACTCGCCGCCCCCATTACTTCGTACTCTCGGGGGCATCAAGCGTGGGGAAGTGAAGCTGCTCGTCTCATTTTGGTAAACGGAAAATAGGTTAGCTTGTATGGGGCCAACTAACGAGCCCTGCTTCCAACAGCCCACAAGAAGGGAACAAGGGCTGATGGTCTAGTGGTAGTAAGTTCTCATCCGCCTCTCGTCTGTTCGACGCAGCAAGAAAGCGAATTTCGTTTCTAACGTTCTCATCAATAGTGATTCTCGCTTAGGGTAACACCCAATGCATCGGTTGCGAGAGGTCCCGGGTTCAATCCCCGGTTGGCCCCCATCCTCTTTTTTGGAGATTTTTTTCTCTCTTTCTTTTGTCGCCCTATTTAAACGGGGAATCCCTTAAATTCCTTTCTTTGGTAGCAGTTTGTTTCATTTTGTGATATTGTTCTCGTGAGCTTGAGGTCGGGCGTGTCTGTAAATGCGTCTTGTATTTTCGTTTGCAAGAAAGGAAACCTCAACGATGATGGAGAGGATTGATATTGAAAAGGTGGCAAAAAAAAGATGAACCGCAGAAACATGAGACTGGGATCCCCCGTTCAACACGAAAGGGGAAGCCGTTAACCGAAGAGATAGAGGAGAATGGAGAGAAGAACAGAAAACCACAAGCACGCAACACACTCCGCCTACCCAGACAACAGCCACTTCAGCCCATCGACCATCTCCAACTCAGCCTCCAACGCCCTCTCCAGCTCCGGCACCAGCAACCAAAACGTATGCGGCCACCCCTCAACCACCCTCACCTTGACCTCGACCCCCGCCTCCTCGAGCGCAATGGCATAGCAGACCCCGTCGGAATACAGCGTATCATTCGTGCACACCTGTATCCACGTCCTCGGCAGTCCCTTCAGCACCTCCTCATCAGCCTCGAGCGGCATCCTCGCGAGCCCATCCCTCGGAACGGCCCTCTTCATGAAACCCCCCAACGACGTCACGAAGGCCTGCGTGGCGCTCTTGTGGTACTGCCGCAGCCGCTCGGGAACGTACTCCACGCCGCTGAACACGTCGCTCGTGACGGGGGACCGCAGGAGCACGCCGTCAACGGATCCCCTAGGCGCCATCTGCGACACGTGAGCGGCGAGCTGGCCCCCGCTGGAGGATCCGATGACGACTAGTTTTGGTTTGTTCCCGACGAGTTGCCGGACGGTTGAGAAGCCGTCGTAGGCGTCCGAGACGCACACGCTGGCGAAGTACTCGGGCATGAGCCTGTAGCCGACGGAGTAGACTGCGTGGTTCTCCCCTGCGAGTACTAGTCTTCGGCAGGAGGGTTCCTCGCTGTCGACTTCGCCTACCCATAGGCCTCCGCCGTGGAAGTACACGATGACCACGTCGGGGTCGCTTCCACTGTCCTGCTCGCGCGTGTAAGCTAGGATGGGGATCGTGGCTCCGTCCTTGGTAGAGGTTGCTGTGAGTTGCCTCTTGACGATGCCCTTGGAGAGGTTGTGGTCGCGGGCTCCCGGTGCCATCATGCGCGCGTGTAGGTCGCGGCATTCTTGGGCGTAGGCGAGTTGTCTTTCTATTGCCGTCGGGGCCTCGTAGCTCTTCTTCTTCTTCGGGGCCGCCGGCGTGAGGTGTTCCCTCTCGTATTCTACCCAGGCTGGGTCAAGGGGCGGGGGCCCCTCGATGACGAGAGCCTTTAGAGTATCTGAAGGCATGATGTGGGCTAAGTTCTGCGGCAGGTTCAGTCGGCGATGTTGGAGGGGGATGTGAGAAGAAGGAGGTGAAGAAGATGAAGAACAAGATGAAGGCGAAGGTGTAAAAGATGTAAGAGAAGGAGAAAGGATGGTGGCAATGATCCCTTCTTTATACCGTCTGATGTGTTACCGAGGTCGTGTCTCGGGAAGATCAAACCAGAATCCAGAGATCTAGTCTGCGTCGACGGGAAGGGAGTCCGGGGTAGTGAGGATGTATATATAGATACTGATATCAGACACACCAAGTAAGGTTAGAGATACAGGATACCACTAGATTGAAAAGGACGTTTCCCCAATCATCCGAACCTTGTAGATCGCCAGGATGAGCCGTTTAGGACCAATTTTTCTTTCTTCCCTTTCTTCCCTTTCTTTTCTTTTCTTCCTTTTTTCCCCCCCTCTCTTCTTTCGGTGACCCTCTTCAGCTTGGGCGAACCACTTTCCTGTCCCGCCTCCTCCGCACTCGCACTCGCACTTACACTCACTTTCTCTGTCTCTCTCCTTTTTCAACTCTGTTGCCTCATTACCGCGCGTATCTGAGGAACACAAGAGTCTGGAGGGAGGGGGGCAAAAAAAGAACAAGAAACAAACAAAGTACGAAGCAAAAACCTTTGATCGTGGTTGCGATTTGTTCACCGCCAAAACGCTAATATGGGGAACCCTGGACGGGAAAGAGTGGGTAACGATGGCAAACAGTTCTGTGTTTGGTGAACACTGAACAACGTCGTACGAAGTTTGGCTCGTACAAAGGGCAGGAGAAAAAAAATAAAATAAAATAAAATAAAATAAAAAATGGAGAAAAAGAGACCCCTTTGGTTCCCAAGACCCCGGGGACCTAGAGCTATCTTCCCCCACCCTGTTTCTGTTCTCCATTTATTTATTTATTTATTTTTATTTTATTTTATTTCTATCTCTTTGTCGGTCAGCTTCTTCGAGCTCGTTTCGTGCTGGTTTGTTTGAGAAACGGTGAGCGGCCGGCCGAATTAGATGAGACTAAACTAGGCTAGCCTCAGCTTTGATTGACCACCATGAGCCGGACCTCAGCAGCACACGCCCCTATCGCCCCTCCGGTCCGGGCAGCCAGTAAGCCAGCAAGGGGGGGCGAAGGGTGTAAAGAGAGAGAGCCAGGCGGGGAGGGGCGAGGGTATTACACTACTTCGTACAAGTGGTATGGAAGGCAAAGATCCTAATGACCAGACCGGGGCGACATGGCACCAATAACTTGGAAAACGTGGCTGGCCAGGGGAGTATTCCATTTCTTTTTTCCTCTTTTCCAACTTTTCCTTCTTTCCATGTGCTAATGCTAGGATCTTGCTAGCATGCGTACGAGGATATAATAGGAAGTAGGAAAAGATGAAGACGAGCAGGGGTGTGGAAAAGCCACGAGCGAAGGTCCCAGGGTGGAGGGTGGAAGGAAGAAAAAGGAATGTGACTGGAAAGATGTGAGATATCGCGTCCTTCGCTTCGTATAAACTCCTGAGAACATACTGCCTGCCTACGGAGTACCCTTACACATACACAATCATACAGACATACTTCGTACACACATGCCACATGCCGGCCGCATACTTTGATTGTTCTGGCAGCGCCCCAGACTGTAGCAAGCGCAGACGCACTCATCCGGTTGGTTGTACGGAGTAGATTTGAGGGGTTCGATGGTTGGTTCTGGGCCCTTGGCAGCGTGATGGACGTGAATGTGGCCGTGAATGTAGACGTCAGAGTGGGCTTGGGCGCAATACATACGCATATGCCCGGCCTGATGTGGGCGTCAAAATGTGGGAGTGGGTGGGGACCCGAGGACCAGGTAAACTTCAAACCGGGCTGGTCCAGGTGCAAAAACTCCGGATGGTGGCGTCGTCCAAGTCTCGATCGTGAATCTAGCTATTTCCTGGTTGATACGACGAAAAAGTTGTAAGTGGTGCCAAAAAAAATGCGCAGGTCCAGAGATTCAGCCCCGACTCCGAAAACGAAAAAGAAAAACCAGGAGCATCCGTCATTGATCATTGGATCCAGAGATCAATAACTCCTACGTAATCTAACAATTGGAGACGGACGGGGATCATCGCCCTAGATCCAATCCAATGATAACGTCCAAAGCCTGTGGACACCGACCAGTGACCACCCGCTCGGTGTAGCCCGCCGTATGCACCATGTACGAAGTAATCTGGAGAGGCATGATGAGGCATGATGGGGCACGAAGAGGCACGAGGAGTATGGGGGAAGTCGCAAGTCGCAAGTGATTGATGCGTCGCGTCTCCAATGTTGGCAGTTTACGAGGTGCTGGTCGACATTGGGACCGATTGATGCAGATCTTCAAGGGCCTTCGCGTTCCAGAAGACCTTACAAATCACCGATCCGGATCAACATCAACATCTGACGATAATTGACCTTTTGGTCATGGACTCGTGGTCGAGGTCAGCTTGGAAAAGAAAACCCCGAACCGCCGATGATGCTCGTATTGCACTTCCCGTTTCTCTCTCCTTTCTTCTCTTTTTTCCACTTTTTATTTGTTATTTGTTTCTTCTTTTGATAATCCTATGAAAACAGATTACATAGTGCTTACGGATAGGGCGGGAGAGAAAGAACAAAGACAAGGAACCAGGGCGACCCCGAGAGGGGCTGTTTGGACGGTCGTGCGGTGTGAGCTTAGGCTGAACACCTTCCAAGGCAAGCCTCGCTCCCTAAACTAGAATGGGATGATCGGGAATGAGGTCTTCGACCTTGTCTTCCAAACCCCCCTCTCGATCTCGAAGATAACAGAATCAGCTCGCTCGCCCCTAACACTGGGCTATGCGGTGCCGCCACCAACTTCCCACCACTCGTCGCCTAACCTGACGTAGTGGACCTACGTGACAAGCCGCTGTGATGTGATAGGGTCGTCTCTTGAACTATCCAGCTTGACTCGCCCTGAAGTTAGAGGTAGTTAGAAGCTCCAATGCTGCAGCCAGCCAAGATGAGAAGAAAAAAGGACGCGAGGGAGGCCAGGATTGAGATCTGAATCACTGCCCCCCGGCACACCGAGTCAGATCGTTAGGTCGTCACCTCATCGACGCGATCCTGGGGTTTATTGGGCAGGAACCCCTGAAGACAAGAACCGCCTTAATCTCCCCAAAAGGGCCAACCCCCAGTTGTTCGAACAATCTTCGCGGCCTTAGATCCGGATTTAAGCGACCACAATGCCGGTTTCGATCGATGTGGTTAGAGAATAAAGGGAAGAAAAAAAGTAAACGCAAATCACGAACCCTTCGCATTTTCTTCTTGCCTTTTTCCACCCCAGCTACGAAGTACAGCAAACCGATAATATGGAGCATTTCACGCGAAAGGTTCGGAAGGGAACCGAGAAAAAAGCAACTAGGAACCAAAAAAAGGGACTTCAGTGGTGTCCAACAAATACATTGATATTTCGTCGCTCCGCCTCCACGTCTAATCTCCTTTATCTACAATGCCAAAGTACTAGCAACACATATGGGAAACAGAGGGGTTATCCGTTTAGAGAACCGAGAGGTCACCGAATCTCTCCTGTAGAATGTATTAGATACCGCAAAAGAAGAGGGGCGAGGGAGGGTGAACATGAAAGGGACGAATATGATGACATACCTTGTATCCGGGAACGACCCAGCGACCCTTGGAGACGAGCTGAGCAGTCTTCTGGTCAATGGAAGGCTCGGCAGCCGCAACCTCATCCTGTAATGACCAACAGTTAGCATCCATAAAATTTCCAACCCATCCGAGGGGGAAGAAAGAGGGGGGGGGGAAGCGATAGCCCCTTCATCCGAAAAAACTCGAGTGTTACGTACGACAGTGAGGTCCTCGAACGGCCTGGCGGTCTCAATGTTCTTGAGCGTCTTCTCGAGGTCCTGGAGCTCCATGGTAACCTTGTCCTTAGTAGCCTCGGCATTCTTCACAGCCTCGACCTCAAAGGCCTCAATGGCCTTGATCTGCCTGGTGACATCGTAGGTGGCGGGCTTGAAAGCCTTGAATCGCTTCTCGATCTCGTCGACAACGGCCTGGTTCTTGAGGACGGCGCGGTACTGGGCGAAGTCGACCTCGGTGGCCTGCTCCTGGAGGGCCTGGAGCTTGCGGCGGGCGTCTTCGTTTCGCTTCTTGAACGCGTGGAGGGAGGTCACCGTCTGGCCGCGGAGGCCGAGGGAGGTCGTAACCTTGGCCCAGTCGAGCTTGAGCGCTGCGCTTCGCTGTTGAGGAGGGTTAGAAAAAAATTAGCTCGTTTTTTTCGTCCCGAAGCATTGCAGAGTTCTGGGAGATGAGCCGCCGACACGCCAATTGATCGCCTATCATCGCGGGGAAAAATTTGCGCGCCAGTGAAAGATCTCGTAGGATTCGAATTGAATGCATGGAGCTACTTACTGCGGCCATTGTGAATGATGCTGTCGGAGGTTAAATGAGTGGAGGTGGTTTTCTCGTCTTCAATCAAGATGATGTTGGTTTGAACCTCCGGCTCGGCTATGTTGGCATGGGACCGAGTGACTAAGCAAATCACGTGGAATCGGGAACCTGATACGATTGATCGGCGTCAGCCGAGAAAGCCGTGGCACGTGACGTTTGGAGACACCGCCAGCATTGTTAGTCATCGCGAGTTCTCTAAGGAAAATAGATGTTCCGGCTCATCGACCTCGCAGTTATTGACAGCCGTTAACAACCGCCAGAGTTGGACATGGATCCCGGTCGGTAGTCATGCAGAACAGCCTCATTCCCCCCCTCCACCCCAGACGTCGGGCGTCCCTTTCATTTCGCGACGGACAGCCCTATTGGATACCCCTCCACTGCTAACTTCATTGTCTGCGAGGATTCAGATCCTCGTGTTTGGATTCTATCGAGATTGTCCCTCTTTATTTTATGCGGCCTCGGGAAATTGCAAAGTACAAATCTCTTTGTTCTTCTCTCGGACTGACCGGAAAGTGACTCTTCAAGATCAAGTTGCATACATTCAATTGGTCCTGCATTCTAACTCGCATATTGAATAAAGGGTTGAGGAAAAAAAGGCTCACTCGCCGCAAGTGTGAGGTAGATTGCCGGAGCGTTGCTGGTTGCGGGTTCGTAAGTGTCTTTCCAAGTTTGGTTAGCCCGCCAAGCTATCGATCGGGGGCTAACGCAACGCCGGGCTTACTGGGTTCAACTGGGTCCATTCAGCGGCTCTGGTATGGCCTGCATGGAACCGTCACAACCTGATGCTGTTTCTGGGACACGCGTCATTCCCACTTCTGCGTTGATCTAAAAGACATACGTATGCCCAGTCAACGAAGCCGTCAGTAGCGCCAATCGAACAAGCATTTTTGCAAATACACAAAGGCAGCCGGTATGGCAGACAACTGAAATAACTGAAATTAACTGAAATATCAGACAATTGAAGCGTTATGACCAAACTTAATCTGGGGCTTCCCGCTTAGGGGGGAGGGGTCGCTCTGATATTACATCTTGATGGACCAAGTATTGATATTAAAGGCACAGAAGTCTTGACCCAAGTCATCACACTCGAAACATAATGTACGCGAGCAGACTTCTATTCTCAGCTTTCCCCTCGTACCAGCCGATGTTACGCTGGAAGAGGAATGCTATTCTCGTTCTCAGTAACGCTCAATGGCATTTCGAACTAGTTTATTACCACGTACGAAGCCTGAGCTGACAATGGATTACGCACAACGGAACAACGGTGCCGGCCCCCGCCCGTTTTCTAGCTCCCAGCCAAAGAGAACCCAGGCCAGACCAGTGGGCTGGATCGAGGGATACGTAAGAATGAACACTGTTTGTGGCGCCTCTTCTGGCTCGGAGGGCCAAAGGTGGACCCAGCCTACTTCCTACTTCGTAAACTACGAAGTAGTTCGACCGAGGGTGATGCATTCAGCAACCCATCTGCGCCTCCTTCTCCCCTTTAATTCGGGACCAGTTACTTCGTACATCACGGTATTTGTCCTGGAAAGGGTAGCTTCCCTTTACTTTGTACTAGACAAAAGGTTGATCAATGATCTTGACGTTTACACGTACTCCCGGCTCGGCTCTTTATTCTTTATTATTCCTTCCATTCTTCATGTATAATATCGAGATATATCCTTCGGGAAGAGACCCCAGATTTTAAAAATATATTACCTCTTAATGACGACCCCCTTCTAGCCTTTGCCTCCACAGCGTCGCTCAAAAATCTTCAAGACATAAAATTAAACCTGGTTGGAAGCCGGCCCCCATTTAAAGCAGTCCTCGGCTTCCCTGTGGATCATCCTAGGAGTTCGCTGCCCTGCCCAAGTAAAACAACCAGGCCATTGAGCGTTCTCTTGGCGCAAGACGTCTCTGTATTAGATCCCTCTCTTCTCTTCCTCCCTTCTTTTCGTCTTTCTAGTATTTACATTTACATCTTTCCCTTCTTTTATTTTTTTTCTTATATATACTTTCATATTTTCTTTTTCTTCTTTTCGTCTTTTTTTTTTTTCTTCTGTTTTTTTTCTCCCCCTCCCTTCTCTTGTCCTTTCGTCCTTGAATCCGACCATTTCACAGCGACAATGGCCCGATTAAAGCTCTCCAGCCTGCTCCTTGGACTCTACGGAGCTCTGGCTCTGGGAGCTTCACTGCCGAGAACGGAAACTTCCTCAGACGAAACTGCCCTTACCCCAAGAGGCATGCTTGCTTTTCCGGTCTCGCATGAAGAGCAGGAACATCCGATCGAGAGGCGGCGAGTACGACGACAAACCGATACCGACACGCCAGTGTTCAACTATTCTTCCGTTGCGTACATGATTGAGCTCAGTATCGGTACCCCCGGCCAGTCTGTCAAGGTGATTATGGATACGGGCTCATCGGAGCTCTGGGTAGACCCGGACTGTAACACGGCCTCGTCCCAACCGCAGCAGAGCGAGTGCTTGCGTAACGACTACTACGACCCTTCGAAGTCCTCATCCGTCGTAATCAGCAACCGCCAAAAGACCCTCAGGTACGGTCTTGGCAACGCTACCATTCGTTACGTCACGGACAATATCGCTCTTCCGCAATCAGACATCTCTCTCAAGGATGTCCGGTTCGGTGTTGCGACTGAGACGTTCCAGATGAGCCATGGTATTCTGGGATTGAGCTTCGGAAACCGCTTGAACCTCCAGTATAACAACTTTGTCGACGACCTTGTTGATCAAGGCGTCATAGCCACCCGCGTCTTTGGGGTTGCGCTCGGTGCGAAGGAAGAGACGGCGAACAGCGGTTTGCTTACTTTTGGCGGTCTTGATACGAAGAAGTATTCGGGCAAGCTTCACACTTCACCGATTCTCGGGCCCCAGAATGGGGAGCAGCTTTACCGGTATGGCTCAATATTTGCTCTCTTTTATAACGGAAGACCCTGTTGTTACTAACACGCGAGAAAACAAGATACTGGGTGACACTCAACCAGATCGGTGTCACAGACAGAAAGGGAAATTCGAAAGTATACATGGACAGCGAACTGCCCGTCTTCTTCGACACCGGCGCGACTCTCAGTTATCTTCCGGAACAGGTCGTCACAGCTTTGGCAGACGACCTTGGCGCCCAGTACAATCCCAATTACGACCTTTTCCTTGTTCCTTGCGGTCAGCAGGGCTCGATCAACTTCACCTTCGGGAATTTCACCATCAATGTGGGCTTGGAAGAGTTCGTCTGGCAGTTGTCGGGCAGCTCGACCTGCGCCTTGGGTGCCATGGTTGAGACGGACAATTCGTACATTCTCGGAGCTTCCTTCCTCCGATCCGTCTACGGTACGATTCTTGGCTGCTTGAACCGTGTGTGGAATAACCATTCGCTAATGCATATTCCATTTTATAGCCGTCTTTGATCAAGAAACTCCGGCTATTCACTTTGCGCAGTACGCCAACTGCGGCTCGAAACTCCAGGAGATCCCCGCAGATCAAAACGCGGCGGCCCAATTCGAGGGCGAATGCTCGACAAACGACATTGTCGGCTCCGGCACCAACTCCGGCTCTGGCTCCGGCAGCGGCGACGACAACGCGGCGAACATGATTCGCCGCAACGGCATGTGGCTCTCAGTCGGTGTTGTTGCTGCCGAGCAGGCACTGGCCTGGCTCGTGTAACACACGACTTGGTTTTATATTGATGGGATTACCCTCGTTTCCCACCTTCCTTGGCATTTTTTCCCTTTATTTTCTTCATTTCCAGCCCCCACTTCCTATTTTGTTCCCATATAAAAAGCTAGGGAGAATCAGAACCGGGGGAGTACATATTGACGATTTTTCGAAAGCATTCTGCATACTCCTCATCGAGGATATTGGAAGGATCACTACGGCGTTAAACGGTTAACGGCCCTGGGTTTAAACGACACCCACACCTTTGTTTTTTCTTTTGCAGATAAGTTTGGTCCTCGGGGACCATGGCCAGCGCCTGACTGAATATTAGGCCTGCTAAACGGGGAATTTCGGAGAAGATTTAGGATTAGATTCTTTCTTTTCGGCGGGCATATAGGAGTTACCGGGGAGTACATATCATGGCCATAAAGTTGCCACATTCATTCGCTATACCCCCTAGATTTAGACGGCACAATATGAAATCTACTACTTACGACGAGTGGTCGAATAAGAAAAGACTATGAAAAAGACTGAGAAAAAAGTGTGGCGTTTGGATTCTGGCGGGCCCTTAGGATAGGGGAATAGGGGTCTTCGACTCGACTTTTCAGTGAGCGGGACTCGCCTCCGTGGCTGAACAGACGAGTACTGAGTGTGCGATCTATTCCTGGTACACACACCGAGAATCTGGCGGTTACAGTCGCATTGGCCGAGAGCAGTAAGTTCAGTTGCTGGTTTCTGGATCCCCAACTCCTCTTCGACCTCTTGGGAGAGCTAGACTTTCCTCCGATGCCCAGCCAGGTAACTTGTGATCATGCCCGCAGTAGGTTGTGCCCCTACATAAAAGATATGCGGAGCGGTGGGACTCGGTGATGGCCCTAAGAGCCCATCTCCTGCCTCCTGCAGTAGTAGCGTAGAGTCTATTTACTTAACAGCTCTACCGAGGTACGTATCGATCGGTGAATGATCCGGTTGTTTGTATGTTTCTTGCATTCTTTGATGCTGTAAACTAGGGGACCTTGAATAGAATCGAGTTAGGACCCTTGCCACAATGGTCCACTTCATCGGCAAGTTCCAGGCAAAGACGAGCAGGAAAAGAAGTCATGTAAGTGATGTAGCAAGTCGTTTTCAACCGTTTTCAACCGAGCAGCACATGCAGAGATGGATGGAGTTGATCATTGATCGGCTAGGACAGGCGATTTAGTGGATCAACAGATACGGACACACATGGAGTTGGCATTGAACTTTACGTTCCTACATTCTGGATGGTGTTTAACTACCACGGTTGCCCTCGACATCTTATAATCACAATCTTGACCAAGCTCAGGGGATGCCACGGCTCAGTTCTGATTGAATGAGGCAGAAATGAGTATCAAAATGCCGTTCACAAACGCTATATTCAAAATGTAAAAAGTATGTATAAGGTATCAAGAATCGAACCGCTCATCCCGTGTGCCAGCACAAAGCTCACTCCCCGGGTTGACTCTCTCTAAGCCGAACCCGGGAGGTATCTACACACTTTTGCTTTCCCCATGTAAACTGCAAGGATTGAAATTCCCATGCCATACAGACGCCGGTGTGTCTATTCAAATCAAGTCAAGCCAAATAACATGGAATCGACGTCCCTAGGGGATGGTCCCTTTAGATTTCAGACTCGAGAGACTGGGGTTCCAGTCCCAGTGGAGATTAATTGTCGCTTTTTGTTTCCTTCCGTCTCGCTCATGCGGAATTTTCTAAGACGGTGGAGGACCAGACCTGCCAGGACTATGAATCGGGATGTTAGCACGAAGGGATGTTTCCTAGATATCGGTTCCACACTACTGTCTCGCATCCGAACTACCACGGACGGACGATCCACTCTCTCCTCCCTCAACCCGACTAGATTCGGCTTTCCGACATTGAACAGCAGGAGGGTTAACTCACGCGCAACCGATTGGTGTCACGACACCATAGGGGCAGTCTCCAGCTTGCTTCTGCACCACCTGGTCGGAAAAGACGGGAATGAGAACCATGCCCGCGCTGGCGAGCGAGGTGCAGAGGGTGACGGCAACGGCGGCGAGCGTAGTGATCTTCATGGTGGCGGTTTGTGAGGTATTGATGGATGAGAATTGATAGACTCGGGTGTCTCGTTATTTGCTCCCGTCGTTCTCGTGGGATTGATTTGAGGAATCGAAAGGATCCCAAGTTCTCGACCAGCGTAAATTGAAAGGGAAATCGGGAGAGCGAAGCGGTAAACTCGGGTTGGACGAACGTACAAGTCAGACCAGCTGGGCGAAAGTGAACGGCAAAAGGAGATCTAAATGACAATTATTTGGCGCTGAAAGAAGGGAGAGGAGGCATTAAAAATTCAAAAGAGAGGAGAAGAGGAGTAAAAGAGGGAGAAGAGAAGCAAGGGGTGACGTCCAACGGATCTTCTGTTACAGTATAATGTCACACAGCGTTGGATGCGTTTCAGGATTGAAACGAAACATCACTACGAGTGGCTGGCACCGCAGCGAATGGCCTTACATGTCGATCCAGCCCAGCGCCTACAGAAAAGTCGCCTATGAACACTGGAGAAAAATTATCAAAATTATGTTTATATCTTTCGTAGATGACTAGACTGTGCATTTGAATTAAGCGCCGTGTTATTCGAATTGTGGTGGCTTTCGGAGGGAATGTTTTGATGAGAGTTCTTCTCCATCCCATCCAGGCTCATCGTTGTCTGGGCGTCGTCGCATTATGAATGGGGCAAAGCGTCCGAGGGCGGTTTCTGCATCGGAAGTGGTTTTAAAAGGGTTCAGCTGGGCACACTTGGGGACGGCTGACGGTCCTCGGCGCCTCAATATCTCGAGGATTTGTGCCTTTGTATGACGGCGGGCTTCATAGAACCGGCCACATGTTGTCCTTTTTCTTCTTCTTTGCGTTCAAATGCGATGCCACAGGCATCTCGCTATGCCGACACTCTAGATCTCGATCCAGGGCGGCTTCTCTGGGTTCCCGATCGAGGCCCTCAATTGCAACTATTCCCAACCTCGGACAGTGTCATAGACCCAATGCTCTCTAGGTGCAGTTTCGTTCACCTCGTGCCATCATCTTCTTGCTGCTCGAGGTCCCCTGTAACCTTGGAATATCTTCTGTCGAACTGATGGATTGCCCTGTGGAGCCGGCATTTGAACGCCGGTGGTGGACGAAACGGTTTCGAAGGCTCTCTTAGTTTCTCTCAGCTGTCAAACATCTCACATCACTCTCGAGGGCACGGCTGACCTGTAAATATGTGGAATACTGTCTCTATTTGCAAGTTCTAGGAATTACCTGCATCTTTTAATTGTCATGTATTTTGGGTAAACCTGCTTCCAGAAACTCGAGGGTTCCCCTCGTCCTCGGATCTGGAATCTACCATCGCTCCTATCTCTTAAGGCCTGCCGATTGCCTTTCCACTGGCCTGGATAGGTCACTATTCAGATGGAACAACTCTCGATATTAAATCGCCGACTGAAGGACACTGCAACTTCCACTATAGGTAAGCACTAGAAGTGCACTCGCGAGTTCGCGCCGGCATCGATTCGACAGAGGAAACGTAGGCGTCCACCTCTTTCACCAGGCACCAATCAACGGAGACCGGTTGATGTCTTCTTTCGTTGTTGTATAGTGTATATCCTTTCCGCGCGTTTGCTGTACCGTAGGACCCATTCAGATAACGAATTGAGTCTCGAGTAATACCACTTTGTGAGCGCTGTATCAAGGTGGGTTTATTCTCGTTGGACCGCTCGTTCTCGCCACGAGGTGGGCATTTCAAAAAATTTGCAACGGCTACCTAAGTCGGGAATGATTCGGAAAAAGCCACCACATCGAGTGATAGCATCGGACCGAATGCTTGCGATTGAGAGGATTTCATATTGGACTCTCCTCTGTCTGCTTCTAGAGGAAAGTCTGTGTGCTGTTCCCGGAAGCTGTCTGTTCTAGAGAAGGGCCACATCAGTGACACGCGCGTTCAGCCCAAGAATCTATCAACCGTTTAATATTTAATGGAAATGCGTTGCTAGCACTAACTTATACAGATGATTAAAAGGAAGATCCTTGAAATACAGAGCTCAAGCCTTTCATCTCGCCAGTCGTCAGACTATGGGAGGATCGTTTCGACAAAATAGAATATCAAACTGGCGTGCCAGTAAGTTTGAATTTGTGCTCAGCTCACAGTTTGCTTTGACGACGAGTCGACGTCTGAGAAGGTCATTCTGGAGGATGTCACAAGGGGGACGAGGCCCGGCTGCGACGGGACATTCGTGGTTATTTCCCAGCAGTCGAAATCACCAGCACCTCATTCTGTGGTAGGGACCTCGTTTGAAATCGGCAAGAGGGTCGCACCGGAATGGAGTAAAACGATGTTTTTATTTTCATTTCGAGGATATCTTACACCTCATCCAAAGCATAACGTGTGCAGCCAGCCTCCCAGCACCCCACGCCTTTCATGTCAACTGAAACTACCTTCCCAAGAGTGATCAAGACTCTGGGAATCCCGGGTGTTATTATCATTATTCCAACGTTAAGAGAGACGCTTGTCCGACTTTAAAATCTTTCAATAGTACAGAAATCCGTTGAATGTTTACCGATGGCGGAAATCATGGAGTAAGCGGCATATGCTGCTTAATGTTTGGAGGCAGGAAGATGGGTAGGTACACAATAACGAGAGCAAGGACTACGCAAGACGGATAAGAATTAGCCGCAATCACACTTCAGGGAATTTGTATAGTATGTAAATCGGGGAATGGAGGTCGAGACACAGGGAAACTTACAGGCCATGACGGCAGAGAAGTAGCCTGGCATACTGGCGTTCCTCCTTGCCTGCTCGCTCTGGCCAAGCCAGGACTGGAGGCTGAAGACAAAAGAAGCCCACCCGATGAATCGGTTTCGTGTCATCATCGCCGCCATGGGGAGAGTGGAGGAGAGGGTGGAGGAGAACTCGACCTCGTCGGGTCGGGGTTGAGGTTCCTGATAGGGGACGACTGTGTCGGGGGACGACGGATGGTTAGTTCCTGAGTGCTAGGAGGCTTCCGGTGATACGGCGCCTGGAGCTTTGAGGACCAGGCGAGGGAGAAAATAAATAAGACTTACCTAGGTCTACCCTTCGCATGTCCTTTAGGCTCGTCATTGTGTCAATCTGATGATGTTGATTCCGCGATAGTTGAAATTGCTGGACAAAGCTCGCCCCGTCGCATTTCGCGAGAATGCGTTGTCGTCTTCGCGGTCTGATACCTGTTGTATTACGTAAACATAAATGGGCAATGGCAATTTTTGGCGTCAATTTGGAATGAATTGCTGTAACCGTATAAGGCAGGCTCTTACAGACCCCTAATTTTAGGGGCACTATTCCTCACATCTTGAATATTAGGTGTTAGTCCTGAGTTTGGTGATACTACTCATCGATCGCGATGCCTTTGCTCGATGTCCTCTAACAACACGACTCCGGAAGTGACATGCCGGGTCGACGGTCGAGTGAGCCACCCAGAAACACCTGTTAGACAGTTTCACATCGTGAAACGGGGGACCAATAATCATCTAAACGTCACCGATGAGGGTTTGTTCGAAACTTTTTATCTGTGATTTACGATGGAGGTGGCCACATCGTTGCTAATGTCGAATTTTAATGCTTGTCGGAATACCGTTGCCGACATTCAAGAGATAATCATGTGAGTGGTGAGTGGTGAGTGGCCCATGGAGACAGAGAGGGAGAGAGGTTGAGCCAAAAGAACGCATCGCTGGGCAGGTATCGATGAACGTTTGAAATCAAATGCCACTAGACGGTTGCCCTCCCGAGGAGAAGACTAAGAGGACGACACCGACACTACACTCCGTACACCACTTGAGGTAGTCAACTAAACTAGCTTAGTGTAGCTAGAAGTCGGCGACAGAACTGGGGTAAATGCACCCATGCAGAGATGAATGTGGGTGGTCGCGTGTCGTCATTTCGTCTAGTTCATACTCCGCTCTCTCACCGCCAGGCCAGAAAAACCCGCGGGCAACACTGCTTTCAGCCGAAAATGGTTCGAGTCCGGGAATACTCTCGGAAAGTCCCCTGAGCCGGACAATCGACATTACATCAAATCTACGAAGGTGGGAATAATTGAGTTTGAGAGCAGAAAAAAAAGAAGTAAAAATAAGATGGAGAGAAGGTCGCTACGATAGGCAACGCACAAACCGTATAGTAAACTTCGTACTCCGTACTTCGTGAAACAGAAAACCAGATCTCGGAAGTAATGTTCCTGTTGTCAGGCACAATCTCTTTACAGACCCGATTGTCCAGAGTATCTCAAGTTTACTGTACGACCACGGCGATGGTTGAGGATGAGGATTCGCGTCCAAGGCAAATAGAAACTTAAGTGATCGGGAATGTTCACGCGCCGCTGCCTTTTTTTTTTTTTTTTTTTTTTTTTTTTTTTTTTTCTCTCATCCCGAGAGGTCAGACGATCACTGTCGGCCTTTTTACGAGTTCGGTGGCAATGATGGTCTAGGGATGCTTAGGTGGGAGTGTTTGTGGCGATCTGTGACACCCTCGATTCTCTGACAAACTAGTTTGCAGCTTGGTGCTACGATTGCGAAAAGCTTAACGCAGACTGGGTGTTGTGCATTTGGAACGCGAGCAACCGCCATCATCAACTCAACTCATGTTGGCCGAGACACACACCATCTGACCGCAATCCGACGGCCTGTCCAACAACGCGAGGTGGAGGGTGGTCTTCCACCCACAGGCTAGCGAACAGTGCGGCTTTTCGGGACGGGGGACCCTGATAAAAGCGGAAGGAGGATGCAATGCCGCAGAGAGAGTGCATCCTATGCGAAGCGATCGTAACCTGATATCGGCAGCCCAGCCGGGGGGCGTGCGGGGCAGAATATCAATATTACTTCCGCGGTATAAACTAGAATGCAAGGTGGGTGTGGTTTACACGAGTGATGGGTGGGATATGCGGGGGGTCGAGAAGATTGATGGAAACCCAACATCGATTGAGGGTCGCACTGGCTCGAGGGCGAGAGGAACCCGGAAGGGATTGCAGGGCTGACCTCTTTCACGTCAAATCGGGATAGATTGGAGGTGCTTTCTGCCGTTTTAGTTTGCTCAAGTTTACTCTTGCTTCTGTACCTACGAGAACTCTTCGTAGATAATAGATCAATGAGGTCGATACGCAGAAGGAGCACGGTGGTTCAGGGAAGTATTTGGGGCAGCCCTCCCTTGCCCTGTCCTTCAATTCTGCTTAGTTGCAGGTGCTTGTCAGCATTACGCAGCAGAACTTGGAGCGGAGTTGATGTGCACCAAAGAATCGTATATCCCCGTTCTTTACCTGTGTACCAATATTGACTCAGTACAATCAATGCTCAACATACTTCGTATCAATCGACTCGGGGAGTTTAGCTAAGCTCAACTCCCGTAGACATCATGAGTATTTTATTAGTTTTATTATTGATCAGTCGTGATGGTTGGTCCTTGTTGCCTCGGCTGATCAGGCGGCGAGGTCTTCCGCTCAACAAGGCTTGGTATGCTGGTTGATGTAAACTACGAAGTTTGGTCCGCCGCCCGTGCCGCCCACGCCGCCAGGGCATACCCCTCCTGAGCCAAGACAGATCCTACACTACGTCCCCCCAAAAAGTTGCCGGCTGCAATCAATGTCGATGTCAGTGCTTCATCCTTGTCAGCACTGTGCTCTGGGGTCACCTCCTCAACTCAACCTCAACTTCAATTCCCTTCCATCCTCCACTACGAAGTAAATTGACTCGAGGTACGAAGTACGAAGTACCCAACGCCCAATCCTGGAAGGACCCACCGTGCTGCCAGCGCTGCCGTGCTGCTGAGAAGTGAGATGGTCCTTGTCTCCTTGACATCAAATGCTGCGCCTGCGCTACTCCAGAGTCCATCCGGCACAGCACAACGAAACTAAACTCGCAGATCTTGACGACTTCCCTTCATCCCGACCCAAGAAACCAAGACGCCTTCTCCGACGAACGCCTTGGCTTACCACCACCCGCCATCACGATAGTCTATCTCGCCTCAATTTTGCTTGTCAATAGTTTCCTCGTTTTCTGCTTCGCATCCACATCGATATCCTTTGCCCATCAGCTCCTCGAGCGATACATACTTCCGTATTGCCATCCTTGTATTTGCTCCAACTTCCTGTGCTCCCTCCAATATATCGGCATATTCTATCTCCTCCCGACTTCCATCGCCGTTGCCAGCTTCGTGCTTCGTGCACCCTCTCTTCTTCGGTCTATCCTCGCGTCCTCCTCATCGCCAGCTCTTTGATTGCCATACCTTTCCGCCGAGACCCTTCGCCAGCAGTTATTGCTCGTCTCTCTCCCGATAGCGAGCCTTTCCGAACCGTAATTGCTTGATAGACCTTGGGCATGCGAGAAAATTCCATTCGACTCTTGCCCCCTACCGATGACAGGTATGAGCTAGATTGTACTCATTCGCACATAGTCTACCCATCGTGTCTGGTTAGCGACGATCCTGAGCATATCCGTCCCGACTCGTCTCTGCGGTTTCCTCCTTAGCATCGCGAAGCCGACTTATCGCCGGCGCCGCTTGGCTCGACTGAATAATTTTATACACCATCCCTTGTCGCCATATAATCATCTCTTTCCTCATTTTCGCGTGATGGCGACACCGACTTCACTCCGACCATGACATCTCGCACATCCATGGGCGCCCAGCCGCCCCGGCCGCCTCAGCGCACGCTGAGCAGCCCGGGTTTGCCAGGCCAGCGCTCTTCTCACCAACGCAGCCTGTCGCAGCAGTATCTGCCTCCATCTCCCATCCGAAAAGACTCGATGATGGACTCATCATTCGATCCAAGCGATGTTTCGCAGTCCCGATTTAATACAGCCCCTCGCAGAGGTGGCTCCCGTTTAAAATTAGAATTGTCGACGGATTCCATCATGGCAGAACCGACCACATACGAGTCTCCGCAACCCTTACAATCACGAATAACCCCCATGAACGAATCCTCTGAAGTTGTTGATCCGAGCCCGGGTGGTTCTATAAGACCCAATTACTTGGAAAATGATAATATACCCTTACCGATGCCCAAGCGGCGAGCGAGATTCTCCCGTGAGATGCCTAGGTCGCGCCCCACGCCCACCCCGGTGCCTAGCGCTGCGAGCAGAGACAATCGCCCGAAGCCGTACACGATCGAGTACCCTCAAGATGCACCTCGCTATCAGCCGGTGAACTCCGACGGCTCTCGAACCTCTTCCGAGCTTCCACGCGTATCCAACTCGGGCTACGCCGATTTCTTCCCCTGGAGTGGCGATCATCCTGAAGACCAGTTTTCCGAGACGGTTATTCGTACCGGATACTTTCATAAGGCGCCCCCGAACCAAGCTGAGGCAGCGACGGCGAAGCCCTCCCTCTTCCCTCTGCTGAAGCAGAAGAACTGCCTCAACGCCTTATCTAGCGTATTCCTCGGTGTCCTTGCTCAAAGGCGACTTAGCGGCCAGATAAGAGCTCCGTCCACATTCAAGCCACCTCCTCGAGTGACGCTTACCGATACGAAGAGGGAGATGTGGCTCAAAGACTTGGCGAACCCTGCCACCTCCCTCAGACGCCTTAGCCGGACCATCCCGCATGGTATTCGAGGCAAAGTGCTTCTCGACCATTGCCTAAACAAGAACGTCCCAACGGATCGCGCCGTCTGGCTAGCGAAATGTGTCGGCGCCAATGACCTCAGAGCATTCAGGAGGAAAGGCGTCAACCAGACATTCATGGGCGGGGAGACCAAGTGGATAAGGGACTGGACCGTCTTTGTTGAACAGTTCGTGGAGAATGTGTTTTCGTCCTTTGAAATGCCTGACTGGAAGTCAAAGGTGACATATGCGTAGGCTTTCTCCCCATCTAATCTGCTATCTGCGTTGAGCAAGTTTATTTTTTTGTTTCTTTTTCTCCCTTACAGCCACGCTAAAGTTTCTTTTTATAGTCTTCGACTAGCGACTATCCTATACACCGAGCAACTATTGGATCGTGATCACTACATGGAATGGATCCTCTCTGGGCTCGAGAGTACCCCACAGTCCAAGCTGCCTATGTGGATTCTTATTTTGCAGCTCTATTGGAAAGATCTGCTTCGGTTGAGAAAGACAGGCCGCCGTCTGGTGACCTCATTACTCAACCACCTCTTGACGGTAAGGGCTACTCGTTGACCCTTGTTCGATACTTGAGCCTCAGTACTGACAATTGACTAGATCCAAAGCGATCCCGACCGCGATCTTCTCGTCCAGCTATCCTCACGTATAACGCCTCTCCTCTCTTCACTAATGGTCACGAATCCCGAGAGTTTCATCTCTCCCGCCACATGGCCTAAACATCGAGATGCGCTGGTCGAGCTAATCCAGCAGACCGACGGCGCTACCCGAGCAGCGTACCAGCTCATTGATGACCGAAACAATCGCCTTGTGTCTGGAAACGATTCGACCTCTACCCAGAGCATGCAACAACGGCTAGTAAAGCTCCTCGATTCCGCCCTTTATCAACCCTTCAGCGATGCGCTAGTCTCGCAGTGTTGGGCCCTGGGATCAGACAAGAGCGCAGTTGTACGCACGATTCTTGATTGGGGCACCTCGACTCTCCGACCCGGCCCAACCAAGGTCTACGTTACCGTCCGATTATTACGATCATGGGGGAAGCAGGGCCTAGACGTTACCACTGCTGTTCTTGAGCACTTGGACTTCATTCCGACTAACGATCACGAACGCAAGCAGTCCACCTACTCAATCGTGTCCGATCTGGCTCGCTCCAATGACTTTTCGGTCGCTAGGTATATTCAGTGGCTCATATCACGCGGTGGGCTTTCCGAGCCCTCGGAGATTAGCCAGATGGGTCCTTGTGCCACGCGCTTACTAGTGGAGCTCCCGGCGCATGCGTTGAGTTCGTCGCTAAAGTGTATGCGTGGAAATTTACTCCGGCGGGCATCCTTCGATGTTGAAGCTGAAAGGCTGGATCTCGAGAATGCTGTCAAGTTCGTGAAGCTTGGGCTAGGTCTGCCGTTGAATCCCGATGATCCTATTTCGCTGAAGAAGCCTATGTCGGCCACTAAGCTCGCTAAACCTGTCAGCAGGAGTAGCCGCAGCTTACAGACTAGCTTAGGCGCATTTCTCAGAGACGAGGTTTTTGCTCCCGCCGCTCTCGCTACGGAAGGACCAGGGATATCCCCTTCCATGTTCAACTATGCGCGGACCGTTCTCGAGGCCGCCAACGATTATGAGACGCTCCTGGGCATAGTTGAGCTTGCGTCTAAGATATCGAACGTGGAACTCTTGGCATCTTGCGCCGATACGATCAACGTCTATCTAACAACATTTGCGCCCATGGAGGATGTAAAGAAGCTCTTTGATGGCCTCGTAGCTTCGCTTAAGACAATCAGTGATGGCCAGGGTGTCGCATCTGCGCGTGCACTTCTTGCGTCACTTGCCAGTCTTGCTGATCGAATTCCGGGTTTGGAGGATCAGGCTCAGCAACTTCGAAGCGAGCTTCTTCGATGCGACCGAACCTCGGGTATAGATGCATGCTCACCCGTTTCCGATAGTATGGCCGGGCATATGCCGGATTTCGAAGGGACGCTTTACGAAGAGGTGGAGAAGGTTCTGTCTACTGGGACGAGAGTCGATCAGCCTACGATGGACAGACTTTTCCGAACGATCATGAGCCGCCTCGAGAGTTGTTGGTCGAAGTCCATGGAAGCGCAGCGAGCGTGCATTCCCTTGCTGACGCGCCTCCGGGCCTTTGACATTCAGCACTTTGATGAAAAGATGGTGGAATGGGTTAGCAATGTGAAAACAGCTGTTGGTCGGCCGCCTCTAGCGGAAACATTGCCCCTCCTTATCGGCCAGGGATGCCTCCATCTCGCTGCCGTTCTCAATGCTTACGTATCAAAGGGGCAGAGCAGCGCGGCTGCAAGCCGCTCTGGCGCCGTGTCTATCCACGGACCATATTTACAGGAGACATTACAACTAGCGTGCATGCACCTACCTCAATCGACTGCGCTGACACCCGAGGAATGCTGTCGGTTTCATATTCAACAGAAGACCCTGCTTTCCCGACATTCGGATGACCTTCGGCGGCTTCTTCAACATGCTCTCGCCGAGTATTGCGACTTAGGTGGGCAGGTCGGCGCGACAGACCTTCCTTTGGATCGCCGGGGGTGCTGGCCTGCTGTGCTCGATTTATTTAAGAATCTTATACTCATGAATCCTTATGGCTTGGTCCGCGACTTTACTTCGACAACGGTCATGACGTCGCCACGCCTACGTCAGTTAGCCGATACACTTGCCACCCAAGCGTTGGGTTTGTGTGATGCTCCCGAATCGAAAATATCCTTCGACCGTATTCTGGATATGGCGAATGAACTGAGCTTGCCATTCTGCCAGGTAAAACTGTCACTCAGTCTGAGTGACGACAGTGATATGTTAGCAGAAAACCAAGCGGAATCGCACATTTCGCTTTTCACAAAGGCAATGGAAAAGGCGATTGAGGCAAACAATGTCATGTGGACGAGCATTCTTCCCCATCTCAACGACACAATTGCGCAGCATATCCGAAATGAAGCTCGAGGCCGGTTCATCGATTTAATACCTTCCTTCAAGACCCAGCCACCCCCTCATACGGGGGATGGAAGCTCTTTGAAAGCCGCAGAGAGTTTGATATCGGTAATGGAGTCGATCACTAGCGGTCACACCACAGCATCAAGGGCTACCCATCTCACCCCGTCTATCTCGGAGAGAGTATCAGATTTGTGGGACGTTCTTGCCAGCAACGAAGACGAGAAGAAGCGACTCCATAACGTCGTCCTAACCGGATGGCTACCTTTGATGTTGAAGTTTCTAGCAATGCACGTCGGGCCAGCCGCCGAACCGGTGTCCGTGGCTACTCCAAGCGGAAACACCATTCGACCTCCGCCGAATCCCGCACAGACTGAACTGAGGGCAAAGGTTCTGCTTTCACTGGCTGGTATCTTTCAAGAGCTAGATTCTCTAGAACCTGCCGAGGCCCAGCTTGCGCAGCAATCTGGACTGGCGGAGCAGGTCCTTGACGTTGCCTTGCTAGTGGTTGACGGCCTACCGGATGAAGCACGCGCGCATTGCTGTCGTCTCATCCTCGTCTCGGACCCAATGAATATGCAGAACGCGAATGTGTCGACCGACTCCCACCTTCGCTATCTCCTCAGCTACACTCCTCCTTCTGCGGACAACCTCATGCTCTCTCCACGAAACCGAATGAATATGCAGGGTGGGTCCACTCGAACTGCAATGCTCGGAGCACCCGGGCAGGCCGAAAAGTTGATGCCGTTTTCGTATCGGCGGTGGGAAGTCTTGAACGAACCGACACCGAATGTCGGCGAGAACGATACTAGCCTAAGCCTCACCTTGTTTGAGTCCATCAAACTTCGTTAGATCCACGGGATCACTGGCCGGATATCCTTCTGTGACTCAGATATTTCTTTTGTTACCAGTCTGCAGTCTCCTCAGAGAAGCCGGTATTCCTCTGGATCGATTAACATACCAAGCCTTGATCCGTGGGATTGACGAGCGGCGAGGATATGACACGACAAGCATTTTAGAACGGACAGTTTGTCCAGGTGTACATGACGGGATGGGTTACTGGTGTCTTTATTTTTGGAGTTTTCATACCACACACACAATTGGATTATCCCCCTTCATGAAATGGACGCAACATGTATTTACTCTGATTTATACACATAGCTTTTTGCGGCATTTTTATTGGGATATTGGGGCTAATGCGGTTGGAAAAGGATCTGCGAAACGAGGAGGATCATGGACCTTTCGCCTGGGACGAATGTTTGCATCTGGAGTTTTTTTTTTTTTTTTCCTTTTTACCTTTTACTGTTAAGAAGGACCTTACGGGCATGGTCCTGTAAATACACCACGTTGACTTCAGGGGCCAGACTTGGGAGGGGAGTTTTCGGGGCGTCGCATGTTTCTTCCCCCTTTGTGTTTCTTGTCCATTCCCTTGCCTCCCCAGTTTTCCTGTTTATAATACCCTTTGGGGGCGAGATGAAGAACGCAGAATGGTACGACATGCATGAGGTGTAGTTAGAAGAGCATTTACGATCTCATCCTTTTGTTTTTTTTTTTCCCTCATAGGCCACAGCAAGTCTTGACCTTCACTTTTGGTCGGAGAGAGTGTTTTAACTGGACTGCATTCCACTGGCACACACATATACATTCATACATAGCTACAGCTCTCGATACTCGCTCAGCTCTTCTTCGGTCGTGCCCAGTCGGACCTTTTTGTTTCTTTCTTTTGTATTATTGGTCGGATTTGGTTGGTGTATCATATACCCTGTTCATACATTTATCCATGGCATGTCGGGAGACTCTGTGGAAGAAGGCGTCTACGGATTGATTCGAATCATGAAATATATCCTGATTTATTTACCTGTGAGCTAGAAGCTTCTAATGGCCACCGATGGCCATGTTATTTCCGTGGTTTTGGCGCATCATACTCTACTGTCGAGCTGTCTACGTAGTTGGTCAACGGTTCTTGACCGGACAAGTGGTCTGCATGCCTACGGTATGGCAGAGCAGCTAGGGGTAACATGCTACTCTACGCTAGTCCTAGCTACGTCTCTCTTTATTGGTCGGAGGGTTTGTATGTACGTACGATTTCCCTGGTGATTTCTTGTCGAAGTGAAGTCTCACGCCTTCCCAAATTGGCAGGGGAGGTCGCGCCAGGCATAGTTGGGTGGAAGAGATTGTTGGTCTCCTTCGAAGGCAGTCGAAATCCCAGACTCGAATGACGCTTGCCTCTACTGGTTATGATAGGGGTTGAGGTGGAGCGTTACGTTGGGGTTTGGGGTTTGGTTTGCTGATGTCCAAAACTACGAATTACAGTCTACGGTCCTCACGAACACATTCTCACGATGGAAATGAGGGGGGAAGTCAAATCATGGGGGAAAGGCGCTTTTCGATTCCTTGTGCTGTGCTCGCACCTCCTAATGGCCCGGCGTCCTTAATACCTTGTCTATCCTCTCCCTACAAAAACAACCTTTCGTGTCGTCCTTCTTAATATGCCTCTTCGGTGCGTCTAGAGCAACTCGGCGGGCGTAACCCCCCAATGATAAGGTCCCATCCGCCCAGCAGGAACACGAAAGCCCCTCGGCAGATGAACGGGGTCATTCTCATCAACGAATCCCTGCTCACGGAAAGCGAGCCATTTTTGCAGGACAGCAAGCGACTTTCCAGGCTCGATGGGGCCGACGACCGCCTCGGCGAACATACGGAGCTGGAAAGGGAACGAAAACTCCGCATAATGAGTCGCGCAGTCGTCGGGGTTGAGGATTCGCAGGAGGTAGGACCAGCCCTCGGACTCGGCGGCCAGGGCGAGGCAGGCCGCTTCCTTCTCGTCGGACCACCAATCGGGCATGAGCTCCGTGGCTTGGGTGGCTAGGCGCTTGAGAAAGGCCTCGAAGCCTTCGAAGCTTGGGGGTGGGGTGGAGGGGCGGAGCTTGTAGGCGTCGTGGATACGGAGGCGGTAAACGTCAATGAGGAGGATGTACACATCCTTCTCGGGACGCTTGTGCAGCCAGGTACCAGTTTCTAGGCGGGTCCAAGGGGTCTCAATGGGCTCGTCGAGGCCAGCGGTAGGAGAAAGCATCGGGACAAGCTCCTCGATGTAGTCGAGGACCTCCTTGTCCTTGGCATCAACGTCATCGTTAATCGGTAGGTTGGAGCGTATCTCGCGGCAGGCGCGCTTGTGGGACTTCTAGTCCTTCTTACGGCAGCCACGGGAGCAATATTTGGTCGTCTGGCATCGAGTGCAGCTCTTGACCTCTTTGGCCGGTGGCTTTTTGCCACAACAGGTACAGAGTGAGTCAGCCATCTTTCTGGCAGTTGCAGTTAGGTCTCCTGGGCAATTGGTTAGATCATCGGTAATCTTGTGGGATTCCTGAGAATGTTCCTGAGGTTTGGTTTGTGCGAGGGGGAGGACTTGCAGTATTCTTGGGAATTGGGTTGATGGTGAAGAGGAAAAAGAGGAAGAAGAAGAGAACCAGACTCGCCTGGGCCTATTTATACTTGAAAATTCTCTTTGTGGGCGCTCGACCGAGGAGTTTCTGCGTTAGAAGCAGTAGGAACTGAGAGGCAGAGCCCATGAAGGGACTGTCATTTGGCTTGCCTCCGCAGCATCATAGAGTGTGGAGTGGGCGTGGAGTGAGCAAGATAATGGTGCGCATGCGTACGGTTAGGAAGAGAAGTGAGACTGATGAGGGAACATAATGCCATTTCTTTCTCCTATCACTTAGGTCAGTTAACCTCCCTGCTTGAGCAAGGGCCTTAGGGCTGTTGAGGGATATTCGGATAGATTCGGGAGCTCTGTGTTCTTGGTCTGATGCCCATGAAGCTCTAAGAGAGTTCACATCTCAGAGAATGCCACAAGGGGGATAAGTGTATAGTTCAAAGAGAGGTAGGTTTTTATGGACATTTGAAGAGTCATTAATATTTAATGGACAAGCTTGTCTGATGATAAATCTTGAGTAGATCCCTCATTGAGACTGTAGCGTGCAAGTTGATGGAGTATATCAAAAACACCATATGGAAGAAAAGGATGAACCCCGATATGCTAACTCCACCAAAGTTTTGCTTCATAAAGAGAATATTGAAGGAGAGAGAGGGAAAGGGAAAAGTTAAAATTCCAAACAGTGCCACCAAACGAAACCAAGGTAGCGAGCAAGACAAAGGAGAGTGGAAAGACACACAGAAAAAAGAGACCAAGAAGAGCATGAGAAGATGAGGTTAGGAGGAAGACGATTACATTGCCAGAACAAAGATTCCTGCTCTACCACATCAACACCAACCCGAGGGCGAAGGGGCGAAGGCAAATTAAGTGGAAAGAACATAACCGCGCCGACATAACAAGAAACATCTAACATCTCGGATCTACAGTCGTCGTTCGTCTTGCCGAACGACATGGGCGGAGCCAAGAGAAGCGTGACCCGTTCAATCGTCGTCAAAGATCTGATAGGTGTTTTGTAGAATCGTGTCGATGACCTTGATCTGCCAGCCGGCATCCGTAATGCCTGTGTTAGGGTCTGTACCCATCAGTGTTGGGCCGAAGATAACTGCCAGGTTATGCGAGTTCATGCGGTTCAGACTAGCATTCTCCATTACTCGCCAGAGATGGAGTGTTAGGGCTCGCAGAGTGGCATAGTTGGGATCCGGCAGGCTATTGATGATTGCGTGTAACGAGTCACGACGTACGATATCATCCTCGTGCTCTTGATGCGCATATGTCAGCACCGCAGAAAAACAACAAACACCATCTTAAAGATAGGAATATACTAAATATACTTACTCGCTGCCTCGATCAATGCCGAGTGGTGTTCCATCGTCAGAAGTGGATCAGGTAGGTCACGGAAGAACTGCTTCAGTAGACCTGTAACACTGTTCACATCATGGAAGAAGCTGTCGGGGTTCCTGAAGTCGAGAGCGGGGTTGGTCGAGTCTGCTTGCGAATTAGTATTGAGAACCGTACAATCTAATTATGGGTGTTTCGCCTCAGATCACGTCACGGCCATCTTCTCGCCCTACTTACCAGTATCAAACATGACCTTGAGTTTGTTGATCGAATTCAGAGAGCCAGACTGGCGGTAGATTCCCTCCATGTTCAAGCCGTACAGATCAACAGCCTGAATGCACTGGTAAACAACCATAGGAACGGCCAAGCCGTCCCGCTCGTACAACTTGCCGAGATGAATTCCGAATACGGGTTTCGCTGTCACCTGGGCAGGTGGTGACTGCTGTCGCGTAATTGGAGCCGCTGAGAGCTTAGATGGTGCCGAGGCTCCTTGGGAATGAGGAGGATTCTGAAGGAGAGGGTTAATGCCACCCGAATCTCTCTGGTGAGCCTGAGGGCCTAGGCCTGGAGCCAGTGGAGGTTGAGCCAGCGGGCCTGAGGATTGGAAGGAGAGAGCGCCTAGTTGAGGAGGCCCTTGCGAGGACATAGTCGCCGGGGGAGCAGCGAATTTGGGGCCGCTTCCTCCGAAGCTGCTGGGCTGTTGATATGGTTGGGGTTGTTGCTGCTGTTGGCCTATGGCGGGTTGGTTTAGCAGACCGCCTGCACTAAAGGTTCGGCTGTGCTGTTGTTGAGAGAGGGGCAGCTGCTGATGTTGCTGCGAAGCAGGCCGTTGCTGAGATGAGGGGCGCGCCTGCGGCTGTTGCTGTTGTTGAATTGGTGCAGTAGCTGCAGTCGGGGAGAATCCTTGCGCGCCAGGAGATGTTACTGGGGAGTTGTAGTTCGAACCTCGCTGCCCAGCGACGGGTTGCGCAAGCGGCTGGACCGGGAATTGCCCAGGAGGCGAGCTCTGGCCGCCTGTTATATTGGGCTGGCTGATGGGAGGGTTGGCGGGGGGGTTCAAAACCTGTGCCCGAGCTGTTAGTTACGTCGATATAAGAATGGTGTCTTGGGTTGCTAGGATTACTCATTGAACGTACGGGATTCCGCTCGTACTTGACATCTCCATGGTTTGCGGGAACCTTCGAATGGTGAGCCACAAGATAGTCGCTAAGATCTTTTTCGTTATTGATCGATGCTACCGCCTCCCTAAGGCTTCGTGGCTGCTGAGTGTTGTTGTCGCTATTCTTAAGTGGGCTGATACAAAGACCGTTGCTGAGCAGAAGTTTCTCGTTGAAGGAGGCTAGAAAATACCCAGCGAGTCAGTAAAATAAACTAATAGCGCAGGCAGAAGGCTTAACAACGAAAACGGCGGTATCTTATACGTACCAAACTTCTGCATCTGGAGGGAGAGACCGGAATCAGTCTCCCGGACGAGGTCGTGGATGGCCTTCACGGCCTCGGGGCGGGTGCGTTGGACAAGCTCGGCCTTCTCAGCCTGTAGAATCTGCACTTTGCCGCGGTAGTCTTGGTCGGCTCCCTGGACCTTCCGGAGTAGATCTTCCTCGTGCTGAGCAGCAGACTTGGCGCCCTTGAAAAACATCTTGCCGCTCTGTCTCGACGTATCGCCCGTCCTCGCGCGCTCGTATTCTTCGGCGAGAGAGTCATACTTGGCCTTGGACTTCCGCATGGCCGCCTCAATCTCGCTGACCCGCTGCTCAGGGGCAAGGCCGTTGGTCTTCCAGCCCTTCCGGTTACGTTCGGCAATCGCAGCGAGCTCCATAAGGTCATCGTGCATGTGGTGAAGTGAAGAGGCGAACTGAAGGCCGTTGTCGGCCATTCGGTCGTGGATTACAAGCATGTCGTCGTAGGCTTGAGCAAAGGTGCCCTGCTTGTGCTCAGGCCGATGGACGCTCTCTTGCGTCATGCGGCAGAGCTTCTTGAGGCCGTGTGCGTGTTCTTCTTCGAGGGCCGATCGCTTCTTGAGGAAAAGGGCAAACTCCTATGAATGGCCCGGGGCACTACTGTTCAGTTACAATGTTCAGAAAAGCAGATGTGCTGCGCGAATAGGGAGGGCGATTCGTAGCTAGAAAAGTCGTAAGCTTACCTTGGCGGCGGCGATGCTCTGCTTCAGCCTGTGAAGCATGGCCGAGATGGCGATCTAGCGGACAAGACGTCAATTCCCTTCATTCTACCACTTTCTACAGTAGCCAGCCGTTATTCGCAATTACCTCAGATGACAAGACATCCTGCACTTGCTTAGACACGACGTCTGACGCGCCTCCTCCGGTCTGGCCAGCTTGTGGATTCGTGGCAGGCGCGGTGGCGCCATTGGCGCCACCAGCCGGTGTGCCCTCGGGCAATGTTGCTGTCGTCCCTAATGACATGCTCCCAGAGTCGTTGCGCTGGTGATTTTTGGTATGGGAGAAGAGTGACGAAGGAGAGTGGAGACCAGTCATTCTTAGAGGGAGAGGCCAAGTCGTAATCGAAAGCGGGAGTGGGGAGAAAGAATTGGGGTTCGAGTTCGGGCTCAAGTCGCAAATTCCGATTCCGTGTTCGGTTCTGTTCTAGTCCAAGTGGCAGGCTATTAGCCAGGGTCACTTGGCAGAGGGATCACCGTGAGAAGAACCAGGGTGGGTGGCGATGCACGTTTCTCCACCAAAAGGCTCGGCAGGGGTCTATTAATACTCTTGTACTTGTGATGGCTCCGGCCGATGCTAACGGGAGGTCTGCATCTGCATCAACAATTTCGAAGCTTTACAAAAAAGGGGCGAACAAAGAGCCAGGCAAAACTGAAGTTCGTGGGCGTTGCCAGGGTGGTGAGCTGGTGAGGTAGGGCAGCAGAAGCGTTGCGGTGCAGGGTGTGAAACGGAAGAAATTCATGCGAACGCCTTGAGCCTGACGCGAAAGGGTGACGTTGGAGGGTGCTATTTTGTAGAGGGATTGAGTGTACTTCGTACTTGTAGAATATCACAGCCTAACGCTCGAATTTTGGCGTTGAGTCCAGGATCCAGGAACCAAGCGGAGAAAGAAGTAAAACGAAGGAAGAGAAAGTATCTAACAATTACTTTGTAACTGCTTATCCGAACTCGAAGACCCCAATAATTCCATTTGGTCCTTCGACATCATTCGATAAATTCGACGACAAATTCTGTTGAAGGCCAGCGACAAGTCTATCCTGCTCCTTGCCTTGTGTCCCTTCGAGGTCGTAATTGACCGTTCCTTCAGGGTCTTGTCATCTCATGAATGCCCATCCGTGGTACGACTCTTTACGAAGTACATGCACCTTCGTCGACGGAGGATTACGAAGGACCATTGCCAGGCACAGGACACATCTGTGCTGCCAATGGTTTCTATTTCGAGACTAAACCAAATGTACGAAGGTACCTCGGTACTACGGTACTGCTCTTGTTCAAGAGATCTTGTGCCCAACATCCTGACGCAGTCCTACTTCGACCACGTTCCAGATATTGGATGAGACCCTTAGGAGAAGCTCGGGCCTTCGTCGTAAACCGTCTCAAGATGTAAGTAGCACAACCTTAAGTGTCGGTGCAGCTCTGACGAGAGCTCACAGACACTGGGTTGATGAAGCTGCAGGCATTGCAATACTCGGTATATGGTCAGCCATGCTGTTAATATTCTGCGCCCGCCCCCAAAATCCGAAACATGGGGTTAACGTGAACCCGGGTTTTGGAAGCAGGGATCCCGGCTGGCTATCTCCTTCCCGGAACAGGATGGATAAGGACGCTGAACCTGGAGATAAAGCCCCGATGCGAGGACTGTTGTCTCGCACCCATAGTCCAATGCGCAAGTCCCTGTGTCGATCGCGGGCAAGAGACGTCTCTGAGCAGAAACAGTGATCTCTGGGCTTGTTTGCAGGCCGTTTGCATTCCTGAGGAGTCTACGGGGTCGGAAATCATTATCCCTGAGAAGCCTTTTAATATCCCACGGTGCTTCTAAGCAGGACGAAGGAAAGAAAGGAAAAAAAAAAAAAAAAAAAAACTCGTGAAAAGATCAAGAAAACTGGTGGTAAAATTCGATGATGCCCATAAAGCTTCGAGACAATGACAACCACCTTCGAAGGGAGGGATGTCTGAGCAGTCCCAGTGGTTCACGTCAAGAAGTCGTCATGTAAGTTGAGCGCGTATCTATTGTGAATTAGTATTCGTAATTCGGTGTTTCGTCCTCAAAAGCTGGATCGGCAGCTTACCTCCCGTACCGTTCAATGTTGTGTTCTCACTTCCGCCGCATATATCATTATTCCGACATCGTATTATTATTGAGTGAACATGGGCGTCAATGAATTTGATATTTGCTGCTTAAGGTCCAGTAGTTTGGAATCGGGATTGTAATGGGCTCAGGTTGGGAATCAAGTGCTTGTACTAAAACTGGGCAATGAGTTGGGGGATCGAGCTAAGAGAGAAATGAGCCTACACCGCCTAAATTTTTCTATTTACTGCCGCCTGTCGAATCGAGGCTTCATCAGAAAATCTCATTGATCACTTCACACTATCTCACCGAAAACTTGACGTTTTATATATTTCCCTGGGGACAACAGGAAACTTTTTTCCCTTCTTTCTTCCGCTTATTCCACACCCCAAACCCCCAATTTTCGTTGTTTGAATCGAGACCCACTCTACGGGAAGCAAGTCCGTCTTAAGACAGCTGTGAAAGAACCCCCCATCACTGCCTCGTTGATTCCGAAGCAACGCGGCATTGCCGTGAAGTTCTCGACTGTCAAGGAAAAACTTCACGATGTCGACATCCCGGCCGAACAAGCGACCAGCGGAATCTGACAGCACCAGTTCGAAGAAGAAGCGAAGGAGAAAGGCCAAGGGTAGCGCGGAGGATGACGAACTGATTGACCTTGAGTTGGGCGTGAACGGTGCCATTGCGAAGATGGATAATCAGCTTCTGGCTGATCACCTTGCACAGAGGCTGTCTCGATTTGGAACTGATCTAAGTCCTGTCGAGCTTTCCGATCTTTCCATCTCTGGTAATTTCCATCTCGATCCAGCCTGCACGATCGTGTCCTGAATACGCAAGAGCGAGCTACGGGTCTAGAAGTTATCCACTGACCTTGTACTTGTGTATTAGCTGCCTCGATTAAGGATACCACATCCTGGAAGGAACAGAGGATAACGGACAAGTTTCCCGACTTCCTTGAGAAGTTCGCTGATGAACCAGAGTCTCTTGGGAAGGCGCCAAAGCCATGCGGCACTCCTCACACCCTCATCGTCACTGGCGGAGGGTTAAGAGCAGCCAATGTCGTCAGGTAAGTAACTTGAGACCTTCTTTCCATACTCGTCACCACCGAACGGGCAAGCTAACGTGTGAGCAGAGCTGTGAGGAAGTTTCAATCCAAAAACAACACAGTGGCAAAATTGGTAGGTGGCCCAGCAGACGAACGCCAGACACTTCCATGGGGGCAGCCCTCCGCTTCCAGAATCACAAAACTAACAGCACCTTCCAGTTTGCCAAGCACATGAAAATTGAGGAACAGATCAGCTTTCTAGGGAAGTCGCGAGCCGGAATTGGCGTAGGAACGCCGGCGAGACTGGCAGAGCTCATTGAGAATGGTAGGTAGTGACTTCTGCCGAGATCGAATACTCGAGTATCACTAACACCATATGAACAGGAGCGCTTTCCCTGACCCGTCTGGAGCGAGTCGTTGTAGATGCTTCACATGTTGATCAGAAGAAGCGAGGAGTCATGGATATGAAAGACACGATGATACCCCTTGCTCGCCTTCTCTCTAGGAAGGAACTCAAGGACCGGTATGCTGCTGAAGAGAAACCGATAGACCTGCTGTTTTACTAAGTTAGTCTGAATATTCACATGTTCGAACCATGCATATCTTCGATGTGGATTTTTCTCCTGCCAGTGTGCTCCCCATTAATTGACCTCTAAACCCGTTCCTTCCCAGGTTGGAGTGACCAAGCCAAATCGCAGAGAGACTGCTCTTTCCTTCCCATTCGTGGGAGCTTTCTCCTTCCTACCTCGGTTGTTGAGTGTAATCTACCTCTGCTGTCGAATCCCAACAAGTTCGTTCGAGGTTTTTCGAAGATGCGGAATGGAAATTTCTCTCTAAACTTTTTCTACATCACAATCCGTTGTTCTCATTTTCCGGCAAATTCGTCTCTCTCTCAAGGCGCCTGGGTCGACTGCCGTGTTCTCTCATATTTCCAATCCTGAATAGTGACTCGATTGCTTCCTGCCTCCTTGCTTGATCGCCATGAAGGCAACATTCATTGCTCTCCTTGCAATTGCCTGCTGCGTCGCTGGCAGCATGGTATCGAGCAATGGAATCATTGAAGGTATAGAGCCGAAAAGGTTCACTGAGCTACGATTGTCCTTGCTAACAGCAATGGTTACAAAGAAGGGAAACTCGGTGTCATCCGTGAACATGACGCCGTCGCGGATAGTGACATACGAGTTACGACATCCCAGGTCCCTGCGACTCCCGTAACCACTTCGGGAGGATATAGTCTCAGCTCCTACACGGCTGAATGTCTTTGTAGCAAGATTGCCTCGGAAACCGAAACCACTGCCTGGCCTGCTACCGCCACGGAGGTTGGGGAACCTGCACAAGTGAATGTGACGTCTGTAGTGGATAGCCCGGTCCCAGATGAGAGCCACACGACATATAGCGCGGTCCGGTCTTTGAAGGTCGTCACTGTTACGGTTACCGTTTCGCGCGGGTCCCCGCCGGAGATCCTGACTGAGGCCATCCCTTCACATAATCTGACAGGTACTCCTCTGCCGACCACAACATTCAAGTCTGTCAGGCCATGTCCCCATCATGGTAATGGGGAAAGCAGCTCGGATGCTTCGCTAGACACACCGAAGGCCACCTTATCCACGACTGTGTTTAATGGGACAATCACCGAAGTCCCCACTGAGCAACCAACAGCCACAGGAACGGATGACTCGCACATGGGGGTTGAAGCTGCTCCGGAGGCATCCTCTGCTGGGCAATTTGGTATGGGAGGAGACCTCTTTAATCCCCTTGTTTGGGCTTTCATTTCTATCTGTATGCTTGTTTAGAAACTGGATGCAGGAACCTCACTCAGAGATGGGTGTGGGATGAACGTATTGTTCCGGACGAAGTCGCGGACTCTTGCCAGCATTCTTTTCTTCTTCTTTTTTTTTTTTTTCTCTTCATCTTTGGGAGGAATATGAGAAGAAGGGCTACAACTTTGTATCACATTTATTAAAACAGACCATGGGCTCAAGTCATGTCAAGACATATTGTTCGACACGTTGACCTGAGAGGACTCGAAGATGAATTTCAAAGTCGTGGTGGAACTTCAGTGAGACTTAGACCAGCTATAGAGCAGGTGTCGTCAATTGTCGACGTCCGAAAGGCACTTTTAAGTGGTGGGGTGGTGGGGAATTTTTATTTTTCAGTTTTTCTTTCCAATGGACATTCGCTACTTGCGTACTCGCATTTTTAGTCTTGTTCGAATATCAAGTAGTCCATTCAACGAAGGCTTCAACTCTTGACTCGACACCACGATTTTCCTTCTAACCGTGACGGGCTGAGCCTGCGCACCTCGTGTCACTCGTCTGTTGTCCGCAACAACTCACCGATCGAGACCGTCCGTATCCACGATCATCCACACCCTATACTAAGATACGACGAGCTACCTGCGACCCGTGATATATACTCTTGTGATATAACGCAGACCAAAACATGGGCAAACGCAATCGGGAAAGCCTGGGCGAGACCTCCGCCCAGGCATACAATGGCGAGAAGACCAAGAAACGGAGAAAAGATGGAGACGGGTCTGAGAAGAAGAGGAACAAGAGGTTGAGGGAGCTCAAGAAGGACATTGCGGACTTGCCGGAGGCTGATGCGGAAGATGTCGCTGAAAAGGAGGCTGTTGTTTCCGGTGGTGATGCGGTGAATGGGAAGGGTGAGGGTGAGGTGTTGTCTAAGAAGGCGGAGAAGAAGAGGAGGAAGAAGGAACAGGCTGAGAGGGAGGCGCAAGAGGTGAATGGGGAGGAAGAGAAGATCGTGGTAGACGAGGATGAGAGCAAGTCGAAAGAAGGGAAGAAGAGCAAGAAGAGCAAGAAAAAGGCCAAGAAGGCGGCAGCGGCCGCCGCCGAGGAGGAAGAAGAAGAAGAAGACGGAGGAGTCAAGGTGACCGAGCAGGAGTCGCCAAAGAACGGTGCGCCTGCTGAAGAGGGAGCCGATGAAGAGGGTGAAAACGAGGCCGGAAAGAAAGGAAAGGCTCCGCGATTTATCGTCTTTGTTGGTATGTTCTCTCCCCCAGTTTGTCCCTTCAGTCTCGAGTCACACAATTTCTTAACACCCAGCTTTTCTCTACAGGTAACCTCCCCTACTCTGCCACAGCCGAATCCATCCGAGCGCACTTCGCCTCGCTGAACCCTTCCGCCGTCCGCTGCCTCACGAAACGAGACGATCCCACAAAGTGCCGCGGCTGCGCCTTCATCGAGTTCTCGTCGTCCAACAACATGCGGACGTGTCTGGACAAGATGCACCATTCGACCTTCGAGGACGGAAAGTCCAAGGCCCGGAAGATAAATGTCGAACTGACGTATGTCTCTCTATATAACCCTTCCTTTTTCGCCCCTTCTTCTAGTATTGGAAATTCGAAAAAAAAAAAAAAAAATGTATAGCTAACGGGGTTATTTGTGCTTTTCAGGGCCGGCGGCGGCGGTAAAACCAATTACCGCATGGACAAAATCAAGAAGAAGAACGAGAAGCTAAACGTGAATCGCCTCAAGCGCATCGAGCGGGAGAAAGAGGAGAAGAAGCTCGCGAAGACCGAGGAAGCGACCAACGGCTCCGGCGGCATGGAGGAGAGCATGCATCCTAGTAGGAGGGCTCGCATGTAAAGCTGGGATGCCGACTAAAGAGGTGACTGAATTTCCTTGTTCTTGCCTTTGTTTTCCTTCTTTGTTTTTTGTCCCCCCTCATGGGTTTCGTTGTTACTCGTCGATCTGTTTGGAGTTTCTATCACTGAGTATGGTCTCTCTTCTGAGGCTTGCTGTCTGACCCTGTTCTACCGACCCATTCATTATTAGTTTAATGATACCCGTCTATGTAATAGATCGAAATTACGTGGAATAGCAATGACGACGCTTTAAGTGACATGGCATGAGCGGTAGGCATGAGCCCAGGTTGGATTGCAACTTTCTTTTCAAATGTTACACTCATCTGCATACCGCGAGGTATGCCTTAACATCAGACTGCTGCTGCCTCTTCGTTTCCATCTTCTCTACATACACACAGCTGGCCGGCTTGCGAATTTAGGTCTTGTGGGCACTTCTTTTCAGCCCTACTTTGACAAGAGAGCTGTTTGTTGGCTTTGTTGCAACCTCGGGCCCCGGCTCTCACGCCGCCACAAAGACAGAGGCCCCAGGAGGTCCACATAGCTATCCAACAGTGGTACAGGCATCTGGGGAAAAGCCCATCTTCATGCGGAGGTGGGTATTGGGGCGGAGACGACAGCAGAGACAAGAAGTAAAGACAGAGAGAGAATCAATCAAGCAAACAACGCCAGTGCTATAATTTCAAGAACTTCGGAAATATTCAAGAGAGAGGCTAGCTAAGTGTGGGATGAATGCAGCTGATGAAACCGATAAATCAACAGAGATTGATCCAGTTTTGTATAAATGAAACTTACTTCTTCCCAAGGCTCGCAAAATCAACAACATACTCATGAATTCCAAAAGAGAAAGAGGAAGAAGACGCGGTGCAAGAAAAGAACAAGTCGAAATTGAATAAAAAGGGAAGCACCGGCTCCGCGTCCGTCCTGCTTGTTTTCTTTGGTTCCTAGCGCCTTGACATGTGGGGAGTTCGGTAGCGGTAGTCGAGCGACAGAGCAGATATGGCAAGGCCAGCAAGACAGCTCCCTAGCACACTGGAAGTAGTGTCATCTCGAGAATGCGTAGTGGTAGTCGAGATATCACAAGATCATCGTCGTAGGTCATCGTTCGTCAAATCGTCGTCGAAAGGGTGTGCTGTCTAGAAAAGTGCAGAGTCTATCCCTCGAGTAGAAGCGGCTTGAAGCAAGAATGAAGAAGTTTGTCCGTTTAGTGTATACGACCCGTTAACCCAACCCCCCGCAAGTCCGATGGTCGAAGAAACAAGTCGGGAATATATGTACCGTCCTGGACGCCGTTCCGGAAAAGCAGTATACTGTGCACTGAGTGATGAAGGAAGAAAAGAGGGCTGGCAAGGAGACAAAATCGGGCATCGGCGGGTAGGCCATTTAGAGAATCGTACACTTGGACTTCTTTTGCTTGACCTGGACGGGTCGGGGGTTGAGAACGGCGCTGTAAGATTGTCAAGTTAGTAAATGTTCAGTGCCAATGGCTTCACATTCAACCACCTGTCCGGAAACCTACCGAATGGCCTCGTCAAACACGCTCTTGAGGTTGCGCTGTGTCAGGGCAGAGCACTCGAGGTATTTGTGGGCCTTGATTTCCTTCGCACAGAGCAAGGCCTGGTCGTAGGATACAGGTTCCATGCGCTTCTGGCGAAGGGCATCGAGCGTGGCGGGGTCTTCTCGGAGGTCGAGCTTGGTACCAACAAGGATGATGGGGATATTAGGGGCATGATGGTCGATCTCGGGATACCACTTAAAAGAACACGACTCAATTAGCGACGCGGCTCTCTAGAAATTGGCGGGGCACAAGGCAGAAAGGGGGTTAACCTAGCTGCATCGTGGTTAGGGGGTTCCTTACCTTGGCCTTGACGTTGTCGAAGGATGGGGGGCTGACGATAGAGAAGCAGATCAAGAAGACATCGGTTTGGGGGTAGGACAGAGGCCTGAGCCTATCGTAATCTTCTTGGCCGGCCGTATCCCAAAGTCCGAGGCTGATAGGCTTGCCATCGACCATCACGCTCGCAGAGTAGTTATCGAACCTATTCAGACAAAAGATCGCGCTGTTAGGCACAGTGGGCTCTCTCGTTGGATGGAGCGGGGGTGTCGAGGGGGTCAAACGTACACAGTGGGGATGTATTCGCCGGGGAAGGCATTTGTGGTATAAGAGATGAGGAGGCATGTCTGCGGGAAGCGACAACGAGTTAGGAATGCGATAATTCTCGAGGGATAGCTGAGATGTTCCAATGGTGGTTTACCTTGCCGACCGCACCGTCGCCCGTAACGACGCACTAGATAGTGAAATGTTAGCATCAACCAGCGGAGGCTGAGAGAACGAGGCAACAGGAGCATTTCGGGCTCCGCTGGAGACTGGACGTACCTTCAGCGATTGTACACCGGACTGAGCCATTTCTTCGATCTTGCGTGCCTCGAGAGCTCTGACGTGTTTTGGATGGATGAAAACGAAGTTGGAAGTTGGGAGGAAGCGGTGTGGTATTACGCCCGGATAGAAGGTCGTTGTCTAGTCTAGAGGGCCTTGCGACAGGGAAGCCTTTGTTAGGTATTTTTAGCTCCTTGGAAGCACACAGCGTACAAGGGGGGGTTGAACAACTCGACGCCAAATGGGCTCTGGTCGACAAGAAGCAATGGGCAGGAACAGAAGAGAAATAAAAATGTCTGCAGGGCGATGTTGTCTTACCTTTTGATCTATGTTTGATTCGAGTCAATGTCGGCTCAGTGGGATAAGTTGGAGAGCAGAGTCGAGGGGAGGTTGTATTGGGGGGTTGGAAATTTGTGGTGGTGCGTCGCTGGTCCTGCGAGCAAGCACAGCAGAAGCAGAAATACGGGGAGGGGAGCAATCTGAGAATGCTGAAATGGGATGGTCCAGACCAGGGATTGCCTGGAAAGGGAAGCGGCTGCGGGTGCTGTTAAGGATCGAATGGAAGGCGAGAAAGAAGCACTTTGGTCTTGTCTAGTGGAAGCGGAGCAGAGCCTGGCTAGTCCGCTTCCTAGTCGTAAAGCACAACGCACACTCCACACTAATACATCAGTACTTCGTACCTTAGCACCCTTCCTCGGTATCGGTATCAGTACTGCATGAAGTTAGAAACGTTTTGATACAACGGAACAGATAGCTGCCGCAAGTACGCGTGAGATGAAGCTGGGGTGGGACGGTTAAAGGAACATTGACATTGACTTTAGCATTGGACCTGAATGCTGCCAATGTACAAGTACACTACCAAATACAGTGCAAAGTCGAGCTCCCCTTCCGGTAGACGTAGGCGATTGGGCCCTGGTTATGAGTACTTCTACAAGCCCCTTGCTTCGGCAAAGTACAGAACATGAAGGGTTGGAAATGGGGCCTGCTCGAAGGGGGGTTGGAGGTGGAGAGTGCACCAGATCATTGATTGATGATTGATACCTTTGCTGGGACTGGCACACTGCTGGACGAGTGTAGGCATCGTTTGCGGTAGCCTGTACATTAAACCGGGCGTTTGAGATGATATACCGGTATTGATACATCGACCAATTGATCACAGCACCATTGACCAAAGAGAAGAAGAGTCGAGACGTCTGGTTCCAGAAGCAGACACTGCGCAGATGCACCCCTTGTGACAACGCTAGCCCACCACTCCTACCTTCGTACACTAAACCTTGGTCTGTAGATTAATCCACCGCTTAAAAGTGACCTGTGCTCCAAGACGAAATCTTAGCCCCAGCTTGTAGTTTAGTTTACAATTGTGAAGTACTCCGTACTGTGGTGTGCTTCGTAAGTTGAGATTGTCGCCTCCGTATCTCAATCCCACAGGACTTACACAGGTAGAATGGTCCCTTCTTCCCATCCGGCGACTATTTTCCCTTTCTGAACGAAGGGATCGATCAATGTGCAGGACCGGTGCGGATGTGCTTATGTGTGTTTGCCACTGGAGCAGTGCAGCTGGTGTTTCTTAAGCGAGCTTTCCTAGGGGTACGCCTCAAGTGCTCAAAGAGGGATTATGGTAAGTCCAAGAGTGCGATCTGGGATCTTGATATTTGGCCCCTCTCCTCTCAAATCGGATCTATTTGGTTGAGTGGGGCGACCGGCAGAGTATTGCCATCTCATTTATTAAGGTTCTTCTGTCCTACTACACTCGGAGGATACTACGGCACTATCGTGAAGATTCCTGGGCAGAAATGCTCCGTCCGAATGGTCACCAGGGCCGTGATTCTGGCGCTCCCTCATCCCAAGCCCCATACTTGGTTGGTATAAGATGGTGAACCAAGAGACCCTGCACCCGTTTTAATCGAGGCAGTGATACTTTTTCAGGCCTCAATTCATATGCCTATGGTCGACCTGTCCAATCTAAGGCCGGCAAGGGCCTCACCAATCCTGGATAGGCTGCACCTGCCATGGATTGAGATTCTTCGGCTGCACAGGCCGCAGACCGCAGGGTTGGATGGTTGGAAGATGTCTGGGTTTGAGGTGGGATCCGAGGGGGTTCTCACGAGCAGGTTGGGAGGGTGGGGCATTCGAGGACGGGGCTGCCTGGTGGTGTGAGGTCTGTGAGTACTCCGTGTAAGTGCCACCTTTGGGGCACTGGCTCGACACCAAGGTCCAAACACAACCAGCGAGGAGTTCGTGGACCCTAAGAAGCCACCATCCACCCACCCCCTTTAGTTTAGAGACCGATGGAAAGGCGGGAGCATGTTTGCCTCAGTAGACTCGACGCTCGCGATACTCGAAAGCTGGCTGTGATTCCACGCTAAGCCCGAGCAGAAATGGCAACTCCCCCAGAGAGAGACAAAACGCGACAAAGGGGGCGGACCTTTTTCTTCTTTTCCCTCGACCGACCAGTCGCAGCCTATTGAGAAGAGCAAGCGGATTGAAGTTGGGCGCTTTGTCAACCCATCAAATTCCACATCGAGGAGTGGTTTCGTCGACGAACCAATGATACTAGGTTTTGCACCTCCTTGACGGCTCCTTTACCGTCCCGTCGACCAATTGTCTGATTATACTCCCACGACTATCCGTCCGGTGGGCATGATTTCGCACGAACGATGCCGATGACACGGTGATTGGATTGGTGGGAGGCGAATGGCATCACTCAGTTCGTACGAACTACGGCAAATTCATGTGACGTGTGTGAGCGGAAGGCTGGAAGCCATCGGCGATTGCTACCCTGCCTCTTCGGCTTGGCGAATAACCCACGGAGCTTACACTCATCTTGTTGACAGGCTGGGGTGAACTTCCATGGGTGTTGCGGCTTTGTTCCAGAATGGAATGCTGCTCTCCCTACAAGCCTCAGGTCTGAAATCGTCTCTCATCGCCAAGCAATTTATCCTTGCCATGACACTGCAGTTACTCAGCGAAGCGATGTTCGCTTGGGACAATATCGGGTCCCATTCGATCAGATAGACACACGACTACGATCCTACGGCTCATCGACCAGTATCGGCTAGGCCAAGAGTATTTGTGTTCACGGCCTAATACTTCGCTAGGTCACTATAAATAGCTGTGCTCCAAAGTATATATATGTTCAGACCACTAAGACCCCAGAGCTCCTACCAGAACCCCCCTTCCAGTATGTCGAGGCGGAGGGAGGTCCAGACGTCCATTTTGATGCATGTCTTGTAACAAATCGGCGTCGTACCTAGTTCGGAAGGAGTCTTCCAAGGGGCTCTGCAACCACTGTAAGCCTAGGTCAGGGCGGGAAGCTAGCGGCGGTGATTCGTCGATTCGAGAATGACCTGCGACAATCATGAACCCCTAGAACGACCGAGCGAATCTGCTCCTGTTCTGCTTTCCTTCCCAGCGGGGCGATGATGTATTCATTCAAGAGCGCGTGAGAGATTGGACATTGCGCACTCCACTTGAGCCAAGGAGCGCCGGGAAATTTTAGAGTCAAAGACCCATGAAACTGTTTCTCTACTGCTCGAGTGCATTTTGGACCCATTGATCGCCGTCGAATTTGATAAAGTTTGCGTCCAGCTATGGCCGCTTACAAACTTGATTGATACCGTATTCTTACGGCTTGGGCTTACCTTAGATGCAAGAGATTATGCATCAACAAATGCTCCGAAATGGGCAACTGAAGGTCGAGTGTCGTGCCACACTGAACTCGCATTGTCCATGATCTTCTTACTCGTTGGAGGGAGCGAGAGTTGCTCCTTCAAAAGCGAACAGTCGAGCATCATGGGAACTTCATAGCTTGGGATATTCCGGATTATTTCCGAAGCCAATTGAGAACTACCCCACTATGAACATGTACCCTTGTACCTCGTCCGCAGCCTTATCGCTCACACGCGTGCACTCCAAAGCGGGAAGACGCGTTAGCTGCAACAGCACTGCATCGTGAACCGACTTACAGCAGCTTACGATCTGCGAAATATCTTCTCCACCAGGTGATATCGAAGCTAGCTCGGTGACTCCTTTCCGTATGCGTTATCGTGAAAGGTCTTTAGGCGCCCTGGCAAGGACGTCATACTAGCCAGACGATTACCTCGACCGTCATCTTTCCGCCGCCGAGATGTCTACCCCGTCGAACACGACAACGCCAACAGGCCCGCCCTCAAAAATAACGGTAGTAACTCCCTCTCGTCGAGCCTTTAGCGCAGATCCCCCATCCCGAGGCTCAACCCGAAGATCCATCCATACGCCCCTCAACAACACAACCGCCCGCGATCTCCTCAGCTCAGTTCGATACGGCCAATCCGCATCTGGACGAAAACCCAATGCTCCAACCCCACATGCCCGCGCGGCCATTCGCGCCCTCGATCTTCGCCGCGCGACAATCTTTACGCCTGGGAGGAGCCGGAGGCGTAGTATGCGGGAGCAGCGGGAGACGCCCAGGGACATATTGCGTGCACTGGGCCAGATGCTAGCTCCTACATCGCAGGCCATTGCCTCTTCATCTTCGCCCGGAGAGGAGAGGAGAACGTCCCTAGCCAAGGTACTCGAGGAAGACGATGACGACTCGTTGCCGATTGATGCGCCGCGGTTATCGTTACCAATAGATGTGGATGACGATTCGGATCTGCGACCTCCTCGATCGTCTGGCTTGGAGGAAGAAAACTATACAATGCAATCCGTCGAGTTCCCCCGGCGGGCTTACAGTGAACAACCCTCTCGATTGTCGAGGGGAAGCTTCGGAACCGTTGATTTGAGCGATGTTACCGGGACAGTTAATCTGGATGGCGGCGATGACCGCGCAAACTTCCCCATAATGACGTTTGAAGACTGGGGGTTGGGCGCGGCGTTGGGGGATATCACATTCGAACGGTATGTGGTTTGGGGTGCGGTCCACCTCCTGGTTCCAACCAAAGGCACTAATTTCTCCTTAGCATCGATGAAACCGAGGGAAGGCGGACAACTCTGGCCCTCAATTGTGAGAGTGGCGTTGGTCTCGATGTCATCACCGATGTGAATGAGAGTACATTTATGATGAATCTTGAACCAGCTCCTCGCGATGAGTCCTCTGTACCTCCACTAGAAGCGAGTGACAACGAGGGCGAGGCGCCGCAGTATGACGGCGACGAGTGGCCGTTTGGTTTTGAGGACGAAGAACCCGTCGAGGAGGGGAAGGAGGAGGAGGACGCCACAGAAGCAGTGGTGGAAGGGCAAGTACCCCGGAGGAAACGAAAGCGCGGCCCCAAGCTATCCCAGTACGGCATCGAGTACCCATCTCTTCCTCCGGCAGTAATCAAGCGGTTAGCACAAACCTTCGCCCAGACCAGTGGCGTAGCGAACACGAAGATTACGCCAGACACACTCGATGCTCTATCTCAGGCGACAGACTGGTTCTTTGAACAAATTGGGGACTCCCTCCAGGCCTATGCGAAACACGCTGGACGCAAGACTATCGATGAAAGTGACGTTATTACGTTAATGCGAAGGTATGTCTCGTCTATTTTTTTTTTTCGCCCTCATAATCTAGGGTATCAGAAAATGTTACATCTAGTACGAAAGATGAGTGGTCTAATATTGTTACACTTTATACAGGCAGCGCCAAGTAGGTCCCTCTACGACGCCGTTTTCGCTGGCGCAGAGGCATCTACCAAGAGAATTGCTCCAGCACCTCCGAATGCCAGTTCCCGTCCCTGCCAAGAAACGTCGGCGCAAGACTGCCGACAACCCAGAAGAAGAAGAGGAGGAGTGATGTGTGGCCCATTTGTTTCCCCAGATCACCAGTTCTTACTCATGCGCACTCGCTTTGCTATTTCGGAGGAGGGTTTCTTCGCCACCATGTATAACATAATTGATGTCGCGAGGCAGAGTCCATACCTGGAAGGGATTGTTAGTTTTACGGCGTTCAGGAAAATGGGGAAAGTTGGGGTGTGATACCAGGTAAAGATATATTGGGCATGGTTATTTCTGATGTTCACGACAGGCGGCCGCCCGATTGGTATACCACGGGCCTGGTAGTCGGCTAGGAGGAGGTATTCGGGGACTGTGTTGATATTGGGGTTAGCGGTTGATAAAAAAAAGATGGTTAATGACATGGGACTATGATTGCAGCACACACCTAGTGTCGCTTCCACCCAGATGGGCTGGCTGTTTACCAGCGCGGCCATTTGCTTGACATCCGGGAAGTAAAACTCCCACTTATCTGGCCGATTGTTGGGAGTGAACATGTTCTTCTTCCACGGCTCTCTCAGCAGGCCCTCGACGGTCACCTCGTCACGGACAAGAGACTCAGGTCTCGTCTTCTGATCGGCAAACCTTTTCGCAATCCAGCCCCTATTAACAAGAATCGTGGTCCCATCGCCCTGACGTTCCAGCGGCGTAATAACCTCGTAGCCTTGCTCCCCATCCCTCATCCTCGGCCCAATAAGCATCTCCCGATCATGGCGGAACCGCCCCGTCGCAAGGATTCGCCTGTAGTCAAACTCCGAGACAACAGAAGGGTCGATATGCGGCGGTAACGGTAGAGGATCACGCGTGAGACGGTCCTCGAGCTTCGCGAGGAGTTCCGTCTTCCATTCTAGACGCTTGACCTGCCACGTTCCGAGGGCGAAGGCTGTGACGGGGATGAGGGCGAGGAAGAGGATGCCGACGCCGTGCTTGCGGCCGGAGCGGACGAGTTGCGGGGGTTGGTCGACCAGGGAGATGAAGTCGCGCTCTTCGACGGGGTCGCGGCGGGAGCGTGGGGTGGTTGAGAAGTTGGGGCCGCGGCCGGGGGAGGGTTTAGGGACTCGGAGGCATTGGGTGAGCGGGGAGGAGTGGGAGCTCCGGAGGAGGCGGAGGGGTTGGAATAATAACCCCTTGGCGGCGCTCATGGTGGAGGGGAGTCGAGATGGGCAGAGGGAGATCTCGGCTGGTAAGGAACTTTTCGAGATGGAGAAATCTGGTGACGCTCATGGGAAGCTCATGATGTAAATGGTACCGGGAGAATATCGGCTCATCTACACCACGGCGACTGGACATCGATCCAACATTCACCATCCCAACATATATCAATCAGAAGATAGTTCTATTTAATAGTATCAATATCAGATTAAGCCATTGATTACGTCTATCTCACACCGGTCGTTGGAGCCGATCAGAACCAGCCCCGTGTCTTGAAGTACGAAGCTGCTGTGAGGACCCTGCTGCTGGCTTGAGAGTTACGCCTGTGATAGATTGATGCTTCACACTTTGCCATGATTACTGGTGATGGATTACGCTAGATTCTCAATAGCTATAAGGAAGTCCGCCGGGACATCGATTGGTCGCTAGGAATATCTGGGAATATCTGGGAACGATAAAATTGAGAGTTCGACTCGTATAATGTGGTGGGAGCTTCAGCTTCTGGTGGTGGAACGTAACTGCCTGAAGCTTCTGAACAATTGAAATTTCAACGGCCCAATTATAAGCCGACGCCCATGGAGTGGCAACAACTGGACACTTAACCTCATCACTCACTTCGATCCTCCAGCGCTGTTCTTCAGCAATCAACGTTCGTCCATTGACGGTCGCGGAATTGACAACCAACATCTCTATTTTCATCCCAGCAAGATCGAGACCGAACCAGTCTTACATTTTATCGAGCGCGATGTTTTTCTCCGGGTCTTTGCAAGAGGCCCTTGCCTCGGCGGTTCAAAATAATAAAGCAGTCGTCTGTTTCGTCACAGGTGAGTGCTGCCTCTAATGTTGGAATGCATGCCTGCTGTTGGTGAAGGACACCTCACTAACTGCACCCTTAGATGATGGCGATGAAAGCCAAACCTGGGAGAATGAATATTTGAAAGAGGAGTCCGTGAGTACATGAATTTATAAAATTCTTGCGTTGTAATAGATTCTAACTTTGAATGATAGATTGACAATGCCATCTCCTCAAAAACAGTGGCCCTTCGATTGAAGACTGGTAGTGAAGAGGCGGGTTATTTGGCCGCCATCTTCCCTATACCAAAAGTTCCTACTCTTGTCATCCTCAAAAATGGCCAGCTCAAAGAGTATATCGCCGCAGGCACATCAAAGGATGACTTTACCAATAGGGTCCAGACTGCTCTTGACATACTACAACCAGAACCAGAGTCAGCATCTGCAGCACAGGAGACTACCCCTTTGACCGCCCCTGCTGCCACTACCGTTGCTCCTACTACCCCCAGTACTGCTAGCAGTGCTACCGCCCCGACGCCAGCCCAAGATTCGTCAGAAGCAGAACAAGACCCTGAGCCACAAGTCTCGACCGTCTCAGAAATTTCACGGCCTACTCCTGCCTCCTCGAGCACGCCCCAAACCACCACCGAGAGCAGCTCAAGCTCTGTCCACGCAGTGCTAGCTGAACGTGCAGCAAAACTGAACCAACAGCGAGAGGAAGCCAAGAGGAAGGCTCTCGAAGCCTACGCGCGGAAAGCAAAAGGAAAGGAAAAGGAAACAGACCCCGAGTCTGACGACACGGGTAAATATCGGACGCCAGAACAGAAGAGGCTCGCCGACGATATCAAAAAGAGGCAGAAAGAAGCAGCTGAAGAGCGTAAGCGCATTTTGAAGCGCATCGAGGACGATAAGGCCGACCGCCGAGCGGCCCGAGAAGCGGCGGTGCGTGAACCCACATCTGGTGAGGTGGCTGCTGCCCTCGCCACCGTGCCGGCGACAAATCTAGCGAAGCCTAGTAGTAGCCTTACGGCCCTAGTTGTTCGTCTTTCCGACGGATCGACAATACGAAATCGATTCCCGAATACCGCAACCCTTCTCCATGATGTCCGAAAGTGGGTAGATGAAAACCGGAAAGACGATGTCAATGCTCCCTACGGATTCAGGGTTGTTCTATCGCCCACTTCCACCAGGGTCATTGAGGAAGCCGAAGAGGGCAACAGCCTAGAGGACCTCGGTCTGTCACCCTCGGCAACGCTTGTTCTCGTTCCAGTCCAGAGAAGATCAAGATCGTCTGCGAGTGGTAGTGGAGGTCTCTTCTCGTGGCTATATGCCCTCATTCTCTCATTCTTTTCTACTATTTTCAGCAGCGGCCCTCCTCCTAATCCGGCACCCGAGGAGATCGAGATGAGAGATCTCGGCTCTCAACAGCAAGCGCGTACTACCGGTGCAAGGGTCCAGACTCTACATGATACCGAACAACGGCGAAGGCGGGATCATCAACTCTACAACGGGAACTCGGTATGTCTCTTTACAATCTTCCCAGGCGAGTAATAGCTACTAACATGTGACAGTTGAACTTCGAACCACGCCCGGATGATGAGGAATAGGCTTTGACCGATGCCTTGATCAATAATAAGAGGGCACTTCAAGTGTAATACGAATAAGGATGCGGGCATGTGCAAGATTTGTATTTATACAGTTGTAGTAGTTTTCATGTAATATCGAAAGCGGAGAGTCGAATTGCACCGCCCGTTCTATGTGTATCGTATCAAGTTATTATTCCCAAACGCTCCCAAGACCATTTTATTGCACAATTTTCTTTTCTCTTAGTACTGGCTAGCAGCAGCCTGGCAAGCTTTCTATTAACAGGACAATAACATTAGCATACTACTCCAACTTAACAATAACGGATGTAGCGGGAAGCCGATGAACGTACCAATTGCTCAAGGTACCAGTTGCAAATCTGCATGTTGCCACTGTGGTCATCCATGCACTTGGTGAACTGTTGTGCCGCACCAGCGCAGTTGTTCTGGGCCTGCTGGCTTTGAGTCTGGACGTTCGCCGCGGGAGCAGCCTCAACGGGCGCGGGCGCAGAGCTGCCGCCGCTGAAGAGGCCACCGATGGCATTACCGACAGCGGAACCGATCGCGACACCACTACACATCATCAATGTTAGTCTCCACCGTCATCAAGAACCACCAACTTCGGGAACAAGCCAGAAGAGAAGAAAAAGAAAACTTCGAGGAAAAAAAAAGACGTACGCGGCGGTGCTGGCCATCTGTCCGAAGAGGCCGGGGCCCTGGGAAACCGCGGGCGCAGGCGCGGGAGGAGCGGCAGCCTGGGCAGGAGGAGCAGCCATCGTGGCGGCAGGTCGGGATTGTGCAGGAGGAGCCTGCGCGGGGACGGTAGGACGGGCGGGGGCGCGCATGCCCGTGGAGCGAGAGGTGTTTCGGCGAGGCATTTTTTTGGAGGATTGTTGTGTGGGTTTTTAGTGGGATTGGAAGGTTTTGGCCGTTGTTTAGGTCGAAGGGCGAGAAGATTGAGGTGTTCTTTTATGTTGAGATGGGTGGAAGTTGGTCGAAGATTTTCGGAGCTTGCTTAGCGGATATTATTTTGAATACCGAAGTACTGAGGTACTTATTTCCGGGATGAAGTCGGGAATTGCCACCCTCTGATTGCTCCAAAATTTATCACGTGCACATTCCTCTGGTCCCGAGCCTCTATTAATAGTCTGTTGTTGCCTTATTCCAACGGCAATCTGACAATTGGTCAATTGGTCAATTGATGTATTGATGTATCGAGTAATATTCCTCTAAAGAAGAGCCTCTCCCGCCTCGGTCATCATCAAGAATTCCACCAAATCCACCACTTCATCAGCGACATCAGCGAATCCCGCCAGCCTCGGCGTCTCCAATCCAGCCGCGCGTCCTCACCCTTGACCGGAAGATCCATTCCACTCCTTGCAGTTGCTCAGGAGGTGCTGAGGGTCGCAATTTTTCTCATCCCCAAGCTTGGTGAAGAAAAAGTCCGATATGTGCTAGCCATCGACGCCACTGATACTTGCACCCTTCCATTGCGCAAGCTCTTGGCAGATGTTGGCAATACGACCCACGTAGTCGCGTCTTGTCATCTCGTCTATCTCGGGCCATGCTTCGCTAAGTGTCCGGCCCTGCAGTTTACTGAGGGCAATGTAATATCGCCCGTTGAACTCGGTATGGTAATGCACGTTTAAGATATCTAAGCTGCGAGGGCCATTTTTGTGAAGGTAGTCAAAGAGTTAACATGCTCCCGCGTCGCTGTTAGTATAATAACCTCTTTTACTTTGATAAACGCTACGCCGACGCGGCAGACTGCGGAGAGACCTCCTGCATCGTAGACTTTTTGGAGTTCGCTCGTCTGGGAATGGCCGAGACTCAGGAATGGAAATGGCCTCTGAAAGGGCAAAGAACGAACCGTCGCCGTCACTCCACGAAGGTTGATCAAGTCGAGGTGAGCGCTGCCGAGAGAGCAGCGGTTTGTTTGCAATTATCCATGAATTATCGTCGACCTCTCGTATCGAGCTGTTGACGGGATGCGTATTCGCCATCGTAGTTTCAACGAGTCCAGGCAGTCAAGCTCTACGCATTTAGACGATACAGAGAAGAAGCCAGAGAACCGTTTAGAGAGGCCTTAGTAAGAAAAAGTCTATCACAGAAGCGAAGGCTAAGAAAAGGCCGATTCGTTCTCTCAGTATTAGGGGGGCGGTTCGAAAGGGGAGAAGGCCGAGTTCATATTCTCAATTACCGTTCTTCAGTGTATTATTCTCCTTCTCCATGGCAAGCCAACATGGTTCCGAGTTGATATGGTTGATTTCAAATGAACGACATGTTGAAGCCTGTCAGCGCTTAGCATTTACAAGGTCATTGAAACCTTCAAATCTACTTTCACATCTTGGACTTACCCAAGGCATTTTGATTAGGCATCCATGTACGAAGTATCAACATCAAGATTGAATGGTGTAAAACTTGATGATTAATATATCATACGAAGAAAGCGCGTTGTGCAGCTCCGCTGCTCCGCTGCACAGAGTCGACATTCAAGCGATAAGACCCGCGGTTTGGTTCCGGTGGCGTGTGCTGCAGCTGGGCAGGGATCGATCAACTGATCATTGATCAATTGAAACAGCTTGAGCAATTCTCATATCGCTCAAAGCATCATTGATCTCAATCATCACCATATCCCTTCAGCGCACCGTCCATCGTCAAGATGATTGTGCGAGTAGCTCGAACCCTCCGTCCCCTCCGTCCGGGCCGACTTGCGTTCGCCCCTCCTCGGAGGCGATATTTCTCGGTAAAGGCCATCTATTCCACTTTTCCTGCCACACTCCACTATTACAGTCCACGCCCAGGGTCAAGGCTCTATGATCACAGAGAATACAACAGCGATCCAGACAATCTCCATGATGAAGGGGTAATTGTGGATGAGGACGGTCGCGTGTACCCACACGCTACGGGATCAGGTAGGGAGCCTCTATCACTGCACCTAGACGTAAATGACTGAACAATTATGATAGGAATTTCCAATGGTGCCATCATGCAACCCAATACCTTTTCGATGCAGGAAATCATCCGTCAGAACTATGATGAGGCTATTGAGCGAGAGGAAGAGGGAGGAAGTGCCGAGACACCCTTTGTTTTCACCATTCCCAAAGGTCGCGAAGTTCCTTGCTCTCTTTTCATCCTAGACTAACAGAACCGCGTGTACAGGAACACCTATCCCGGGCCATCTGATTCTTATCAATGAGTACTTGGCTAGGTTCTCCCTTCAACCGTCCCGCGCCATGTCTCTCAAAGGTGAGGCAATACTGAACCGAGCTGATTAAAAAATGACATTAACACCACTCTAGAACTGAATCGATCGTTGGACGAGTTTTATGACAAGAACGCCATTAAGGAAACCCCGGGTGACTGGATAGACGGGCACCCTTACGAGGACGCCTTGGATGAAGGGCTCGATGAAACTTGGATGGCTAAATGAGAGTCGGACCGTCGAACCCACAAGCTTCGTTTCTTCAACTAGGCTTCTATTATCCTAGCTTCCGGGCACGGGCGACTCAGATGAGCGGAGACGATACTCCCAAGTTACCGGAACGCTAACATGCAAGTCTTCGGGTCTATGGTCGGTCTCATCTATCTTTCGTTGCTTTCGTGTCTTTCGGGTGTATACTCTAGCGAAGCCTCAAGTCTATTATCATATTTCGCGTAGAGCAGCACTATGGCAAGAGTCTCGAGAATACCACAAGACCGCAGTTTCCCGCTGTAAATGCATCATGTGCTAGTCCAAAAGGGGAGTCAGGAGTGAGTATGGAGTGAGGAGGGTAGTGTACATAATATACATAAGAGGGCGCAGATTGACAGGCCGGGCTGGATGTACGACCATCAGTTGGGTTAACCTATTTGATCCACTCAGTCGCCTTGGGATATTCCTTGAGCCACTGATCCCTCGTGAACACTCTACCGCGACTCATCAGGAACTGCGTTATATGTTCGTCAAGTTCTAGCCGCGGTCAGCCAGCAAGAACGGCAACTGTGATATTGGGAGGAGCTCATTTACCGCCAAGGCTCATTATTCTCGCCGGCTGAAGGGAGTAGTGGTCTGTTCGCTCGTGGACGAGAAGTAGGTCATCCGGAAGTGTCGTCCCTAAGTGTTGTTAGCCACAGCAGCAGACACTTCATTGACCAGAGGAAAGGCCATTACATAGAGCAGTGACAGCATCGTTGATGAGAGTTCTCGGTACGAAGAATAGTTTAGAAATCTGGCTCACCTTTTGCTATCGAATACACAATCACCTCGTCGCCTTTAAACCTCCAGGACACTAAGCTCTGCTGATATGGTGTATTCGGCCTTAACGACGCGCCGTTTGGAGCTGGAGGAGAAGTCAGTGAGGTACGTACGGGCATCAATCAATCTGATGCATTCAGGAACTACACAGCCCACTCACCTACGTATTTCAGAGGGTTAAGCGCCTTCGGCTCGACGACTCCATTCTCCGCGAAGATATCGTAAACATGCCGCCGGGGCTTCCAGGCTCGCAGCCGGACTGTAAGGCCGTTGTTTACTCGGAAGAGCTCTAACGGAAATGTTCTGAAAACGCTGATCAAATTAGGTGGCATCTTACCGCCCAATTCAAAGGGTTGGACTTTTGGGAACCACGAGATCTCCTCCTGGATGGCGAGGCCTCTGAATTTCGGAGAGAATGGTGATAATGAGAATTCTCTTTTTATTCCCAAGAGGGGACTTTGTACGACGTACATTAATATTCAATATCAAAAATTGTCTCAGAAACGATCAATTACCTCTTATGTTGGATCCAACAACCCTTGCAGAACCAGCCCGGTATCTTACCCATGTCAGAACAGTTCTACAAAAATCAGTGTGCAACGATAATATGACCCTGGAGCTCTAGGAAGTCTACTTGTATGGCAACGGCGATCGGTCACGATGCCAACATGCGGTCTTCGCTACGATAAGGATACAATGGGTTGGCTATCACCCAACGACGAATCTAAATCCATCATACCACTCTCATTGATGCAGCCTCGTAAAAGAATGGATGGAGAATACATTCGATCTTCTCCGTCCAGCCATCAGACCAGTTAAAGTAAGTAGAGCACAAAGCCCCGAAAGCTCGGATACTGCGCCAGAAGGCTCCCAGTCCAGGACGGCTGCCACCTCGAAATGTCTTTCCCAACCATTATCAGCAGCAGCAGCCGTGGTAGGTGAAGCATGCTTCTCCCAGGCGAGAACATTCTTGCGCTGGAAGTTTGAATGGGTGAATACACCGAAGGCTGTCGCAGATCTATCGCAAGTGGACTACGGTTGGCGATCTTTCTTTTTCAGACAAGAAAGGCTATGTATCAACTCCTATGGCGATGTAGAGCTTCGATTTCAGCAATTGTTGGAAGGAGACCAGGATGGCCATTTTCATCACACAACAAAGGGAGCGCCAGAGCTGTTCATTGCATTTTCGCCTACCTCAGTACATTGAATGTTGGCCGAGGTGGTCAGTGAAGTGGGCATTTAGCGTCTTCGCTATTAAGTTCAACGTGGGATCCAGGCTCCACTGGCCCGTTCCAACAGGAGGACGTCGCAGTGGAGTTCGTGCAGTTGTAAACTATGAGGCAGTATTACCCTTGTAAAAATGCTCACGACCTCAGGAACAGGGGTCATTGGCCAATAGAACGTCGGCAGTATAAGCACTGTTATTTGCATTTATTCATCAACTTAAAGGTTTCATGCTTGTACTAGTGTCTGTCTTCCAGTTTGACTCCTCATCTCTCAGGTCTTGGGAGACCTCCCTCTATGGGGTAAACACGCCTCGTGTAATCATCTGAGCGAGGCTATTCGTTTTAGTTCTTCTGATTCTATTCCGGAATCGGGTCCCAGGGACTGATATCATCGCCTCGTCCCTGATGTATCCGACGACCCGTAATCGCAGAACTGTGGCAATTCCAGACTTAGCCATGTCCCGTGTTCCCAAGGATTGCCATTGGATCATCATTAGCATGGCTTGCCGCCGTTATGCAGCGTGTAAGATTATCCCCGGAGCCAGATGGAAAACTACGACTGCTTGCTCCTTTTTTGCTTCTTGCTCTTGCCATCGGGCGTGGGCGTGTCCTTGCCTTGTTCTGAGTCGGGCCGCCTTTTGCCAATACTGGTGAGGAATGCCTTTGCCTTCTCTTTGGCAATCTGCTCCGCGAGCTTGTTCTTCAGTGCTTGATCATCCGACTATTTGAGCCATCGTTAGCAACCTTCTCGAAATTTGTGATAAACTTGATGCGCGCCCGCGCATAGCATACCAGACCAGCCTTGATCATCCTCGTAGCAGCTTCAGTGTCAACTTTCTGTGTCCTGGGCTGTGGCTGTGGAGGATTCTCAGCTGCTTCTATTTTGTCAAAGTACTGCTTCACCCTCTTAAGCTCAGTTGTGAAGACTGGGTGATTGAGGGCATCTGCGCCTTGAAGTCTGAGGCTGGCTACTGATTGTCAGAAAGATGTCGCTTAAAGAGAGGGGTCTTCTCTTACAGAATAATAGACTTTCAAGAGCATAATTGGTTAAAGTAAACAATTTGGCCCTATCAACCAGGGGCAGCTGTGTCGAGTTTGAAATATTTTCTAGCAGCGGTTTGATAGTGGCTTCCACTTTGTCAAGCTGTGCCTCGAGCTTGTCCAGGTCTGGTGAAATGTCTTGAACAGACATCTTGGCTTAAAAAATGTAGGGATGTTCGACAAAAACTAGATGGCTGTCTGAGATGTTGAACGGTAAGTATTGAAGAGAGAGTCTTCCCAGTGCTCTATGATGAGAAAATGCATCACAAATTTGGTCAGTCCCAATATGCATTTATCCGATTTTTCACCAACCCCGTTTGTCAGACTTGAATTATGCATTCAATTTTGATTGACGAATTGCAACAACCGAAATTACTCATCCGTCACCTTCCGAACCAGAAAATCAGGCGCGCCACTGTCAAGCGGGAAAAATCCGAATTTGTCTCCATCAATCTTGGAGACCTTCCCGGCCATCTTGACGACGAACCCGAATCGCACGTTTTAAAAACGATATGTGGCGGCGTTCTTTTTCGACGACTATGCTCTTAATCCATTAATCTCGCCTCTGTTAAGATCATTGGGTTCTTTCCCCGTGGTCAACTGGGCCACGATCGATCCACCATCCAGTCCCAATTCACCATCACTGTGGCCAGCAGCCTAGCAGACCGCCGAGCTACTGCTCGGATACCTCAGATACTCAGACAATGTTTCCACGGTAGCACTGGCGTGGGCCGGGCGGCCATTGGATCTCAACCCGTCAGATTCTTCCGGACACACTCCCCTTCAAGCTCCCGTACCGGTACCAGCGCTGCCGAACGAGAACCATCTACCCTTCACCATTCTAGACCACCCTTACTCCCTTCCGCTCAACCGACACGAACTTCCAAAACCAATATCTCTCCAACATGTACTACCAATACCTCAGCTAAAGACGAGTCACCTTCAGCACTCTGGACCCGAGGTGGCGATGGGATGTGGGCGTTGCAAAAGACAAGCCCTTCTCTTGAGCTACCCGTTCCTCCTGTTGTTTCCCGAGACCGAAGCGTTGATGCCAATGCTTCCCGGACGCTACACATATTAGGCACGGACGCCAAAGCTCGATTTCTCGCCTTCGAGTTACAACCTCTCTACGACTCGGTTCATCTCCTGAAGCCTACTCGCAACAAGATTGTAGACTTGGAATTTAACCCAAACCACGGGCGTACGGGTTCCCGACGAGGCTTGAGGAGGGACGAGGAACGTGACGAGCAGGAGACAGATCGCGCGACCCTTTCGCAGGGACACATCAGCAATTTAGTGACGACGGGGCCCGCCGTTGACTGCGTCAAGCAAATGCAAAAGTTAAAACACCGTATCGACAGCGAAACCACGCTCTGTCTCGTGCACGATGGATTGGGAGTTGCCGAGGAACTGAGTGAGACAGTATTTGGTGGCACGGGTGCCGCCGAGCCTGAATATGTGCTCGGCCACCTGGCGTCTGATCGGTTCCGCCGGAATCGGAATACTTCTACGTTCAACAAACCGTCCGCTTCTAGCCCAGAGAAGGGCGAGGTCCACATGCTTCCTGAACTAAAGACGCGTCTTGTACCGATCGATCCCAAGTCCTCCAGACCACCCAAGGAGTCACCACTCGCCGCCGATCTCATCAGCTCGTTTAAGACGTCCCTACACTTGAACGCTCAACTAACGCCGTTCCACAAATGGCTCCACGTCAAGTTCCAAGCGATGATCTTCACCGCCGTCGTCGACCCGGTCTGCGTCGTGGTGGGCTGCCGATACGATGAGGTTACCCAGATCAAATGGGGTATGAGCCTCATTATGATGCTTCTAGACGAGATTCAGGACGTGGTTGCCGCACTCCCCGAGGTTGAGCACTCGCCGCTTATCCGGAACATGGTCGAGCGAGAGTCTCTGAGGAAAGTATGTCTCGCAAAACTTCGGTCCATGAAACCGACCCCGAGTCGAATGGCCGCCGTGCTCGCGCAAGGTCGGAATGTCGACATCGACTCCTTCAACGGATATTTCATCAGGAGAGGGAAACAGCTGGGCGTGCCCTGCCCGAATAATGAGATGGTGGTTGCTATGATTAAGGCTAAGCATGGGATGCGTCTGAAGCAGTTAGAGGAGAGTATTCCTTTTGAGATCACGTCACGGCCGCATCGGGACCTGTATTAGATGGTTTTGGCAAAATCTATGTCTCCATATGTAGAGTATCATCTTTCTGATTTTTTTTATTTTGTATTTTATTTTGGGGCAAGGTTGAGGGGAGGCATTTGTTCGCATTAGAGATTCGGTATAGAACCCAATTGGACAGACCTTCAAGCATTGTTTCGTTCACTTTTCTAGCATTCAGACACACTAGTGAGATAGTAGTTACGCAAGAGCCTCGCCATCGATGGCTGGACACGAGGCGGCAGCAACTGATGTCTTACTATCGGGGAACTAGCTACAGTATACAGCACACAGGGCATCATGGTTATTGGAAGCGGCGTAGAAACGAATGTCAACCTTGACATATACAGGGGGATATTCGTATGTTACAATGCCCGGCCCTCCCGCACGAGGTGCAGCGGGCTCTATCTAGTATCTTAACCGTTCCCAAAATATACACACATACTCCATTTCATTCCTTTGTGTTTGGCTCCTCTGAGCCAGGGTTCCACCCGACCTTCTCTCCCGAGCGCGTTTTCAGGCTCCCTGTGCTCATAGGCGGCGCATCTTCCGTATCTGCATCCTCCGGATTATTTGTAGCCCATATCCTCTCGATGCAAAGCTCAAACGGCCCCGGTATCCTATCCGTCAACCCCACGCCTATGCTCTTCACCTTTTGCCTCAGAATCTCCGTCTGCGGCTCGATCACCATTCCATGGTTTGTCCTCACGAAATCATTCCAGTGAATCAGCACAGTCTCCCACTGACCGGGCCTCTTCGCAAAGAGACGATGCTGATGCAGATCTGTCTGCACGATGGACTCTGTCTGGACGTTTACAAAGTAGCTCCTGCCATCGGACTTTATGCGCATGGCGAGGTAGTCGTAAGGGTCGATGTTCCAGTAGCTGCGGCCGAATATAGTGGGTTTGCGGTCGGGCGTGCGCCAGGCTGCGTAGCCTGTGCGCTGAATCTCGGGGCGGTCTTTGGGGAGTTCTGTGGATATCGCTCCGTAGAAGCGGGCGTAGCCGGCGGTTTGGGGGAGGTGGGGGGTTGAGGAGGATGGGGATTTGAGAGTGGTGGTTGTTTGCGGAGAGGATTCGGAAGGGTGCCATTCGAGATGGCTCTGGGAGAAGCCGCCAATATCGGCGTCGGATAATATTTTACATTCTTTCACGGATTCGGGGTTGTCGAAGGCGTGGAGGGCGTATGGGCCCTGCGGGCCACGGATAGCTTCGAGATTAACGGCTGCCATAATGAGGGTTTTAGGTCAGTCTGGGGTTTCGGAAGGGTCTCGCTGCTGTCGCGGGGGGTCAACGTACCAATCTGGGTATAGCGCTTTAGTTCATCCATACTCCTTCCCACGAAACCCCTATATAAGCGAAACGTCGGCCTCATGGTGCCGTCGAGGAGGGGCTCCAGCTATGATCGTAGGTGGTAGAAAAATGTGCTACTGCAGGTTCAGGAACACCCGGGACGGCTTGAACTTAGTTCATAGCTGATACAGAAAGTTCGAAGAGGTGAATTCGTGCCATTACCCAGGACAAAAGTCCTTAGGAATGTAGTTTGGTGGATAGGCGGTTCGAACCGGAGAGTCTGGGCCGAGACCTGAGGTCCGAAGCAGCGAGGTGGAAGGCCTCAACCTCCAAAAAAAAGTGGACCTACATCGGCTCCGTGTCTGGTCACGTGACCTCCACGACGACGACGTCCCTCCATGTTGGTCTGCACCTTAGTTGCTTCAACACCGACAAGAACAAGAGAGTAACATCAGAAGCTCCTTAAATATGTTATTTGGCGTTTGGCGTTGATTCCAGGGTGAAGTGGATATTGCAACGTGAACTTGAAGAGGGTTGTCTGGGTTGGTCGTAAGTCTAGCAGCAAACCTCCCGAACCTTTTCCCCCTCGAGATCAACTTAGATGGCCAATTTCAAAATCCAATAGCTTGTATCTAACGGCAGAAATATTACAGGTTGCCAAGAAGAGTTCAAGCTCGAATGACTTTTTAAAAGGAGGAGTAATATCTTAGCCGGATGAATTGTGTGTGTGGTTGTGTCTGCGAGAGCATTCGAGGAATCTATTTCAAAACTTCAAGAAACATGACATTTCCCCCAAATTTTCAAGCCATCTTGCCATCGTACCTCAGGGAAAAGAGCAAATTCTGATGGTAGTGGCTTGGTCTCTGGTATTGCTGTGAATCGAAACCCGTGATGCCCGATCTCCCACAATCGAATTGACCATTGCTGAGTGGAACAACGTAAGATATCTGAAGCAGGACAGGATCGAACCTTCCTCTCCACCACCATGGGCTATAATTCACTGTTGCTCCAGTGATTCTGTAAATGATTTCGTGAATCACAACCTTATTGAACTGAATGAAAATAATGAGGCAAGCCCTTGCTCCAGGCAAGAGAGAAATCTTTACTGATTTGGAGGCCCAGAGCTTTTCTATATATATTTCTCTAATTCTTCGATGCCATCCTTGAACTTCGACTTTTCCTCTCCCCAAACTCCAAACTTCATTTGGATCATTCAAAGGAGACCATCCTATTATCACAGAACATTTCCACAGCCAAAGCTATTCGGTGAGCACATTCCTTTTTCACAGCTTTCAAGCAGTTATCTTTTCCTGCCTTTTCCTTCACTCTCCCTTACTTTCTGCCTGAGCCTCAACCCCAAGTCCCTGACTAAAACCTCCTTCAAAACTCTACCTTTAGGGCTTTGAAGCTTTTTCACCCTTACATCTTTCTCAGCACTCACCTGGAAGCCCCAACACATCTCTGTTGTCTTTTTACCGATTGTTTTCAAGGTGTCTGCGAAATTGCGAAGAGTGAGTTGTTTCTAGCTTCCCCCTTCTGCTCGCGATATGGGCCTCTCCCCTTTTTACGTGTCCTTCGTTTTGCCATTTCCCAATTCGTCCTACCCCATCCCCAAGACACGATCCTTGGGCAAGCTGTTGTGGCAAGCATTGCAGAAGCCCTTCAAAAAGGCTTTCATTTCTGTCACAATTGCCCTCAATGGCCCTGGGTATTCCTCTAGTTCCAGGTCCTCGAGGCAACTTGACTTGTCTTGGATCCAACCTCTTCCCCCTTCTCGTTTTATCCCCCTGTCCTAGTCCATTTCCAAATCATGTCCCTCTTGACTCCCTTATCCTCTATGATTTCTAGGAATCGGATATTTCATCATCTTTTAACCACTCTTCTATCACAACTATCGCTATCGTTTCTTCGCTGTTAGCAGACAGATTATAATCCAAGATGATGCGCGCTAACGCTGTAAGCGACAGTTGGATCACCGCCCCGGCGATACGAAATCTAGACGTTTTCGTACCGGTAGACTCTAGTGAACGAGAGATGTCGGCTTCGTCGTCACACGTTGACTCGCCTGACCAGTTCGCTCTTATCGCGCAGTCATTGAAGTCTCAGCAACGTCGAACGGTATCGGACGCGGTCGGTAAGTTGACCCACCTTGAAGTTCTGTTTCATGGGAGAAATGATCCATCTTAAACTGGGGATTTTCCATCCGCCCAGTTCAATCTTAGTACTGATGACCTGTTACAGGAAACCATTTTATCGAACCTCTTTACAACACGATTTACGCCGAGGACGACATGAATCAAGTTGCCGATCTTGCTCCGGGATCTTCTGGTCCGGCCTCTGACCCGGCCCCGGGCCAGGGTAGAGATACGATGAGGTATGTTCTCCAGCGCGACCGTATTTTTTAGGTCTTCGACTAATGGATAAAACAGTTCTGCGATGAGTGGTGTTCGCCGCGCTCTTGAAGAGCAGGGCCGAAAATTCGATGCGCAAGACGTCTACCCGACAAAGGCTTGCTTGTTTGTTGGAAAGTAAGCAAGCTTTTCAGTACCCAACACTAGTACCGTTAAGAAATATACTAACTTTCGGTTCTCCTAGCCTGCTCTTCGCTGCCACGGACCGACAGCTTGAGATCGCTTTGCGAAAGGTTTTTGCTCAATGGGGCACTCCGTTCATCAAAATCAAGCGCCCTTCGGGGCCCGACAAGAATCCATATGCCTTCGCTCAGTTTTGTGTAAGCTTCAGAGCGTTGGCTGGTTGCTTTTCCCGGAAGAAATGCTAAGTCAGTTGTAGAAAGTCGAGGAATCCGAGAAGGCAGCAGTGAACGCTAAGGGCATTCCCGTTTTCGGACGGCCCATTCGCATCGAACGCTCGAATAGCAAATGTAAGTATACACCTCGAGACACCACTCGGTTTATAACTAGTTGCTGATATCGGACTAGTGTTTTGGTTTGTATACCGGGAGGACGGCGCCTTCATCACGGTTGATGAGGTTGAGATGGCCATCCGGGGTCTTGGAAACGCCAGCGTTGAGGTTGCTCCCAGCACATTAGCCAGGAAGTTTGATCGCGGATATGGAATCAAGGTTCAATTTGAGCAGTGGGATGAACACCGCGATTTGAGTCGCGTAAGTATTACCTTGCATGCACTCCAATCGCACCAGCACGTATCTTTCCTTTTTGGAATTCGATCATTTCCCGCGACAAATGAAGACTGACATGGAGACTGCTTTAGACGTTTCAACGTCCCTGGGTCGCTAAGCACTATGACGAAGCGGCCTTGGACCGCCAGGCCCGGCGTCTTCATGGACGAGGAAACGGTGGCGGAATGCCAAATGGTACTGTGACCACGCACCAGATGCATCAAGCCTGCCGTTCGGTTTACTGCGGCAACCTCCCCCGGGACGTGACTGAGGCCGAAATCCGAGCGCTTTTCAACCCGGTGACGAATCATGTCCAGAGCATTAGAATCGTCCGCAAGGAGCGTGGCTCCTACGCTTTTGTCGAGTTGCCCAATCATGAGATGTGTAATCAGGCTTGTTCCGCTCTGGTAAGTGATTCAAACACAACGCGTCCCCTTTGTAGCATTCTTCGCCCGGTGGCTTCTCCTAGGATGCCTGCTAATCGTGTTCTTGCTATCTAGAACGGCTTGAGACTTCGAGGATTGAACGTCAAGGTTGAGCCGAGGAGGTTCGTTGGTGGTCAGCCCCGGGCGAATGTGTCTAATCAGAGTGTGGCGTCTGGAAACCAGAGCCGGCAGGCTGCTTCTGCGCCCGTTCCTCCCCATCGCCGCGGCGCTAATGGAGCCATCTCTGCATCAGTCCAGCCTGCACCGCATCAGCCCGAGCCCGTGAACAAGCCCCCGGTAGTTGAACCCCAACCGGACCACGTCGCTTCTGCGCAAGAGGGCATCAATGGACAAATTAATGCACAGGTGCGGCAGCTAGTTGCTTTGCGTCAGGGTTCGGGGACCAGCACTTACTCTCCCCAGTTCTCTCTCGACAACCACGGCTATGGTGCTCCCCGGCAACTGATGCAGGCACCGCAGCGCCCTTTGTTCATTTCTGGACCTCCTGCGCATGGAGGCAACGTCGATGCTAGCCTCACACACTTGGCTGCTTCTGCGGCTCAGGGTGCTGCCGCCGCAAGCATGTTGCCCGGCTTCCCCAATGTTGGCGCTCCTATTAGTCTTGCCCACCAAGTTCAGCCTCACGTCCCTTGGCAATTCGCGTATTTAACGACCGCTACCGGGCAGACTCTCCTTGTTCGGGTGCCTCTCACCCTCGGCGAAGCCAAGCCCACTCAGCAGTGATTCCGAGGTAGCTGATCGAGGCGCCGATACGTTTAACCAGCATGGCACAAGGCGACTCAGGTGAACGCAAGCCGCACAGATGGTTTCTTTTTCATTTCGTTTTCTTTTCTTTCGAGTTTCGCGAGCAATATCCCCCAGCATCGACCTCAGCATCGACCTCAGCAGTCAACTTACATCCTCATCTTTCTATCCCCCGGTTTGTGTTTTCTTCCCTTCTTCCCTTCTTGGCACAACGGAGCTTCGCTTTACGATCATAACCTTTGCATCTTCCAATGGGTTTTGCCTGGCTTCAATCACAAGATGCGGCGGGGTTCGCTGAGGTTTCCGCATTTTATTCCTCCCTCCAATTTTTCTATGAGAGGTGGCTTTTGGGAAGTTGAAAACACTATCGGTTTGCAATATTTTTATTGGACTCGAGCGGTTTGGTCTAGTTGACAAGACATTGAGGCATGGCGTGGAGTCGTTGGACACTAAACGGGCGTTCTAAAATTGGGCGTTTTAGCAGAGCAGCGCCGCTTCGTTTAGTCTTTGATAGGGTTGATAAGCTTGCACACATCAATGGGTTTTCCTGTGATCCTTTGCCTGAAACTAGGCGGTGATCTCTCTTAATGTTCTTAGACTTCCCTGCTTGGAAGAGAGCCTGGGTAACCAGGTAGTGTATACGATGTTGTAGAAGTTCTTTGTTCGACGAGTAGCAATGTAGATGAGGTGTAGGCAGGTAATATTCGCAGCTGAAAGGGTGGACGAGCAAGTATTCATGAAGCAGAGGAGCGGATTCGACTTGGATGTAAGATCATGTCCATTATCTGATCAATGCTAACCAATCCCCACGCTCGGATACGCATCACGACACCCAAGGAACATCCCGTGCTGTCGTGGAACGGGAAACGGCATACAAAACATACAAAACAGGGATAGTCGTCTATCATCGGCTCAGAACCCATGCTTCCATAATCGAACGGGACGAAACCGTCACCGGGTTCGGCGAGGGAGAAGGTGATCGGGGATACTCCATGAGTCTCGTGTGATTGAGGGGACCCCCACACTATGCCCCGATGAGACGTGGGCCGCCCTCCGATTCGACAGTCGCACTTTGCGGCGAGGAGCTGTTGACAGGGAATGACAAGGAATGGGCTCTGCAAGCTTGGCCTTAGCCCAGGACGGGGCTTTTCTTACGTGAAGGTTTGGTCAAGCACAAGTAATAGCGCCAAGATGGGGGAGGTCGCATGCGCTAATGGGAAAGACATTTGATAGTGTGGGTGAAGAAATTTTTTGGCTTGATTTTGGCGATTTTCATGAGGGGAAAGAGTCAGAAGGAGCGAACAACGAATTTAAGTACTTCGTACACTATTTGTATAAATAGTAGAGGGAAAGAGCCTCCCTCCCGGTGTCACTTCGTATGTTGGAATTTTTACTGGACGTTGAATATCCACCAGAGCATCTCCACACTGCAGATTCCCCCCTCATTCTTGTTCTGACCTCGCATTATCCTACGAGTGATCAACTCGTACTCTTTCGGGTGTCAAACTCATTTTTATAGCTTGTAGCTTCTAGTTTTCCTTGGGAATTTATTGCCAACTATCATGGGTCAACCGTCTTATGAGGCGTCCAACGCCATCATCTACCTCACTTATGGCCTCTTTCTGTACGACCGTCTCTCTTCGCCCACCAAGAGTCCCTCCTCGATCACGGCTCTCTGCGGGCAAAACTTTTGGCCTTAGCTTGGTTTGCTTGTGTGTATAAAGTTATCATGCGGCTAACCACACCTGTTTCTCTAGGGTCATGGGAACCGTCATTGCCTGGAAGATGTCCAAGTCGAAGGACACCTTCCTTGCCGGCAATGGAACTCAAAAGGGTTAGCATGCGTCTAATGGCTTGACGAGCATTGGAAGGCGCGAAGGCCGACCTGGTAATCCTAACTCTTGCTCGCCGGAAGACGAAGCGACAGTGATCATCAGGAAGCCCTTCCAGGCCCGCCCCGACTACTTCTACCTCCCCGGTCCAACTTCCCCCCGATCTCGTCAAGCTTGAATTTGGTTCCCCTCCGTCTCGCATGAACTAACGGGAATGCAAACTAACTTCTATTTACAGCTCTTCCGCTAGCCTTCAACTTTGTCGCCGCTGGTGAGTAGAGAAATATTCAGCAAACAACAGCAGTTTGGGAACGATCCCCTTCTCGAGACGAGCTGTGAAAGCTCGCCGAGAATGGCATTCGCCCAATCATTATTCTCTCTCAGATTCAGAGCGGCAGCAAGCGAAATCACACAACGCACGGCCCGAGTGTACCCGAAGGTAGAGCGCTTCACTCTTCAGAAACGGGGAGTTGATCCGCGGACCTGCAAACACTTGGTCCTGTCTGGCTCCCGGCATCCGGCGGTCTTGCCGACGCAGACTTGCCCTTACCCACTCCGGAACCCCCAAGCTATCCTCTGAAAACGAGGTTGGGCTCGGCCCCTTTTTGCGAACGCTGACATATAGGTTGGTTTCCCAAGATCATAAACCATCGCCTTCTCGCCTGGCGGAAACTGTAGATGCCGCTTTCTCTACTACTTTCCCGAGAGTGTTCCTTGTAAGAGGCCTCGACGGTGGTTGTTGAGGCAACGCAGATTCGCCGGCGAGGAGGTGATTGCGGCTCACTACGGGCGCCGAGTTGAAGCAGATGACTGGATCCACCCCAAGCTCCACGAGCTGGTTGGTCGTCGTGTTGTCAACGCCTCTCCTAGTTCATTCCCACTAGGAGGGTGTCTTCACGAGGACCTCTTTACCTTTGCTCGTTGGGGATAGTTTGGGAGATTACGTCTGTCTGCGGAAACGAAGCTGAGATTGTACCGTAATACTCGATCAAGTTAATGCTTGCGTGGGAAACGTGCTGCCGCTCCGACTGATACTCCGTCGTCCTCATTCCCCTCCCTCTTGAAACGTTCTGGGAAATACTAACTACTTTAGTCCTCGGTTCTGCAATTCTCTTCGCGTATCCCGAACTCGCCACCATTACTGGTGTCCAAGGAGTCGTCATCTACGCCCTGTCGTCGTCGCTGCCTCTGTTTGCATTTGCTGCTCTCGGTCCCATTATCCGGAGGCGGTGCCCTGAAGGCTTCGTTTTGACTGAATGGACGAGGCAGCGTTATGGCATCCCGTGCGGCCTGTTCCTGAGCTTCATGACTCTGGTGACGCTCTTCCTGTACATGATTGCCGAGTTGTCCGCCATCGGCCAAGTCGTTAGTGCCATGACAGGAGTCCCCGATCTGCCGGTTATGATTGTGCAATGTGCCGTTACAACCATTTACACCTGTAGGCTCCGCCATCTTTCCAAACAATACCTACTAGCCACCTTGTGGTGAGCAGTCAAGGTTAACTCATTTGACTCTATAGCTCTAGGAGGTTTCAAGATCTCTTTCTTGACCGATATGATTCAGGGAGTCATGGTCTGCTGCCTCATCATCATCGCCTCCATTACCATTGGTGTAAAGACAAAGATCGACACTTCCCTCATCCCTTCGTCTGGCCTTCTCGAAGCCTCAACCTTGGGATGGCAACTGCTCTACATCCTACCTGTTTGCATTCTCACCAATGACTTCTTCCTCTCCACCCTCTGGCTGCGTACGTTTGCTTCGAAAACCGACAAGGATCTCTGGGTCGGCGTCACCGTCGCAGTCGTCATCATCTGCATCGTCTTGACCTTGGTGGGCAGCACTGGTCTCATTGCTACCTGGTCTGGTGCTTATCCGGGTGATTCGGCTGAGGATAACCGATCCATCGCCTTCTTCCTCTTGCTGAACCAGCTTCCCGCGTGGGTTGTCGGTATCGTGCTTGTCATGGTCGTTTCCATGTCCACTGCCGCCTTTGACAGCATCCAGTCCGCCATGGTCTCCAGCGCCTCCAACGATCTTTTCCGTAACCGCCTCAACATTTGGTATATTCGCGCCATGGTTGTCCTGATCATGATCCCCACCATCGTCCTGGCTCTCAAGGCTCCCTCTATCCTCCAGATCTACCTCATTTCCGATCTCGTCTCGGCCGCTGTCGTCCCCGTCCTCGTCATTGGTCTCTCAGATCGATTTTTCTGGTGGTGGCGAGGTTTCGAGGTCGTTGTCGGCGGGCTCGGCGGTATCTTCACCGTTTTCCTGTTCGGCACGGTCTACTACGGCGATGCCTATAAGGGCGGCCGCCTCATACTCATCGAGCAGGGTCTTACGTCGGGCGACTGGGCCGTTTTCGGGGCGTTTGTTGCTGCTCCCGTGGGAGGTATGCTTTGGGCTCTTGCCGCTTCTGGGTTGAGGATAGGAGTCCAGTGGTGCTTGGCCAAGAAGAATGGGACACGGTTTGATGCCCTCGATCGTCCTATTCCGGCCGTTGTTGAAGCGGGCTCGTCCGACCAGGAGGGAGACGAGGTCTCATTTTCGAAGAAGGCTGGCAAGTTCTTTTAAGAACTCGCGTGTCCCGACCTTGACCCACCTTGTCTGGCAAGGCCTTCCAGGAGGTTGCTTGGGGGGAGTGGGTGTTGGGAAGCTTGGGGAGATCGTGCTTAAGTTCGGTTCGTGTTTGTCAATCAGGATCTGTGGATCCAACCTTGGCCAGCTTTTTATTATACCACATTTTCCCGAGAGTTTTAGGAAGGAGTAGTCGATAGTTTGAAGGATGAAGGAGAGTGCTATCAAATTGCTATACGCACTAGTACCGGAGAATACACACACGCACACACGCACACACGCGCCATTTGTGATTCCTCTCAGTAATTGATCGTGTTCACCATCTCACCAAACTTGCGCATCATTGAAAGGTAGATTTATTCTTGATTGTTTTTATACAAATTCTATACTTATACAGGAGTGGTGTGTCCCTAGGGATTGGGCTGAGGAGTCGCCATCATGTCTATGCCGCCTTTCCAAGAACTGGTACACGAAACTATACATCCTTAACACACACCGGCTTCTTTTTCTTCCCCCGGGCCTTCCTCCGCAACGCTTTATTTCAGTTCAGCACCAAACTCCTTCGCCTTCTTCGCCAGACTCGAAGTCTGCAGCGCCTTCTTCCCCTTCTCCATCGTCTCCCAGGCCTGAAGCGTCGTCTCGGGCACAAAGCCCCATATCCTCCACTCCTCCGGTTCATAATTCCTCCCATCCACGGACCTCATGAGCACCAAGTTCTCCCTCTTCCTCTGCGCCTTGGTACCCGCCTTGATAACCTCTCCCGTCGCGGCGTCCCTCCTCGTCAACCTCTGCGTAGTATCAAAAGTCACGACGGCGGTCTGCTGGCCGTACCTCGATTCCGGGATCAACGTAACGCGGTGGTAGTTCAAGCGCGGAAGCCTCCACGAGTTATGATACTCGACGACCTCCCACTCCAGGATCTCCTTCTTGGCCCCCGGCTTCGCGTTGCGCGAGTCGACGGTGCGCGAGAGCATGTCGTAGAGGGGCTCGTGGCAGACCTCGCGGAGGGCGACGAGGTCGCCGGCGGCCAGGGCTTCGTTGAGGCGGCGGTGGAGGGCTTTCGCGGTGGGGACGATCTGGCGGGTTTGCGGCTTGAAGGCCGGGCGGAAGGAGCCCTTGGGCATGGACTGGAGGCGGTAGCCCCAGGTTATGAGGCGGGCTTCCCAGGTGCTGCGGGTGCTGGCCCAGAGGTATTTGAGGAAGGCGAGGGGTTGGCGGGGGTATTGGGAGAGGGGGAGGGCGACGAATGTGCCTGGGAGATTTCGAGAGTTAGCTATTCCGCTGTGTAAAACGAGAGAAAGCGTGGGAGGAGAGTATATAGGAAAGCAGGGTAAATAGGAAATCGAAGATAGACCGAGGAATATACACACCGGGCAAAAGCATGCGATTCCGCATTTGGTCGGTCATCGCCTGCATTTCGGAAGACGGCGTCGGCGCCTGAGCATCCCCCTTCTTCACTTCCTTCTGGAGCTTGGCCTGCGTCGTACGGACCATGTCCCTCACGCTTCCCACCATGCGCAACTGCAGCGCCGTCCTCGCCGCAAGGCTCGTCGCGGGGCAGGTTCGCAAGGCGGAGTTATATGTTCGGGACAAGGGCGTGAGGGCCGTCCTCGGGACGAGGAGCCCTTGACGAGCGGCCGAGGACATGGTGGGCTGATTTGTACTATGGGAAGTAAGGACGCCGCGGGTGCGAAAAGAGGGGGAAATTGAGGGCGGCGACAGACACTACGGTTCGCGATTGGCGTGTGTGTGTCCCGGTGGAGGAAACCGCGCCGGTGGCTACGCTTGTCGGAGGGGTCTCGTCTCGTCTGGTCTGGTGTGACAAGCGGAAGGCTGAAGGCTGTTCTTTTTTTTTTCTTGGGGGGGTGGAAAATTTGAGGAGCTTGGACCGTTTCGGCGATTGGCGCTGGCCTTGCGGATTTGCCAGGCGGCATCAATTGATCGTCGATTTAGGAGGGGCGGCGGCCATGCCACCCACTAGAAGAACCAGGCACCAGGCCCAGGGCAGCAGCGTTCCATCAGCAAACGAACAAATCCACACCACCGGATCAGGCCGTGTGCTGTGCTGGCCTGGCCTGGCTACTCAAGAGTCCAGGGTCTCAAAACAGCTCCTGCAAGCTGCATCTCCACCTCGCCGTCTTGGAATTGCTATTAGAGCAGCTTTGATTCGTCTGGCCCAATTGAGCGGTGTTACGCGTAATCGTACTTGTGGAATTACTTGGCATCATCAGTTTATTCCTCTGTCCACGGCTTCCACGGAAGATCATCACCTTGGCTAGAAGTGCTTGGATTTGATGAAGTCTCAAATGTAAAGGGGCTGCCAACTCTGTTCTCCAGGTCTTCGGCACCTCCTGACTAGCACTTCCAGGGCTCTTACAAGGGTGTTCTATCAACCCTAGATTACAGCAATCAGAGGGTAATATCATTGATCTGATCTTTGGGCGGCATCTCCTATCCCCGGAGCCTAATTAATTCAGACACAACGGTGAGCAAGAAGAACAAGATAGCGTAGAAAGATTGAAAGTTCTCTCTGAGTCCACGTTATTAATGTTCAATGTTATGCCCAAGTCATTGATCTCTCGCGTACTCTTGTCCTCGTGTCTGTCCAGCCTGTCCAACCTAGCCTGTTCAGTCCGCCCATTCAGCCCGCCTGACACTATTAAACTCATCTCGCAACGGCCTCCCCAAACAGGCACACGCACACCACACCGACGCAACAAAAGCAATTGACGGCTTGAGCACAAACGTGAGCCAGACGATCCCTCGCCCTCTTCCTCGCCCTACATAACCTGCATCAACAGGAAGCACACCTCAGACGAGCCTTGTGTCGTTTCATTTCCCAATCCATCAATTGGCCACACTCCAATTGAACGAGGCCGTCTGCCCCCACCCGCCATTTTGATATATTGGGCTGCGAAACCCTGCGACTGGAGCTGTCCTTGCCTTGGGTGTCCCGTCCCTGTGTCCCTGTGTCCCTGTGTCCCTGTGTCTGTCCCTGTCCGACTCAAATGACTCGCTGCCCACAACAAGGCAAGGCGCTGCTGTCTATTATTGCTACTTGACCTCACACGACCGACCTTGCTGGTCCCTATTATTGTCTCTTGTCTTAGATCCTAGACTTTTTTTTTCTCCCTCTCTATATTTTAATCTGAGCCTCCCATTCCCCCCTTCTTCGTTTTGTTTACTTCGTCGCTTCGACTGCGATTCTATTACTTCACCCCAATCCGATCCAACTCGCCCATCTCTGTTTACTTCGTGCTCCCTCCATGTCATGATATCACCACAATCAGTATCGCAACATTGAAGCTCAGCACCAAGACCGCCAACCTTGTACGTAAGCGAGAGCGAAAACGAAAGGGGGGAAAACGACATCTCCCTTTGTCCTCCCCTTCCTCGCCGGCCCAACCTGGACTTCTCGACGTCCCCCTTCCTCGCCCATGGATCCAATGGTCCAATGGCAAATTCCTCCACCGCGCCTACAGCGCGATTGAGCAAGTCCTTCACCTCCTCCTACGCATCTCCCACCGCCTCGGCCCACAACCATGTCCCTACGACTCGATCTGTGAACCCGACAGCGACGGCGACGACGACACCCTCCGCAACGACCTCGACCGCGATTCCCAATAATAATAATACATCTTCCTCCTCCTCCTCGAATACCCCCTCCACCCGTCCCCGTCAACAGACGCAGAGCTACCTACCCTCCTCGATATTAGCCCCTCGCGTCGCCATAGCCCTTAATATCCCCAAATCATGGCACTTTCTCCTCTTTGCGAGCCGACTGCTGTCCATTACCCCGGCTCTAGCTTGGGGCTGGCCGTCGGCGCTTCTTCTCCTTGATGGAGTGATATCTAGATTTCTCGAGGGCAGACAATGGGGGTTTTCAGAGACGGCTTCGGCCTTGGCGTGTATATGGGTGCGTTTGAGTCTTTGCCGATGCTGGGGACCTTCGAGACAGTCATGACGGCTTCCATCCCCGGCTGCGCTTACTTCCTGGGGGAGCTTACGCTAACTGTCGTTATCCCAGTGCTCCGCCGCTGGCTATCTATCTTTCTTCTTCACCGATTGCCTCATGTCGCGATGGTAAGCTTCCCCCTACCCCACCTCACGTGCCCCCCCAGATCGATTGCATCATGCTCACCCAGTTTGCTCCGTCTCCAGGTTAATCAACTACACCCCGCAAGCAACCATCGTCCGCCTCCTCACCATTAACGCCGTAAATGCCTACGTCACATCGAGCGCCCTCTCGCTCATAGGCGGGTTCCGCGATAGTCGTCTCCTCCTTCCAGGTTGGATAGGCATCGCAACGGTATGTGTTGGCCAAACGAGCTTGCGCTCCGTTTTTGCAACCCATCCCTCCCCCCCGAAACTTTTGGAGATGGCCAAACCCAGAGCTAATGACTTGTCTCTCGTGTTGTTTAGATGCTTACAATCTGCTACCACATAACACATCAACAAATAACTATACGGAAAGAGACATCCACCTCCATAAACGTCTTCTCCATCGCCAGCTTCCTCTCCATGGTCGCCCTCCTCGCCCTTCTCTACTCACAGCAACACCACCCAGACTTCCCCGAAATACCCCTCCTCGCCATAACTCGCCGGGTGGTGAAGGACTTGAGGAAGGCGGCAAGGAGAACGACTATGGCCGTGGACGTCGAGCCCGATGAGTTGTAATAGACGAGAGAATGCAAAATAGCTCCCCCAAGGGAGAAAGCAAAGGAGAAAGAGAAAAAAAGGAAATGAAAATGGGAAAGGGCAGAAGGGGGGAGGGGTTCCAGCCGAGATAGTTTGCGGAACCCAGGTTCTCTTTTGATACTTTCTGGAGCAGTTTTTACGTTTTTTTCCACCTCCTGGTTCTTTTTGGGTTGTTCGTTTGGGTTTGTTTGGCATGTACGGTTCTTGTCTTGGTTTTCCCTCTGGATGCCTTCATCACTGATACCCCCTATCACTACCGAGTTTAGCGTTTGTAGCTGAGGTTTGAATATGACGAATTATTTCTTCAATACTTGTAGGGATCTTGCTTGCTTGTGGGCAAAGGAGAGCATCACAACGGAAACATAGGCATCACACAAAACGTAGATATCACATTGAATCAATGGGCAAGGAATAAAAACCGGCTGGAATAAGTATTATTATGTCAGTTGCTCTACCACGATATACTCGACATGCTTATGCGGGAAAACGAGCGAAGAGCATGTCCTGCCAAGAACAAATCCTGGGAAAACCAGTGTCCGCTGGCAGCGACGTTGGCTAGAAGCAACGCCGCTAGGAGCTTATACTGGTCCCCACGCAAGATTCCATAATAATGATATTCGCCTCATCTTTCGGTTATCCTCCTCAATATCAACACCAGAGATCCCTTTCATCCTAGGATGCGCAGCCGGATCGAAACCTGTCAAAGAACTGGGAACAGGTTCGCGTGCACGCCCCTGTGACAAACCGCTCTGGCGGGCCATGACTCGGAATATTGCTTCATCGAAGCAGGTTGACGAGGAACAGGATGGGTCCCGCAAGTCGCTTTTTTTTTTTCCAGAATGAAGAGAGAAAGATCGACTTGCGAAGGACCCGGCCATTTTTCAGAGACGCCCCAAATAAAGGAAAACAAACCCAGGTCATTCCCACCGAGAGTTACGGTCGCAGGGCGACACGCCGGCGTGACAGCGAGGGGTTAGAATCCATGGACCTTAATGGTCTTGGGGTCGAGCTCAAGGCCTTCCTTCTTGTCTACCAGAAACTCCTGGACATCTTTGCGCTGGTCACCCTGGAGCTGGATCACCTCGCCCATCTCGGTGTCGTTGACGATGGTGCCATTGCAAGCTAAGGGGAAAGAATTGTTAGTCATGGTCTTGTGATGGTGGCAAATTCAGCCACGAGTTAATCTGGGATGTAACATACCGAATTTCTTCTTGATGACCTTGAGGATTTTCTTTTGGTCAAATTTTTTAGGAAGACCTTGGACCGTGGTCAAGGTCTTACGTCCATTGCGCTCTGTATAGGTCGTTAGCAATCATGCTCGATTGAAGGGAGATATGGAAAAGGGGGGGAGGTAAGTCGTACGTTGAATACGTATATGGATGTAATTCTGCGTCTGCTTGGTTTCTCCGGTGTCTTCGTCGGCCTCGGCGAAGGGATCTATGGTTGTTAGTTAAATGTGACCTTGAAGCAGGCAGTGAAGCGAGGCGGGATGTGCAGCTAGGTGGCTGGAGATAAGGGGCGGAGGCGGGGAGCTAGGGTGTTGAGGGGTAAAATGTGCAATTAAACCAAGGCAGATTGAGGGGCCATCCTGAGCGCGTGAGGACGACTCCATCCATCAGGTCCTTCGAAATCCACACGATTCCTGATGATTTCAAGGGTCAAGCAAAGGAGGAAAGAAGCGACATACCGTAGGTCTTGAGATTTTCGATTGACATAAACTCGTGTTTTGGGGGGTTACTTTGGGAAATGGGTTGTGTCGAGTCGAACTCTGCGGGGTCAGCGACGGACGAACGGTGTCTCGCTGTAAGTAGTTGGGAGCCGGGAGGCGTTTGAAGTTCCTTTGGAAAAGGAAGAGAAGGAGGATAAAGAGAAGTTTGGATGGTTGTTGAGAATGCGAAAGATGGGGTTTGGAAGAAAGGGTGCGAGGCGAGCTGGGTATTTATGGGCGCGTCGAGACGGTTGCTGACTTTGGTGGTGTTCAGAAGGAAAGGATCGATGAAGGGGGAAGTGGCAAGAAACTTCTGGGCAGAGATTCTGGGGCCTGAACGGTAAAAAAAAGGTTAGGCGGGGTGTGAAGTGGTGTTGAGACACTGTGTCACGGGGTTTTGCCACAGCCAGCCAACCGATGCTCAGCTGGCGAGTTAACTGGCACTGGGCGTTGGCCGCGCACTATCAGGCTGTCGCCAGCCATGATTGCTCCAGTGCCGCTTAACCCCCAAAGCCTAAAGCATCGACGCTGGCTGCCTACAGTGCGTGTCCAGACTTTTTGTCTCTCTGTCTCTCTCTGTCCAACGTCTGTCGATGTAGTTTAGGTGCAGGCACTGAGGCACACACCATCTAATTTCAATCCCTGTGGTTGATGCGCTGATCTGGAGTACCGATCCAGAATCGGTGACTCCAGCGTCATGTTCTCCCCAAGCCACTCCGACGCCCACTCCGCATTCTTTCAAAACATGGGCGGTACAAAAGCTTGGACAACAACCTCATGTAGATTCCCTTAACCCGGGTACATAGGCCAGGAGACTCCGCCCCCGGAGATGACCACATGCGCCTTCGAACCACTCGACGCATGCTATTTACAGCCAGCGCCTAGAGATCGAGACATGTTTGGCTGGATACGTGCCGGAGTCAGCGCTATCCGGCCTGATGGTGGCCCGGCTTGCTCTGTGACTCGGTGCCTCCTATCTGGAAAAACTGGTCATTTCGGACTGGGCAAGCCGCGCTTTAGACTGAGGTTACGGAGTGGTCTGGACTGTTGCTGTTGAGCGAGCTCTTCAGGCTCTTGGGAGCGGCATTGATAGCATCAGTCGTCTGAGCACAGCACCTCAGCACAGTGCCCAGGTCGAGCTGGCGTGTACCCATCAAATCCAAGTACCCCCCAATGATTGATTGTGATGACTCAAGCCCTTCGGGCTGGCTGCAGCAAAATGGAATTTCGCTCAGTGCTTTCGTTGGCCTCCTTCACTGGTCGGGCTAATCCGAAGAATTCCATCGAAGGCTCCTTTCAGCGCCATTCCACGCTAGGTAAACTTATTAGACCTTCTTTTTAGCCACATTTGGACCACTCGATCTTCCACACGCGAGCAGGACGCAGCAAGGCGACACCGAAATGCGGGGATGACTCGGCCAGGCCCTCTCTAGAGAGGGAACCGTTGGGGCTTAAAACTCCATCGATCGGGACGCGCACCAACCGATCCCGCACCATGAACAAGAGAGGGGGAGTAATTTTGGCGGGTCGGCATCTCCCGCTGACGTCAACCACTACGGAAATTTCTCTGTTCCCTTCATTTCCACCTCGTTTCGTCTCAAAACCCGGCCCTGCCCTGTGTGCGCTCTTTCACGCGGGCCCTGCAGAAGAGAGACACCCTAACCATGGTTGCCTTCTCACCTCGATACTACGAGCTAGAGGCCAGCCCAGAGATACACGATGTTGATGGAAATACGTGGATTCCCGTCGTGGAGCATCCATGCTCCTTTAACACAGCGGCATTCTTCAAGGTGATGAATGGCTTTGTTCTCAATCCGAACCACAACTCGTCCTGGCTGTTTCGTGCCGATATACTCTCTGAAGAAAGCGGAATTTCTGCGCGCAATTTTTCTGCCGGACAAGATGGGGTGTTCATGACGTCTTTCCGGGACTTTGAACTCGACAGAGCTCTTGTGAGGAGGCTAATCCCGCGGAACCCGAATAGGGATAAGCCGTTGGATCAAACATGCCTGTTCCTTACATCCCAAGCGGTAGAGGGACGAGTTCGATCCCTGGTCGTTTACATTCCTCACATATCTACCCCAGAAGAGGCGCCGTTCTACCATCCCCAGGTGCGGGGAATTGCCCATCTCCACGAATGGGACGAGTCGGCGTCTACGGGGTCCGTCTCCGTGCACCTTTGGCACTTTGACCGCGAAGACCTGCGGACCAGCACCAAGACCCAACGGACGGCATTAATGCTCCTCCAACACCTTCACAAGCATGGCCAAGGAACAGTGACTGGCTACGTGAAGCGCGTCCCGAACCTGGACAAGATTATACCTCGGGAGAGGCTGCAGGACAGGCACACACAGTTGAAGATTAAATATGCCAAGGCGCTAATCGATTCATGGTCTGAGCAGACAGATCCGTCCAAACATGTGTTTGAAGATGTTGGCATCGCTGCATTTCTCATAGAACTATGGGAGGATATGTACAAGGGGAAAGAGTTTCCCGGTTTCGTCGATATCGGCTGTGGGAACGGCCTACTGGTGTATATCCTCCGGAAGGAAGGATATTCGGGCTGGGGTTTCGATGCCCGAAGCAGAAAGTCTTGGCTGCAGTACAACATGCTCGCACTTGATTCAGAAGCAGTACCGTCTATTGCTGGTACCAAAGATTCACTACAGGCTCGTGTCCTTCTGCCAACGTTCGCAATGACCGAAGACGCCTCGGGCGAAGGCGACGCCGCCCTAACGAACCCAGATGCCATACATGACGGGGTTTTCCCCAAAGGAACCTTTATAATATCCAACCATGCAGATGAGCTAACCCCGTGGACACCCATCCTCGCGGCCCAGTCTGATTGTCCCTTCATCATGATACCCTGCTGCAGCCATAACCTCAGTGGTGCCAGGTTCCGCGCTCCTCCTCCCCGGGATCGCACGAATGGCACTTCCGCCTATGCGAGCCTCGTGGCGTGGATTTCCAAGCTTGCGGAGGAATGCCGATTCGAAGCAGAGTCCGTGGTACTTCGCATCCCTAGCACGCGAAACACGGCCGTGCTTGGTCGGAGCCGGAGCGGTGAAGCGGTGGACCTTGCGTCCATCGTTTCAAAGTACGGCGGGACCCACGGCTATTATGAGAACGTGTCGAAGCTCCTCAAGACCGGCCCAAGAAGTCATTAAATATAAAAATTCTCCAGTACAACCTTTTGCCGTGTTTTCTCTTCTCTTTTCTTTCTTTCCATTTTCTTTCGGCGAGAGCCGCTCAATCCCTTCAACCCCACCCCCAAACTGACTCCTGTGAGAGTCTGCCCGCCATTGTCCACGAGGAAGTCCCTCGTGGACTCCTCAATCCAAATCAGGAACAGGTAGGTGGTCAACGAGCTTCACCTTCAAGCCCAGCTTCTGAATGGCTTCGCGCGCATTTTGATCTCGGAGCTCTTGCGTCTCCTGCTCAGTGACAAGCACAAAGTCGTGCTTGAGGTAGAGGATGCCCTCCTTGACACCGTACTTCTCGGCCGTCTCCTTGTCTACGGTCTCGAGATCGACAATGAGGCTCTTCTTTACACCAAACACGGCATCGGTGGTCTCGTACGGATCACCTCGGATGTAGAGCGCACTTGGAAGTCAAAAAAGTGTCAGTAATTTTCATCTTCCTTCTCTCCGAGCAGATAGGAGGTAATCGAGCGGATGTAGGCGTCTACTTACGTGATAAGGTGGTCCCAGCCCTCCTTCTCAAACATAAAATGAAGATGCGCGGGCCTCCAGCAATGCCGATTCAACTTCATCAAGAGCTTCCCAACAGGCCCATCATGCGGAATCGGGTAACTGACGGGCTTAATACACTCGAACCAGAACCTCCCCTGCTCGTCCGAAACCATGATGCACCGCTCACTAGGCCTATCCCTGCCCGCGTGCTGGACATCGTAGTGGCCTGTGCTGTCGGTCTCCCAAATGTCGATCTTCACCCCGGGGACGGGGTTACCGTGGCGGTCCTTGACGGTGCAGACGCAGAGGAGTGGTTCGCCCTCCGGGTCGAAGGACATATTAGCGCCGTTGTCGAGGGTGGGCGCGTCGTGGGTGTGGAAGGGTCCGAGGACGGAGCCTTCGGTCGAGTCGGCGGGTTTGGGGTGGTTGATGCTGTCGACGAGGAGGGAGAGGCCTAGGATGTCGGAGAGGAGGATGAATTCCTAGACGTCTTCTGTCAATAGCCTATTTCCACGAAGATATATATATAAAAAAAAGACTTACATGTCTGACATCACTGCTAATCTGGCCGCACCCAACGAGAAAGTTGAGAGCGTGCATCCACTCGTCGGTGCTTAGGCGGGTCTCGCGCGCAAAGTCGTGCAGGTGCGTGACGAGGCGGGTCATGAGGTAGGTGAGGCGCGCATCGGAGCTCTGGGAGTTGATGCGGTTCGTGTTGGGGGTGATGTTGTCGATTGTGAGGTCGAGGAGGGAAGGGGGCGCGGCGGCGGCGTTGTTGTTTGCGTTGGCGGACATGGTGATGATTTCTACGAGGCTACGAAGGGCTAGAAGAATTTCGTGTCTTTTTTTTCCTTCTTCTTTTTCTTTCTTTTTTTTCCCTTTTCACTTTCCTAAGAGGGCTCAAAGGAAGAGATTGGAGGAAGCCGTTGTCTACTATTCTGGGGAAACCTATAAAATAAAGTCGGGGGAGAAAATGGAAGAGCTCCCTTTTAAAAGAGTCAATGTCGTTTCGTCCTGGAAATTGAAAACATGGAAAACCCGGATATACAACCTCGCCAAGGAACAGCTCTCTCTGCTCCGTAATTCTCTTGTAAGGCAGTGCTAAGCAGAAAGCAGATGCTTCGGACCCGTTTCGTTCGATTTCCCCTTCAGACACACAGACACACACACCTCCTTTCCCGTCCAATCCAAGCTTGGGGATTAGTATATAAAAAAAGATCTCCTTACTTTCTACCCCTCTCCCGGCGACCTACTCCTCATTCATCGGAAATTCCGGGGCAGTTTGGGGAATTGCCGAGGGGAGTGGCGGGAGGAAGGGTGTTCCTCTTCCGAAATCGTTCGGTTTTGCTGTGTCTCACCGGAGACGTTCATGATGCGGGGCAAGGTTTCTTCTGGTGGAAGGAACGACGGTGGGGCGGGGTGGGTTAGGCGCGGGGTAGCGATGGGGGAAGGGAAGCTGTGCCGGCAAGTATATCAGGGTAATAAGAGAGTATAAAAGCCCCGGGTCTGGGGTTGGTTCTGGGGGATCATCGGAGAGTTTGGCTTAATATTTCTAGGGTTAGCGTGGGACCCGATCGGTGGAGCAAGTTCTAGTATAGTAGTATGGTTGTATAGTTGTATAGTTGTATAGTGGTACAATAGTCTGGTGGTAGAGATCCGAGAACCCTGCGAAGAAACACCTTTCTCGCGGTAAGCTTCGTCGCGAGATCTCCGAGGATAGGAATGAATGCAGGCACCCGGTTTGTCCGGCAGTCGGTTTGTGAGGCTCTACAGCGTTGTAGTTTCGGATGGGACAGACATGCAAATACCTTGTTGCTTCGGCAGATTACAAACTCACATCCATGATCCATCTCAGGCTAACCACTTCGAGGTCCGCGGACATCTTGCGAGGCAGGAATTGCATCGTAAACTACTTCACATTGCCTGTCTACGTAGTGGTGATGTACACGTGGAGATGGTCGTCAATTCAACATTTTATAAATGGGTCCATTCTCTATATCCTTTGGAACTTGCCACCACATGGTCCCGTCGTGGGAAATCATCCGAGCGCGAAAGCTTAATAGGTTGAGACGTGGGAAAGAAGCATGGCAATAAAGTAAAAACAGACTCGGCGGAATCCAATCCACCTGCTCAGGAAAGCAAAAGAAACACACATCGATGAAAACATGAGAGGTCTGGTATAATTTCTTCAAAGTGCAGTTGAGCTGATGGCGATTAAAAAGAAAATAATAAAGGGAATATCTCACACATCGCCTCCCAAAAAGTAATGTTCTGTTCTCCCTTTTTCTTTTTTTTCTCTTCGTCGTAGGAAAATGATACACGGGATAGACAAACAACAAGTCCCTTGGATATCGCGCAAGACGCAATCAAGCAAAATAGAGTCGAAAAACAGAAAAGAAAAGAAAACACACATGAGTTCGTTTGGTTTGTTGGCTCCTCCCCCTTAGATCGAGTTGCCGAGAGTTTTCGTTAATATCCCTCCTCCTCATCTTCTTCAATCGGCGCCGGCGTACGTCTCTCCTGTCGCCGCTTCGGTCTCCGGTGTCGCGAACTGCTTATGTTGCTAGCCGAATCCTCCGGCATCAGCTCGAAGTCGTCCGCTCCCCAATCATCATCATCCATCATCGGCAGTCCGCCGTCCTCGCTTGGTGCTACGCCATACCAGCCTTGGTCAACAGATCCGAGCGAGTTTCCTGAGCCAGGGCCTCCGTAGACGTTGATCTGCCTACGGGAACGCAGGCTCTGCATGAGACCCGCGTTGCGCTGTCTAAGCGCCGTCTGTACTTCCTCGGCTCTTCGATGAAGTGCTTCAAACGCGTCCTCCAGTGCCTCCATGCCGGAAAAGATTTCTCGTTCGAGCTCAGCCAAGGCTGCTATTTCGGCCTCTTCATCGTTCGAAACTGCTTGGCGGCTGGGGTGACTCGACGACGCCATGCTGATAAACGAGGCAGGCGTGGCTGTGCCCGTTCGCGAATACGGTCGGTGTGGCGTTGCCAAGCGAGAAGCCAGACCTGCCGGAGTGGCTCGCCCGCTGAAGCTTAGTCGAGAGGCTGAAAAGTAGCCGTTAGCCGGCGTGGGTCCCCGAGACTCGGTAGCTGTAGGAGTCGCAACGTCGTCGCCGTCAGCTCCTGACCAGAGGAATCCGTCGAATCTTCCAGAGGTCAAAATCTCCCACTCCGAGTTGTTAATATCTGAAATAGTGTGCAGCAAATCGTGTGTGCCGCGGTTCCTGATCAAATAGACAACGGTTTCCGCATCCCTGGGCGCCTGTGACAGCCGGTACAGACGTTGGAGTGAAAGTCCCGTCTTGACTAAGAAGTCAGTTCGAGGTTTGCGAACTGGCGTCGGTGCACGAACGGCTGGCTGCAATTCCTTGGTGCCTGAGAACAAGGCGTTAAAGTAAGGCCGATCTTCGGCATCGAGGTTCGTGAGGATGGCAAAAGTGAGCGTCTCGTCGTCGACTTCCTGAGGAGGCGGCGCAGGCGCATCTGCACAGTTATGAAGCCACTTGTCCACAGCTTGCCTGACCTTTTTCGATTGCCTCAGATAGTGGTCCCTCCACTCTTCAGCAATGTCAGGATCCAGCTTGATGGGGGAATTCGGTCGTCGAGGAAGATCCGACTTGCTCTCGGCCGCTTTGGCGCTGAGTTCGGCGAGATCGAACGGTGGCCATTGGGGAAGGTCAATGCGACCACTAACCCACTCAAGCACCTCTCCCCAGTTCAGCCCGTGATGCTCACCCTCCATCCGCTCGCAGATAATGCAGGAACAGCCGTGGGCAGGTAGGTCCCTGGAGAATACGTGCTCAAGCCTATCTAGAAGCCTCCGCGCCACGGATCGATGTCCCGTAGCCACGGCGATGGATCCATGCTTATTCAGGACTGTGTTATACTGGTCGAGGAGGTTGAAGAAGGGTGCAAAGAGAGTTTCGGCCCCCGTAAGCGGAGGATTCGACGGCCTTGTCCCGTTGAAGCGAGGCAGGACCGAGAGGAAATTCTTCGACACACGTGCAGGTAGACCACCGTTTTGCAGCAGGTAATCAACGCGAGGTGCCTCCTGTAGGCTCAGAGGCGGTGGTGGAGGAGGCGGCGGCGCGGGCGTACCGTAATCGACTCCGGGAGTGGCCGATGACATCACTACTACTCCTGGAGTGGCAGAGGGTATGACCATAGGCGTTTCATGGCCGTATGCGTAATCTGGCTTCGTGGGGAATGTGGGTGGCGGCGGAGGGATGGGGAAACCTTGGTTCTGAGTAGGTGTTTTCGGGGACGAGTCCGAGTTGCTGGGAGGCGAAGAGTCGGCATCTGGTTGCTCCGGTTGCTTGGACCCGCGGTTGGACCCGGACCCCCTTGACGAGGAGCGCTTTACATCATCTTCCGGATGTAGATGCTCGCGAGAGGTGTTTGCTTTGGGTGCCTTGACATAGGTCGCTTGGCTAGAGAGGCAAGACGACTTGGTTGTGCTCATTCGGGATTTGGATCCGGTCCTTGACATACCGCCCGATGCAGACGAAACCCTTGACCTCGGCCGTTCGGAGTTCGATCTCGTTAGCGACTCTGGTGTTTTGGTCCTCGATTTCTCCTGCGAAGTAATCTCGGTGTCAGGTGGCGTCGGGGGTCGAGAGCTCTTCTTCTTCGAGGTCGTTGACGACCTGACCTCTGAAGGCTGGTCGTTGACGGATTTCGATCGCCTCAGGTTCGAGCCGACATCGGTGGGTTCTGGCGTCAAGGGATCAACTCGCCTCGTAGGAAGGGTTAGGCTCTCTCTACTATTAACTGCCTCCTTGCTGTGTGCTTTGCTAAAGGTCGGGTAAGGCATAGAGATTCGATCCGTGAGACTAAACGCCGACCTGGTCTCACCAATTTGGGACTCCATCAGGGATGATCTCCCATCCCTCACAGAACCGTCCTCCTCCTTCGACCGTCTGCGTCGGCGGTGTGATGTCGAAGTAGAGTGAACATCGCTGTCTGTGGTCTTGCTCCTAGTAGACCGCTTCGATTTGTGCGTCCTGCTTCCATCTCGCTCTCGTTCGGACTTGCTCCTCTCCGACTTGCTCCGATGGCGCTTCTCGCGTGGCCGGCCGTCATCATCGAGAACATCACGTTCCTTGGAAGGCATGGTGCGAGATTCTACGCTGCATCTGGGTTGCTGTGTGTCTGCGTGTGCGTGGTGCTAAATGGGAGATCGACGTCGGCTCGAGGAAGATCACAAAGGGCTAGGCAGGTAATCGAATGACGGGGCGGGTTGGATAGGTTTGTTTGCCAGTCTTGTCTCGCCTCGACGGCAGGGTGTAAAATAGGTCGGGGTATCAACGTATAGAATTTCGTCTTCTTTTGGGAAATGGCGTTGACTTTAAGTTTGGGATTGGCGCTTCTAGTCAGGGCTTTTCGCTGATTCACCGTCAGTTGAGGTTTATGCTTGAGGTCGGTGAATATGTGGGCTAGCCGCCGATGGGGGGAGCCTTATTTCTGCCCAAGAAAACGGGAGATCCAGCAAAAGTTGCCTTCTGTTGCCGTGGCGGAGGCAGGGGTACCTTGGATAGTGCCCGTTGGCGGATAATGACACTGTGGAAGACGCCCCAACGCGAAGAAGTCGTGTGGTTTTTGATGACTAAATGCGCTGTTAACTGCGAGGAAGCTGCGACCAACGGAGGGTGAGCACGACCTTGAATCGAGCCAAGACAATCACATCACCAACAGCGATATGAAAGTCGTAGTTCGATTCAAATCCATTCGTTCAGTTCGTAACGGTAGCTGGATGGCCTTACGAGAATGGTAAATGTACGAAGTCGCTTCCTACTGATGAAACCTGGATGATTTTCTCGAAGCATGACCCGTCCACTCATTGCACCTTCCGACAAGTGGACAATACTACCGGCTAATTGGTAGCAAGACAGTGGCAATGATTTGTCCACTTTTACGTACCGTGCTCGACTTCGTACCTTCCCCCTCCACTCCGCCCTCTGATATCGAGATCCCGCTCTCGCCCGCCCACCTTCAGAAACGCGTCGCCGCACTCTGACGTGGCAGGGACCCCCCAATAATGAAGCCGACGCTCTCCTCTCTCGACGTCTGACGAAACAAAATTATCTAGTTGCTCTTCTCCTCTTCTCGTCAATATCTATTTGATGCAGTTGATGCTCTACTGATACAGCCCCCAAGAGTTCGAGACATTTCAGAGGCCAGCCACAAGCGCCGTACCCCACGGAAGATCTAAAAATACACACCTTCGTCATACTTGCACCGTAGCCTGGCTGGCTGGCCAAGCCTCGGATGGTGTCGACCACCGACCCTATCACATCCTCCACAGATCGGTTCTCCCAACCGCCGACGAATCACAGCGCACCGCAAGCCAAGGATTCAATCATGACCATCGGCCATATACATTCCAGAAGAAGATCAAATTTGAGCCAACAGATGTAGAACTCATCGATCATAACCTCTTAATCTGAACACAATACTGACATTGAGCAATGAAACTTGAGCTGGTCCGAGTGGACCCTTCCAAGTTCCCGTCTAGCGCAGGGATAATTCGGGACCCTGAACCCTACAGATAATGCACCTTTAAATCATCGTACCCCGCAGGAGCTTGAAAACGACTTGTAAAAAGAGAAGAGGAAAAGAAATAAAAAGTGATGGGCAGGTATCCTGAAGAAACTATCATCGTAGTGTATAGTATGAAAAGACCCTTCCGGCACATACAACAAAGTAAAAAGAAAGGCAGGCCTTTCATCAACTTTTCTTTCTTTCTCTACGATTCTTCCAACGAACCAGCTTCAGAGTCTGTCAAGGAGACCTCGGCTCTCGAGGAGGAGGATGATCTCGTGGACAATTGATCGGACGGTCTGCTTCTCGCGGTCGACAACAAGATCGGCAGCGGGGGGGACCTCGTAGGGATCGTCAACGCCAGTGAAGCCCTTGATCTCGCCGGCCCGCGCCTTCTTGTAGATGCCCCGACGGTCGGTCTTCTCGCAGTACTCCAAAGGAGTAGCAACGTGAATCAAAAAGAAGGGGCCCGACTTCTCGATCAGTTCTCTAGCTTGTACCCTGGCATCCTCGTACGGTGCGATGGGAGCTGCGATGACGGCGGCTCCGGCCTTGGTGAGCTCGGACGCGACGAAGGCGATTCGAGCAATGTTGGTTTTTCTGTCCTCGCGGCTAAAACCAAGCTCTGCCGAAAGCTCGTGCCGTACAGTCTCTCCCAGGAGCATAGACACGGGTCGTCCACCTCCTTGCATCAGCGTCGCCTGGAGTGCACGGGCAACTTGGTCCTTCCCGCTGTTTTGATACCCAGTGAGGAAGACGGTGAAGCCCTTAGCGGAAGGAAGTGGGTTCTGCTCTCGCAGAACTTTGACGACCTCGGGGTAGGAAAACCACTCGGGAATTTCCTTACCCGTGCGGAGCCTATAGCGAAGCTCAGTACCAGAAATGTTGGTCGTCCTGACACCCTCGGGAACTTCATTCCGGGGCATGTACTCATCCCTGTCGGGGAGATAGATCATCTCTTGGAATTCGACCATCTTGATGCCGAGCTCGTCCTGGTACTTCTTGACAGCCTCCTGGGCGTCATAGGGACCGTAGTGGTCGACACCCTGCTTGTTCTTACCGGGGCCAGCGTGGTCACGGCCGACGATGAAGTGGGTAGCACCGTGGTTCTTTCGGATAATAGCGTGCCAGATGGCCTCTCGGGGACCACCCATTCGCATGGCAAGGGGGAGAAGGGCCAAGGAGGCCATGCCGTTTGGGTATCGGGGAAGGATGGCCTTGTAGACGCGAACACGGGTGAAGTGGTCAATGTCACCTGGCTTCGTGAGGCCGACGACAGGGTGGATGAGGACATTGGCTTGCTGTGACCGTGCGGCCCTAACAGTCAATTCCCTGTGGGCTCGGTGCATAGGGTTCCTGGTCTGGAAGGCAACAACTCGCTGCCAACCAAGCTTATCGAAGTGGGCACGGAGCTCGGCAGGAGTGTCTAACGAAGGAGGGAAAGAACATTAAGTCGTCAGCTCAAGAGATCCTGGTGCGAGCGGCACCTGCCACCTTCAACAAGGGGTCATCCCAGAACTCACATCGGAGATCCAAGAAGTCGTAGTGATCGAGGCGGTGGAGGGCCTCTAGCTTGCCACCAACATAAAACTCCTTGGCGACATTGAGGACGTAGTGAACACCAGGATGAGTGTCATCCTCGCTACCAAAGACTTCACGGGCCTCGAGGTTCCTTCAGGTAAAAACCAGGGTGGCGTCAGTACTGCGAGAGCTCCCAATAGGGCTGGGAGGCTATAATTCGGGGTGCAACAACGTACCTATCCGGCCGATAGACGTCCTCGACAGTGAGGATAGCAAGGTTTCGCTCGTCTCGGAAGTCGCGTAGGGTGATTCTCGCACCGGTCTTGATCCCGAGCTCGTCTACAGTCGCTCGGTCGACGTCGAGGGTGATGGGCATGCTGAAGAGGACGCCGCTCTCCAAGCGCAGATTCTTAACAACACTTTATTTGCATTCCTCTTAGCGACATTGAGTCCCAGTAACGGCGGCATTGCGCTTGCTCAACATACCCATTGTAGTCCTTTTCGTTCAAAAAGCCTGGTGTAAGCGCAAAAGTTAGTCTACTACAACTGCAAAAGTGAAAGTGAACTCGGTCACTACCGAGAAGAGAGCCAATGGCGCCGATTCCCTTTTCCTTATTCTTGGGCAACGCCGTAGTGAAACCAAGGGTTGGGGGGGGCTAACCTTCAAGTGGTGAAAAGCCACCGTTGAGGATCAATTCCAAATCGCAAAGATGGCGCTCGGAGAGGGTAAGGGCGGGAAGAGTGTCTGCCTCGGCAGCGAGCTCTTCCTTGCGAGGGAGATCGCGGGCGAAAAGGTCCTTGAGGACTCCTCCATGCGGGGTGAGGGGCATCTTGAAGGAGCTGGAGCTACACGCACAAGGGGTGTCAGGGAGCTTCGAGGCACGCAGTTGATGCAGGAAAACGAAAGAAAAAAGAAGAAGGCAACTACCCGTAGGACGAAGCACAACAATAAAGCAGAGGATGAGAGAGAGGGAATGGGGGTGGGACTAGTGAAGGGACAAACTTGGGACCCGGACTTTAAATACTGACTTCGGTACGCCGGAGGTCGGAGCTCCGATGTTCCTGGAGGAGGAGGCGTTTGACTTGACGGGGCTGGTTCACCTTTATAGAACAGGGTCTTCAGCTTGTGCAAGACCTCAATGGGATTTGTATTAAGCAACAGACTAAGGTTTATGGTAACAAGAAGGGAATTGAGGGTCCAATGTGGTGTTGGAAACTTTAACAATTCTTGTCTCGCGGCTACTAGTAGGTATTGAGCTGTCGCTTGAGACCACAACTTGACAGGTTGATGATCTCGATAGTGAGACTTCAATGTTGTAATACTTCATGCTACATAGGTTAATGCCTCGATCAATGCCATTGCCACAGCTGCGAAAAGCGGAGCTCGTCAGCTAGATCGATGGGGATTAATATGGAAGGCCATTGGTTCTCCGATTTACAAGATACCACGAGGGACTTCTTGCTGGATCAATTGAGCCTTGATGTGATTTTGTAATCGAGTTTCAGCGGCCCATTGACGATGACCTCCGTCATTCCGTGCGGATGGGGAAGCTGCGGCGCGCCGTAAGCCGTATGGAACAATAAAATTTTCTGGCGAGAAAAAATGCCTTTTAGCTCCAAATGACGTGCTCGAAACGCTAGATCTTGGCACCACAAGGCCAGGCGATACCCCATCTTCCCACCTTCCCACCTTCCCCCTTCTGAGTTCAAAAAACCAAAGCTGGCGAATTGGAGGGACGGGAAAGTCAACACGCTCTGACCCTGGGAACAGTGATGTGGGGTGCCCTGGATGAAAGCAAGGCACGCCCGCACGCGACCGAGAAGAGGAGGAACAGGCCAAAGTGGTGTATGTATTACCTACTTCATATGTACAAGTACAGATTTACACCTCGGGCAGCATAGATACATTGAGAGGCAGAAAGCTCCTGGTCTGGCAACCCTGATCGGTGAGTGTGCTTCAAGGACTCTCAGGGTCTTGCAGAATGTCCGCTGCGGGATGGAAGATATTAATGGTTCGGACTTGCATGACGAGACAGCCTCCCCGTACTTGTGTTATAGGCTCTGGCAGTGCCGAGTAGTTGGTAATACATTCAATAAAAAGGGACGGCCCAAGTTTCACTTGCCCTTTCCATCTAGAATCTCAAGGTTACAGGCGGCCGCGGAGATGGCAGATGGCAGATATTGACCAAAGTCTTGTAAGTATCTAGACTTATACCCGAGCCCGGAAGGAAGAAGGAAATGGGTATTGTGGGCAAGCAGTTCCCACATGTCAATTGACCCGGTGAGACCTTGCGGGTCGCAACTGGCCATTTTGTCAAGCGGTCAGAGACAGAGTGTAGCATACGTAGCAGGATTAATAAACATAAATCGATACTAGTTGTTCCGAACATAAAATCGTATCGGAGGCGGGTCCTTCGTTATTGATGGATCAATTGATCTACTTCATAGTGTGCTCGACTCGGTAGACGTGGTGTGGATCCCGATTCATCCCTGTATTTTGTAGGCTTCGGCCAGCCCACAGAGGACGTTGCGTCATCTCCGAAAGGAGAAAGGACGCCAGAGAAAATGACCAGAGCCGGGCTATGCTGCGATGCCAGGCAATGGTAATAATCGGCATTAGTAAAAGTCACCAGTGACTTCCTAATAACATTCAAATTGTTTGATTGATATTGAGTAAATCTTCTCGCAGCAGTTCAGGCAACAGACGACGTTAATTCACTCATCCATCTGGAGGTTGCAGAAGGGGGCTCCGCTGCCATCCGCCTGCAACTGCCTGCATTCCCTCTCCTCGCATCCTCTCATCCCAGCCCAGTTAATATTGCATGTGCTATTGAGCCGCACACTCTTGTGCGAAGCTCCAGGGTGGCTGACGCGAGAGGCGCTACGTCTGACGACACTAATAGTGGCGTTGATGAATGGACACGGATATATCTTGGCGACGCTAGCTATTAATTGTCGTTCATCCCCGACGCGGGAACTCGAGTCTTTTCCGCGGGGTGGAAGCAGGAAACGGGCGGCGATAGGGAGATGCTGGACCGGCTGCGGGGGACGACAGCGGAGATGTCCGGTCTCTTGACTAAGAATCATCGTGGGCGGACCGGCGCAGGCGCAGGCGCGGGGATTTAGATGTGGTCCGAGTGTAGACCCAATATTCAAGAATAGGGCGATGGATGAGAGCAAAGAGAAGTCAAACGAGACAACAAGTACTATAGTTGGTAGGACCTACCGGACGAGACATCGATGGGAAGCTGTCATCGTACCAAATACTATTAGGAGCCCAGTAACGCCTGCCAGTGACAGAGACCAGGACAACCCAGACCCTCAAAATACCTCACTCGTGATCGAGCAAGTATTCACATGCAACATCATCGATCTAATCCGCGAACTCACAGATTCGGCAGCCATGTCTTCCTTCTCCCGTCGTATCGGTAGGTCTTGCCGTCTACTGCTGATCCGAAAGGCAGGAACAAGATTGTTCTCAGGATCACTGACAAGGGTTGTTCGCAAATTGCAACGTTGAGACGAAGGGCTCATCTCCAAAATCGGCATCCTGAAAACAATGAGGCAAGAGCAGAGTAATACAGCTGAGCCGTCCTTGGATTTCATCGCCCGTCTTATCTCTTGTCCCGAGTCCTTCATTTTTGTCTCTGCTAATGAAGTCTCCTGTCCCCTTCCGCCAACCGCCATTTAAGTATCACGAGTGACGACTGGATCCTCACCAGTGCCTCCCAACTTCCTACCAAGAGTGTTTCGATTTTCTACTAGAACCGGCTGCTGAGGATAATCGCAGCACCAGTACCACTCCTTCATACATCTCGAGTGGCCAGATTTTATTCGTAACCAGCCTCCCCAACATCAATCTTGGCTTTCATGTACTTATCGCAAAGACAACCTGTGATAATGCGCGCCCCTCTACATACCCATCTCCAACTGAGCAATTGTGGTGCTGACACAGATATGTCCGCATATTGATACATTCTTGAAAGACTTAAAGTAGCAATTTACTCGAAGTTGAGACCCTTGCTTTTTCTTTTTCTCTCCTAACCAAGCTGGAGATCGCATGGCGCCGAGAGACTGCCAACTCCTTTCTATTACCTTGGCCGTTTGATGAACACGGCTTCAAAATGGGAGGGGGGGCTCTCGTCACCTCCAAACTGTGGGCCGCGGATCTTTGTGCCTAAGTTGCGTGGTGCTTCATATTTCTCATTTCCTGTTTGAACATCCCGTTTAACGGGATACGTCTATTTCCACTCTTATGTCTGTCGGTCCCGTCTTCAGGAAGAGTTGTTTGCTACATACCATTAGTGTTGTCGATCCGATCCAGGAACGGACCCTATCTCGCACGACATTCCTCAACTTCGCCCTAGACGCCTAGATAGCTTAATTCTGACTACATGCTGGGAATGTATTCTGAATATTGAACTTTCGTTGATTCTTATCTTTTCACGGAGCGTCCAGATTGCGTCGGTTAACATATGGACGCTTTCTTCAAGAAGTGGACGTGCTCCCCGAGTTACACCCAGCAGTACGCGACCAATACCCTCGCTCGCGTCCTTCGCGTCCCGACTCCAGTGCCTGATGCCTCGAGACGCACCTCAAGTCTCCAAAGCCGTTATCGATAGCCCCGGAGCTCAATTGTGAGCCCCCTCGCTTACAACTCATCTGTGCTTCTTCGCCAGGCGACTTTCTAGTCCGCGTCCCATTGGAATACAAGCGAAGCCAACATGCCCTCATATAGATCGTTGAGGTTGGGGGTCCTGTTGCCCTTCCTATTTACCCTGTCCAATCTCCACGCCGAGGTCGAGGGACGAGAGACGAGGCTCGTGCCGGGAGTTGATCAGAATGGAGAGAGGATTTTGCTTCCATCGCATCGGACACCCGCACTCTACACCGGAGATTTTGGCGACTGCGGTGGGGGAAACGACTTGTTCAGCATAACCAAATTCGATGCCGGCCTGTACAGGGACAATTTTACTGTTCTTTTCAATATGCATGGGTCTACGGCCCTTACCAACGAGAATGTTATGTGTAGGTATTTATATGAGAGCTGGGGGCCAATAAAAAAGACGTCGGGCTAACCAGTGTCAGTACATATATCGGTTGAGGCGTGTGAGTGTATCCAACTAGATTTCCCGTCTCCTTTCCTGGGAAGCCTAGCTAATAACGAGCAGACGGCGAGCAGCGGTTCGAGATGATTTTCGATCCATGCTTAACGCAAGTCTACAGGTAGGTTTCTAACTCCAGCGAGGGAACAAAAAGAGGTAGGGAAGATGGTCTTTGCGAGCTAACACATCTCGCAGTATGTGTCCCGTTGATGTTAGTACTCCAATAACAGCATGGGCGCAAATCCCCATCCCTCCATTCGAACTCGACGTTATTCCGAGTATAGCCTACGGAATTCCCGATTTCGATGGCATTGCGCGTCTACAAATATTCTCGAATACCTCTCAAACACGTGTAGGATGCTTCCAGGCCTCGTTGAAAAACGGCCACAGCTTCTCGCACCCTATAGCGATCCCAATAGTGCTCGGCTTCTTTACGACTCTGGCCGTCCTTTCTTCTTTCGTCCTTGCCATATACGGCAGCAACATCCCCCAAATGAGGACTCATTACGCCCACGCCATCTCGGGGTTAATCGTGTTCGAGACTTTCCACTCCATATTCTTCTTCGGCGCTGTGTCTGTGCGGTGGCCCAGCGTCCTGGCGGCTTGGAGGAGCAACTTTGCCTGGTCAGCTGGCCTCATCTACGCGGACAAGGTGGTCGATGGCATATCCTCTTTCGTCGGGATAACTGGGAATGCAAGCGAGGCAAATACTGTCGGATCTGTTGTTTCTGATAGCGGGTTTGCGCAGCAACTGTACGGACGATCCTTGCGTGTGCAGCGGACACGTGAGACCATAGACAAGTCCGTCGCAATCTCGCAGGGGCTATTTAAGAGGCAGAGCCCGCCTTTCAATTCGAGTAACCCGGACGATTATACCTGGGGTGGTCGTCCAGCACTACCAGGTCTGCCGTTGTCTGGTTTCCCGAGCAGATTCCCTGGCACGCTTGCCGAGGTGAAGATACCGGCCCCTGATGCATTTCTTGTGGCGATTATATGGTTTTTAGTTCTCTTGGCCTTGATAATGCTATCTATAACAGTACTCGGATACGCTTTGAATAGGTCCATCATTCAAAAGCGGGTTGAGATTGAAAAGTTCAGCTACTTCCGATCTCATTTGCCCGGCTACATAGGAGTTGCTATCCTGAGGACATTCTTCATCGGCTTCGCTCCTTTGATGACCCTGGCCCTTTTTCAGCTCACGCTCCCTGGACCGCCGGAGCCGAAGGTCATCGCGGGCGTGCTGGGGTTTCTCATCCTGCTCAGCGTGGGCAGCGTTGTCGGCTATGCGTGTTACACCCGGCTTCGGTTCGGTAGATACGAGATTGCCTCGGATAGACTGAGGCTCGAACGAGGGCGAATTTTCAAAGTCGTCCCGTTCGTCACCATCATCTGTGCCTCGAGGCTCTTACTAGAGGAAGAATCCTCCCGGCGCCCGCTTGCAACAATCCCCTGGTTCCGAATCAGGTACATCGACGACAACAAAAGCAGACCTACCGCGCATGAGGACGAAGGCTACATCAAGAGATTCGGCTGGCTAACCGCCCACTACCGACACACGAGATGGTGGTTCTTCGCCTGGTGGTTTGGATATCAACTCGTGCGGGCAATCTTCCTCGGAGCCGCCATCACGAGTCCGACAGCGCAGGTATTCGGCCTCTTGGTAGTGGAGATCATCGCCTTCGTCGTCATCGCGAGACTCAAGCCCTTTGAGGGTTTGCGAAATTCTGCGGTGGCGGTTTGGTTGCTAAGTATTAGCAAGGTAGCTACGGCGGGATTGTCCGTTGGATTCTTGCCCGGCTTTGATCTCGGAGGCATTCCATCTACGGCGCTAGGCATCATTATTGTCATTATTCAAGCGGTTCTCGTGTTAGCCGTCCTGGTGCTCATCATTCTTGGCGTCATATCGTCGTGGATGTCTCTCACACGGGACAAAGAGGACTTTCCAAAACCCCTGAAATCGTATCGAGCCAAGTTCTTCGAGAAACTAGAGCGCCGGGCTCCTGACATGCCGGAGACGAAGGCGGCAGGTTCAGACGCCGAGGACCGAGAGCCCACCGCTCCTTACTTCTCGGTTAACAGAGTGCGGCGAGAACCAAAGATCGGCGAGAGACTCAGCGCTATCAGCGACCCATACTTTGCAATGAATAACGGCTCCGGTATCTTCCTCGCACCGCCCAGCGTGGGAAGCCGCCCCGTAAGTTTAAATTCGAGACACTCCATTAGCAGCCTTCGAAGGGCGGCTCTCGTCCACCCCGGCTCCCGTAGCGCCGTCGACCTGGTGGGATTACCGGTTGAGACAGCCCCGTGGATGGCGGAGAGGCCGAATTCGACTCATTCGAGTAGTCGAAGGAAACCGCAAATGAGCCCTCCGCTGGAGGTGACGGAAGATGGGGTGATGAATCGGGCATAGGTTGGAGAAAGATGGTGTTTATCGAAATGGGGGATAAATGGCGTTTGAAATTATGGATGCTCTTCGGACAGCACTGGATGCTGGAAATATTCTTAATGTCTAGACATGTATAATTCATAGTGGTTGGCGAGAAGGAATTGGACATGGGGCAAATATGGTTAGGCAGGTGTTTGACACTTGAAGGCATCGTGTGGTTACAGCAGAACATTTGGAACATAGGACCGCGGAATTTACGGGAGCAGCGGACGGATACAATTTACAACACAAAGGGCTATGTCTTTTTTGCTTTTTGTTCTTTTGATTGATAGTTGATGGTGCTAGGCGCACCCTTCGAAATAAGAAATGAATTTCAGTTTTAACCAGATAGAATACACAACCGATCGAGAGTACAACTTTACGTCCTCCTCAACTTATCCTCCTGTACTGCCTAGCCAACCATGGAATCCAACCACCCAGACTGTCTAGCGTCACATATTCTCTTTTGCTAGAGGCGCAAACAGAGTACACAGAGAGAACCTCAACATTCCGCTACGTTTACTTCATCATTTAGAGCTTAGCAGCAGGGGTCTCCTCCGGGTACGACGGGGGAGGCTCGAGGTGCTCCTGGTCCTCCATAAGACCGGCCTTCTCCTCATCGGCGAGGACAGCCTCGGAAGGGTCGGCCTTGTAGCTAGGAGGCTGCTCAGGAGCGGGCTTGCGTCCACGGATAACCTTGTAGACACGCAGCACGATAGAGACGAGGATCATGCCAACACTATTCACCAGTTAGCATACTGTGAAAAACATTCAACGTTGAAAAAAAGAAAAAAGAAAAAAGGGGGGGGGGGGGGGGGGGGGGGGGTTAGAACTTACATGCTAGCAGTGACACCGGCAGCGATACCAATAAGAATAGGAAGGAGGATGTGGGTAAGGATCATAATGAAGACGTGGGCGAGACCATGGTGACGATGACCATGATGGAAGGGAGCGGGGTGATGGAACTGGCCCTCGGGGGCGGCGCTGGGAGGGGAGGACATGGCGGGGTGGTGAGGGAGGTGAGGAGGTCCTCCATGAGGCATACCATGAGGCATGCCATTCATACCACCGTGCATGCCGTGAGGGTGGCCGTGGGGTCCAGGGCCGGCCTGTTCCTTGTTTCCGTGGCAAGGGCGACCGGAGCCCCTCATCGCCGCGATCTTGTTGGCGATGAAGGCCCTCCACTTGCAGAGCAGAGTGGTGCAGTTGGCACCGAATGCGGGAGCGGCCTCCACGGTCTGGACGTTCGCGATGGCGAGGCTGTCACCGTTCTTCACAAGGCGGATCTTGACGGCGGGGATACCGTTGACGAAAGCTCCGCCAACCTCGACGACCTGGAGGTCGACGCCGATAAGCTCGAGCTGCTGGCTCTCCTCCTCCTTAGCGATGGGGTAGACGTGGAACCTGTAACCCAGTCGCTGGACCTTGACATGAGCCTTGTCATCCATGTTGCTGGGCTCGGTGACCTGGGGAGCGACGAGGGAATTGGCGAAGGGATCGGGGTTGGGGTAGAGCTCGAAGCCGTTGGCTAGGAGGCTGTCGCCGTTGGAGGACGTGTCGATCGAGAAGGTCATCTCAAGATGGTTCGGGACGTCATCGACGGCGACGCCATCCTTGATGTCGACGGGGCATCCGGGGCAGGCGATGTCGATGGACTGCTCGTGGGCCTTCGACGGGGCGTCGAAGGGGAGGAGATCGGAGATGGTTCGATCAGCGTCGGCGATGGGGATGACGACGAAGGCGTGGGCTGCCGTGGCAGCGAGCCCGGCTGAGAGGACCGACTTGACCAGCATTATTCGGACACCTCGGGATTATTGGGTTTGAGACGAGAAAAGGAAATAGTTTCGAATGGGAAAGTCGTGGGTAAGAAATCGTACTGGCCGTCGGAAGAAATGAAAGTTGTAGTTTTATAAGGAAACCTGTTGTTGATCGTAGAATAATGTCCCGTTTCCACGAGAGGGAATGGCGAAGAAAGGGAACGGGATTGAAACAGAAGGATGACGAATGTTGGATGATGCTATTATTAACGTGATCCCTGACGCTGAGTACGTGTGAAGTCCCAAATCTGCGCCTGGGATTCAACTTCCTTTGTAAATGAGTACACTAAGACTGTATTTTGTACGCGTACCCTGACCTAATTTAGTTAGAGGCCTACGTTGTCATCGAGGGTGAGAGTACTACCACGAAGTACATGTGGGGGCTTGTCTCAGCGACATGCCCAGATGCTTCAGCACTGCCCCAGACCTTGTCCGGGTTACAGTGTACGCGTACTTGGCATTGATGAGGGGCTTCAGTGGCCTTATCTTTGCGCTTCCCCGCCCAATCGAATCTCACCGAAATGGAGGACGCGAAACATGCCCCTCCGGAGATTTCCAGCTGGTTACAAGTGGTAGACTTCAGAGTAAAGTTGGGGTTACTAGAATGAGACGAAGCTCTTGGACTTTCCCTCTTTGACGAAATACAGAACTGAGGTCTTAAAGCATTTAACTCTCGAGGGCTCGAGACTTACGATGACGGATATAATTCGTCGCTCTTTTTGTAAAGACCTAGCTCAAAGTTAAGATTCTACCATGGGAATGACAGAAACGAGCATTGAGAGACCTTAACGAACCGATCCATGTGATGTTGATGCCCCTCCGTCTCTCCAAAGAGACTCTGGAATGATATGATAGTTTATATATGGACATTTGCCGTGTAACATCCACTGGGTAAAGCAGAAATGCTGCGTTCCTCGATTCTGGTATCCTCTTTTGTTGCGAATCGCAAACATAGCACAGCGACGCGTCGCCTAGCCGCTTGTTCTTCTCAATCTAAATAATTCCCAGAACAACAATGAACGAGTCTCGCTTCATTCCAAACACCTTCTCCCAACCCCTAACACTCCCACGAAGCCCCCCCTCCCTCCTCAAAGAGGCCCTCGAAGAAATCCTCCTCCATACTCCGCCCCAGGAATCCTACGTCTCAAGAAGCAGCGGCCCTCTCCACCTCGGCGGCCTACTTTCCGGCCCCACTGCCCTCGCGTATCTCTTCTTCCGGGCCTCCGAGGCTCAGCCAGACCTCCGGGTAGCAGATCACTCGGTCTCTCGTTGGGCGAAGAGATACCTCCGTGGAGACAGGGGTAGTCTCAAGGTTCGAACGGGAGCGTGTGGGCTCAAGAGCGAGAGGCTTGCGTACGACGCCGTGAAGGCTTGTATCTCCAGGGATCCAGACGACGTCAAGACATTCCTCGCGAGCTTGGCACCCGTTCTCCACTCGTTGGGTAGAGCGGATGTGTTTCCTTCGGAGCTTTTCTGTGGGAGGGCTGGTACGCTATACTTCCTGCGACTGGTGAGGCACTTCGTCCCGGATAGTGCTCCCTTACTCGAGGATGCCATCAGAGCAATATCGATATCCATCATCGAAGTCGGTGACGATGGGAGAGGCAACTGGTTGTTCCATGACAAGCACTACATCGGCGCCGCGCACGGAGACGTCGGTATTATTACCCAACTCGTCCTCACAACTCCATCGTTGGCACCGAAACTGGAAACGCGATTGGACAAATTCCTTGACACTCAATTCGACGACGGGAATTGGCCCTCGTCGGCCGGGAAGACCTCGAGTCCCTATGTACAATGGTGCCATGGAGCCCCGGGCTGCGTGATATCGCTAGTGGCGCTACGAGAGCACTTCCCGAATCTCCAGACCAAGATCGATGCGGCGATCCACAAGGGAAGGTCCTGCATCTGGCGCGCGGGCCTACTGAAGAAAGAGCCGTCTCTGTGCCACGGTATCTTTGGGAATGCAATGTAAGTTGTTACAAAGGAAGTAGGACTGCACAAAATGACTTGACCTCTCCGAGGCTAAGAAAAGGAAAACACGTAGAGCACTTGACAGAACCCGTCGACACCACTTTCTTGCTCTAGCGACGCCCGAAAAGGTGCAAGATATGAGATCTCGTGACTCCTCGCTCTTCAAGACTGCAGCTTATGAGAGCGAGGACTCTCTCCTTATGAATTACTGGCCTAGTGCTGCGTGGACATGGGTGGTGTGCGAGGATGAAGAGCCTGGGATGATAGTCTACACTGATGTCTAACTAATAGGAACGATTGGCTCGAAAGCTGAGAAGTCTAGGTCTTGGTGGGGGGGTTGATCTTGAGGTCTTCATTAAACTCACTTCAGCCTCCTCTGACTGGCGGCTATAAATAAAGTGGGTGGTTCGATGATATTGCTGGAGAAATTAATATTCTCCTGGTGACAGTTCACAGTCGTTTCAAAATACCGCCGGACCGTTAATTACAGTTTCTAGCGAGAATCGAAGGTGGAGGATACACAAGAGAAATAATGTGCATTGTATTGATCATAGTTATGAATACGATAGTTGCAATTCAAGTAACAAAGAAACGATGTTGAATGATCGAGCGAGGAGTCAACGACTGACAAAAGACAAAAAAGAGGAAAAATCCGAGCCCAGTAGTACAATAAGGCCTTCCCAGTAAAACCTCCAATAAACCCACTCATCCGTACTGCGCCGATACCTCTTGGTCATGATGGAAAATGTATGCAAAAAAAAAGAGGGAAAGAAAAGAGAGAACACAAGATAGTAAAAAGGGGAGTCAGGTAAGTCGAGCGCCATTAGAGAGGGTACCTAGTTAGGGCCGACGATAAAAAGGGGAGGGGGTATCATTTCGTTGGAAAAAGAAAACAAGTTTCAGCAGGCTGGCGACATGTTGTATGAGCAGTCAACTCTTGCGGAAGGATCTATTCATCGATTCATCGTGTCCGCGGATCTTCGGGTTCGCGAGCGGGCTGCGAAGTAGAACCGGCAACGGAGCTCATGAGAGATCCAAACCATCTTCCCAGTCGGCTCGCGCTCGGCCGAGCGTGGAAAGTCCGGAATGATAGGGTCCCACGCTCCATCTCGTCGTCACTGTTGCTTCCGCCGGTGTCACTGCGTCGGGGTGGTTCAATATCCTCTTCGTCGCTGCTGCTGTCATGATAAGGCTCGTATCTGGGACTTGTAGGGGGTCCCCGCGCAAGCGATCGGACTACGTCGCCCTTGCAGATGGGACAAGTGCGTCTTCTGGTAATGAGCCAAGGAGTTCTGTAAAGCACGATCGTGTTAGCGAAGCGATCAAGAGAGGAGGGGGGCAGTGGAAAGGAAGTAGGAAAAGCTCGAGGGAACAGGAAAGTAAGGATGTTTTGTAAAGACTCACATGCACTCGACGTGGAATTCGTGGCCGCAGGGTAAACTCATAACCCGGCTCACGCCGTCGACGTATTCCTCCAGGCAAACGACGCACTCCACCTGTTTGCCCATGAACTTCTTCCACTCGCTCGACACCTGTGGCGGCTTCTCATGGTCAGCCCGTGACAGCGGTTTACACGACTGCATAGGAATACTGACAGTCAAGAAATTACTTGATTCAGGCACGCCTGTCGTGGTCCTGGACCGGGGTCTCGACCTCGACGGGGTCGCTTGTAGGAGCGGTGTTGTCGGGGAGCTGCTCGTGGGCGAGGGGATGCGGGGGGAGTGGATGGGCGAGGGAGCAGCGGCGTGGTAGGTCCGTACGGGAAGCCTCTCGACGATGGACTTGGGAGCTCGCCATCTTCTCCTTCGGATTCGGGCTCTAACGATAAGCAGGGCATACACCACGGAGAGAGTGATGAGCGGAGAGATGACCAAGACTAGTAACGTGTCGAAGAAGGAACTGGCGCTGCTCGATGGCGTGATGGTAACCCAGAGGCCCTCGCGCTGGGGCGGGTCGTGGCTGGGCTCGTCGGGTTTCTCTGGCTTCGGCTTCGGCATCTCGGGAGGTCGATCGCCAGTATCGTCGTCCTCGCCAAAGATCTTGGACATGAGGCGGCCGCCTTTCCTTCCACCATTCTCATCGGAAGCAACGTCGTCTTCGTTTTCGTCGCCGATTAGCGCATTCTTTTCCGGGTCATAAGACTCATTATCGAACCCATTATCCGCATCCGAATCGCGCCATTCTTGAGCCCCAGGTGATGATCCACCTGGGCGATTAGAACTATCCTGTTTCGTCCCTTTCCTCAAGCTATCATGGAGAAGCTGATCGACTTCATCGTCCCATTCCTCCACCAAGACCCAGTCATGACTGCTGCCTGATGAACCACCCTTCCCCGCCGCAGTTGTGGAACTCTTTCCCCAGCTAAAAAGACTTGATAACCAGCTACGTCTTTGAGGTTGTCCTTGGACGCGGGATTTGGGCTTTGGCGCGCCCGCGATTCGAGAGAATGCAGCGCCGGCTAATTTGGCAGGCTTGGTCTTCCTCTGCTTCTTCGATGTATCGGAATGCTGTACCTTGAGCGCGGCATTTCCATTCTCGTCGATAATATCCTCGATGAAGCTGCCGGGCTGGGTCAGAGAAGACAAGAGGTGTGCAGTCGTCCTCGCTGTAAACACCGAAGGTATAGACACGTTAGATGTATCGCCCCTAGCAAACATCTGGATCAGAGGTCCACCCTTCCTGTTGTCTCCGACAATGAGAGCCTTGGCGCCTCTTCGCTGAGCCCATTTGACCTTTTCCAAGAAACCACAGCCACCCCGGCTCAGCAGTACGATCTTGCCTGTGATCTCGGCAGTCTCCTGCATTGACTGGATATCTGCATGGCCAGCACCCGATGTTCCGAGAGTGCCTCGTTGCTTCGGCGGAAGGCCGTGTTGTAGGTAGTCATCGGTGCCATCGTCAACGGGCTCGGCGCCAGGCGGTGTGGGAATGGAATCGGTAGCCGAGTCTCGGTCATAGACAGCCATGGGGCTGCCTCTCCTCCTAGAGCGATTGGAATTGTCCGCAGCAGGGACGTCCTTACGGCCACTGGAAATCATCGTCTTGGCAGAGGCTTTAAAGGCCACGCGGGAGCGGCCATCCTCCCAACCAGGAATATCACTGCACCCCAGCTCACCCTCGCCCTCACCCTCTTGTAGATTATCGTCGGCAAAGCCGCTCCCGATCCATAATTGACCGCTTAGACCCTTGGTTGGCAGTGGGGGGCCGAACGCGGCAGGTCGGGCTGGAAAGGAGGTGCTGTTGTCGTCGGTCAGGCTGATGGCGGCATTCGGCGGGAAGAGAGCCAAGGGCGAGGAGAAGGTGAAGAAGCTTCTCAGGCGAGAGGGAGTTCGTGTTAGGGGCTGCGGAATGGCACTCGCCCGGGCCAGAGACGTCAGGGATCGAAAGAAGACGAAGGAGGAGGCGGCGAAGAAGAGGACCAGGATGGCCACTCTTGGGGGCCGCATTTTGTCACCTCGGCGCAGCCAGCGTAGGCGAAGAAAATACGAAGAAAATAGAAAAACAAAAAAAAAAGAGGAGATGCTCGAAATCGATTCGACAGATTTGGAGGGGACGAGGTCCCTTTCTTCGTCGGCCAAGGGGCCTAAAAATCGGACTCTCGTGTCGCGCTTGTGATGGATTATTATACTACTTCGTACGGGTTCGTATCAACTCGGCGTTGTGGAGTCTGGGTCCATTCGACTCGCTGGGCGACAGGCGATGGATTGGTTCGATAGTTTGTTGGTTATTATTACAGCACGGAAGGGGCGGGCTTGACGGCTTGGCGTATGTTCTTCCTTGTAAATAGTGGTCAGACAGAGCCAGCAGGGTTGAAGAAACAAAAAGTAGTTGGGAAAAATCGCAATAGGGGTCGATCGAAGAGCCACGACATTCGGTTCAAATGTAGAAGGAGGACCAAAAAAGAAGATTCAATGGGATGAGGGTGAGAGTTCAAGGTTGTTAGAGTTTTGGAGGTATCGCCGTACCAGTCGTCGTCACTTCGTCACTTCGTCACTCCGTCATTTGGTCACTTCGTATGCCGACAGGCTGTTTCTGTTTCCCTGTTGCAGGTCCGGTTCCAGTCGATGCGGAGGGCGTTATGTGGTGTCTAGGCTCAGTCTAGGCCTGCGCATGCCATCGGCCAGGCCAACCGGATGCGTTATAGTGCGGATGCCCTTCAACTGAGACCCCGTGTGCAGCGTTGCTGGCTTGGCGGGATGATGGATAATCTACAAGTACTTTGACGATGTACTTTAATCGATGAAAACGTGCCCAGGTCGCGCTTTTGAGGTTCGTAAACTTGGCTCGGCTCAGGTGAGTCTCGTTCGAAGTACAGCACTGGGGTCGAGGGCACTAAGAGAGAGCATCAATTGGGACATACGCTTCAATTACCAAAGCTGTCCTTCTCTCTGCATTGAAGGATTGACAGTTGGACTCTAATATAAAGATTAACTACTTCGTATACCCTCCAGACCCTCCGACCGTGTCTGATGTCACCCCCGAAAGTCTAGACTCATCCAGGGCGAAGGACACCAAAGTATTGTCTGATTGAGGCAAACGCCGAAACCCCACAACGGATCGATTGATCGCTTGATCTAATCTAGCACTTGGGGCGTAAATATCATGGCAATTGACCCGAGCTCAGTCGGGCTCAGCTCATCGAGTGCTCATCAAGTCCCAGAACATACTCTGTAGCAGCAAATGCAGTTGCCAGAAGTCACCGATGACAGCATTGATATCTACTTCGTACTAGGCGAACCAATCTCCAACTCATAGTATGATCTCATTTCCCTTGGCAGACCAGAGCTTGGGAGCCCGCGCCAACTCTAACATTGGAGCTGACAAAACACAAAATTTTCAAGAGAACCAACAGTCGGACGAGATACCCAATTAACGTTGAGGCGGTGGCTGAGCCGGAGTTCCTTGTTCTAACGGGAGCTGGTGGGGACAGTACCTCCTCTCTCCAGGCTCCAGGCTCCAGGCTCCATGCTCCCTCGATTTTGTTTTCTCTGTTTCTGTGTTTCTCACATTACGAAGGGCCATGTTTCGAACAGGATCAAGGGTCTTGTTTTTATGTTGGGGTATTTCTGTTTACCACTCAGGAATGGATTGATGGATGGGGTCCCGCATTCTAGAACCGCTGGGGACTTTTACTTTGCTCTTGGGCCTTGACCCTCGGTTCATGGCTCTGGTTCTTTGATTTTTCCGCTGACAGTCATGCGACATTCAAAGGGCTCCTAATTGTTAGAAGAGAACCAGAATTTGGTTCATGGGTGCTCCTCCAGCCTCCAGCCTAGCCAGCCAAAGTGACAAGCACTCCAATGAAGAGACTCGTGGGGCATTCCAGCTTTGACCTTGACTCCTGATGCAGCGCAACGGTCTTTGATACTTCAACCTCGAGATGAGAAACACATACTGAGTACTTAGTAGTAATTTTAGAAGAGAAGTGACATGCGACATGCATATTCGAGATTGAGAATAAGGATCTCTCTCCTTGCCTATTGATGCCCGCCCATCGATCCAAATCAAGTTAGACGGCCGAGCATTCCTTCCGCTTCATGCATCCAGGTGATTCGGACAGAACAAGGACAAGACTAGTATTACCGAGCACTGATTGTCGTGTGCCTGATGGGCCAGCAACTGCGAAAAAGAGGCCATACCAGCTACCCAAGCACGTGGGCAACTCTCTCAGACTGAGGTTAATAAACTAGTTTAGTTTAGAATCGAGTCTAATCCTCAGCACGGGATCGATGATGCCATGATGCCTCAAACCCAACATTGAAGCAGGAGCCACCCACATCATCCGTCCCCATTCATGGTCGATGAGGTCATCCCGCCATGTCACAGTGTGCTATTTGCCACCAGTGAGAAAACAAGAGAAGCTACGAAGTACATGTAGATTAGTTTCTAAACTACTTTCTACGACAAAAAGCTGGGGCGTTTCCGGGCAGGAACCATCAAAGCTGGACAACTGCTACTCAGTATTGATACGGTGTACGGTGTGACAGGCCAATGGCGCCTTGACTGGCAGACGCGAAGCTCAGCTCTCCTGTCCCAGCAACCATCACCGGTTTCGCTGCGAATAGCTTCCGATATCATGTCATAATAGTTCATTTCATCATTACCTACCTACTCCGTGCTTGCCTTTTACAAGGGCATAACAAGCAGTCTATAGGTCCAATAAACCCTTATTTCCTAAATCTCCTGAGTCGTCTCAGTTCCGTACATCGTCAGCATCACCTTAAACTTTCTACTTTCTCGTCATCGCCGAAGGAACGAACAAAGCGATATTTATTTTTATTTTTATCGACAGTAGAAACATTAGAAACACTAGAAACGCCAACGCGAACCTCGAGATCGTGGACCGGAACATCCGCCGCCAAAACGCAGCAATGCCGCGATCGAGGCGCAAAAGTGCGGTAGGGACAATACAGTCCACGGCCCAAGAAGTGCTGTCAGTGACCCCGTCGCCGAGAGCTACTAGCTCGTCTTGACAAGTGGTGCCAGTGTTTAATCGTTATTGTTACTATAGTCAAGAGGACTACGACAAAGCGAAGATCTTGGTTGCCGATGCTGCGAAAAGCCGAGCCTACTTATATCCCGTCAAGGGATTCTTCTACTTCGTGACACGACCGTCTATCTGGAAGCCATTCGCCGCCCAGATCGGCCCCTACCTGCTCCTGTCTATAACCATCGTCCTCGCCTTGTTCTTCTTTACATACCTACCTCAATTAGCCGTCCTCGTCTTCGTTAACGGTCCCCTCGCCGTGTTTACCACCGTCGTCCTCATCCTCAGCGAGAGCGCCACGCTTACCAATTTAATCTCGCGGAATTGGCTCCTCCACGATGCTCTGATAGACACGTTTGACGGCACCTTGGTCTCGAGGAACGCCACGGCGATTGTCGAGGAAGGACGAGAGTTAAAGCCCGGGTCTACCGCGATGGAACGACTGGGAAACATCATCAAGACTCCCTTGGAACGCTTCAGTGTCAAGTCCATTGTCCGATACGTCATGTACCTCCCGCTGAACTTTATCCCCGTGATTGGCACTGTTATGTTCCTCGTCCTCCAAGGCCGAGCCCGTGGCAAGATCATCCACGTCCGAGTAAGTCTGGGACAGTTCGATTGTGCCTATGCTCTCCGGCGACGCTTGCTAACAACATTCCCCCCCTCCAGTACTTCCAATTGAAGAGGTGGCCCGAATCACGTCAATCAGACTGGCTTCGGATTCATGTTGCGCCATACACAGCGTAGGCTCTTGCTCCTTTTCTGAGCCTTCTGACTTGCAGAGGTTAACCTTTCCCTAGATTTGGGCTCGTCGCAACTCTTCTCGAAATGATCCCTTTCTTGTCGATCCTCTTCGCGTTCACCAACACGGGTACGCCTTCGCCCCACCCCCTGACCCCCCCGAGAATGTGCGCTTCCAGGAATGACTACTAATATCCTTGGCCGGTGTAGTGGGAGCTGCTCTATGGGCCGCCGATATCGAGGCCAACCAATTGTCTATGGCGCTGGATGATATTTCTGCCGCAAACGGGAAAGGCTCGAAGGGTTCAGCCAAGAAGACTGACTAGAGCTAGGAACGAAGGACAAGAAGAAGGACAAGAAGAAGGACAAGAAGAAGAAGAAGTAGGATGAATTCACGGTCATGAAAATTGATGTAATGAAAAAAGTATTCTTTGGGAAAAAAGTAGTGTTCAATATCATGTCTCCGAAGTCCGGTGATCTATTTTGGACCAAGAAGTTTCAACATTGAGAGGAATGGACGCTCAACGACGCGACCAAGTTAAGACGCTGCGGTTACCGGCCTCTGCAAAACAGTTTCAAGGAACTTCCAATGTCCCAAGTAAGTCTTGCAACGTGTTACCGTTTCTTGTCCCGGGTATCGCGTATTATTGTACCCCAGAATCTCAATTTCATAGCTGTCGTGGAAGTGGTGACGGGAACATAGCAACCGAAGCGGACTCGGCATTGTTGGTGATGAACATACCTATGATGTCCGTGGATATCAATATGTAAGTTGAGTTGGTAGGTAGTGAGATGCAGAACAATCTACAGCTCATACACAGATTGACGAACGGATTGAAGGTACGAAGCCATGGCAACGGAATAGCCTACATTCCAAGACGGCTAACTTATCTAGACAACATGAAGATCTCCAGGTGAGCCGTCAGCTAGAGTCAAGGCGTCGCAAAGGACTTCAGAAAATACCAGGAAGGAGAAGAAGGTTTAATGAGTGCTTCCCAACCCAGGGCTTGAGCTAGCCGGACTACTCCGGGAAAGGAAGAAACGAGACAACAAGTGATATCCCATTAAATGCAGCTCCCAGATACGAAACAAAAGCACGAAGTAGAAGATTGTCCGTCGGGTTTGAGAGAGTATATTCATCACCGCAGGTGAATTGCAGGGAGCTTGACGCGGAACTGCGTTCTGACCCTACCCGTTGGGCCATACGTATGTGTCATGGAGCGCCTCTCGGTGTCACTCACCAAGGAAGGTTGTTTGTAGGGATCTAGAGGCAGAGATATAATACATTGACGAGATCTCAGCTCATCACATGGCTCTCTGATATCTGTGTCTAGGGGTAGCAAAGCTAGGATCGTGTGTGGCCAGTTCATACACACAATAAGCACAGGCTCCACGACCTAAGACGATGATTAAAGTTAGAAAGTCTACTTGAGAGAATCAATGTGCGGTGAGAGGAGGGGAAATAAGGGATCAAAAAGACCCCAAAAAGGGGAGGAAAAAAAAAGGGGTTCTAGACCGCTATGTGTCTCGAACCCAGCGAGTCCCATTGGAGATCCCAGAAGTTCAAGCGATGACGACTACAGACCTCCGCAGGTTCTTGTTGTTGGAAATCCTGGCCCCAAATTTAGTCTACAAGGCTTATTCTAGGTTCGGAGATTGGCATGGGAAGACAGGAAGGCGCAAGTGTAGTGACGAGACAACTTCCTCACGCCTTCCTCGTTTCTCAGGAGAGGATATTCCATTCTCGGAGAAAACGGAAGCAAATATTGGTCCACCTTGACAGCCTTAGGTGCTTTCCAAAAAGTTGAGATCCTTCCAAGGCCATTCTCCGCCACTAGATCAAGCACACGGGCGAGATCACCATGACAAGACGGTCCACGTCTCTCCCGAAGCAAGAAGAGACTGGAACTCACATGAAGGCATGCCAATAAAATCGGTTTCCTAATCGTGATTGGGGCTTCGAGACGTCCTGCTGGGAGTCTCATGCCCATTCCATCGAACACGGGTTCCGAGATGATGAGGGAATTCCCTCCGGGCTTTTGGACGCATCGTCATCCTGCCTCGTACGAAAAACCACGCCTTGTTCGATAGCCATCGTCGTATGGACCGACTCTCCAACTCAATAACTCAGCCCCAGGAACATGAACCTCGGCTCTCCATAATAGAGCTGCAGATCAAGCTTTCCGACCAAGGACCGCACGACCGGAGAAGACTGGGAAGAGTTGGCACGTACGTTGCGGGAGCTAGGGTATTTACCCGCCAGCTCGGTCCATCGATCGATTGTGGACAACGATATCCAGCCATTAGTAGCTCACCGAGAGACATAGTCATGCCACGCCCACGAGGTAGAGACCGAGAAGAGGAACCACAAGCCGAAATGGTACAAACATGTACGCGCGCCGACAGACAGGGCCGGCAGGAACCAGCACGAGGTCCATCTGCCCCGCGTGCCAAAATGTAACGCAAGCTCAAGCTCTCTCCAAGCTCTCCATTCCTCGGATTATGCCATCTCGAACGAGCGCCGCTGGTCCGGATACAACACTTCTAGAACTCCCTGGTTCCAATACTCCCAGTTTCAAAGAGCAAAGTTCCACCAACCGTACTATTTTGGCCAAAAACCGATCACGTAAATGCTAGGAATAAGGCCGCATCTCAAGACTGCTACGAGAGTATTAGAGTCACTCCGTCTGCTTCCCTTTGACTCATAACGAATTGTCATCATCAAGGAAGGAGTCAAGTAACGGCAGCGATATCGGCGATCTAATCGATAATTCCCCCCACTGGCGTGGCAGCTGGGGACCGCTAAACTGGCTCCGCAGTGTGGAGGAATCGTGCAGTGGAGGTGCAGGTGGACGAAAGTAGTTTACAATACGACATTGAATTACTCCGCACTAGTTACAATAGACTTGTGCAAGCCCGACCGAGGGAGCCAAAACATCCCGTGGGGGTGGATGCATATTCAAGTGAGGGCGGACTTCCTCCGGCGGAGGTTTCGCCGAGGGAGCGTGGGCAAACATGAATGCCTGGACGACCTAAGAGAGGGGGAAAATGATATCAGAAAGTCAGATGTGTAATTTCCATTTTTGGGCGCCACTTGTACGAGCGTCTTGCGATATATCAGGTTGAAAAGGTGGCATCCCAAGGTGGCGGAGCAACGTTCAGCCTTGCTCGAGGGAGTGGTCCTGGAACGATTGCGACCTGATCCAATTTGGAAGCTCTTACGTGTCCATATTCAGTCAGTTTCCGATTTTAATGGTTTTCTTTATTTTTTTTTTTAAGGCTTTTTTGTTTGTATATAGGATTTATTGAATACACGCTGAGTGGAAAAAGAAATAAAATAGGCGCCTCTTGGGCGGGTATCAACCAGACCAGATTCCATGCGATATGAGTAAAAGTACAATATCCGTTTCCGACCATGCTGTTCCGGTACTTTTATCTATATGCGTTGTGCGCGTGCAATCCACTTCTTTCACTTCTAGGAAACAAGAAAACGAAAGATGTGCCGCCGTAACGCCTAGAGACAAAAGGAGAAAGTGAAGAAAAAAGGAGACAAAGGAAAGTGATGATGAAAGGGAGAGTAAAAAGGGGAAAAAAAGACGGAGAAAAAGAAAGGAAAAGAAAAAAAACAATAACGCCTCCCCAAAAACGCCACTAAAATGAGCATGCCAATGTGATGTTGTAGTTGTTATTGTTGTTACATCGCCCATGACATTGATGGGCTCCGGTTCCACCTCCATCCGTTCCAGCAGTCCATCTTGCGCCTCTCCCACTCCTCGTCTTTGATGTCCTTTCGAGAAATAAGAGGCGCAAGCTCGCTCGCCACATCTGATATCGTATCGAACACGACGCTTTCAGCCATGTGGTCGCCCCAAAACTCGCGTGCTCCGTCGGTCTGCAAAACGAGCTGAGCGGCTGGAATGCCGTCCTCGAGAATGTAGGGCTGGATGTCCTTGTAGCTGGACAGGGCTGTGATCCTCTCCTCGGACATGCCGCAGAAGGGACCCGTGAAAAATGGAATATCGGGGTAGTGCGCGAGCGACTTGGGAAGTCGGCCGCCGTATCGAGCTTTGGCGCGGCGGTTGCGCGAGAACCAAATAAGGCCTTGCCAGTCGCGGAAGTCGGCGGGGAGCTTGGCCTCCCAGTCGAGTAAATGGTTTGGAACGGCTGCCTTGATCAGAACAGCCTGCTTGCAACGGCTGCGGCATGCGATGTAGTTAGCCATGTCGACGGCAAGCTCTTTGTCGGCGAGCAGGTGGACGTAATGCTCGTTCGTAGGGTGGAGTTCGGAATCTTGGCAGGCGAGGAATCCACTGTAGCTGTGGCTTCCGCCGCTGTTAAACGCCTTTTGAACGAGATGGAACGGTCCGGGGACGTAGTAAGGGGTGACGTTGAGAGCCTCCGTCGGGTCCTTAGCCGTAGGAGAGGGCTCCCTCGACTTGACCCTGCAGTTCCTAATACCACGAAGGAAGTCGCGGCGAGCGGCGATGCGGTCGCTCAGATGAAGCAGGAACTCGTAGTTGTTGGCGACAGTGTCCCGAACCCAGTGGCAAGGGTCGCCAAGATTTCGGATTTTCTCGTATCGCGTGTCCATGATGGCGGCGATGACATCGTCGGCGATGCCAAGCTCTCGGAGGGCACCGGTCCAGTCGCCTTTGCCGTAAAGCTCGTCGTATCTCGGCGTCCTCATCAGGTCGAGGGCGACGTCCACAAGCGACTCATCGACGGCAGATCCGGAAAGAACACCGTCAGAGTCTTCGGCACTCATCCGATCCTCCCAGATCTTGTAGACATTTGCGGCAGCATCGGGTGTGAAACCGCAGAACTGGAGAAGCTCGGGCGAGTTCCACCGCACGGGGATATCTAGGACGTCGGAGCCATGGTCGGCGTTGGTGTAGGCGAGGGCGGGGATGCGGACGAAGCCCTTGTTCTCGGGAGAGACTTGGAGCTGAACTCGGGTAAGCTGGACGAGGATGCGAGGATGGAGGACACGGTCGGCACCCTCAGGAGGATGTAGGGGGCCAGTGACCCCTGGATGGGGCAACTGGTGAAGCTCAGGATACACAACAGCTTTCATCGAAATCCTTTGTGTAATATGGATCGATGACTGTGATATTTTTGACTTCTTCGGGTTGAGGAGATGGGTGAGGGAGAGAAAAAAGGGGAAGGGGGTGAAGTTGAGGAAGGAAAAATAAGTCGTCGTTGCTATGAACACGGATGTCCGTGAGTCGAGGATCGTAGGATGGGGGAGAGTCGCACAAATGCTTATGAAGGAGGGCTGAGCGCCAAGTGCTGAGAGGCAGAGTGCTGAGGTTTCCAATAATAGGGACGGGCGGTTATTAGGAAAGAGTAATGGGCTGTGAGAGTGTGAGAGTGTGAGTCTGTTGTGACTATGATGCGAGGGTCTGACAATCAGCAAGACAGAAAAGGGTTTGAATGAGAAACAGGAGGAAATAATATTTCATTAATATCCCTTGCACATGGGAGCCCGAGCAAACAAGGCAAGGCAAACGTGTAGTATTAAGTGGACAGGGGGAGGCAGATGGGATGGGCGGTTTGGACGGGATGAGCCTGGCCCCAAGACTTTTTGACTGGAAACGAAGCAGGCATGTGCGACAGAGCGAGGATCGGGCACCAAAGATTGTCCCACTCAATGATCCATCAATCATTCATCAAACTACCATTCTCCGTTCTAGTGTATCGGTCTCTGGGGAAAGCTCGGCTCTAGAGAAAGCAGGGAAATAGACAGGGAAGGCGCATCCTTGCAAAAGGGAAAACGGAAAGTGCAACTGGAAGCTACACTACTTCATAAGTTCGCGCACTAGAGCAGTAGTACTGAGTAGTAACAGTCGCAGAGCTAGTGCAGTTGTTCGTAAGGAGTAATTACTTGGTATTGTTGTGGATAGACCGAGAGCTTGGACGGGTTCTGAGTCATTTAAGAGGTGAGGTCGCAAGGGCCGGATGAGGAAGTCATGGACGATCCTGGGCGGCGCGGCTCATTAGCTGAGAAGTCCGGCGGAGTAGCACCGATTTGGAAGTTGAGGCATGGGGGAGGCAGAAGAAGTCGTTTGACTTACACGAGGCCCTATGAAGAGCCAAGCCATAATAGTGTTGCTGTGGTCTCATGACTGGGTTCTTGTCCTTGGAGCTGGGCCGTTTATTAAATTGGCACAGGTACGCGTCACAGGGCAACAACACGCACAAGCCCTCAAGAGCCATTTTCTGGCTTTAAATATTTTATTTCTGAGAAGCCGTTGCTTCGGCCGCTTCGAGTAGTGTAGAGTCTATAAGGCTAGCGAAATGCATCTCGGTGAAAAAGTAGAATTTTTCCAATATGCATGTGGGACGGGACAAACTCACACTAAGATCGTCAAGTTGTGGTAATAATGGATATTACAAAGTACAATTACGAAATAGTGCAGCGGATGGAGGTACACTCCGAAGAGTACATGCGCGGTACAAGCGGTACAATGTAGCGATTGAGGCAACCTTGGGTACGCTCCGGGGGTACGAAGTACAAAAGTTTACGACACGACTCCACTGCGCCTTGGCTTTGGACCGGACTAAAATGTTCCATCTTGATGGATGCCTTGGCTGCGTCCATGAGCCCGAGTGGACGGAACACGGAGTACGGAGGTACCTCAGAGAGTGTGAAGTGCAGTGTACATCAGGTACATCGCAAGGGACAGTGTCTTGGCAGGCAGCCCGACACGGAACACCGGATCCATCTCTCATCCAATCAATGCCACACGATGGTGATTGGTTTGCGAGGCCCAGGGCATCATATACGCCAATAAGCCGCCGGTTTGCCGTCCTCGTTTCTCCATGGCCAAATGGTTAAGGCGTCCGACTGTTACTAGTAAATACACGGTACATCGGAAGATTCCAAGTTCGACCCTTGGTGGGGAAGTAAGTTAGCATCTCCTTTTTTTTTTTTTTTTTTTTTTTTTTTTTTTTTGTTTATCTATATTTAACCGCCTCTTTTTTTCCTTTCGAATCGAGAATTTGATGCAGCGTCTGCTGTGAGCGACTAAAATTCTCTTTCTTTTTTGTTATATTTGTCTCCGTGGTATGATGTCGTATGTAATGTGAGAGAGTGTCAGTCTTTATTTCTCATGGATAGCTCGTTAGTTTAGAGATTCGAGAGATATCGACTGGGAAATAGACCTAAAAAGAACGAGATGGGTGTGGTGAACTGTGAATTGTGAACTGCATTTGATCTTAATACCTGACCATCGTATTAGGCTATTTCGATTGAATCGTCATTTCGGGAAGCTCGCAACTCGAAATGTATCTATGTATTTACGTGTAGTCCTCGTTTCTCAACGCCAGATTACTTCCCGCCGCCCGAAAACTGGTTTCCCGACCCATCGAGATTGCCAAATTGGCTCTGTATAAAAACAAAACAAAAAGATAAAAACAGGTAGAAACAGAAAAAGAGAATCATCTCAACTCTTCTAGAGCTTCTCTCCATCATGTCATCGTGCAGGTACTGTACGCCCAATCTTGGCAACTACTCCACCATACCATCCACCTGTTCCTCTCTGGTCTAATCTGAGCTCGAGGTTCTGGTCGAGTCTCCTCTTGCTCATCCTCCTGATCCTCCTCGGCCTCCTGGTGCTCCTCCTCCAGTCCCACAGCCTCCTGCTGCCCCGCAGCTTCCGTGTCTTGTTTACCTAAGGCCCCTTTTCGTATCCTTCGCTTTGAGACCCGTAAGCTTATGCTCAGGCTTGGGGTAAGGGTTGCGACCGCCTAGGACATCGACAATGTCCTTGAGCCCGGCCCAGTGGGACGTAATGGGCCTGCGGTTGGGCCAGTCTGTGTCCGTCTCCTCGAGTTCAGCCACGGGTGTAAAGACGACACTCGCACCCCTGATGCCAATAACGACGGTGCTGTAAGGGTCATGCTTGACCTTGTTCTGCGCACGACGACCGAACGATTCCAGGTGTTCGATGCACTTGATGGCAAGACGGACCGCGCGGCAACGGTCGATGGGCGACGGGACACCGCCCTGCTGCACGTGGCCGGGAATGCTGTCTCGACTCTCGAACCGCTCGTTGGCCTCCTCTCGGATAATGTCCGCAATCAGCTTGGCCGTGTACACCTTGCTAGCTTTCTCGTTGACCAGGAGAAGTCGGCCAGCGCGAGACTGGCCACGGTCCTTCTTAAAGACCTCCTTGAGGTGCTTGACATCGGCCGCAAGCATGTCAAGTGAGATACCCTCCTCGGGCGTGTAGACTGCTGACGCGCCGACGGTAAGACCCGCAAGCGTAGCGACGTAACCCGACTTGCCACCCTGCGTCTCGATAACAAACACCCGACGCCGCGTGGCCGAAGCAGATTGCTTAATCTTGTCGCAGTAGTTGACCAATTCATTCAGACAAGTATCAGATCCAAGGGAGTACTCGGTTCCGGGAACGTTGTTGGAGATGGTAGCGGGCAAGATGCACATGGGGATGCACAGAGAAGGGTACTCGTCACGGGCCGCACGAAGCTGAGAGACGGCATGGAATGCCTCGAAGCCACCGATGAGGAAGAGGGCGTCGAAGCGGTACTGCTCAATGAGGTTCGCAATCGTCTCCATTCCCGAATCGGCCGGAAGCTCTCGGTTCGTCCCGATCTCAGAACCACCCTTGCTTGCCCAGCTGTCGACCTCGAGCCAATCGAACGAGCGGACAGCGCCGATGGGCTTATCGCCGTGGTGCCGAGCGAATCCTGCAAACCCGTTATGGATAGCAATGGGTTCATGGCCTCGGGAGATACAGTAAGCCACACCGGCACGTATAGCCGCATTCATAGCTCCAGCAGGAGCACCAACATTGATGAAGGCAATCTTCATCCTCTACAGCACAAGCACAAGGAATTAGCACAATGGTATAAAATGAAAATATGAAAGGAATGTAGCCTTATGTGCTAATCACAAAGAGGCCCTGGAATAAGAGGGAGGATGCTTACCTGTATTTCCGGGACTTTCTCACCATCATCCATGTGGACATTGGTGGTCATCATATACGACTTGTACTGGTCCAAGAACTCATGGTCACGAAGACTCATGGCCCTATCAAAGTCCTTGGCCTGGACAGCGGCTGCAACTTCCTTTGTGTCCTTGACTGCCTCCATCAAGTTCTTTCGCACGATCTTATTCTCGTTGATAGCGATGAAACAAGTCGGCGTCTCTGGTGTGGCATCGAGCACGGCCTTGACAGCCTCAACACCCTGGAGCGTGGCAAGCATGCGGTCGTATGAGACAGCGGTTCCACCACGTTGAACGTGACCAAGTGTGGTGATGCGTGTGTCCAGGGCCAATCCGTTCTTGTCGGCCAGGAGGTCCTTGACCATCTCCGGAGTAATCTTCTCACCCTGCGCGTCGAGGGCTCCTTCGGCGATAATGACGATTGTCTTCCTCTTGCCGAGCTTTCGATGCCTCCTGATGATATCGCACATTTCGCTCTGCCAGTCATCACCCCTGGGTCGCTCAGGGATAAAGATGAAATCCGCACCAGTGGCAACACCTGCCATGAGGGCGAGCCAACCACAGTGTCGGCCCATAACCTCAATGACGAAAGCACGAGAGTGAGAGTAAGCGGTGGCCTCGATGTAGTCGACCATCTCGCAAATTCGGGAAAGAGCCGAGTAGGCGCCAATGGTGGCATCGGTACCTGACATATCATTATCAATGGAACCGACAATGCCGACAATATTGAGGTGCTTGAAAGGGTCGACCTGTTCCTGGGTGAATTGACCTGTCTGGACAAGCTCCTCGATGAGGCTGGGCCACTCGGATCGGAATTTATCGGCACCTGTAAGGGAACCATCACCACCACAGATGATGAGGGCATCAATGCCGTTCAGAATCATGTTTTTGGCAGCAACAAGTCGGCCCTCTCGCTCGAAGAAGGCCTTGCAGCGGGCAGTACCGATGAGGGTACCACCTTCCGAGAGCCAGCCTCGAACTTCATGCCACTGCATCTGCCGTATGAACTTGCCACCCTGTACGAGGCCTTCGTAACCTTCGTAGACACAGTACGCGTCGCAGTTGAGGTGGATCGCCATGCGGACGACAGCGCGGACGACGCCGCACATGCCTGGGGAGTCGCCTCCCGAGGTCATGACGGCTATTCTCTTCTTATGGGGTTCGGCCATTGTCGAGGTATCGATTCTGAAGATTGTATGGGAAAGAAGGAGGTGTTGTTGAGAGGTGGATGGTGGGCGGTGGGTCGAAGAAGAGAAGAAGCGGGGAGATCCGTTGTGAGGTGAGGGGCAGGGAAGGAATTAGTAGAGAGAAAACCCCGTCGTTCAAAATAGGAAGCGAGCTTGTTTTAGGAAGGGGCTTAAGATGATTAGTTTTCAAATGTGCCAGGCCGCAAAGCTGCACTGATTCACGTGGTATTTGAGTTGCTTCGGTTCGTGAAAATAGTAAAGAGGGTTTCAATCAAGCAGGTGCGGGCGAGGGTAGAATAATTATACAATGGGCAGGAGCAGAACTACAAGTGGAGTGTCTACCAGAAGCAAGCACCCAAGAACGACTCCTAAGTCAAGCTTCGTCGAACCACTGTTGGGTGGAGGGTGGGGCGGAAAGCTAAGCTGGACAATTGATGTTAACTTGGGACAGCTGGATTTGGGCTGGGGGACTTGGGGACTTGGGGCTCCAGGTTCGTCTTATCAACTTTGAGCAAGAGGGTAGAGTTACTTAGGTAATACCTTTAGTGAATAGTTAGCACCCTACTAAAACAATGTATCATTGAGGTAACACTGAACCCCTCCACGCGAACTTGGAGCTCGGGTCAGTACAAAGTGTCCCCGCTCCACGCCGCCTTATGTACTAACGCCTAGCAGTCGAATGCTTGACGTTTGTAATCGTCTTCTTCTTCAACCCCGATCTCCCACGTTATTTGATAACGCCAAGTCTCCAGCTCCCCAAACAGCATGGGTGTTAAGCTCCAGGAGCTTCCTCACGCAGGCTCACACGGGGCTCTCACAGCTTCAAAAGGTAGCAGCAGTGGGAGGGCTTTTTCGTTAGACGCATGTAATGGTCTATTTCACAACTTCAGGGTGATGGTAACTGTGCTGAGCAGCAGTACGAGGTAAACGAGAATATCGCTTTCGGGGGCGGCGGCCTTAAACTTTGCCATCTCGCATGGTTGCCGTGCTTGCGCCCCCTGGTCCTTGTCCACCTCAGTCGATTTTTTTTTTTTTTATTTCCCACCCCTTTCTTCAGAATGAAAATTCACCGAGGCCTCCTCTTGATCTCAATACCAGTTACATACATAATAATCTACAAGATATTCCCCGTCCGCGTTTCGACGTAGAAAACTCAACCCCAAAGCCTAGCGATGGGAATAAACACGAGCTGTACTTCGTAAATAGATGCTGTTGGGCATTCATTAGGATCATGAACTTTCTCTCAATGAGGCATTTTAGCGCCAAGACAACCAGGCGGCACCCAGCTGCCTCCCCATCTTGGAACGTCCGGCCAGTGATTCCGTCTCTGCGCATCCACGTGATGGGGTCCGCAAAGCCCCCGAGTGTCCGGTCACTGATGGAGCCTGACTGGCAGGTATGGACCGTATATGGCTGAGATGGTGGGCAGGCGGGTGGCTCCGCCGAGGCGGTTACACATGTTTTTATTCTTCAGGATGCATCGGACGATGACGATGGTGTGAGCATGGAATTGCCGTAATCCTATACCAGGGTTTGAAATGTTAAATCGAGAGATGCTCGCCGCCACCGGGTATATCTTAGATCAAGTTTTATGAAGGTATATCCTCTAATAATTTATATTTAAGAATACTTATTTAGTACCTCTCAGGAGATAGGTCATGTGGTCTCAAAATAACATTTCAAACCCTGGTATAGGATTATTTCATCGACTAAGAGGGAAATGGGAGTCTCAAAAGCGACAAGGATGTTTTGAGGCGACGTCAGACAACAATAGTGTGCTATTCAATGCTCCACAGCCTCCACTAGCGGTCGGACTGACGTAGTCAAGTTTTAAACTTCGTCGAGGGAAAATGGGGTTGTCGTGATAAAACTAGGGACCTGAACTTTTACTCTCCGTGTTTTCCAGAAGATGGGCAAGGTGTGCTTCTTAATCTCTGTTAATTGGTTTGCGAGACCCAGTGATCACTTCCGCCAATATGCCGCCAATAAGCGGCGGCTCGCGATCCCGGTTTCTTCATGGCCGTTCAGTTGCCTAGATGTGACTTTGTAAATATACGGTACATCAGAAGTTAAGCGATGACCACAACTGGGATCGAGTGTGTTTGAAGAATCTAGACGACATGCTGCCCATGTTGTCATTTATATGATATCCTGAGAGGATGGTTACTGCTGAAAAGTTCGTCTGCTGACTTAGCACATATATTGAAAACCGTGCCTGAATGTTTATGATCGCTCCATGCCCCATGTCCGATGCCTAACGCCATGCTCATATTCGTCTCGACGAAAAAGGGAAAAAAGAAAAACAAATCGTGAAATGCCATACTTCGCGATTTTAGTCTAGTCCGCCTCAAATGTCTTGCCAATGTCCCACTCTCTCTGCTCGCCCGCCTTGGACCACTTCACGTCAGCCTCGGTCTTCTCCTTCGTCCCGTCCTTCCATCGAAGGAGGTCCTTGTCAGTGAAGCCTGCGGATTTCATGCGTTCCTCTTGCGCCTGGCGAAGCTTCTGGCGGTCTCGATATGCTTCGAGGGCGTCGGGCCAGTCGTCACCATCGCCATCTACCTCGACATCCTGTTTCGGATCGTAGCCTTCCGCGAAGCGCTCGTTGATGCCCGAGAACGCCGAAATAGTGCCGCGGCCCCTCCTACGAACAGGCGACTTTGGAGGAGGAGCAGGGCCGATGAATTCGTCCAGGGGATCTGACGACTCGCTCATACGATCAGCCTCGTTCTCCTCGGGTGTCTTCTGGCGCTCCTCTTTCAATTTTTCCCTAGGACGATCTGGACTCCTGTGAGAATCTCGGCGAGAACCCCTATGGGACTCCCGATGAGATCCAGACGACTTCGAATGTCTATCCCTCGACCTAGATCGATCCCGATGCTTCCTCTCCCGGCGGGATGGGGACCTTGAGCGTCGCCGCTCAGGCGATCGGTGCCTTCGGGAGCGATGTCGTCTTTTTTCGTCTTCATCCGTATCGGAATTCTCATGCCTCCGATTTTGGCGTCGTTGAGAGTCCCGGTTCTCTCCTGCTCGTCTGTCTCGGCCCTTCTCCCTGCCAACATCCCTCGTCTTCTCCCTCTCCTTCTCCCTATCTCTGTCCCTATCTCTCTCTCTTTGCCGACTTCTAGATCGGTCGCGCCGGGATTCGGATCTAGTTTCACGACTAGACGGCCTCGCGCCAGAGGAAGAACCGTTCCTGCTACGTCCCAACCTCTTGTCGAGAAGAATGGCGTTAATGTCCCCAATCTGGCGCTTCCGAATATCGGCGTTGCGACGTAACTGCCGCTCCTCACCCGCTCTCTCAAGCTGCTCGAGGCGCGCTTGGGATTCGGCAGTTTCCTTGGCAATCAGCGCCGCATTGTGGCTATTCGTGTCCTTGATGATGTTTCGGAGGAAGCGTGTATTCGGCTTTGGCATGTTCGCCGGTCTAGACCGCAAGTTGCGTTGGGTTGGTTAGCCGGTGCTCGCCCAATGCATGCCCGAGTAGAGGTGTGGGTCTAGACCTACTTTTTCGTCGACTTGTAGGCCTCCATTCCCATTGATGAAAACTTGAGTGAACAGTCTTGGGCTTCCTTTGCTAGTAGCTCAGCTACATAGTCATCTGTGAGGAGGTCGTTGTTTGGCGTTGACATGGTAAAAAAGACAAGGTGCCTGCCAGTTATGGTAAAGGTGTGCTCAAACGAAAAGAAGAAGGTCCCCCCCACTGTGTTGAGGAAGGCAAGGGTAGATCGTGAAATTAGGAAGGTGCAGGACAGCAAGGTATCAAAGATGTACGAAGTAGAAGTAGGAAATCGTATTAGGTGTGGCAGGGACACAGCTTTGCTTCAGGGTTACATAAGTCCCTGGGCTCTGCCTGTCTGTCACCAAGGAGAGAGGATGTAGTGTGTGATCAAGTGTTTTGAAAGGAGAGATGGATAGAAATGAATGTAGTGATGTCCTGAATGAGGGGGCTATTATCCACATCCAGAAGGACAATGGACTTTGGGGTCAGAGAAATTAATACATGTGACTTCGCATCCCGATGCGCTTGAATCTCTAGCAGGTCCAACCAAGCCAGAATTGTTTTTGGGGAAGGCGATTCCGGAGGGAAAGTGGAGTGGCGGGGGATTCCTAGATTCTGCCAGAGCTCACCGCCAAGATAAGATAACAACAAAGTGGGAGACGCACCTTTCCCTTTCTGGGCGAAAGTAAATAAAGCACATCAATTGATCCCTCTAGCGGCATCAAAATCGCGAAAACTCTCCAAGGGCGAAACATACCGACAAAGTAACTTCGAATCCAATAATTGCTGTGCCAAAACAAGAGAACGAGAGAGACGCCCAAACCCTGTCCAATTCGAAAAAATAACGTCAGTGCGACCAGCTCACCCCGAAATTCCTCACCTGATTTTCCTGGATACCCGCCCCGCCATCATCGCCATCAACATGGCCTCCGACCCAGAACAAGTCCTCGCCGCCCTCGAGGAACTCCAATCCACCCCACTCTCCATCATAGCCCTCTCCGAGCTCATCCCTAAGGGCGGCCAAATCCCAGAAGACCCACGCACGCGCTCCTCCGACGCATCCTCCTCCTCCTTGACCGACGCGACGACGCCATCCTCCCTCGAAGATGACCTCTCTCACTACCGCGAGCTCTTCGCGAAGCTGCGCTTCAGTTACGTCGAGCAGGTCACGAAGGAAAAATTCATCCGCGCCATCGTCGGAGAGCCACCCCTCATCGTCACACCTCAGGAAAACGTCGCGCTCGAGAAGGAGAACCTAATGGCGAAGAAGGCGCTGAAGGAGCTAAAGGTGGAGATGTACGAGATGGTTGCCGAGCTGGAGAGGAAGGGGAAAGAGCTCAGCAAGAAATACGAGGTTGTTGAGACGCAGACGATCCAGTTGAGGGAGCTTCCCCAGAAGATCGCTCAGCTGGAAGCGGGGATCAAGGAACTCAACGCGTTGCGCGCCCCAGGGCAGGATCCGAACCTTTCGCTACCCCTCGGCCGAACTTTGGAGCTTGTAGAGGAACGCAAGGCAGAGAGGTGCCAGTTGGATCGCGAGCTTGATCAGCTGCGTGCAAAGGTACCGCGGAAGAAGAAGGAGCTCGAGCGCCTCCAGGCCGAGCTGCAGTCCCTTGAGGCCAAGCGCCAGACTAGCACGGCAGCGGCGAAAGAGGCGAGGAGAAGAAAGGAGAACGCTCTCGGCGGTGTCGAGGACGACCTTGAGGAGAGGGGTAGGTGGTGGAGAGCAAACGAGGTCCTCCTAAAACAAATGTTGGATATCGAGGGATAAACACTTTACGATGATTATATGTATGAGTAGCCTTGCTTCGAACCGGCTTCTTTTCCTTGTTTGTTGGGCTAGGATGGGGCGCATCTGGGGCAGTTAGGTTGGATGGCTTCTTGGGTGGCGTTGCGGAGTCTAGATGTAATGAATTTGTTTATGCAAGTCTAGGTCCCGCAGACAACGAGGTGGGAATTTCACGTTGGGCTTGACTTAAAATCAATATGTTGCGGATAACGACTGGTCAAACCAAGTCTAAATGCTATCTGATACCAGCACGCACAATGATCCAATCCACCTTGCCAAGTGAGTAAATCAAACTCCCCGACCCAATGCAAACGAATAAGCCGGAAAACCAAACAGAGTCTACCCGATCCAAAATGCTATAAGAACGAATAAGATCATGACTTCAGAACCTTCTCTACGATATTCTTCCTAACAGTCCACATGCGAAGCCTCTTTCCATAAATAAATAGCGGGATCGTCGTCAGCATAATAATCAACTGGATGATACCAGTCCAGATGTACACCATCCTAGAACCGTCACTGGAAAGCCAGTGAGTAAAGAACAGACTGAACACCAAACCGTGAAGAACGTTCTTGCAAAAGTTGAGGGTAACGAGAGCCTCGCCAGCGTACTGCCGGTAGCTGTCGACACAGAAAGTGATCGAGGTTGTGGACCCGAGAGAGCACCCGAAGGAGATGATTCCGAAAAAGATGGTCGGCACGATCCAGTGATCCCTCTCTTGCGCCGACCAGCCGAAGCCCATGAGACCGATAACCGTGGTGATCAGGATGGGGATGGCCATCACGAGTCGGAATTCGGGCTCGTAGAGGCCGCCGTTGCGACGAGCCATGGCCTTGACGATGATATCCGACACCTTGCCGGCTACTGCTGTTCCGAGGAGACCGCCGACGAAGGGGGAGAGGTAGACCAAACCGGTCTGAAGAGCGTCGAAATTATAGGAATTGCGATCTTGGTAAATCATTGCCATGGACTCGGAAATCACGATAAGCCAACCGATGGAGCACGAGTACACAGCCGAAGACCACAAAATCGCGGGATACGACAACAGGATAAAAGGCCTAATCATGACCTTGAGCCACGAATCGTCGCTGAGCCGTCCATAGTACGGCTTTAGCTGCTGGACAAACGTACGTGCGGGCTGGTCGCGGAGGGTGGAAGTGTACGGCACAGCGGTCCGGCCTCTGTTCGGCGTGGGCAGCTTCTCCAGGTCAGGTGTTGCCGAGGTAGAGGCTCTGGTGGATTCCCGCACCTCACTACCAGACAGCGCCGAGATAGCCGGTGACTTGCTACGCAGGTCCCCTGGCGTGGGCGCTTTCAGCCTCGAATCACGTTCTATGGATAGATCGTGAGAAGGAGGGAGGGCCGAGGCAGTCTCACTCTGTGGGGTTTTCTCGATCTCAGAGTCTAGCGGTTGCTTGGGCTTCTCGTGCTCTCCCGATGTGCGGTTGCTGTCAGAGTTGCTCTCACCGACGGCAAAGTTAACTTGAGGGCGGTGCCTGTGACTCGATTCGGGCGCGGAGAGGTCATGGCTAGTGGGAATAGAATTTTCGACGAACTCCACACGGGGACTGGTTGGACGCTCGGGGGCCGGGGATTGCGAAGACGGGATTTCCTTCTCGACGACGGGGTCGAAGGTAGGCTCGACTAGTGGTGGATGGTGGTGATGCTCACCGAAGCGCGAAGAGAGGCGACGGATGAAGCTAGGTCGCCGAGAGGGTGCCTGAGACTTCGGGACAGGGGTTCTATCCCAAAAGGTTTCAGGGACGAAGAAGAAGAGCATAAACACCCAAAATGCGGCAATGATGGCCACGACCCTAGAAATCCGACGTTAGAAATGGCGCCACAGGAAGTGAGAGTCCGGGGTTTTCTATAGGATTCTTACCAGAATACCCATCTCCAGCCTAGGTTTTGAATAACAAGGGCGGAAACGAGGGGAACGAGATTCTTACCACCCAGAAGGAGCAGGGTGTAAATTCCAATGCGAAATGCGCGCTCGTGTAGGAAGAAAATCTCGGCAATGGTTGCGGACGGCAAGCATTCGACGGGGCTGACAGCTATTCCCTGGAAGATTCGAGCGACGACCAGAGATTCGAAAGAGGGAGACAGGGCGCACCAAACGCACGATGCGATGAAGATGAATGCGCTGACGAGATACACTGGCCTTTTACCAAAGAGGATAGCGGTCGGGGAGGCGATGACGGAGCCAACACCGAGGCCCATCATATACAAGCCGGTAGTAAGGGCGACTTCCTCGACTTCGACACCATAGTCATGTCCAACGTCGGCGAAACCCGCAGCAAGGATGGGTGTCATACCGCCCCCGACCATGCAGTAAAAGCCCAGAGATAGCAGGGCGGCATCGCGCCTCCAAGTGGGCCAATTGAGCGGGTCATTGGCGGAATCCTCAGGCTGGGGCTCTAGAATAATCTTGCCGTCCTGAGTCTTCTTGACGGTGTCGACAGGTCGGGGAGCTCTCGACACCGAGCTTGCCGGCCGGGGCGTTTCCGGACGACTGAAGGGCTGGCTCGTGGGCAATGAGGAATGCGAGGTCCTTGCCGGCGCATGGTGCAAACCGAGAGGTTCGTTGCGATCCTTGGCCAAAAGAAGCACAGAGCCTTGCTGATGTATTAGAATCGGCGTGTTTCATATGGAGAAGAAAAAAAAGAAAATAAAGGAAAGAAAAAAAGGTCAAGGTGAAGGAGGTTCGAGTCTTACCAGGTACTTCGACGGTGTGTTTGTCGTTCAGGACGCCCATGCTCCATTTTGGCGGTCCGCCCGGACTGACCTCTTTCGCATCCTCCGGTGTCCTGCGGCCTCGTCTTTTGAAAAAGTCCATTGAGGTGATGGAGGAAGAATGGTCAAAGCCAATTCCGGGGAAAATGTAGTAGGCACGAAAAGAAAGAGGTACCAGGACAGATCGAGCTTAAAAAGGTAAAATGATAAAAAAAAAAAGAAAAAAAAAAGTATCAAACTTGCCGTAAGATACTTTAGATCAGATGGTAGCCACCAAATATGAAAAATCAAATGCAGGGTATAATAACGAGACAACACAACCAAACAGAACGGGTCTAGAAAACTAGGAGAGCGAGGCCGATTAAGCTGGTCTATAAGGACGTGACCCAAGATAAACAAGGAAAAAGGCAAAGAAGGGGTGATAAAAGGGAGGTAAAAGGGGAGAGAAGAGGGACGCCCGAAGGCACCTTTGACACGGATGGAGAGGAGCGAGAGGCTTGGAGAGGCTAGGATACCGACATCTCTCAAGGTTATTGTGTGCAGGGGCTAAGCTAAGAGTGAAGGGAGTTCTCAGCCCTTGCGGACGTAGCTACTTTTATGAGCAAGCTTGGGGGAGGGTCCGAAGCCAAGAAACCAAAGGGAATCCGCTCATGACCACATGCCGGGATATGCAAGAGAAATGAACGAGTGAAGTTGATATTACTCTCCGCTGCGCTATGAAGCAAGGCCCTTTCCCCGGAGGAGGCGAATGGCGGAACTGAGATCTCGATTGTGCTTGGCTGGGGGAATCTTGAGAAACGGCCAATCCGGGAGTTAACCTGCGGCATCAAGGTACAGAACGGTACGCCGAGTGACAGACTCGTGGGGTGCCTTCAAGGTTGGTGGTACTTTGACTTGGAGGCTGAACGCTGCTTCTCTCAAGCTACTCCATAAGTCCATATTTCAGTGTTCAATGGCGTCTGAAAGTGTAGAAGACAGCCCGGTCACAGTGCACTAGACAAGTAAGCACGGGCAACAGATCGAATCCAGCCAGCCAGGGAGATGTGCGAAGTATTGGTTCACAACATCATTGATGCATTTGGGGACTGTGAGCTAGCTGATTGTACATAGACTCTAGGCATAACATAAACTCCGGGGCGGTGTCGTTCATCGCTCACAGACGCTGCTGCGAGACGTTCTGACCTATGAAAGTAGTTCACAAGTAACTGCTGGGTGGCGTTAAAACTGGGACGCCGGCGTCACTGGATGATTTCGAAGGGGACCATGGTGGGGAAACAGGGAAACAGGGAAACAGGGGGTGTCCAGTGTATGTAAGTTTACACCACGCTACGAGAGATGTGAGGGTACAAGCACGTAATTCCCTGTGTGTGCGAAGTCGTTTACATGCTTGTCTGTAGTGCATGTACTTCGTAGGTTTCGAGGTGTGGGGAAAAATCTTGAAGTGCACGAGATGAGAGGGTGGAAGACTCTGAGACTGTTTTTGATGAACATACTAGCACTTGTGACCGTAAAATCGTCCCAAGACCCAGTTTTCAATGTTCCACGTCTTCCAGCCACAAGCTGATCTGGAAACTAGACCCGTCACCTGGAAGTTCTCCTTAAGACCTCAAGATGAGTCGCCTCGAACTTCCTCGCTGTTCTCATTGGGAAAAAGAAACCCGATAAACAGCAATATGCAGCATGGAAGCGGGCACTATTTCCAGCCAGTCGCCGAGAAGAGAATAGATCTAATGCCACCTCGATGCGATTTATGCCTGAGATTCTGCATGCGGAGACGATTTTAAACGGGGCTCTCCCCGCATGACCACTGGTGGTGGTGGTGTGGCTACCGGTGCTGCGTCTACTGTACAGAAGGTGGTGGTTGCTTCGGGGACGGATTGTTCTTGGCCGTCGTATGTCGAAATTACACTAGATATTTTGCAGATAGGAATGGCATGATGGAGAGCAGAAATGTTGAGCGTAGTGGAGAATGAAGTTCCGTGATAAATATTTTCACCAAGCTGAACCCACTCTCGAGTAACCGGCAGCACCTTTGTGAAGTGTTTGTCTCCGACTCTCCAGCTTTCGGAGTGGGTTATTTGGTATCTTGGAGGTGAACGTGGGAATAGAGCTTGTCGAAGCCTCGTGCAGGGAAGCACGGTTCGTACTTGTCGGGTGGTCTCAACAAGGACCAGGGTTACATTGTGGGTGTGTGCGCTGCGTTCGCATCTGCTCCCCCACCTTGACACATCTTGACACGGGCGGCTCAACAGCCTGCCTGACAAGCCGTGTTGACTGTTACCCCAGGCTTGAATGGTAGTTTGAGCAAACACAGGGAGCAGGATGAGGCGAGGCTCGATGAGCTTAATCAAGGCTTCGGATGGCTTGGGTAACATTTGATCTTACCGTGAAATGCCCGAGACAAGTCCGAGTGGACGAGATCGCAATCCCCAGCTTATTTTCTATATTATTATTATTTACTTGAACATCGCGGAACCACCAACGACCTACCGCTTGGCTACACGGGACCGAGGAGATGAGTGGTGTCATGAATGGACGTGTGGGCGGATACCTCAGTTCCTCAAAATAACCTCCGAATGAGAGGGTCCCAGTCCCCAGAGCCCTCGTCAAGCTGGAGGATCGTTTCGGGTTCCACTTACTTCGTATCTTGATCAATATAAACTAGCGGCTCTGGTGGGGTTCATCTGGGGGGATCACTGCATATGAAAGGACCCTGGTGCTGCTGTTGGTTCGACGAAGTGACCGAAGCAAGCTTATGCTCGCAGGCTAATATCGTCCATGATATACGGCCAAGATGTCATTGTAGCGAGACCTGGTTTGCGTCATTGTCTATAGATGAACTCTTATGAAATCGCCAACTACTCTTGCCCAGCTTTCTGAACCCAGAACATTACAACCTGTGCCTCGTTGAGAGGCATTGGGACCCGGAGCCTGGCAGCACATTCGAATCTCTTGACGATCCTGTCCCTCACAGATTGGTAGTTGCCATGGTGTTCTTTTGCTTTTCTCCCAGGAAGGATAATTTTACATCCCCCACTACAGTAGCTCAATTGTCTTTGCCACCATTGCGGTGAGGGCTGACATTGGAGGAGTGCCTACCCCGCCTGTCTCGGGAGTAGGATTATCTGGAGGCTGGTTTCTTGTTTCTTGAAGGGTCAATCCCATTGAAGATCTGACACTGATAATGACAGAGCCGCCGTAACCTCTCACCGCTCGAGAGGGGAGTAGTAATCTTACACTACCTTGACCCCGATGGAGGAGTGCAGCGCCTTGGCAGTGAGGGGATCAATTGATGCGAGCGTGGTGGAGGGTCTTTTGATGTTTCGTCCAGCTCGGCGCGGGGATTCGCCAAGGTACATTGCGGTACCCCTGTGTACCCCGACATCCTAGAGTCTGTTGAGCACCATGTTAACCGCCAAGTGCTTGATCCGGGAATGCCTTGATCACATGCCTGTGCTATCGCTGCAAGTCCATCAGGCTTCGACTCGCATCTCACTACGAGGGAAGCTTGCGACTGGTTGTGAGAGCAGGATTGGGTTGTTCAATGTTTGCCTCCAGCTTGAGTCAAGCCTGCAACAATGAGCATGGGGATTCGGGGGATGCTCCATTACGTCATGCCCAATGGGAGAGAGAGCAAGGACCACTTGCCACGCCAAGATTGTGCCTAAAATATTCAACCTAGAAATTTGATGTGAAGAATTCCCGGTCAAGAAACTGCTGCCAGCGAGCAAGGCCAAGCCGAAGGAGAGATAGATGATTTCTCGCAGCGATCACATATGGAGGCTGCTCGGGAGACATCTCCTGAGGCAGAAGCCAATTGGCCCTCCTGCAATCTTCAGAGGAGCTTCCTTGCCACGACGAGGCTTTGGTAGCACCGCAGCCCTGCAGACCAAGAATCAAATCTACGACCCGTAAGAAATCAATCTAGGCAAATACTGTGCTACGTTGTTTGTCTAACTCGATGGCTTTCGTGCCACAGGGTGAAGCGGGCTGCCGACTTCGACACATACCATCTCCTCTCGGTATCCGCGGGAACGCCGCTCCTCACGCTATGGACAACTTCTTGGTGCCCGACTTGTCGCATCGTGTCCCCTATTCTCTACGATCTCGTCGAATCCGGCGTCGGCGAGGCTGAAGGCGGTGTGGGCCTCTGCACGATCGAGTACGATTCCCCCGATATCATGAAGGAAGGCTTCGGCCACAAATATGTCATATCCTCCGTGCCGACGATCATGGCCTTCGATGGTCAGGGTGCGCGTTTGAGCACTAGGCTCATGGACCCGGCGAAAATGACGGACAAAACTTTCTTGGCGAGTTGGATCCGGGAAGAGGCAAGGAGAATGGGCGGAGGCAGCGTCGGTAGCGGTTTTGCCTCCAAGCTTTTTCGGCTATGAGGCTGACATTCTATGATCCGAATTGGCCTGGATATTTCGACAATGGTCGGCGGGCAGGGCCAAGCTTGGGGAAGGCAGGCTACGGGTTCTGTGAGAGGGTCGTGTATATTACGATGTTGGCGTCCGGTAGAGGCATTGGTATGCTTAGAACAAAACCCGGGTTTGGGATATCTTAAACATAGACGGAAAATAGGTGGTGGAGTCCATGTGCGATACATCCTGCACATCAAGGACTTGTACGATAGGAATGGCTTCGACCGTACATACTCTCGAGCTGGCGAAGAGCAGGAACCACATAATGAACAAGATGCGGCTTTCTCTGTCGGCACAACTTTCTTCAGGATATTTCGCAAGTCCCTCTGAACCATCCCGTGTAGCCCTCGGAGATGCGAACCAAGCAATATTTCTTGAAGATGCCAAGCTGGCGGTGCGTATATCTCAACGGGGAGCGAAGCATCTTTAAGCAAGTAATAATAAGCTGAAGACTTCCTTGTTTCCCCGCAGATATTTGCTCTCTCCGTCCATCCGACTTTGCGGGCTCGTGCTGTGGCTCTTGAGTGACGGATCGAGGCATACGAAGTACGGGATATGGGATTATGCTCCTCCTGTTCCTATCCGAGGTATTATTATGCTTGGCTCTCTTTTTGATCACATTTCTTTGGAAAAAAAAAAAAAAAAAAAAACGTTTCTGGAGTTGCATGGAACGGAAATTGGGCCTTGGTCTGGCCATAGTGAAACCATCCTTGCCTCATTTTGATTGGTGGTAAAGAGATTGGTTAATGCGCAAGGAACAGCACGGCGGAGGGAGCATTGGGCGCAGCTTGGGAACTTGGAGACTTGGGGACTTGGAGAAAACGCGTCGTTGTTTTCTTTTTTGTTTTGATGCTCAGGTTTTTCTTCCTTTCCAGTCGTCCAGGAAGGCTGGCCAGCAACTCCCTACCTGGACGCACTACTGCACTTCATGAAACATAGCCGCTGGACCCCTGGGGATTTAGGCACATCTATAGCTTCTTTTTTAGGATATTGTTTTCATCATCATTGTGGCTCGCATGAAGATCCTCCATCCAAGAATTCATGGCGGGCTACGAAGTACAAGTATTTGTCTTTCGCTGCTCCTGACCCATTCGACAGGCAAAAGGCAGCTCTGAAGCCCTGTGAAGTTACGTGTGGAAGTTGTGCTGGCTCTCCAAGAGGGCCGAGACAAGACTTGAATGGCTGGACTTATTATATCGAATCAATGCAGTCATCGTCACTGCTACCGTCGCTAATAAATATGATGCTGTTCTTCAGTCAATCATTGGTGCCACTGATGGTTCGTAAACTGAACCAATCCGGACATTGTTGACTCAGGATAGCTGCTTTTTCTTTTCCTTTTGGCCCTTGACGCGACTTTGCGCGACCTGCATCATCTCGCTGGCAACGACTGCTGGAGATATGCATACAACATGCTATACACATGCTAAAGCAGGGGAAAGTTCGTGGACCTGCATGCCTTTTGATGTAGGGGTAAGGAGTAAGCCGATGATCAGTCTGACCGAGCACTACACAATGCTGAAGAACTCAGCCTCTGGATGGATGAGGTGAATGAAGCGTAGCTGAGAGGCCTCATCGGTCCCATCTCGAGCAACCGCTCGGATTGCCCCGCATGAAAATTGTTCTAAGATCCACGTGTGATGGCCAGGAACACCCGAAAGCTGGATGGTTTAGTCCGTACATGGGGAGCGACTAATCCTTGTAAACATCTCATCTCATCTCTTCATGGAATGCCCGTCGAGTGGGACCAAGGATTAGCAGACCCTGGGTTCAGGGACACGGACATCGACTCTGTCTGTTTCTTGATGCTTCGTATTACTTTTGGGAAAGGGCTTTGTCTTCTCTCCTCTTCTTCTCTCCTCTTTTGGCATCCCTTTTCCCAGTGCAGTGTAATCGTGTAGGGACCGAACAACTCGCCAATTCCTGTTCCCCTACTCGTTCTGCTCACAGCACAGTCCCCTCCTTCGTCTTGGTCCTTGAGTTCGCCTTCTTCTTCATTCCTTTTCGTGGCTGCGTTTTAATCTTCTTTGCCGGCCGTCTCCCGAGACAGTTCGTGGGGCACCGGAATATCTTCATATAATACCATTGTTTCTCGGATCGCGGGATTTAATAGCGCCTCTTTGTTTCTCTCCCGCGGGGTTTGCAGATTTTATTTTCCTTCTCCTGGATTTCTGTCTGATTTTTTCGAGACTCTGCTTCTCTCCTGGTTCTGTCGGGCGTGAACGTTGGGAACACATCAATCAATGAGGTCTGTCTGATTGGGCCAGCACCTGCCTCGACTTCGACTTCAGCATCAATCCCCCTCGTTCATTTCGATTCCTTCGCTTCACGTGTCGCCGACCAGTTTCTTTTCGTTCTACTGCAACTGTTAATGCGTTCTCTTGCATTTTGATTTCGCCATCTCGGTCGTCTAGGCTGAAACTCTTGCAATTTGTGGCGGTGAATTGCTTGCCTTAGACAGGGCAATCTGCAGGTACGAAATACGCCCCGACTTAGCGCTCTACTGGCGTGTATCTCCCCACTGTCTTCCCCTGGCTACACAACCTCAGCGTGCCATCACCACTGGAAACGGTTTCTTCGCCCCCACTCGAAGCTCGCTAAACCTCTAAATCACCCTCTGATAGAGGCTACAAGGTACTTGTGCTAATGCGGTTAGCTCTAAGACCGGAAATCCGATCTTTCATTGGCTCGTTTGTCAAACAAAGAAAAGACACCAGATCGCGTCTAACAATTTTGTGTTCTTTCCTTGTCTGTTGTCCATCAGAATTCAGGGCTCCATTTGACAAAGCGACAATCACAACAACTCGTGTGTTGGGCTCTGTTGTGGCCTGCTTTTGGTGTTTCTTCCGTCTTTGTATTTGTCTTTCTACCCAACTCCCGACAGCCTCATTCCGCGAGTTGGACTTTTTATTTCTCTGTTGTAATTCCTACGAACCTCTTTTCTACACAGGACGACAATCCGACAAGATACCGGGAACTCCCGCAGCCGGCTCTGCTGACTGCCCCCACTCATCGTACGCGCCGACCGAACGCCAACCACCTGCCTTGTGTATCACGATATCCACCCTGTTGCGATCGTAGTTGCGATTCTGCGAAATAGATACGACTTCTCGCTTTGCTGAAGCGCGTCAATCGCCCAATTTACGCCCTATTGGGAGAGCCTGAGCATCGTTCTTGTCTGGATGTCACTCCTGGCCTAGCCCAGGAGTGATTGTTCGCCTTGCGTTGACAAACATGGCTACACCAAACCCCCCGAATAGGCCACCCGTAACAGGGGGGCCCGATATCGAGAATGACCCGTTCATTGCCGCGCCACACCAGCAGCCCCTGCGATACTCGGGCTTCGATTCCAAATTGTTCGCCCTCGGTCCCGCGTCGTCACCTGGCCAGGCGAAACGTGCCCTGGAAGCCCATCTCGCGGAGACCGAGCGTCGCATGGCCGAGGCCGGTAAACTAGGTACCGCTCTCGTTCAACAACAAAAGGAACTTCGAGATAGGCTCGCCGAGGTGGAGTCTATGCAGACCGAGGGCCAACTGAGTACCGATTTGCGAACAAAATTGGCTGAGATCGAGAGAGACTATAACGATGTTGCGAGACAGACGGCGAGAGCTTTTCTGCCGAAGCAGAGGGTGCCAAGTAATGAGGCTGCCGCCGGCTCGCCATATGTTCCAGAGGGTAAAGGGGGTCGAGTATGTTTTTCAACATCGCCGAACGACTGCGTCTCCTTGATTGATTTATTTGAGTTCTCTCTTCTAACCCTACTTTTTTTTTTTTCCGCAGCGTTCTGTGAGCCCCTCCAAATTCGAAAGTCAGGCCACTGGCTCCCCGACAAAATTGAGCATTCCGAATCGCAAGCTCCGCAACCAACCCGCCAACCGCATCCACGATATCGAATTCGCGGCCGAGATTAGTACCTCTCTTATCGCCCAAGTTCGAAACCTCCAGGCCTTGCTCGCTGAGAAGGACGAAGAGCTTCGTGATATTGTAACCGAAAAGTCCAGGTTGGAGATTGACACCGAGGGCCTGCAGCAGAGGCTCAAGGTCCTTGACGAAAGCGAACATAAATACAAGGAAGAAAACTGGAATCTGGAGACTCAGATCCAGGAGCTCTACGCGTCTCAAAAGGAAGCCGCAGAACGAGAGAAGCGCTTAACTCAATCTCTCAATGTTCTGCAGGCCGAGAAGACCAAGGCTCAAAGGGACCTCGACGAGGTCAAGTTATCGCATGCCAAGCTCACGGAGGAGCACGCCGCATCCATCAAGCAGCATGATATCGAACTGGGAACGGCGAAGCGGAATATTGCGACTGCCGAGAGCGAGAGACTGACCATGCAGCGCAAGCTTGACGATCTTACGAGCCAAAACCAGGAGCTTGCAAGGGCATTCTCTTCTCAACGTGCCAAGATTGCGGAGCGTGATGCCCTCTCTGGTTTGAGTGAGGATGACTTCGAGACGGCCACTGACAACTTGACCCCCGAACACTCGCCTCCGCCCTCCCCCGTCAAGGGGACGCCGCGACACTCTGTCCTTGAATCCGAAACGCTCAAGACATCTCTTCAACATGCTCAGCGCACGATCCAGAGCCAACGCACTCAGCTCCACCGCGAAAAGACGGAAAAGCTCGAACTTAAGAGGATGCTGCAGGACGCGCGTGACGAAGTCGAGAAACTTCGAGGCGAAGGCGGTGCCCCTACTAATCGCCGAAGCAAGAAGATGGACGTCAAGGACACGAAGAAGTACTCCAAGCTTCTTCTCGGAGGAGCCCGATCCAGCAGGGAGGAGATCTACATCGACGACGAGTGGGAGGAGCATCAAGGTGACTCTAGCCCGAGGCTCCCCGGCTCGCGTTCTCGGTCGCCCGGAACCCCCAGGTCCCCCTCTCGAGATGCGGAGGCAACAGACCATTTCGAGACTGCGAACGAGACTAGCGATGCGGCGTTTGAGACGGCCAATGAAAGGGGAACCGAAACCGAAGACTTCCAGACGGGCGCAGAAGAGTTCTCCGGCAGCGATTCTGACGAAACTGAAACAGAGAGCCCCTCGCGGGGTGTTCGTCACCAGCGCTCAAATATTTCCATGCCCATCAGCTTCAAGAAGCACCCCAATCGCGAGTCGTTCCACAGCACGGCATCTACGTCTAATGATGAGGAGGAAATTTTCGGCGACTCCCGGACCCCTACCTCGATCCAACCGCCCCCAAGAATGCGTCTGCGTGTTAGCCGTGGCTACCTGAGGCGCTCGCGACAGCCGAGTGAAGAGCCCGCTCTTCCCAGCTCCCCACCCAGCTTGGCCAACAGTAGCGCCAGCGGAACTCCACGACAATCCGGCCAAAGCCTCTTTGCTGAGTTGGCGGACTTGGACGGTAGCGACGACGAGTCCTATGGAGGCACGCCAAGCCGCAACCTGTTCGGTTCTTCTGATTCTATCTCGAGCATTCCCCAACTTAGGCCATTCCCGTCTATGGTACGGTTGCCTATGGTAGATAGCGGAGTTATGACTGAGCCGTCCAAGGTCGACGCTGAGGAGACCGTCGTGACGCCAACAGCCATCCCCAAGTCAATAATGGTAGATTCCGGAACAATGACGGAGCAAATTGAGCCTCCAATTCTGTCCCCAGTCAGCGTTGTGCACTTGGAGCGACCGTCATCGAGGGCCCTGGATGTTGACCGACCTATGAGCATAGGATCGGGCACCTTCCTGTCTCTTGACGAAGGAATCGATGCGGATCGGTCTCGCCCTGTGTCTACGCTCTCCTATAGCGATTCCGGAGCCCAGTACGACCCCGAGATTGGAGAGAAGCTTTCGAAATTCCCTCTGCCTCCTTCAATCGCGAAGAAGCCTCTGATCCCCGTTCTTGGTCTTGCATCCATCGAGTCGCAAGAGGTTACACCCGTCACGGAACCAGAACCTCCGGTAGTGGTTCCCCCGCTCGGCCTCACCTCGATCGAGACCCAAGATATTGCTCCTGTCGCCGAACCGAAACCACTACTCAGCCTTGTATCCGTCGAAGCTCAAGAAGTGGCCCCTGTAGTGGAACCAGAACCACCCGTGGCGACACTCGCCTTATCATCCATCCATGCAGAGGAGTTGGAGCCGAAGGCCGAACCGGTTATCGAGCCTTCTATACCGACCCTCAGCATCTCTGGCATTCACTCGGCAGTCTTGGATCCTAAGGCAGTGCCCGAGACTCTGCCGCCTGCACCTGAGCTGAGCGTTTCGAAAATTCAATCTCAGTCTCTTGAGCCGGATAATCGGCCTCTGGATCTGTCAGTTGCGGAGGCTATGGGCCTGGTTGCTGTTACCGCACGTGCTGTTGAGGAAGTTGCCCCTGCTCCTGAGCTAAGCATGACAACGATTAACTCGCAGGCTCTTGAGCCACGAGCCGAACCTGAAGTAGTTGTGCCTCCACAAGAGCTTTCACTGGCTCCGATCAGCTCTCAGGAGCTCGAACCGGAGGCAGTGCCCGCACCAGTATTGAGCCTCGCGTCGATTCAATCTGAGGCCGTTGAGCCCAAGGCCGAGCCTCAGGTCGTGCCCACGCTTACTCTGGCTGGCATCAACTCGCAAGTACTTCAGCCTAGGGCTGAGCCTGAAGTCCTTCCCAATTTGAGCATGGTTAATATCAGCTCCCTCGAGGTCGAGCCTCGGGAGGAGCCCCGGATCCTGCCGGTCTTGACCATGACCAACATCAACTCTCAAGATCTGGAGCCCAAGGCTGAGCCTGAACCTCCCGCACCCACTCCAATTCCGCTCGGTTTCTCCTCTGTTCGCTCCGAGCATATTCTGCCCGTTGCGGAACCCGTGCCCGAGCCGGTTGTGCTTACGACATCCTCCATTTTCTCCGAGTTTGTCGCCCCCATTAGTCCCAAGCCTTCCGTTGAAGTCCTGCCCCAATTCGGATTTACCTCGATTCAGTCCATCGAGACACAACCTGTGTCGCCTCGTAGCCCCTGGAGAGATGGTTTCATCCTTCCCCGCGATTCTGATTCACCGTTTGATGAGTTGCGACCGAGGGCTACATTTGCGCGACCGTCCGTCCTGGGATGGGACAAGGAACGTGGTTCGACGCCGCCTATTATTGCAGAGGATGAGACCCGGCAATCACCATCACAAACTCCTCAGCCGGAAACACCCGAGTCTCAACGACCTCTCAAGGACATGTCCACGAACTCCAATTTCCGGATTGTCAGGAAGCCGAAGGTTACCATGTCGGATTCCGGTGCCCAGACTTCTTTGACCTCTGATGAGCTCGATAGTATTTTCCAGGCGAAGCAGGCTAGCGCCGGTTACGGCCACGCAAGACAAGAATCTCTTGGTAGTAGCATGGGAACGCCTGGTACCGTCCGGATTCGCCGCGGCTCTACGGACAGCACTGGTAGCGTTATCCGCTCGAGGGGTAGGCTCATTGACGCTGCGATTGATCGACCGGGAAGCCCCGCCAGCGTCAGGTCGCCGACCACTGAGTTACCACCCTTGCCTGCGAACCATAGGCAAGTTATTGAGGCCGCCAGGTCTGGATCCTCGGGTGGTGGACAAGGCGCAAGCGGCAGCATGGGACCCCCACTATGGCCGGCCTCTGCACTTCGGAACCGGCCGAGGACCCCGGCTACGTCCAAGCCAACTTCTCCTGTGCCCGGATCTCCCACACCACGTGCTGTACGAGCGGGATCGATTACCGGTCAGGCAGAGGCCCATCCTGCAGTCAAATATCACCGCAGCGGGCAGTCGTCTGTTACGTCCTTCGCGTCTGAGCTCGACAATCGCTTCAATATGCAGACATCCGGTGGTATGGGCATGGGAACGGGATTCGGACCCAATACCGATCCCCGCATGATCCAAGCCATTACACAGACCATGATTGGAGAATACCTTTGGAAGTACACACGTAAGACTGGCCGTGGCGAGCTATCAGAGAACCGGCATCGACGATACTTCTGGGTTCACCCCTACACTCGGACATTGTACTGGAGTGATCGCGATCCGACCACTGCTGGCCGTACGGAGCTGAAGGCGAAGAGTGTTCCAATTGAGGCTGTGAGGGTGGTCACTGATGACAACCCCCTGCCACCGGGCTTGCATAGGAAGAGTCTTGTGGTTCTCTCCCCTGGCAGGACTATCAAGTTTACGTGCACGACTGGACAACGCCACGAAATATGGTTCAATGCGCTTTCGTACCTTCTCCTCCGAACTGCAGACGATGCACAGTCCGACACCGAAGAGATGGCTGGACATATCACTCAAGAAGATGTGGACGAGTTCAATCCCCAATATGGTCAGCGCCGAGCAGCCGCTGGCACCAGTACTGCTCGACGAACAGCTCTTCCATCTATCTCCTCCTACAACTCAAGAGCCACCCGCACCGACACTTCTGCGATTGAAGCGTCGCTGAACATCCCAACTCTGACCCCGTCCAAAGCCAACCGAACGAACGAGCAGCGCCCTTACGGTACGCTGACCCGGCTGAGCGGATACTTGAAATCGGGCCAGGTGTTTAGCAGCATCAGGAGCCGGCATACCGTCGTCAGCCCGGACCTCTACGACACGAGCGAGGTTCACGATAGCGCTGAAGACTTGCGGGCCATTCTTGAGAGGCAGGATAGGGAGTCGGATCGGTTGGAGAACGTGAGGGCATGCTGCGATGGTAGGTTTTCGTCCCCCCCTTTCCCGTGATATCCTCTGGGCTCGAGTCTACTCCGGTCCCGCATCCACGCAAAAAGCTAATGATTCCTTACAGGTAAGCACGATGTCGGCACGCTTCCTCGGACTACCAAGCGTCATCACCGAAGTGCACTCACCCACGCCCATCCTGGAGCCTCCGTAGCATCGACCCCTGCTAGCACTCTCAGATCTCGAGCGTAAATCGCTCTTTGTTTTCTACTCTTTCTTCCCCCATCCAACCTTGTCACGGCCGAGACTTTTCAGTATTTCCTTCTTATAATCTTCTTCTCGTCACTCGCTCATGCCTCTTTTTCCGATACTTGACAATCATTCAAATTGATGACCACTTCAAACGAATTTCCTACTTCTGCTCTTTGTTTCCTTCGCGTACTCACTGATCCTCTCAACATGCTCGAGGTTGGCATAGCCATTTGCCTCGTTCCACACACTCTCTTTTGCACGTCTCTTCCCTCATCTTTTTTTCGAGCCAAGTCATACGGAGCCGGAGTTGGCGTCATGACCTTTTAAAGACACAAAGATTGGCGGACACCCGTTCTAGATTGCCTTGAAACAACGCACACAACAACCCATGGCCGGTTCTTGAAAGAAAAAGAAAAGAAGAAAAAAAAAAAAAGTTTACAATGCCCAACGGAATCTCGGAACCGACGTTCCCCGACTTCTTTCCCTTATTTCTGTTGTTTTTGTTTTTTTCTTGTTTTTATTTGATGTTTTTTTTTCCCTCTGATCAAACTATGAGATGACCCATTCATGACTGCTGGAACCTTGGGATGTTTGTTTTCTTCTTTCTTTTTGTATGAATGAGAAGGGGAGACAGATTAGTCGAGGGGTGAATGGTAATATAACTCTTTTTCTGTGAGAGGATTACTGCCCTCTCGTCTTTTTTATGGAAAAATATATGTCTGGTTCTACTGCCATCCCTAGTTAAACGTAACGTATTGTGATGATGCTTGGATGGTGCTGTTCCTCTTTGCTGTTTACGATTAACAATTGACAATCATCATTCAATGGCTCATGATAACCTAGAAAACTCGTTCCATGCTATGCAACCAGTTTCCAAAACCCAATCATCCCTAGAATACAATAACCAGAAGTACTAGGCCTATCCCAACAGGACCCCAAACCTGAAATCACCACTCCAACCGTGCGGGTTCACTCAACAACTTCTCAATAACAGGGTCCACGACCGCCTTCTCCGCCCTCAGCCTAACCCCTTCCTTCACACGAGTATAGTAAACAGGACAGTCCTTGCTATCACAAAACACCTCCTCCAATGGACCCAACCCCGCGCAAGACCGACACACTGCATCCACATCCATGATACCCCTCTGCAACTTCGCCAGTCTTCCCTCCAACGCTACTAATGAGGCCGAGACGTCGCGCCCGCACTCATCGCAGAGCGATACGTCAGCGGCGCGCGTCTTGGCGCTGCAGACCACGCACGACGCGGACGACATGTACGACTCGAGAGTCTTGCGATGCGCCGAGGGATCAAGGCGGTAGATCCGGCGCACCTTGGGCATGTCATCGTACCACTGGCGCACGCTGGCGCCGACGAGGTTGAAGATGCGGTCGAGCGGCGGCGTGATGTTCTTGGTGATGTAGTACTCGGCGTCGAGCGTAACGTGGGAGTTTTCCAAGAGGTCCTCGGGCGCCACGCACCGATCGATGAGGCGGGCTCCCGGCGCCCCCGATATCACGACGTACGGCACCCGCTCGCCGTACTGCGGTTCGGTGCGCGCGTCTTCGAGCATGCGCCGGGCAGAGATGAGCGCTCCCGGGGGCGGCGGACCTTTGTCGGAGTAGCCGCCGAGCCGGACTTCTTTGGCGAAGCAGAAATCTTGCACGGAGACGGCGCCGCGCATGATCTTGTCGCACTGGGATTGGAAGTAGGCTTTGACTTGGCTGAGGTCTGCCGTTTCAAAGAGGATCTTGAGGGCCTTTTCTTCAATCTTTTGCTCGGCTGGGGTTCCGTCGCGTCGCACGGTTTCGATCCCTTTGGCGTCGAACTCGGGGACCAGCTGGTTCTTTGACTCGTACTTGTATCCGACGTAGCGCTTTTTGGCGAGCAGAACACAAGGGAAATAGACCTTTTCGAACTTGAGCTTGATGGGCCTTGGATTCATGTCCGTGATGGCCTTGGCAATCTCTGCACCAAGATCGAAAGCTTGATCCTTCGTTCGACCTTTGAGGTATACGAATAAGCTATCTGTATCGCCGTAAACGACCTCAGCGCCCCAGTCTTCGCGGGAGTGGATATACACGATGGCTCGCTCGAGAGTTTCGCGACCAGTTTGGACGATGCTGTCTGCAATCTCCGCACAGGGCATCCGGCCCGAGAACGACGCAGATGTGTATCCGTACGTCACATTGGCGAGGAGTTTGAGCGCCAGCTGCCGATTGTTAAGAAGCCTCTGGAGCCGCCTGTCGTCTTTATCCTGCTTCATACCCGACTTGACCATGAACCGCGTTTCAAGAATCTCCGTAAGCATCTTGGCGAGGAGGGATTTGCGTATCTCAGCCTTGACGTACATCATTCCGTTGGGAGCGATGTTGATGTGGTCCTCCAGCAGCTCGAGGAGCCTGCGCCGCCGCTGGTAGTCAGAAAAGCCCATCTTGTTCGTTCCCCGCCAGCCGACGATGCGCCCGAGGAAGGTAGAATAGCAGTAGTTGTAGGCGATCATGACGCTGGGATACAGACTTTGAAAGTCCAGAACTAGGAGCGGGCTGTTGTAGAAGGCGCTTTGCGGCTCCATCACGAGAGGGAGGCACTCTAAAGCATTCTGGCTGCCTACTTGTTTCCGACTTGGAGAGACCAAGAGGTAGTTTTCTGGTTTGGCGATTCGAAACATGATGGATTCGACTTTGAACTGAGAGCCTCTGGAAAAGACGGAAAAAAAGTCTACTCCAAGCACACGAGCCTGTTCACTTGTGCGAGGTATCAATTCATTGGCATCCAGAATCTCAATGTTCATCCTCGTACGCGCCAAGTAGTGCCGGATAAGTTTGAAGAGGTCCCTCGGCCGACCGTTCTTGTACCATGATGTCAGGACCTTCCAGGGGTAGTGTGGCACTCGGCGGTGGAGTAGATGCCACGCGACATTCTCAAGAGTATACTGCAGTAGATTCAACTCGCCGCGCATGGCTCTCCAGACATTAATCATGTGTCTCCCCGTGACACGGATGGTGGATGTCGTGTTGAAACCCCAGCGATCGTTCTCTCTGCCGAATCTACCATGGGAATTACTCTTCATGCGTGAGAACTCGTCGCAAAGATCGTAGTCATATTTTAACCGTGCTCGCTCGATGAGATACCCCCAAGAGCCACCGTGGACTTCGTATCCCGTTAGGATGTCTGGGTCGTGGGCGCGAACGATTCCAATCATACGCACGAGCAGGTCAAGCTCAGTCGCCTCCTCGGCGACATCTGCCTGCGTCATGCGACGGATCTTCTCCGTAAGGGATCCATCCTCTGATAGAACCACTATCCCGCATTGGTATACGTCTTCGTCCCCGTCTCCGGCCTCGTCAGACTTGACACACCAGAATATGCACTGGACCTCGTCCTCTTCTGGGTTCGGCACAAATTTCCCGCGTGTGTTGACGTGGATTTCAACACTCATCGTGCTCATGTATTGCGTCTCGTGCAACACGCCCGTCGACTTCTTCTTCTGAGAGTATTTGAATCCGTGCTTATTGATTTGCGTAGGCCCGTCAATTTGGGACATTACTTTTGGACGTTGAGTAGGGCGCGGAAGCCTACGGGCGTGCTCTTTACCACTGGCCTGGCGATCTTGCTCTCGCCTTTTGATAAGCTTGTCTTGCCACCAATCTTTCACTTCTTGATAAGTGGGCGGTGGTTGTGCAAGCTCCCAACCTCGATACGTGCAGATGCGGCGGCGCTGGGCATCCGTCAGTCGGTCCGTCTTTTGAGATAGACCGTTTCCTGCATCCGAAGGCATTCCAGCTGGGCCGGATAAGTTGAATTCTGGGAGAAAGGGCAGAGTGTTTCCTTCCAGGCGGAACTCGCGTCCCGCGAATTCGATTGGGCGCTGCGGAACGTCCTTCTCGTTGCTATAAAATGCATCCTGGTAGACTACATCCGGTAGACCAAGTTCCTTCATAGACGAGCAAACTTGCGAGGCGGATGGTGGTATTGTCGACATTATCGTGGTCCATCGCGAAGAGGGCGATTTGGAGCGTATAAGGACTTGACTTGGGGAGCGGTTAGACGACGGCGATCCGATGACATTCTTAGAACTGGCCGATGACGCTGAGGACTTCGTCGATTTGGTGGGCGTGGTGGTAGTTTGAGCCACTGAAAAGTCAAACTCCTTGCCACCGAAGCGAACCTGCTTCACCCGGCTCGAGTTGAACGTTTGGGGAGTCGGTAAGTCAGAGTCTCCATCCTTCTTATTTCCAACACGCGTCGTTTGTTTTTGACTCGACTGGCTGAGACTGAACTGCCCATTTGTATCATTCGGATCCTTGACGATGGGAAAGTTGATGCTAGACTGATCGTTGGCTTGCGAGGAGGCGGGTGATTTGCTGGGCCTCCCTCTGCCTCGGCCGTGAGACGGTGGGTGGGATAACTGCGGCGTGCCTGTCGGCTTCATCTCCATCACTCCGGGCTTGGGCAGTGACGCGTCCTCGAGCTTCGGCCGTTTGCTGGGAATTTCAACGGGATCCGGTGTTCTTGAGCGTTTCGACGAGGGTCTGCTATCCGTCTCTGATTCATCGCTCTTCTCTCTTTTGCTGATGAATTGCTCCGCTTTTGCTATGGCCAGCAGCTGAGAAGTAATAGGGATCTGTGCGGATCTGCCTGTCCTCATTGCACTGGCACAGATACCCAAGATTGGTGGATCGCACTCCGGATCCAGGCCTAGACCCCGGGTATTTAGCTGATCTAGTCCTTGGTCATCCCCTATTATCTTCTCGGCAGGAACCTCTTCATCCGAGTCCTCAGGGAAGTAGTCTTCATCCGTTGGCTGCGCCGGACGAATGCCTCGGGCGTCCACGTCAACGTCTCCTCCGTGGTCCCCGACGTCCTGCGATGCGCTCTCTGCAAGACCGAGTGCCGCTCTTAGATTATCTGGATACAGGTCCGTGACGGACTGTAACACAGTCTGGACCTCATCATCTTCTAGCTCCGGCTCCACGAAGTTCTCAAAAGTAGGTTTTACACCATCCTCATCGGCAGACACCTCGTCCTCAATCAACTGTCGAAGAAGCTCCTTATACTCCTCTTCATGAATCCAACCTTGCGGCTGAGAGTCTCGTGGATCAGCCGACATAGATACCAGCGCGTCCGCCGGAAGGGGGCTCCCATTTGCTTTTCCTCCCGGAAGCTTTAATCGCCGACGTCTCATCTCGTCCCTCCAGAGCCCAGCCATGCTGGAAACGAGCTTGAGGTCAGGTGGCGTTGGTCGTACCCTTTCGACAAAGTCGTGGTGCAACCTCCTCTCCTTTACGGATTTCCTGTTCTTGATGTCTTGCACGCAGATGTCTACCTCGATCGAGCAGTGACTGAGGCGCGGAAGATCCAGTGAATCCGTTATGTTGGCGGCGGGTATCTTCTGGTCGTTCCAGTGATGCGCCAAGCTGTCATCTGCCTCCGCCTCTGGAACCGGTGCCCTGAAATAAGTTTTCGTAGACTCCAGGTAGTCGCACCCGTAAAGGTTGTAATCGCACATGAACTGAAGGAGATATTGCAGGTGCGTCTCGTAAGGCTGGAATTTCTGCTTCATGATGACACCCTGGAGCAGTAAATCGGCGAGGCGGCTGATGACAATGGGGTTGAAGAGGTAGATTTTGAGAAAGTAGCGATAACCGACGTGGAATCCATAGAATGGTATTCCTTTTACGAGTGTGATTCTCGCGACAAACTTTGCATTTCCACTTGACTGGTCGCGGCGGTAGCTCACGGCCAGCGCGTAGTCTATGGACATGTGGAGGCGATACATATATGCCCCGACTATTCGCCAAAGAGTAGAATGCAGCTGGGTCAGCTCTAGAACACGAAGAGGAAGGGGACTATAGCTGAGGGATCATTCGTCTCACCTGCATCTTGATCAAGGGAGCCATTGTACTCGATAAACAAGTACGGAAACGCCCCGTGTATATGCGCGCAGACTTTTTGACCGGTCTCCGTTGACCCGAAAACTCTCACGACGGGGGCCTTGGGGCCCTTCGAGACCTGCGACGGCCGGATATCACTTCGCAGTTGTGGGTCGTAACGCGTAGGTGTTGCCTGGTAATGGTCGATGCAGTTGATCCTGACCTTGAAGAGGTCCATTGTGGTGGAATCTGGACCATCAGATTAAGATAGTTGTACGGTCAGTCCCTTCCACTCCAGTGGTAGCCGCCCAACATCTCATAAAACTATACAGGCTCGCGGTCATTTGCGATGGTGATAGTGGTCGTGGTTTGGCGACGCGTTGATTGATGCGAACGTTGATGTTAATGATGCTCAGAAGCTCGGGATGCGCGAGATCACGTGATATAACCAGCCACCTTCAGCTCGCCGTTTCCAGTGTCTTTGCCCAACACGCCGCCCATCCATCAAGAACCTTCCCAGGCTGCGAGGATGTGCGGTAATTTGATTGATTGATATTGGCAAATACTGTCGTTTACGTCCTGTAACGGTTCTACTCTCGTCCTGCTTAGGCTACTTGACGTCTACTTCTAGGCGGCTGCTGCCTACAAAGGGCTCACAAGACTACACGGAACTCGCCATTTTCAATTGTAAAGTCGTTTGATTCGATATTAGAGCTATGTAAAGTATTGAACCGTAAAGTTCATCAAGCACAAAACAAAACGAGTGGAAGTTGAGACACAAATACAGTGAATGTCGAAAACAAGCCAACTCTGAATGAGCGACTTGACGATGCCGCCGTCTCATCATGATGGTAGCCAGACAAAGGAAAAAAAAGAAAAGAAAAAAAAAATAACAACAATATTTGGACAAAAGAATGGTAGAAGACGCAAATCGTCTCGTAGAAATCAACTTTTTATAGATCGAAAGAAAGGCGTGCGCTTGAAACAAAGAGCCAATCTGGGTAGTCGCGCAAAAACAAGTGCCATCGTAGTGAATCAGTGGGTATCATTCTAGATTCCAATCTTGAGAAACAGTCGAATCGTGGGGCGGCATCCCCAGCGTCTCGTTCGCACAGTCGTGTTCTTAGAAAACCTCCCCCGATCATTCACCCTCCACCTTCTATGTTGAGAATACAAAGGAAATTAATGGAATAATGCGGCTCCCAGGGAGCTGCGATAGTCGGGTAAGCAGTGTTGGCTAGTCATCGAAGAAGCCATGGTCGTCAAAGTCGCCCGGATTCGCATCCGAGTCGTAGCCGCTCCGCTCCATCATGGGAGGAGTGACTGGCTCCGGACGCTCCGTGTGTCGAGGCGGTGTTCCGACGATAGGCATCTTCTCCGACCGTCTAGATGAGATCGACGCGCGACTGGTATGCTCGCTGCGCTGACCGGTGTATCGACGACCAGTTGTGGTGAAGGGGGCGGGCTGAGTCGTCTGGAAAGATGTAGGAGGGGTCTGGCGAAGCCCCGAGGCAGGAGGCGTCAAAAGCCCTCCTAAGAGGGTGTTGTTAACCTGAGTTGGCGGTCCTGCTTTGGAAGGAGTGTTGCTCCGCATATTTACCGACGCCGGCGATGAGAGAACACCAGAGAGGCTGCTCAAAGAGGGTTGAGCCTTGCGCCAGCTTCCCCACGCGGCCGCAATGGGGCCGACCGCCTGTGCCACTCGAGGAGTAGCAGCTTCACGGATGGTCTGGGCGATGCTGGGAAGATTGACGGCAGAGCCACCGTTCATCGCACGCTCACGCTCCTGCTCTTCCATCTGGAGGTTGGCCTTGAGACGAATGGCCGCATCCCTGACACGGGCCCTGTCGAACGTCTCTGCGGAAAGAGCACCGATGATATCCTGAAGATCGCCATGCCTGACTGCGAGGAGCTCCCTGAGCCAGATAATTTCTTCGTCGCGCTTGGCAATCTTGGTCTCCGCTTCGGGATCTAGGTCGGCAACGGTCTGCTCGAGTTCCTCGATCCGCTGTTCGCGCTCCTGAAGCTGCTCCTGAAGCACCATGATGGACTCGCGAAGGGCTTGGGGTGAGATCTTCTCAGGAAGTGCCATTGAGCCGTGGGTCGATCTTGGGTGGGCAGACGAGGGCGAGACGATGGTTTCAGCAGACGTTGTCTTTGCGGCTTGTGCAGCGGCACGAGCCGCCTCCTGAGCAATTTCCAGCTTCTCCTCGAGATGGTGGATGCGGTCTTGAAGATGTTCGGTCCTCGACGTCGACAGGCTGAGGCGCTCGAGGAGTCGCTGCTCCCTTGTCTGAGCTTCATCAACAGCATTGCTGTGTTGTCGTTCGTATCGAGTTTGTATATCCTCCATCTCGTTCTGGTGCTTCTCTACGAGTCGCTGGATCTCCGTCGCCTTGGTAGAATGAGCCTCCTCGAGCAACATTTCACTCTGGGCCTTAGCCGAGTCCACATCAAGTCGGGTGTGGTCAAGCTCGGACCTGAGCTTTGAAATCTGTTCCTCAAGCTCTTGCCTCACAACGTTGACGTGATTGTTGGCTTCATCCAGCTGTGTCTGCATAGCTACGCGGATGCGTTGGACTTCACTCGCGCCGGACTCGCGAGCCTCCTCGAACTCTCGCTGGTATCGCATGGCCGTCTGGTGTAGCTGATGGTTCTCATTCCTGAGATCAGTGAGTAGAGTCTCCAGTCGTTTGGACTCAGTGACAGCCCGCATTCCTTGTCGTTCGATACCCTCGAGGCGCTCGAGTTCGGTCTCCAAACGCTCTCGAGTGCGAGCTTCGGCCTGAAGCTTAGCGTCAAGGACCTCCTGCCTAGCGATAAGGGCCTGCTCCTTCTTGGTTCGGCGAGCATTCTCTTCAGTGATCTGGGCGGCAGCCCTTGCCATATCTTCCTGAACAGAGATGAACTTGCCCCTCCAGGTTTCGCGCACGCGCTCGTTTTCTTCGAGTTGAGTTCCGAGAGTATCCAAGACCTTGTGGAGGTGTCTCTTCTCATTCAAGGCCTGATCGAGGTCGCCACCCAAGCGCCGCACCTTCTCTCCAGCATGGTCAGCCTCGGATCTCCAGTGGCTGAGTTCTTGCTTGGCATTGCGAAGATCACTTTCCATAACATTAATCCTGTTAGTAAGTTCGGAGCGCGATTGGGTAGCATTGGTCTGGGCAGCCTCAAGGAGTGCGAGCCGCATGGTCGTCTTGCTATTGGCTTGTTCCATGGACTTGATCCTCTGCTCTCTCTCGTCGAGAGTCTCGCGGAGCCGAGTTTCCTCCTCGGTGGCGATTCTGAGAAGCCGCTGAACTTCTGACAATCGGTCTTCCGCTGCGCGACGGCCACTGAGTTCCTTTTCAGATTGCTCTTCCTGGATACGCAGTTTCTCTTCCAGGTCAGCGACGCGCTGGTCAAAGACGCTGCGATTGAAGATTTCAACTTCCACCTTGGTCTCGGCCGCCTCGAGCTTGCGGCCGAGTTCAGCAGTGAGATCCTGAGCGGCACGGCGGTCCTCAACCTCCTTTTCGACCTTGATTTGCTCAATGTGAAGGCGCTGCTCAAGATCAATGACCTTAGCTTGCAATTCCTCAAGCTTTGTCTCTGCGTCCTTGTCTGGTTGAGGGGTTGGGGGCATGCGTCGCTCAACAGCCTCTTCGACGATATTACGCAGGTCCTCGCCGCGGAAGTCAAGCCTCATTGATGTACCGAAGTGCTCCTTCATATCTTCCAAGGCCTTCAGGACCAAAGCCCCTTCGCTGGGGGCGGTAGTGTCGGGCGCAACCGGAGGAGGCATGGCGCGTTGATGAGTTGCTAGAGCGTCGAGAACGGCGGTCCTAATCTGCTCTACACGACGGTTACGTTGGGGACTCATCGAACGGCGGGGGGCAGGCTCATCATCTTCGTCGTCGGCGTCACTCTCTTGGGAGATGCTGCGTCGCTCGCGATGGGATGACGCAGCCCGGCGTGAGAGAGATGAGAGTGCACGATGGATAGCATCCAAAGACCTCTCCACAGGATCGAGACGGGCGGCTAGGATGTTGCCAACAACATCATTAACACGCCCATCGAAGAATTGGACGCGGCTCTCTAATTTGTCCTGCTCATCGTTGCTGAAATCTTCATCCCAGTCGCTTCCAGGAATGACCTTGTCGACGTCGAGACGGTGGATGGCTCCCTCGAACGACCGAATACTTCCCTGTCCATCGATGAAGGGATCATCCAGCTCAGTGGTCATCATCGGGCGTACAGCCTCACCGGGCAAAGCATGGTAACGGCGAGGGCTAGGACTGGGCGCGTCGCTGCGGAAGTGTTGAGTAGGCGGGAGGTGGATGGGGGATTCGCCGCTGACAAGCGTAAGTGGGATCTGCCGCGTGGGGCTTGGCTGGAGCCATCTGGGAGATTCGTCGTGGGTCCTGTTAACACCCTTGGTGGGATCGTTCTCGTTGATATGTCGCATAACTGCGTCGATCTCCTCGAAGGTTGGGCCTTGGTCCTCAACTTCCCTTGTGCTCTCCTTGGCAGCTACGGGCTCCTCAAGGGTGACATCGAGCGACTCCACTTCAGATGCAGCTTCCTCGACCGAATCCAGTTCAACGGATAAGTCCCCAACGACTTCTCGCTCGACCGGAGCATCTTCTTCGGAAAGTTCAGGCTCGAGTTCGAGTTCTGGCTCAAGTTCGGGCTCGGCCTCAGGCTCCGGCGAGGGGGAGAAGCGGGGTGTCGGCTTCTCGTGATCTGATTCGGCTCCCAGTGTAGGCTCAGGAGAAGGTTCCACCACCATCTCGGGTTCGGGGGTAGGGGAGGCAAATCGAGAAGCGCCAAGACCCTTGGGTGGAGGAGAGGCGTATCTGGAAGCAGCCAGCCCTTGAGGGACGCGATGGAGGAGAGGGGGTGGAGTAGCCACCCTTGGGGCCGGCTCGGGTTCAAGATGAGTTTCCTTCTCCAATGTCGGCTCCTCGTCCTTCTCTTCGATTTCTTCGGTCTCCTCATCCTCGGCAGCCTTTCTCTTGAGTTCTGGAGCCACAATACCGGGGCGGGGTGTCTCTTCATCTAGCTTCTCCTCGTCGGTGACATCAGACTTCGCGTCAATGGTTTCGCCATTGGCTAGATCACGGTAAGCAAAGGCGCCTGGAGTGAAGGGCTTCGCAGTAGCTGAGAGAGACTTCTTGTGGCCTCGGAAAGAGGGCTGCTTTTCACCTGGCGGCAAGGCATTGTTGAAGTTCTGCATGTCTGCCCTGTTCTCGAACTCGAAAGATCCCCAGTATGGAGAGGTCTCGGACGGGCTGTTCACAGACGTGGGTGCAGTGGGCTTAGCATCGGTAGCTTCTGACGTGAACATCGAAGACATAGAAGTGTCAGCAAGACCCGCAGTTTCATCACCAGACCTGTGGTCTTCGAGGATATGGGGCTGAGGAGTCTGTTCCGTATCATCAGCCTTAAGAGCAGGAGACTCCTGTGTTGCCGACGGCTCCGCGAAGAGAGGTACCGCGTCAGCATCATCAGCTGGGGAGGCACGGGCACGCTTCACGCGAGACTCCTCTGGGATGGGACGATCATCATGCCGGCCATCGACGGACGGAGCGCGCGATGAGTGATGGCTTGGGGGTCGGACAATGGGGATCGCCTTGGATTTCTTCGCTGGCGTGATGGTCTCTGGAGCAGGGATCTCAATACCGCCAAAGATGGAGCCAGACCGCTTGCCTCCGCTTTCTGAACCCGAGAACGGACTAGTAATCGTATCAGAAAATGCGCCGCCGAATGGCGTGAATGAAGGAGCATCCGGTCGGAATTTGGGACCAGATGACGAGAAACTGAAATCACTCTGGGGGGAGAAAACTGGCGCGTTGACATTAATCTTGGAGGTAGTGGACATGCTGAACTGGCTCGAAGTTGCTGACAACGGCGGAGGTGCTTGGAAGAGGGGGTTCGTCTGCAGCAAAGTCGGCTGTGGCTGGAATGAGTTTCCTCCGAAGACGAACTGCCCGGGTTTGAAGGTGCTCTCGGGATTGAATTTGAACTCTGGCGCCTTGACATTGAGCTTCGAGGTGGAAGGCTTGCTGGCATGGCTCAATCGACGAGCGCCGGATTGACTGGTGACCGAGGCCGAGTCGTTCCAAGGGTTGCTTGCAGTAGAGAATGCGCGTTGATGCGTGTTCTCCTGAAGAACGGTGGCCAAATCGAAGTCTTGCACGGGGGTACCGAGGTTGCTGGGATTCGTGATAATCTCATAGGATTCCTCTGCTTTCTGAGAGCTAGAATCGGCGGGCACCTTAAATCGGCCGAAACCGGCATTGGGGTCTCCAGGGGTCCCGGAATCTTCGTGACGCGTGAAGAAGTTGTGCGAGAGGGAATGCCCTCTGCTGTGCGGTCGTGGATGGTGAAGAACGGGATCGGGTCCGGCATTGCTGAGAATTTGCTCAGGGAGAGCAAACTGAACAGATTGCTGACGGCCATGGGCTGAGGGGAAGACATCGGAGTCTGGAAGATGGATGCCTTGCTCAACCTTGTTATCTTGGTTGTGAGGACTATAGTCCTCGTGCTCTAGCTCATTTCGGAGCTGCTCCTCGAGATGGTACTCCGCATCCTCAATCTCCCTCTGAAGGTCATCGGGGTTCTCCTTGAGAGGTTCAGGAGTCTTGGAGGGGCTCTTGCTCAATCCATCCTCATCCACCTCGCGTAGTTCTTGGAGAGTGGGGGTCGCCCTAGCAGGGAAGAGCGGCAACTGTTGATGAGGCAAGAGAGGATACTGCAAAGACTGGTGCCTTTGGTGGGTGTTGAATGCCGGGCTACCAGTCTGGAAAGGCGAGGAAGGAGAGATCAACCCATTGAGACTCAGGGCAGGAGAATCGCCACGGTTCACCGATTGCATGAGAAGAGCCTGCTGAGCCCAGTTTTGCGGTGATGGCTGGGGCGGGATCTGGAAGGGCGAGGACGTGGCAGGGATCGAGATTGACTGGCGAGGATTATATTTCCCAGGCGGAATAGCGAAGGAGACCGGTGAAACAGTGGATGGAATGCCGGGGCTTGTAACCGCTGATCCTCGCCCGCCAGGTATGAAGGGTGCCGGGAACGGGAAGTGGTTGCTTGAAGCGGAAGACGGCGGGATAGGGGGTGAAAACGGCTGTCCCGGAAGCTGGCTGGACGGGATTCGGCTCGTCGTTGATGTCACCGGCGAGACGGATGGGAGGGGCGGTGGCTCCTCATCATGACTTGACACGCCCAGAGCACGCAGTTTCGCCTCGTTCAGCTCATCAACATAATTTTTCCAAGCTACCACAATGTTAGCTAAATCAGAAAACGTCGTAACCTTGTTCCTCTTCACCACTTACCATTCAAGTCCGGCAAAGTGACAACAAAATGTCGGTTCCGGTGTTCCCTTTCCATGTCGCGGTGGTCGGGCCAGAAAGCTCGGCTCTGGGAAGCTTCACCAGGGCGCGATGAATCCCTGTTGAGATCAAAACCACGGACATTATAGCCTAGCTCTTCCCAATCTCTATACATGCGTTCAACTTCACCCTGCGTAAGGGGAGCAGGCGGTTGGTTGGCCTGGCCGCGATGATCATCCAAAGGGAGGAGCACCATAATATTCTTTCCCTTCCATGGGACTTTCTTCTTTGGCCGAGGCTGCGAAGGCTGTTCATTCGACTTTAACCTTAACGGTGTCGATTTTGCAGGAGACTTGGGAGTCCGGGCTTCCTTTGCCAACGTGGCAGTCGGCCGCGGAGGGGTCTCAGGAGGAAGATGGCCATCCTTCGGAACGGGGGCTGGTGCAGCTGTTTCGGGCACAGCCACTGGCGCAGTTGTCTGGTCCGCTTCAGTAGCCATTTTCCCTATGACTCTCGGAGAACCGGTATCGCGCGCGTGAGATTCGGGTGTAAGAGTTTCCACGCTGGATCGGGCGCGTGGATGTCTTCGAGAGACTTCTCGTGAGGGTAACCGGTTGGGGTTAGCTCGAGGCGTCTGCAAGTCGTACGGCTCAAGCCAGCCAATGTTACTAGAAGCGGAACCTCTCAGTGAAGAGGGCTCACTATCTTCAGTACCGTCACTAAGCCAGGGGCGACCTTCAGCAGAGTCGTCGGCCGTATGCTGGCGAATCCACTCCTCAGTGAGACCCCTAGTTGGGCGCCTCGCGCGGTTAGCGAGAACAGCAGCGCTCACGAAAGCGTAGTTTGACTGGTCCGCAAGTTCTCGTGCGAACTCGGGGGGCGGGCGTAGAAACGGCGTATGAAGCTCGAGTTGATGAATAGGCGAGTCTTCCGATGCTTCACTGCTCAGACTCTCCTCTCGGAGATGCTCTCGATGAGTCTGTGGATAGGGGGATCCCCAACTGGCCGTGACGTATGGAGGTTCGTCGTCCGAGTCGAGTGCAGGAGGGGTCCTGAGTAGTTCTAACGCCCTGCTAGGAAGGGTCGGGGCGGGTAGAGAGTGTAGGATGGGAGAGTCTTCCAAAGAGCAGTCCGCTGTCGAGGTCGTCGAGAGGGCAGGGGACTGAGGGTGCTCTGGAGATTGAGCCCGGGATGCCTCGGAGTTTCCGTCCCCTGCAGGACGGGACGGCGACGATTGTTGAGGCGACGTCTTCACGAGAACCTGCGCTTGGGGAGGCGGGAAGGTTAGACAAGCGTGGTCTGCCTTGCCAGGATGTCGAATGCTGATGGTCGGGGGGGGAGGTTTCCGCCTTTCGCCTCAACAAACCAGGAGGGACTCACCACAACGAGATCAGCGCAGACGAAGATTGAGTCGCCTGCAGCTGAGTCTCTTCAACTCGCGTCGGAAAAACCTTGGCCTTCCACCACGCCAGAAATAAATTATTTTTGCATCCAGCAGCAGCAAAAAATCATTCGGATGCGTGAGTTCGTCGCGGGTGGATGTGGAAGGAGAAAGGAGGGTGGTGAGCGGGTTGGGCGCGACGCGTTTTCCGGCAAGGAGGAAAATTAGGAGTGGCGGTCCCCAACACTGGCTGTCGGGAAAGGTCACGGATTAAGTGGTAAAAAAAAATATTATAAGGAACGTCAGATAACCATTACAAAATCGAAAGAGTGACCTATAAACGAGGACACGGCAGAAAAACAGACGAAGCCGGATACATGGGGAGCCCGCGGTTGGCTGCCTTGAGGAGAGGCTGTTGTCGTCGAGGAAGAGAAAAATAGATTCTCAAGATTCTTCACTCAAGGTCGACGTCGGGCAGCATTGGGAAAGGGGTTGACGGTTGACGCGAAGACAGGGAACTCGACAAAGAGGAAAAAGCCAGAAGAAATTAGATCAATGGGGTTCACGAGCAATCAAAAAGGCCACTCAGGGCTGTCCTGTCACGGCAAGCTTGGTTTGCTCCTTCCCTCTGGCCAGCCACGGTTAGCAGGGGGCCAAGGTCATTTTTGCGCACTGTATTTGCCAGCGAAATTGGCGACGCGGGTACATTGAGTTTCTCGTATTGGAAGTACCCCGAGCATCTCGGAGTCGCTCGCCAAGAGTACGAAGCAGGATGCTCTTGCCGCAACTCCTGGCATATCACCGAACAAATCGTTGGTTTGGAAGGAGCAGGGGCCCTTGTGCTAAATGGGTCGGGGCAATTTCCCCCTGATGGAAGAATGCTAGCCGGTACATTTGAAGAGGTCGCTTTTGGGAAGGTCACTCCAGCTGAAATAAATGTACCTATGTACCATCCTAACTAATGAGATCTGCGATGGTCCTCGGTCATCTTGGCAGGAAGAAAATTCCTTCGGTTATACGAAGTACCTCAGTCGACGTCTATCCTGTACACTACCCATTGTACTCATTTCCTCAGTTGCAAAGGAGGTCAATCTACATGAGAGATAAGTACCTCATATACAGTGCAGGATTACAAATGACACTGTTGGAGAACAGATAATTGAAGAGAAACAAACTACTTGTACACCGCCGCACAACAGCGCGGCATTACGGTATTACCAAGGCATTCAGAGGCTCAATCGCCCAAAGACTTCGGGGTGTTTTTGCCTCTTGAGCCCCAGTAATATTCTCTAGCAAGAAAGCATCAGCCTCTAGGGGATTTCAAGGGCATGTCCTATACTGAAGGGACTGAAAAAGATTATGGAAAATCCTCACATGGAAAATAACCTCATTCCCCAGGCTGCCAGAGTGTTCTTTCCACTCCACTACTTCGTACTAATATTATTATGTATTAGCCCAAAAAAGGGTGTCTTCCAAACCCCGGTCCATTCTCCATATGGGGGAATGTTCCTGCTTCTCATGGGTCAATACAATTACCCTCAAGTTATTAGTTTACATAGCATTCCTGTCGATGAAGTACATACGCGCTGGACCAAAGTGGCTTGTCTAAATCATGGTCTGGATTCCGGTCTCTGGCGGAAACTCTCGAGGATTTCGCAATGGGGTCTTGCGATGTTGGTTGAGCGAGACCAATTCATGATGAGCGCATCAAGGAGTTGTAGGGAGTGAGTGAGTGAGCACCTGGTCTCATTGACTCCGAACAAACCTCGTTCTCCAAGACACGTGTTAGCGTGGATACGTGGAAAGTTGACCACCAACGCCGCAATTGACTTTTTTATCGGGTCATCCCGAGCCATTCAAAGCTCGCCCCGTTCCTTGTTCCTTGGAATTGACCTCATCAAAACCCAATCAATGCGATGGACCCAAGCCCTGCCGTAGCGCAAAGTCAGGGGCCCTGAACCTACCCAAGAACACTCGCGTCCTCGCCTCTGGGATGCAAGATCATTTCATAGGCTGCTTCCCAGGCAGGGTTGGTCACTTACATGTGCTCCGGCTGCCCAAAATCCAATAGATCCGGGCAATTATTGATCGAGGCGACAAGGTTTTCGATTTCGGACGGAAAAAAAGAGCTTACTCGGACAACTTCGTGGTACAAAAATCAATTATATCGCCAAAAGGTATCCGCATTTCCAAGACATAATCAACTTTAACGCCATTCCGGTGCTAAGGAACCAGCCTACCTTCTCCCATCGCCCATTGACACTAAGAATCCCATGTGGGCTGACTGGCCATCCGATGTATAAATCCAGCCACGTCTTGTTTCGTTTCATTGCTTCCATCCGCCCATTGCCAGCCTCTTTACACTATATCACAAATGAAATCGAACTGCGCATTCGAGCTGACGAGGGCTGGCTCCCCAAAGGTTGTCTTCGATGCGGAGCTTATCGACGACTTGCATTGTTCTGTGTATCGCCCGGCATGTTAGCGTAAACTGGCTTCCTGCTCGCCATGTCGGATTTCCCGCGTAGAACCCACCGTTTTGCTTATCACAGTCGCTGACTTCGAACGTCCCGGTGGGACTGTTTGCGATCTCGGCGCAGTTGTTCTTCTGGTTGTCGCATGCCCGGTCCGCCGCTGTCCTGAAGTCGGGCTGTATTCTCAACGTGTGAGCGAACGTCATTATCAACGCGAGAAAACGCATTAAACCCACAAAAGTATCACCGTCGACAGCAAATGGCCTCTCGGGGTCTCCAGAATTCGTAATCTAAATCGCGCCGCGAAGAGATCAGTTTCCAGGTCCGTCCACGTTTTCCAACGGAGGCAAACGACATCGCTTCGTGGAGGCTCGATTGTTGGATAGATAATCATACCGCGGATGCTCGCACACCTCCCAATGTGCCCGAGAAGGCTTGGAGGTTCGTCGCCTGCCTTGGATGCAGTGCCATCTTCCATCCGGCGTTGAGCTCCGCCGTGAGATCTATCGCCGTCGCGCTAGCCAGCAGCACTGTCATGGCAGCGAGGATGTTCAGCTGATACATCAACATTTTTTTTTGCCCCAAGGGTTCCTGACGCTGTAACTCTTCTTAGGGGTGTCGTAAATTAGACGCGAGGAATTTCTCAAGGCGGGGACTATCTTTGAATGAAGGCAGGAGATGGCAATGCAATGGGAATCACAGCAGAATCACAAAAAAGCAAGCGCGAGATAGATTAAGAGAAGAATTCGATAAACTCTTAGTCGTAGTAGAATACCCGCTTCGAAAGCAGATTTACACTACATTACAGAAAGCACTGCCCGCACTCAATCTGGGGATGAAACAGTGATCGCCAGCAGAGGCCTTGTAAATGTCACAGCCGAAACGACACTGAGACACGACGTTGACCCTCGACAACCTGGGATGATATTGGGTCACGTGAGATGGGTTCCAGAATCTGCTTTCGATGCAGACGTGATGGCTAAAATAAGAAGCGAAATTTGATGAAAGGGAACCAAACCGGAGAGTGCAGCAGGCCGTGATATTAATTAAATATTCTCTAGGTGTACATACATACAATATGGCGCCAACCGAGATTAGACTCTCCCTAGGGCAATCGCCAGCCCAGAAGGACCCCGTCGAAGAGACCATTTCAAGAATTTGCATGCATTGGACGCAAGGATGTGAAGGATTAATCCGCAAGGGAAGCGGAGGCATGAACGGAGAGGCCTTTGTGTGTTCTCTGGGAAATCGAGACAAGGGAACAAAACAAACAAAAACTTGTGTGGCTGGATCCATTCCAAACGCAATGTGGTGTGATGTCTTCCGCAAGATTAAAAACAACAACGACAAAAGAGAAACCAAAAAAAGCAGCCATAAAACTCCAAATTCCTCTCATCGATGAAGGAATGAATTTATTTCCCAAGACAGACAAGTAGAGGAAATGGTCGGTGAAGAGTCGAGTGGCAGCTGCTTCGGGTATTGACGGCTGACAATGGAAGGAGTAAGAACAAAACGGGGAAATCGTGAACACACTCTATCGCAAAGTGTCATTGAAACGTAATAAACAGCACAGGACTCGACTAGAAGTTCGACGAGGCGTTGACTTGCGTCGGCGCGTGGTATGTCTCGAGGGTTGACTGGAAGGGGTTTCGGGCATGTCCAACCGTGCCGCCAGGAGAGCTTCCATCGTCGACCTTGTCGCCGTAGCTCATGAGGTTGTCCTGTTCTTCGGCCTGCTTCTTGCGTCCCCAGATCCTCCAGGCAACAAAGCCAAGGGCGCCAAGAACGATCGCACCGCCAACACCGACGACGACACCGATAACGATATTCCTTGTCTCCTTAGTCATTCCAGAGGTGCCGCCAGAGCTACCCTGCGAGAGTCCCGGCGTCTTAGTGACGGTCCCCGAGGACGTGATGGCAGTAGGCTGACCATCGGAATTGGTAGTGGTGATGACGTGGACGAAAGTCTCGGTAGTGGGCTGCTGCTGTGTCGGATCGGGTGAGTCTGAAGGCTTGGGCTTGGAGTCATCCGACGTCGTGCTCTTGGTCGGCGTTGGCTGAGAAGTAGTCGGGTCGGTCTTGGCGGGAGGAGGAGAGGAAGTAGTTGAGTCCTTGTCATTGCCATCATCACTCGGAGGGGTGGACGTGGGCGTGAGAGAAGTCGCGGGAGGCGGGGGAGTCGTGGTCGGGTCATCGTTCGCACTCACGCCAGTCTCTTGCCTCTTCACAATCGCACCATCGGGAATACGGCCATGCTGGACGAGGCTAGCCTGAGCCACCGAAGTGATAGAAAGAGTCACGACCAGTAGTCGGAATATCCTGTTGTAGTACATTGTGGTAATCGCGAGCACAGAAAGAAAGTTTTGCCTATTCAATCCAGGAACCACCAGACGTGGTTAGCGTCGTAATAGCGCAAACTACTCGAAGTGAGGCTCGATGGAAGATGCTCGTCGATCAAGGGTTTTGGGAGCGCGGAAAAAAAGGAATATAAGGTCTCGAATATGGCTCTTGGTGCGTGGAGATCCCGACGAGGATTCGTGTCAGGCCAGATTGGTTGAGCTGTCGAAGAGATTTTCTTTTGGTGGTCAAAAAAGTGAGATGTGCGATCGATCAATTGCAATCGAAACCAGGAAAGAACGCGTGACTAAGGAAAGTGAGTCAAAGAGAGAGTGCGTGGGCAGGCCGAAAAGATTGACTTGGATGTTGATCAAAGGAGTTTTGTCAAGGTAAAAAATAAGACCTGTAGAAGAAGTCTGGAATGAAGAATATTGGAACGAATGATTAGGCGTTGGGGTTGAAATGGAATCACGGGAAGAAAAGGGAGAGATGGAGAGGCAGACGGGGCGACGAAAAAGCAGCGTCGGGAGTTTTAATTTGGGAGTGGCTCAATTTTCTGGAAATTTGGCGAAGCAGAAACCGAACCTGGACACACCAGAACAGTCAGAGGCACAAATGTCACTCATAATAGTGCACTTCATCAGTGTGGAGGCTCGGTATTCGGCCCTGTAGCATTGTGTAGTGCAGTGTAGTGTACTTCGCAGTGTGGTTGTTCCCAAGCACGCTGTCCTGGATCAATCATCCCCAACGAATGCGCAAAACCGGCAATGTCAATACGAAGTACCTCCAGGGATCAAATTGGTGTCTAGGTCCTTGTCTCTGCAAGACCGTTTTACCAGCCTGTCCTTCCTATTGGCCGATGTGACCCCAGCTGTTCGTCATCCGAAATAGTTAGACACTTTGATTGGTGTGTGTGTCTGTCCTTCAAGACCAAGTGACCGTTTTGTCGTTTGTCGTCGTGTCTCTCCCCAAAGGGCCGGCAAAGCCGTTATGTGAACAAGATCATGGAAGGGAAAAAAGTACTTCTGGCCAACGACATTGAGGTAAACTTGAGGTATTAATGTCCATCCCAAAGACGTCAACCAGAATGCGCACATCACCCAAGCGCTAGGGACTTTATGCAGGCCACAAAAAGGTACAGGCTTATGCGGTATGGCAGCATGGCAGCATTTGAGGAGCATTGGGCGCTGCGTGCGTTGATTCCCGCCAGAAGCAAGTCAACCAGATTCCTAGTCTTCGCATCACAGCGGATTGACCGGGAGGTAGTATTGATGAGCCAAACAGGCGGCTCAGCCACGACGCATTGCAATCCACTCTATTTCGGACCCAGCGTTGCCTCTGTCCTGGGGGATGACGGAGGGGCTGGCCAGATTTTGTGACGAGACCCAGGCTAATAATACAGGCTCCCTCCCGAGATGTGAAGCAGCGAAGGAAACGATAACATGAACTTCTTAGGAGTTCCACGGAGAAGTACTTGTACCGCACCAGAAGCAGGACCACCCCCAGCGAAGGGCGACAAGACACATCATCCATGGCGATAATGTTGCTAAAATCTCCCACGTACTACGTACCTCAGTACTCCTGCAGCTCATCCCGTTTGTTCCTCTCCTCTGTGGGCGACAGGTCCAGCAACGCTATCTAATGATGCGCTGTTGTCTCTTGACTAGGAAGTACGTCGTCCCATCTAGGCAAGAAATGTGCGGGTGTGTCTTGTTTCACCCACATACTCTGTGAACCACTGTTTCAAAGACCTGCCAACGCACACTTGCTCACCAACTTAACAACACCGACTTCATCCAGGAATTGAATGCAACACTGAAGTATTGATCGTTGATGTTAATGGGCCATCTCATTGGAGCCTTTTGTGGAGTCTCTAGCTTAATCCCCACGCTTAAAGATCGTGCCCTCTAGCCAACCACCCATCAAATCGATCGCTCCCGCAGATCAGAGTCGGCGGTTAGTTGTGGCATGAACGGGAGGATGTAAAGGCTTGATCCCCCAGCCGGCCTTGCTCCATCTGATGACCCGAGGTGAATTTAGTAATCGAGAGGCATGCGATGAAATCGTCACGTCATCCCTCGCATCAAGGCGGCAATGTTGACGCTCTTAGTTTAGACGCACTCGACCGCACCACAGCGCGGCAAACTGGCCCGCATGAGTTATCAGAGCTATGTGCTGGTGATCGCAAAACATTAATACATAGATTCTTCAAGTTCCAATATTCGGTGTTATGAAGAGTGTTCAATTGAAGTGGGAAGTGGTGCAGCGGAAGCAACGAGATGCTCATTAGAGCAATGGAGACGGAACACATCAGCGTCAAGACACAGCCAAGGGATGTTAGGTCTGCATTTAAGCATCGAGAAGAGAACGAGTAGAGAATCGGAAACTTTTCCAAGGAGAAAGAAGAAGGAGAGAGACGAAGATGAAATAAAAAGCAAAACGTAAGCTGGGGAGGATTAAGAGAGAGTGAGAGAAAACAACAAGAACAGCACAACGACCAACCATGCATATTCGCGCGTCGTCTCGGACCCAATTAAACCTGGCGTTTCCATTGTCGCGGTTTATGTACGATGTACGGGGGAGCAGACGAGACTCTCATCCAACTTGCCAACCAGCCTCCCAACATCAACCCACCCAAAATGCCAGCGCCATCCGTACCTCCTCACTCAGAATCAGCACCGATCACCAAGCTATGGCTAATAAGAATCAAGTCGATGATGCTTGGCCAGTGTATACGCATCTTCGACGTTCCAGGTACTCTCTCGGGAGATATCCTACGGCTCCATCGCAACCTACCCCTTATCAAGTCACATTGAAATCGATGGCGATGATATCCGTCCTCTAAATTCTTGTCCAGAGCCTCCAGAGCTCCCGGAAGATGACTCTGAGGATGTGAGCGAGCTCGTTTCCAAATCACCTCTCATCTCTGCTGAACCCCGAGAAGCACTTTGTCAAGAAGAGCAAGTACCGAAGCGAGATCGAAAATCTCATCAAGTGCCAGGGCAACTCCATACCAGGCAACCCACACCCTCCTAACATCATCCAGCTAGCTTCTCGGCAGGTCTACAAACGGGGGGCTCGTCTTCGAAAAGCTATCATCTTGCTGGCGCACCCTTGGTCGCTTCTCCTCCCTAGCTGTTTATAAGAGCTGGATTTTACAACTCATTAACGGCTTAGATTGTCTTCACTCGGTTGGCATTGTCCATCGCGACTTGCATGCCGAGAATCTTATCTTTTCAGGATGATGGGCAACGTCTAGTTGTCTGCGATCTCGAAAGCCGCTGGGGACAGCGGGAGGCCCGCGAGGTCGCATTCCAAGGAGATCCCGAGGATTCGGGGTGATCCCCTAGATCCGATATCTATGATATTGGAAACTGTATCAAAAGCATGATTTACGCGAATGGGCCAATACACTATTTATCGAATGGCCTGTTCCACCTCCGCTCCAGGCCATCGTCGATGCGTCGATGCGTCCAAGGCCGGAAGAGCGTCCGACCCTAGCCGAGTTGCGTATCATGGTGAGGGAGATCCAGATATAAGCAAGTTAGAGTGCATGAAAACTCGGAGATTTAGGCGTTGGTCGTTGTTTCTAGACTTGGAGACCAACAGGGCTCTTCATAGAAGAAATCGACGCCCTGGCAGCCCCTCAGATTATTAGGATGCCCTGACTGTCGCAGTTTCGGCCTACGTGATTACTTGCATGGCCCTTCATATGATGGGAAATAAAACGGGCTCTCTCCGGCATTTTCGGTTGATAAGTTTCCTACCTCATTAACTTTTCTCGGGAAACTGGAGAGGTAGGATTGGTGACCCTTGTGAGTTTGATTGCGGCCGAGCAGGTGGGCAGCCCTCTGTCTGCAAGAACACCTAGATATCGGCTGCTGGGTAGGTTAAGAGTTTCTTACTTCGGAAGCCTGGGCACTACTTAGGATTCCGTAAATATGGCTTGAATATTATACATCTAGGAATCGGAGAAGGGGGGACGGGGGAAGGGAGTGACGAGACGACCTGCCCAGTTGTAACACACAGGGCACTACTACACTTTGTCGGACCCAGGCTTCCTGAAGAACTTTTTTCAACGAGGCAGCCCAAACTTCTGCGTTTGGAGAGTGACTCTGTGTTACGATTATTTGACGGTTCCATCTCGTTGTGTCATTTCTCACGAATTACAATAGCAATGGACGTGTGCTCTTGGGAGTGAGATGTGAAGAATGTATATTTTCTTCCTTAAGTTAGATCCAGTCACCAATCCAGCCAACGACCTTGAGCCACTGTTCAGTGTGCTCTGAAAAAACGGGCCTCGTTCCCAGAGAAACGAAGGTAAGAAGTGAAGAAGTGAAGTCCATCCCGTATCAATTCCATCCAAACATAAACCGCCCAGTCCACTAAAAGTGAGATAAAGGTAAAAATTAAAAAGGTTTCAAAAAGCGCGGACTGGGCCCTCCTGATGAAGTTATAAAAAACAAATGTTTCAAAGTTAGAAAAACGAGCGTCAAGAAGATCCCATGAAGGGAAAAGAAAGAGCAAATTACAAAGATAGAATGTAAGACAAGGGAACTGCCTGTCCGACTTTCTCATCCCGTGCTTCATCGCTTAGAACTTCTTCAAGCCGGAATCCCACTGCTTGCACTGAGAGGTGGCGTAGTACTGAGTCCACTTGGTGCAAGTAGGCTCGAGCTGCGCGAGATCCACGGTCGCGGGAATCTCGGCGACGCTCTCGAGGAACTGAAGGCTGAGACCCTGGCCGGCGTGCCAGGCGATGTGGCAGTGGAAGAGCCACGCGCCGGGGTTATCGACGCGGAAGGCAAGTACGAGCCAGCCCCTGGCGGGAAGCAAGGTGGTGTCACGGCGGGTGGGGTTGTTCCACTTGAGCCTGGAGAGATCCGACGACGGGGTGAAGTGGGTCATGGGCGCCGTGAAGGGGTTCGCGGGCGGGTCGGAGTGGCCGAGGACGTAAAAGTCGTGACCCTGTTCTGTGTTAGGCGATGCGGTCAAGTTTGGTAAGTAAACTGGGAAGATACTTACATGAAGATGCATGGGATGTGGAAGGACGCTGGTGTTTTCGATAAGCCAGAAAGCCCACTATGAGAAAAGCAGCATGTCAGCACTTGGTCACAGATGTCGAAGACTCTAATGGGGTTGGGTTGGTCCTTACGGCACCGTTGTCCTTCTCAACGGTATAAATGTTGAACCTCTCGGGGAAGGTCAAGTCTCCGCTGGCAACATACTCGAGAGTGGGATTCTCCCAGGTGACGTTCATGTCATGGCCATGGATGTTCCAGTACACACGGTTGGGAACATCCTCCCAGGGCTTCTGAACCAACTCGATGTCGATGGTGTTGTTGTCACTAACACCAAAGGAGCCAGAGGGGACTGTGCGGGAGATGACGGGGCTGAAGCTGGTGTTGTCCTGGCAGAACGGGTCGGCAGGAGCCGTACCAGGGCTGGTAGGGATACCCTGAGAAGCATTTTCGTACTGGAAAATGGCGGCCGGCTTGGCGATACGCGAGGCTCCGCAGGGGCCGGACGAGAAAGTGACGTTGAACCAGTAGTTATCAGGAGTCTTGGAGGCATCGATGGTGACATCAACTCGCTGGCCGGGAGCCATGAAGATGGACTGGGTGGTGAAGGCATTCACGGGCACGAAGTCGGTGGAAATAACAGTCAAGTCGTGGTTTGCGAGGGAGACGCTGTAGTGAATGTCGACGGACGGGTTGATCAATCGAAGTCGATGGCGCTTGTTAGGCTTGAGAATGACTCGGGAATATTGACCACCGCCGTTGGCGTTGACGTGACTTCCGTTGAAGAGGACATTGTCGGCAGCAGGAGCGGCACCAGGAGGTGGGATTAATCCGCGGGCGAGCTCCTCAGCGTCGCCATAATACCAATCGTTGATGGGGAAAACACCAAGGTCCTCATCATAAGGAAGCGAAGCAGGACCGTCGATAACCAGGGTGCCAAGAAGACCGTTTGCATACTGAGAAGAATAATGAGAGTGATACCTGAAGCGTATTAGCTAGGGGCTTTCCCCGGGACTTGGCTCTAGGGTACATTGACTTACCATCCAGTTCCGTACTGTTCAGCCCGGAATCGATAAGTCTTGGTTTCCCCGGGAGGAAGAGGACACTCGGTGACACCATTGGCACCATCATTGACAGAGTTCTTCTGCATACGAATGCCATGCCAGTGAAGAGAAGTTCTAGTCTGCGTTAGGAAATTGGGAGTCCGAATGTAGCTGGTGCTGAGGAACAACGTACCCGTCGCAAGTGAGGTTGTTAGTCACGGTGACTTCAATCCAATCGCCCCAATCTAAAGAAAATGTCAATCATTTTTACTCTTTTGCGGCGGTAGGAATGGGAACGAAACGTACCAGCCCTGACTGTGGGACCGGGGAACTGGCCTATGGAAGGTTAGTTGATGATGGCTTTCTTGGCGGCATGGGAGGCGGCATGTAGCTCATACCGTTGATCAGCATGGCGACCTTCTTTTCAACTCCATCACCGCCCACCCAATTTTCAAACTGGCTGATGACGAAGTTGTACTAGAGAAACGATTAGATTCCTGGTCTATGGACATGCACTAGGTCATTCGACAACTTACACTGCGAGTGACACCAGTGTTGGGGATGCTGGCCTCGTAGTCGGTGTTAATGTCGAAGCCATCGGACCAGCAAGCCCTGTTGGAAGGGGTGTTGCAGGTAGGAGCACGCTTGGCAAGTTCGCGGGGAGCAACAACATCAACATCGACAGGCGAAGGAGCGGCCTTGCCGAGCCCGAAGAAGAGGCCGACGGCCTGAAGCAGGAAGAGGTGCCTCATGGTTGAGGACACAGGTGGTTCTATCTAAAGAATGAATAAAGAAGAGAATAAGAAAGAAAGAAGGGCTGAAGAAAAAAAGAACGAAGGGAACGGTGATCGGATCAGACTGGATCGACCTGGATGATGAGTCCAGAACGAGAGGGATAAGGCCGGGGATCATGGAGCTCTTATACCCCAAGAGGGAGGCTATACATCTGCAAGGTACCTGCCAATGATGCCACTCTCGGGCACTTGCCTCGAGGATAGACCGGCTTACAGCCTCACTCATGCTCGTGACTGTGGTCATGATGGCCACCGCTGATGAAGTATCAACTCCATCTTCTACCGGTCTTGGATAGCTCCGAGGTGTGCTCGGATACCCGGGAATGGATCTGAAATAGGGGATTGGAGATGGTCACGGCAACCTCGATGCGATGGGCTTACACATACCCGCGACGAGGATTGGGTCGCGGAGATGAATGAAGTATGGATGGATGCCAAAAAAAAATGGGGTGACGGGAACTCTCACAAAGGTAGCATCGATAGAGGTCCGTGGAGTCTGGGTTGCAGATTCAATAGTTTGCAGCCTCGGTATGCCATCTCTGGAGTGAGGTGAGCCCCGTCTGCCGCGGGGTATGACGTTAAGACGCCGGGCGAAGGAGGGTGGATACTAATTTTGAACTGGGAGGCTTCATCTGCAAGCGGAAGAAAGCCGTCGACGCAGCCATTTCAAGGTGCCATAGATTCCTTCACCTCCGTGATCAAAGAGGATGAGGGATACGGGGGTAGCTAGCTAAAGAGGGGGATGGTATGAGTGAGCGGTGAGAGTGGCGACTATGGTGCCGCCGAGAACCCGAGCATGGTCAATAGCAGGCCCCATCCAGCTATGATATGCGGGTGCAGCTGGTATGCGCGTAGACGGAGTTGAATGTAGAGATGTAGAAAGTGGATATCTAGAGGTACGTGCCTATGGATGCGGGGAGAGGAAGAGGCATCAACTACGGGGAAGAGAGAAGTGCCATTTGACAACCTCCTACAGTCAGCATTGGGCCCGGACCATTGACCAAGGGGTAGTTGTCCGGGACAAGATGGACGGCCTCGTATCTCGAAGGACGTTACCGGGTTCTCCAAATAAGACCTAGCCCTATTGATATAGATCTGAGATTGCTTCCCGGCCACATCGCCCAAAGTACGTCTGCGGACTGGCGCCGATACTAGCGCCACCGGCCGTTGGATATTAAGGAGTAGGGCCTTCCTTGACGAGTGAGAGGACGTCGGAGTGACGCTGTTTCAGGAGAAGGAAATGACTAGAATAGAGAAGGAGAAGGAGAAGGAGGAGGAGGCGCATTAGAGGCTGTGACTACGAATAAGCAAGTCTTTCTGGCCACAAAGATCGGATATAACCGGTGGCTGCTTTGATGTTGATGGAATAGCCAAGTAGGAAATGACATCGACAACGACCAACGGAATGGAACATGGGGCTTGTACATGGGCAGCGAGATATGAAAAGATACAACAGGCCAACGAATGGGGGCTGACGAAAACGAGAGCGACCAATGATTATCTCGTACATTGGACCAAGTCAGGTCTGGCCATGGTCGTTGAAGTCGACATTCTTATGGGACATGGGAGGAAGGATGCAGCTCAACTCAACCAGACAGGCCTCGATGGGACAGTGAGCTGCGACTCTACTTCATACAAGACGGTAGACTGTTTGGTAAGATTTTGTTGGTAGCAGAGGGTGTGCGTGTGTGTGTGAGAGAGAAAGAGAGAGCGAGAGAGCAATGAATACAGACAGCAGTTCTAAACGCGTGGTGAATACGGGTTTCCGAAGATCTTTTGTCTGTCCAGGGTTCCAGAGCATCCGAGCTCAGGCGAAAAGGCGGAGCGTTTCCCGTGCCGGTAAGGCGAGTGGAGAATCGATGATGGCTTGGGAGGGATGGCGGCTGGGGATTGGCAAGGGGAATGAGAGTTACGAGGTACTCAACAAAGCCAATCAAGCACGCGGGAAGGGGATGACTGGAGCAACACTGCTTCAATCAAAGCAGTCCACGAAGTACGGAGTACTCTGCATGCAGGAGCGGAGAGGAGCGGCGATTCGCTTATTTACCGACTGACCGTCGGGCGCTTTTTCGGAGCTGGACTCATTGATGGTTTGGTGAGAGAACAGGGGAAAGCGCCCAGATCGGCTGGCTGGCTCAACGGCTGGTGGAGACAGTACTGGGCCGGGCTGAGGGCCTCAGCGCGACCAGGGGGTTCTGGGAGGAGGGTATTAATCAACATTGATTGATTGAGCCATCCATCCTTGATCGGGACTATAATATCAAATGGAACAATAAATATAGAAGATCGTTGTGTTGGAGTGGGCAGAGCACACAAGCTACGACATCGTTTTTGACGAAGCTGGGATCAAATGTGAATTCTGCGTCTTAATGCTCAACCCAACTGATCCCTCTGTCAATAAATCAGTCAGCGCATCAACTCCTTGTTCTATTGGGGGTGGGTAAGGCGAGTCGGGGTCTCACCATATCAGTTCAATGTTGATCACCGAAGTGGTGTTGCCTCTTTGCAGAACGTCGAAAGATTGATTTGACGATGTCAATTCGTTCGAATCGACTGGTGACCTTCAGTCCAACACGACTGGTGTGTCTGTCCATCAACGCCAACATCAAGATCGAGGCAGTTGAGCTTTGTTTTGGTGGATGTTCCCATCGGTTGATGGAACGTTAGCAGTCGCTTCAGTGGGTTTCAGTGTTGCTAGTGCCGGATGTTACCCCCACAGAGCGCCAGGGGTAGAGGAGCGAGAACATCTGTCAATCGAGCCTTCCCTCCTCACAGCCTCTCGTCACATCAACCTCCTTCGCAGAAGTAAATTACTCTTACTTCGAAGTATTATTACAAGGTACTTCGTGGCGACGTTAGAGAGGTAAAATTACCCAAGCCCCTGGCTGCTCTTCAGAACCGCCCCTTATCTGCCCGCACCAGAGCCCCTACGAAGTACAGGTGATTCTGGTCGGCGCCACCAAAGGAGATCAATTCCTTCCAGGCTGGCGTAAGCAGAAAGGGTCTGTGAGTGATTCGACTGATTTGATCGTGCACTTCGGTACCTGAGGTTACAGCGCATGGTAGCACTACTCACACGAGGATGGGTTGCTCACATCAGATCAATTGATCCCTCCAGAGGCAAGCAAGCCCGACACGGCTCTCAAGAGATTCAGGAACGGTTCGCCAAGGCCTCGTGGTCCTCGAAGCCGAGCGTATCGTCTCATCAACTCAGACATTGGCTTTCCAGACCAGTCCATCCATTGCCCGGTCCATCGACTACGTAATTCATTGGACGTGCTTCAGTGTGACGCTGCCATCGATGCGACTGGAAAAAGTCGCCGCACTTTCTCCTGAGACGAAGTGTTGATATCCTCACCGTTGACCTCGCCAGGATCAGGCTCCTCCACACCGTCCTTAACACCGATGCCGAAGTAGACGCCGAATAAACACATCAGAATCCTACTATTAGAATCCTACTATAACCGCGGCCGATGAAAAGCGACGGAAGGGGCTAAGTAGAGAAGGACGCGTGCCGCAGAGGGAACATGGAGCACGCGCTGCCGCCGCCCTGTTATGACATCCAAGCCCCCGATATAACTTGAGGAAGCGCGTTTTCATTCATTCATTAATACAGGCCCTGCAGATATTGCGAGCCAATCTTGTCCCGACCATGACCTTTGGTCAATACTTCTTGATGGAGACGGGACCTGCACGGGGCCGAGAAAGAAGTGATGGTTTCATAACGTGACAGGCTCGGAAACCTTGGAGCCGGACATCGAACCCTCTTCCAGTCCGATTGAGAAATAGTGTAATTTGATCCCCTCAACCGGACTGCGCAACCCCCTTGCAGACGCATGGTGACGGAGAGACACGGATGGACATGGAGCTAAAATAGCCGACTTGACATCTCCAGCCGAGTATTTCGTGGTTTCCTACTCCCAATGGACAGACACACACAAGCCACATCTTGACCTTGTGCCCGGCAACTGAGTAAGCCGCCTCCCAGAAAGTGTCCTAAATGAAGCTGGCAAGTGCATCGATGCTGCAATACCGGGATGAGATATTGGACCACTGACCCGCAAATTCTCGCCCGGTTTTCTATTTTTCTACTTTTCATGAATAAGCTGCAATTTCCCTCGTCAGACTATTGACGCCTCGCAGTTAAAGTTCTGCACTCGACGGGTTCATCCCTTTCGAGGTTTTGGCAAGCGGGACACCATCCGTCGATGAACGGATGATCCATTCAGATCGCCCAATCTCCCTTGATTCCCTCCCATTTGCCCAACCAAGCCAAGACGGATACCCAAGCCTAGAGGTAAATTACACGTGCTCTCCTGCCCCGAAAACTGCTTTCTCGTGATCCCCGCAAGGGATCCATTGGCTGGTCCAATCCCAGGATCATACATGGCCGAGAGGAGGCCATGCAGCAATACCAGGATCAACTATGCATGAGTGATTGAATCTAATGGTGATAGGCGCTGCCCCTCGCTAATACGAAAGCCAAGATTCATTTCTAGAAACCCGCAAGCGCACTTTACACCCTCTTCCTCCTTAGGGCACGCCCATTCATCTCCATGATTCGATCTACGAAGTAGCCAGGAAATCAGAGCACCATTGCTTAAATGATCCTTTGTGCCATTTGCGGCGGCCGCCCGCTGTCATGCTGGCTCATGTCAAGTTGACGCATTGCTATTCACCAATACGTCAAGGGAGATGTCGGGAACCGCGAATCACAGAGCCACACGCAGCTCATACAACCTGTCTGCTGACGGGTTGTCGATAAAATAGTGTCAATCTGTACGAAGTACCTGCCTGCGCCGGGATTTCTCGACTTCGCCGACTTGGATCGCGGCTCTGTCTCCTTCAACAGAGTCTGCCGTCCAGTCAACTGGCCGAGAATTCGGCTTACAAGCCAACCCAAGATTGGTCGAAAACCCGGTACGAGGTTTGGCCTCATCAATTAAACCCTCAGAGCCTCTATTTGGCCTGTCTCTGCGCACATTTCCGGGTTTGCCGCTTGCTGACATCGGGCCTCACAGCCCAATCTGCCCAGAACAGCAAAAATCAGGTCCAACGATCACCGCCCGTAATCATTTGATCTCATCAGTCTGCACCTCGATCCATGCATGTCTCCCCCCCCACAAAGATTGTGGCAAAGGAACTTCTGGAACGCTAATCAGTGCCCTTTCCCTGATCTCTTGACTTCAACGTCGAAATACTTTCGTATTCCTCCTGCATTCCTTGACCTTTTGTCTACCTGTCTTACGCTACCGCTTGGGCGAGGTGGCGCAGTCTATCTTATCTCGCCGAATTGATGTTCACGACGTGTTTACAGCCCTACGGAGGTTGCTCCAGATCCGGATCCAACCATATCAACTAGCCCCTTCTTCTGACGGAGCCGACCCAAGCCTACGGGTCCCGAATCTCGGGTGAGTCAGAACTGACGCCGAAGACTGTCTTGTCGAGGAAGCTTGCAATTCTGCACTCAAGAAAGGAATGGATGCCTGATGGAAGATTCGGGCTTCCCGAAAGTGAAGTAATAAAGTGATGTAGAATAGTGGGCCGGATACCTCCGTCCTAAGGCAGGATCCGAATGTACTTTCAACTTTGGGTCACCGGTGCCGGTCATGGGCAAGCTACGGTCAGATTGTCCGAAGTCGTAGAGGGTGCCTGATGCCTCGGAGGATGAATAAACCCGGTTACAGACTCCATCCACTCGACTTCCGGCTATTGTCGACCCTCCGCAACTCCATTTTCCTAACGAATTACCCGCAATTTACAAAGTAATGAAGCCCCTAGAACAGATATAAGTTAATCTACGCGCTGTCTTAAAAGTGCGGGGACCAAAGAATGGTAGCTGAAGAAAGTGGTTCCAATGCCACACATCGATCTGTGATATGAGCCTTTAAAAGTAGCGAGTCCCTGATTCGAGACGGGTAGGCAGTCCGCCCTGGTACATCATCAAGACGCTCCAGTGGCTAGCGTAAGATAAAATGAGAATGCGAGTTACTCTGCCCCTGTTGTCCTTGCTAGCGGCGCCTCTGGCTCTCGCCCAGTCCGGAACCACCCTGATTCCCCTGACGAGCTTCGACTCCCAAGAAGAGTTCGACAAGTACTGGGACTATCTCTACCCATGGGGTAGTGACCACAACGGCTCTGCCCGCATGCGTGAGTCGCAAGTCCGCATGGAGAACGGCACCATTACCTTGACAGCCAAGAGGGTGAATGGAGAACCTCAGGCCACCCATGGTGGTAAGAAACTTAACATTCGCTACCTCAGCGGGGCGATCCACGCTCGCCAGCACTTCACCGTTGTAGCCGGGGGTGGCATCGACTACCATGCCGAGCTCAAAGTGAAGACCTACAGAGGATCTTGGCCTGCTTATTGGGCCACCTATACAGAGGGCTGGCCACCCGAGATCGATATCGCTGAGTGGTACGTTCTGAGTCTCATCGCGAGATCAATATAAGCAAGGATGATTAACAAATTCTTGTCGATTCAAAACAGGAAAGGATCGGGAACGGATACTTTTCCTGGGAAAATCAGTTTTAATACCTTTAACACTAGTTCGCAGGTCGCGGCTTTGGACGTTACATATCCCGATCCGGATGAGTTCCATAAGTTCCGTTGTGAGACGAGAGCAACCGCCAATGGGCGAGATGTATCAGTGAAGTTTTATATGGATGACAAGTTCGTCGCCGAGCAGTTCGGAAAGAACTATGTTGGTAAATCAATGTACCTGTATGTCTCGTCCTCCCCTTCGAGATGTAACACAGAACTGATGTTGGATCCCTCAACAGGATTATCAACCTACAGATGGAAGGCAGTTCAGGGAGTCCCGGCCCGGAACACGGTAAGCTGCCTTGGGAACTTTTTGCTTATGTCCGGCCTAATTAATACTCCTACAGACACGGAATACTCGGCCAGGAACGTCCAAGTCGTTAGCTATAATCCTTGAGAACGAGTCGGGTGTGCGGAGAAAGATGAGTGAAACCGTCAATAAAAGCTATGGATTAGCTACATGACGCGCGCTATGATAGAAAGAGAGTCTTCATGAAAAGTCAAAACCAGTATTCCAGCTTATGAATGAACGAACTGGCCTTGTTCAGACAACCAAGTGATTATATCGGAAGCATGTCAAACTCCACGCCTCCGTGCCACTGATTTGCAATTTCAACCCCTCCAAGTACTCAACAATCGCCGACGGAAGATCATTTCTCCCCTTTCTCTCGCCAACAAGCCGCTCATGATTCCTCTCCCATTCGCGGCACATGGCCCAGAGCACCTGCTTCGCCATATCGGGCAGCAAGCCAGTCTCGTCAGCCAGGACTTGGACGGAAGAGCAGATTGCTGCGCCCTCTGCCTCTCCGGTCTGCGCCGTCCGTGCTTCTTTGTCGTAGCTGCAGATATCATTGACAACAGTGATATAGTCACTGTAGTTCTTCTCGATTGCGGATAGATGAGTGAGCTCATCAACTGCGATGTGATGTTCCATGGAAAAGCGCTGAATACCACACAGGAGCCTGTGAAGGAGCTCGTGTTAGTTCGGTGGCAATGACCAAGTTAGCGAGAAGTGGTAGCTTAGATGGAACATACGCCGAGGCAATATCAGCCTCTCTGTAGTGAAGGTATGACTTGAGTGTTTTGGGCTTCAGCCGTTCAGCGGCAACCTGAGAGCGCCAAAAGAGATACGCTGGCTCCTTCATCTCATCTGTGAGCTTGGCGTCGATTAAGCTTAGATTATCCCAAACTTCGCGCATCATCCACTCAGCTGGGACGGCAGGATCTGGCTCGATGTCGCCTTTCACTATGGAGATGATTCTCTCCACCAGGGCCGATCCCTCCTCTAGTGACTTGTGCTCTAGGTCATCTGCATCAAGTAGACATATAGGTATTAGTGCATGAGGCATGGTGGCATTGGGATGTCTTCGTTAGCCTTATTAGGTATTCGTTATTACATACCATCAACAAGGAAGAGAATAACAGAAAGCTTAGCACCAGCTTCGATCCGGTCATCCTTTGCTTTAGGAAAGGCATAACAGTGCCACGTGGCTAGCCCTTGAAGGGGAAACATCAAGCGGGCCTTCTCGCTGCGAAATTTCCAGCCGTTGAGGAAATAGGTGTGGATGTTCTTGGAGACCTCCGGCTCCAGGGGGTGACATCTTGCTTCCCACTGAGAAGGAGGAGGGGATCGACCGCCGCAAGAGCTGTTGAGCCGGGTCATCTTGGTGAGTGACATGTAGACTTGAGAAAGGTTATCACTGGTGAAAGGTGCCTGATATGTTAAAAAGAAAATGGGGCCTAGAGGCGAGATGATTGCTTCTCTTGGCCGACTGCTGGCACTCGCGCGTCTGGGTCTATTGTGAAAGAAATATGGGGTTCCCGTTGAACGGAGGGGGCTTTTATAGATATCTTCAAGCCCCGCACGAGGGTGCCACTTTAAAATCCGCAGAGGGAATTTGCTTCCAGTCGGGCTCCCTTGTTTAGTCTGGACCCTACCAGGATCCGTGCCCACGATTGGTGTGCGCGAATGCATTTGGTCGCGATGTGCATGCAATTCCGGAGATACCTAAAGGGAACTCATCCCAAATAAGCCTTATATTGGCCTGAACTCGGACATATATGCCCTCAGATCCGGGGGCCAATGTTGAGATGGTAATGGTACTCGGATAGAAGGTAGATCACGCAGCGAGCGACTTGGGCTCAAAGCACCGCCGAGACCTAGTGACTAGGATGCCGCTCTACTGAACACGCCGGCAGATCTGGTGCAAGTTGGACTTGCTTCTTCCCCAGCATCTTGCCCTCTTCGGTCGAGTTAGCTGAAGGAGACGGTGACGCGATGCACATTCTGACGCGATCGGGTCTTCTTACAGCTGGTGTGAATTCTTAAATGAGGGGAATTCTATTTCCACAGTCTCATATCTCCGAGATATGGTCGCTGATGACAGGGTGAGACTGCAATACCTCAAGCTGATGTGTGTTTTCGTACACCTCCGGGCTCTCGTAACACCGAGAAGCAAGGAATGAGAACCTGGACTACTTCAAGCCCTCATAGATCTGCATGGGCTCTCACGAGCTGGCCATGATTGGCTAAGGTTCATCACCCCAACCCTCACCGGACGGTCACCGAAAATGACAAGTAACATGCCAAGTTGACACACGCCAAGTCCATTGTCCCGATCTTAGAACCTCGTGGGTTCGTCAGGGAAGAGTGGGATCTAGGACTGGGGACAAAGTTGACCACTGAGCTGGGCCTGACGATGTGTCGTTCTATGCGGGCTTAAGTGGGACAGGCTCGCCAGGATTTCCGGATTCGGAGATCTGGTGTACCGTCTAAGCTCTACAGGGGTGTAACACAAATAGGACCCTCGTGGCTGGATTTACGCACTTAGTTTACGTCCACCGGCAGATCGCATGGCGTTGCCAGGTCCCGAGATCCGATCGAGCTGTCGATCTGGTCTTAGTTTTACTTTCCGAGATAGCGCCTACTTCGTACGTATGCTGGTCGAGCTGAATCCGGGGAGGTCGAGGATATATCCCCAATGTGGCGTAGCAGCTCGATCCGATCGAAGGAACCCGGCTTGGAAAAGACGCTAAGCCAGAGGGCTAGGCTCGATTTACACACACCCTTCAACTGAATTAGGTTAGTCACTGGAAACCTGACCCATGGACTGATGGCAGTGTGTTCGTGGAGGCTGGCTCTATCGCTGCTCAACCGACCAAAGACGGTGGGTACCGAGGAGACACCAGCTTATTATCCCGAATAGTCTTAGTGCTAGGCTTAATTGCGCCGCAATGGAAGATCAGATGATTCCAATTCGTCAAATAAAAGCAAGATGAGGACCAAAGGATTGCAAATGCATCGAGCTGCAGTCACATGGGGTCATCAACGCAACACCAGGATGTTTGGGGGTCTATTCGAGTGAGGCTCACTTAGACCGAATATACAGCGTGTAGCGCAACCGATAAGAACGAAATCGATGAGAATGCAAGTCTATTGTAGGAAGTTAATACAATGCCATGGTCTTTCAGGGTCCAGTAAGGAAAAGTAGCTGGAATGGATCAAGCGGAGATGACCTACCAATAGCCAGCCTGATTAAATATCTGACTGGACAATGACCTGAATCTTGATACCAGATTTAGGCATCATTGCTACATTTTAAGCTGTCTCTTTATGGCGAATTGCAAATAGTTTGATGATTCTGCGGTTATGTGTAGGTGTATGGAGGATTGCCATCACCCGTGTGGTTCATTGGGTCAATGAATTTTTTTTCAAGGTTAATGACTTTGTGTTTCCTACAGCGTGCTCTAAAAGAATGTTTGCAGAAAGTGTGTTGCTCATAGCACGGAGCGAGACGAGACGACATGGAAAGAACAAAAAAAAAGGGGTAAAGGACTAAACAAGTTCCAAACACCGTTTATACCGATCTGAGCCCGCTGGTATCATGCAATCAAAACAAAAGAGCTGAAAAAAAAGTTTGGCCAAATGCCCTCGCAAGAATTATATACAGTCAATGGAAGGGAACAAGATCGGTTGCTTTTGTCCGCTTCCTCAAGCCAACAGCATCAAGCTAGGCATGAAAGCAAGACGAGAGACATCCAAAGAAGAACTAGCTTCCCTGTAATAACACTCGCCGCTGATATTTGGGGTTCAACAGAATCATCATCTTCTTTGATTCCCGACGGAGCCGCCACCCTGTTGAGACTAAGACTCCCGGACGTCTTCTCTCCAACTGTCACGCTAGGAGAGCTAGAGGAAGGTCGAACATAGCTTGAGACAGCGTTGCCGATGACCGATTCGCTGACGGGGTTTCCAGTCTTGGCGTCTCGATACCAGTTGGACCTTGGGTCACCGAGGCAATCACCAACTGTCACGAGCTTATAGCCTGCTTGTCGTGCCTTATCGATCATGAACTGAGTAAGCCCGTGAACGGTGTCAAGGTGGATGTCATGTGCAAGGGTAATCACTCCAGCCGTTCGAGGATTGGCTTTGGCAAGAAGAGTTTCGTAATTGGCCTTGGCCTTGGCTCCGTCTACTTGCCAATCTTTCGTGTCAAGATTGTAGTTTGTCTTGGAGATATTCCGTTAGCTGTGGTCAAAGACGCGGATGGTCCCACGACCAAAGAGGAGGGGTCAAAACATACAACATGATATCCAAGAGACGCAAGCTCTGCCATGCAATCCGCCCCGCAGCTCGTGTACGGAGGCCGGTAATAGGTTGGGAAAAACCCGAATAGGTCGGCTAGGGCAATCTCGATTTTGACGATCTGTCTGTGGCGCTCCTCCAGCGAGACGGATTCCATGTCCTCATGACTCCAGGAATGACTGGCAATTTGGTGTCCATCAGCCAGCATCCGTCGGAGCATGGCAGGGTTCGCTGTTGAACGGTTGTTAATGGCACCTTTGGCCCCGTTCACTCCGGTGACGTAGAAAGTGGCCAGAACATTATTCTCTTTGAGGAGATCAAGGAGCTCGTTGGTGTAATGGTAGGGCCCATCGTCGAAAGTGAGAGCCATCGTTCCCGGAGTAGTGCAACTGGTGATGTCGACGCCATATGGGACCTGGCCGAACTTGGGCCGTAACACGTCGGAGGTATCATGACCGCGGGGCCATATATTCCCATGGCAGGCTGGGCCGTAGGCGAGCTGGCAGCCAGGCGAGGTGCAGTACTGGCCTCCGATTCCGCAAACACCCTGTTGAATCTGAGCGTCAGCAGGAGACGAGTGAAGGTCAATAAGCCAAGGTGTGGAGTCTGGCATCTAACCTGAATCGAGCAGCAGAGGCCTTCTTCGCAGGTTCCTACCCAAGGACCGCAGGATCCTCCAGCAGAAACCCTCTTTGCCAGTCGAGGGTGCCCGTCAGAACCGACTGACGGCTGGGAACGCACATCGCCAGCAGCGACCAAGCCAGCCAGGGCCAGGGAGCCAGTGACAATACCGATGAAGAACATATTGCTAATTCTAACGCCCTTGCCGATCTGAAGGGATGCAGAATAGCGAAGATGATGTTTGGTTGCTGAGAAACGAGTGTGTGTGGTTGAAGTCCCCCTCAAGTTGAGAGCGTTCAAGTGGAAGAAAATAAAGGAAAGAAAGAGCGACGTATTGATGTGGTGGTATCTGAACGAATGGACGTCGAAATATCTAGTATTCTCTGCTGTTTTAGAGATTATCGTCACTAGACAATAGACAATAGCGAGTGCAAGAGAAGGATTGGACAGGACGAAACCCTGGTAGAGAAGAAGAAGGATATGAAGAAGAAGACAAGATGCATCACCGGGAAGCCTGGCTTTTCTTCAGAAGGAACTTGAATCGATGACGACTTGGAGGCTGGCCCGGGCCTAGACCTTGGCCAACTTGGTCAACTTGGTCATTGGGCGGCTCCACTGCGGAGCTCTTGCCTTTATGTTCTGTGTCGCGGTTTCCGAACACTCATCGAGGAAACCATTTGTTCTTTTTACCTAGACATGAGGTGGAATGCTCCTTCCTGGCTCCACAATAGAAGGATCGACCCAGCTGGATCGAAGGACGGTTGAGAAGGCATATTCCAAGGCCAAGAAGAGAGCGGATATGATCTCCTCGGGGGTCCGGCGATGTAATATTACCTATACAAGAAACTGTGAACAATGAATTGCCCGAGATCGACGTATGGAGGTTGTGACGAAAAGCAAGAAATGTCCGTCGGCAGGGAATCAACAGCACAGCGAAGCCCATGTCAAACATCAGATCTCAAGGGAAGCTGGTTGGTATTGCTCCGGTGTAAGAGACACGAGTGAGGTTTTACAGACCAGGTCATGAGGAGACGGCCGCGTTGCTTGTGGCCTGTGTCTAAGATCTCTGCTGGCTTGTGTTCTGCTAACGGCTACTTTCTTATTGGTCCATGACGAGCCGCGACCGGAGGCCGAAATGTCTAGGATTTTGACTTGAATAATCCTCCCTGCTTTTCTCGGATAGCAAGTGTGACCTACGGACCTGATGGATTGGGATCTCGGAGCGGGAGTGTGCGCGCCTCAACCAATGTCTTTCACTCCGGCAGACAGATCGGATTTCGCGATGGTGCTCCGGCTGGCAGAAATAGCGTTACAGAAGCCAGAGAAAAATTTGCTGCTGTCCTTGTAGGCTGAGGAGAATTAATGTTCGAACGGCTCCTTGCTACTAAGTCGTGAGAATTAATGTTTGTGGCTCCTTCCTACGAAGCCGTCGTCCTGCTTTTGGGTGACGGCATCCATTGTTCTAGAGCTGAGAATTCGCTGCGGAAGAAATTGCGACTTTGCCTTCGATCTTCAAGCGCACAGGGACCTCTTGTATTTGAAACTGATTATTCCTGTTTGCGGATCAAAGACATTGAGGCTTGGCGTGAGTTAGGCACGCCCAAAAGATAATGTGGACAGACGCAGTAATAGTCTGTGTTAGATCGAGGCGAGAAGAGAGAAAGCACAGGCATCTATGATACAAGTTGGCCTTGGAGTGAAATAAATGGCGGGGCTGGGAGGAGGAAGGCGAAACGGAATCGGACCGGAAATCGTACATTAACGGGAGAGAGTGACGGACAAACATCGATTGAAGCGTCCAGGTACAAATCGTCTGCGGTGAAACAAAAAGAAGGGACCACCGAGGCAGAGGAAAGACACGAGGAGAACCAAGGAGAAAGAGTGAATACAGGAGACTGCATCGTCGGTCATGCCTTACTCGGGGGGTGATCAACAGCATCTCATCGAACTCCATCGGGACATTGAATTGTTTTTTGTTTTGTATCTACCTATTTCCCCATGGCATTTGGCACCCTCTAGATGGATCACCTCCCATGACAGTCGAGAATATACACAAGAATATACCTTCCCATCTCTAGTTAATGCCATAGCTCAGAGGCCCAGTAAGTGAGGCCAGTTCCTCGATGATTTTGATCGTAATCGCCATAAAATGAGTGTGAAGTCCTTCCATGGTTTGAAGAAGAAAAAAATCCCAGGACCAACAATGCAAGCTCGCTCCATCACGTCATAGTCGTAGTGTACAATGCCTTCCGTCCACTGTCTCGGAAAAAAACAATGACCCCTAACGTCCGAGGAAAAAAAAAAAAATGCATCAAACTGAAAATAAAAGTGTCGATCATCATAGTCGTACAAGTACTCGCCCATATATAGCCAACAAGGAATCAAGGTATGTATCTAATGCTTTAAATGAAAGCTCCGTCCTCGCCACCAGGTGCAGGCCTGTTCCTTTCCGCAGGCATCGGTGGCGGCGTGGGTTGTGATGTTGAAGATTGACTTCCGTTCCTGCTGTCATTGTAGCGCCGTCGTCGAGTGTCCCCATCCCGCCCGTCGCTACCGCGTCGCGGCGGTGTAGTAATGCCCCGACCATACCGAGACGAATCCGCGGTGACGGCTGCAGTGACGGCTTGTATAGCCCGTGTCTTCTCGTCGTCAATATATCGATCCTCCTCCTCCTCTGAGTACGGGGGGAATGGAATTGTAACTTGTGAGTCTCCTTTGACGAGACCTAGCCGCTCTTCCTCGGTCGCAGATTTCGCAAACTGATTCGAGTAACGGCGACCCGATGTGGTGGGTCGTTGTCTCGCCTGCTCTTCATCTACTGGCGGTGTATGCTGATTCCTCCTGAAAAGATTCTGGAATGAGAATTGACGGCGCGGAGAGACGTCAGAAGCGCTGCTGCCAGGTACGGCAAGCATGCCACTGGCTCCGTGGTATTCCGACCCTTGCGAAGAGGGAAGGCCGTAGGCATTCTCCTGGGATCTCGGATACTGGCTACTTTGGCCTGGCCCTTGACCGGGAGCGGCAATTTCTGTCAATGGAACGGGATGCATAGGACTACGCATCTTGAGATCGGCGGGGAATTCGGATCCGGAAGGAGTCGCCATGCTTCGAGCCCGGTTTCGAATGGTCCCCGCAATACTAGACAAGATGCTCGGCGTTCGGATAACCTCTCGCTCGCGTTCGTTTTCGTCCTCGGGGGGGAAATATGACATGCCCAATGGCGGGTGGGGAGTTCGCTGGGGTGCGGTGAATTGCGGTGGCAAGGTAGATGATCGGTAGGGTGAGGTGCTTGGTCGATTAACCAAGATCGTTTTCCTCCTCCGTAAGCCATCCCACTCGTATACAGGACCATCTTCGCTGACGGATTCGAGTTGTTCTGCCCTCTTCTCCTCCTGTAACCGACGCAGCTCCTCAAGCTCCCACTTCTGCCTCGCCTGCGATATGCGTCGTACGATAGCAGCGGTGCCTCGAATCGCATCCGCCTTTGGTTCGGTCTCGGGCTGTTCTTGTTCGGCAATCGTTTGAATCTGGTCTAGATCTCCCTTGAAGACTGCAGCATCCGGCACATCCTTGGCGGATTTCGACAGCTGCAACAATACGACTCCGGCGCAAATGGTCAAAAAGCCGTTGACAATCGTGATAATCTGTATTGGTGTTCCCTTGAAGCCTCGGAATAGGACAATGGAGCTAATGATGGTTGTCGAGGTGAAATAGACGTAGTAAGTAGGGGTGACCAGGGCAGCGTTGAAAAGATTCAAGGCTTTCTGTTTAGAGCGTTAGTTTAAGAGTGACAAAAGACGGGGACAGGGTTCGGGAGACTGACGTTTAGGTAAATAATCTCAGTAACGAGGGTGGCAATGACGAAGACGAGGAGGACGTAGAGGAACCACTGGTTGAACTGTGGTGTACCTCCGGCCTGGGCAATGATAGCAGCACCTAACCCCTGGATCGCGACAACACTAAGGCCTCCAACCCAGCTGCAGATTGAGATGTAGACAAGCATGTTCTTCTTCCCCCATCTCGGGCCCGCATAGAGAGCGGTGATGACGGACCCGACAATGATGACGCCAGCGTAACTGAGGAATCCGGGAGAAATAGCAAAGTCCTGCATCTGTTGAATGTTCGCCACGGCCGACGACTTCGGAGCGTTGAGGACAATGACTACCGATCCAACGATGCAGAGGAAGCAGCCCACTTTGCCGACAAGGCTCAGGCGTTCCTTCAAGAAGATGGCAGACAAAACGGTGGCGATGACAACGGAGAGAGCCCCGAGGGGTGTGACGAGGATGGCATCGGTGAAGGCGTATGCAACGAAATTTAGAATCTCTCCAATAATCATGAGCGTCATTCCACTCCACCACCATGCATTCTTGAGGTATCCATAGCCCTCGCCTGCTACTTCTTGGTATTTCTCGTTTGCTTTGAGCAGGCCAAACTTTTTTAATACGAACGATGATCCGATGAACACTCCAGAGGAGACGGCGAGTATGATACCGACCACTCGAAATATGGGCGGCCGTTCGGCGGCGTTGGGGTCGGATACCCCATTTCTTGCGAATATACCGTTCGAGGAGGAGGTGAGGATGTGTGTGGTGGTGTCCATTGTGGCGGAGAGGGGTAGAGTCGCTGGCGACGGGGCGCCGGCGGTATAGAGGGAGTCGTGCTCACGGTTGCGGTCGTCGTCAGTCTCGATAATGTGGGATGGTATTGTAATGCTCGAGAGGGATTCGGTCGAGGGAAGAAGGTGGTTGCGGCGGAGATCTGAAGGGAATTATCGGACAGGGAGCCGAAGGAGGACAGGGTATGGTACGCTCGGGACTGGTGACTAAGGATACTTCTTGGACTCGGGAGTCTGGGGATCGTCAAGGTCGAGTGATGTGTGGGACTTGAGCCGTCTGGGTCGTTTGGAACATCGGGGCCAAGAGTCTCGACCAGACAAGTGGCACGGAGGCTCGCTGACCAGCAGCGACAAGGGTAGGCTAAGATCTCTCTCCTCCCACGCTCAATGTCTGCTCACTCTTGTCACAGGTAGGCTCGAAAGGGGGGGAAGACAGGAAATCGAAACCTCTCGAGACGTCTGCTGTGCGAGAAACCTGGTTTGCCGAGGCGAGACAACTGTCCGTGATGGCGAACAAGCACCGAGGTCGCCTTTGCTGGTACTTGATTCAAGAATCGTGAAGTGGATATTTCCGAGGTATTGAAGAAATAATTCGTCTTGCCCCTTTCCCCAAAGAGTATATAGAAATATTCTATTATATCGACAACAAAACAGATGTCATCGGACCGGGGAATTTTGAATGAGGAAGAACAGACAGCCCTGAGGCAATTGCGCACATGTTTATCGAACTCAGCACCTTCCTGCCAGGGTATCCAGCCCCCAGCAACTTTAATCACGAAACTTGGGTTGCTCAAGACAACAAGATAACGCGAGCTGAAGGGGGAAGAGGCATGTCACAGGTACATCCACTATTACGACGCTCCCTGCCAGTTGGCACAGTTAGCGCCACAGGAGTACGAAATAGTGGGGCCGGGTAAAAGTCGGCGGCTGAAAGCGTAGTTTTTTTATTGGCTCCTCCCGCACCAACCTCAAACACTCTTTGACAGAACGGGGGCGTGCTAGGGTATGAGAACCAACCCCTCTCTGAGGATCATTCCGTCCTCGTTCTCATTCTCCCTTCGAGCCAGCGGAAAAGCGATGAACGATTGCAGGGGAACCTCATAATGATGGTATTAATAGAACGGGTCTTGGGAAAGTTCGGCGCATTCTCAGTTGAGAACCAAACGTCTTAGTTTTTCGGACACCGCAGATCGCACATCATCCCCCCCCAGCTAACCTGAGGCCTAGAATCAGTCGAGGATCTGTCGAAGTCGGCGCATTTGTATCAAAAGCTTCGGTGTGGAGAATTGGGGCTGGGAATTCAATAGTTTGTTCTCACGCACTCTCTAGACTAGAGAAAGAGGGGCACCCATCGCAGCCAAAGGGGGCTTTTCGAAAGAAGCTTTTTGAAGGTGTTTTAGCATTGCTATTCTTAGGTTGCGTTTGCAACCCAATTTTTGAACGGGGCGGTGCTCAGCCTCTTGAAGGTCGAGGTACTTCCGGTCCTGTAACACGAGCTGTGCCAGGGCTGAAGGCCTGTTACCTCGTACTGCTTTCGGCGCGAGCTCCGGTCCTTGGAGTACGAAGCACAAACCCCCATTCTTGGGCCTCCTCGTCTGGGTCTGGGTAAAAGGGAAGGACTTTCCGAGATCGCCTAAACCTTCAAGCTGCAAAAAATAGAAACGTCTCGACCCATGCTGGGTGCAGCGGAGATACAACTGACTTGAAGAGCCCATCGCGCAGTTCTTGATGTCTCCGAGCCCGAATAGGATCACGTGATTCGGTGACCAGGGGCAGGGGAGTACTTCTTTGAGAAGATCAATGCATGCCAATAACATCTTGGACTGGACTTACTGTTCGGCTTTGCTCTGTCGAGAACAAATTTTGTATTTTCTTCCAATGCAGCAGGACAACCAAAATATCGAAATCGATTCTTGAACTTTGACGTGGGCTTTTCCAATTCCCTGAAAGCCTTTCTCTCCGATTCTATCGATCGCAAAGGATCGCCGGGTTGGCACCACGGGTTTGCTCAGAGCCCTGCTCTCATGTTGCAGCCACCTAGTTCTTGTCCTGACGAGGCCCGTCCTCACCACTGGAAAATGTGCAGAGAGATAGATGGCCACTCTCCGCCGAGCTTCGTTCAGCACCCCAAGCCCAAGTTAGCATGACCATTGAGTGCTACATTTCTACACGTATTCAAATGAGACGTTCTTCGTCTTATCTCTCTCTCACTCTCTCTCTCTCACTCTCTCTCTCTCACTCTCTCTCTCTCTCTCACATACCTGCAGACTCTTAGCTAAGTTGCCAGGCCTATTGAGACACGCGAGTAGGACTGGCCTTCACCTGAACATTCTTATTTTCGCCATCGACTCTTGAAAGTCGACAGAGAGCACAGAGTCTTAGCTTAATCTACTTAGCTCAGTGACCAAGTGTCTGAACTGTTCCCTGGCTGGCTTGACGAGATTTAAATAATAGCGTATGATCTGGATAGAGGATATTTGGGCTCAGTTTCATATCGATGACCGCTCCTGCCCTGTCCACGAGATATCAGATGCCAAAGTGATTGATGGGAGACACGATTTAATTAGCTTTCAGACCCACCGCTTGTGTAGACTGTGATTGAGAATAAATATAGTATGGCGCTAGGTCATTGAAGCTCTCATCCATAGCTGGGACTTTCACATAACTCCTACCCTATCCTTAGTCGATAAGTATCAATAATTCGATTTGAGGATAAAAGTAATCCTTACGCTTCGTCTTCGATTCATGTCAGAATAGCCCCACGGTGTCGAGTCATCACATACTGAGTGATAACGAACCTCGCCCAATTCTCGGTTCTTTCGCCCGAGTAGTTCTGACAAGTGAGAATACGTATCCGGTTCTAAGAAGTGAATGAAATGTTTCATGCTCGCGCAATGGAATTTGAATGCTTCAGTGGGCTTGTCCGCTGTCGCTGATCCTGATTCTATCATCTCTAAATCTACCAGTGGCGGCGGTGCCATTGAGGGTGAACGAAGACACGAAGTCACCGTTGTGGCCCTAGAGGTTGGAGCTAGAATGGCAACCAAAAGTGCGAGACATCCCGTTAGTTACCAAAGCCGGAAAGGGCAGTTAGAATGCTGCCCCTAAATACAGTCCGACAAAACGAGTTCTATGGCTAACGAGATAGTGAGATGATGGGAGATAATAGGTATGAAAAGTGTTGAGGACAGTAGAGCTGAAGCAGATTTCCACCGATAACGCTGGAATGTGACAACGGGAGCAATGTTTGGAACATATTTTGTCCAACTCGGGAGGTAAAAGATTATACAAAACGCAAAGATAATACTACCTTATCTGGAGGCAATAGGAAGGGTCGTTAAATTTAGTTTATCTTTCCTCGATAGGCTTAGTCCAATCTACCACTTAGTAGTATTCATTTCTCATTCCGCTAGCCCAAGTATTTAGAGATTCTCAAAGTGTCATCGCTGGTTTGGCTCGTAGTAACTCTTACCTCGTTCTCCTTCATATATAGCCCGCCTTGGCTTGATGTTCCTAACTCATCTCGTTTACTTACGATATGTTCATCGCAGCATAGGCGGCCGCTTCTAGATCAGTTTCTCTGGTGGATAATAAAAGGAGACTGTAAATAAATTCTAAGTTGTCTCTGGAGCCGCAGTTAGTACTGCTGGCACCTTTCCTTTACTTCTTCTCGTTGCTTCTCCTTGTTCGAGGATAAATCATCCTCGTGGATGTTCATTGTCCACCTTTGAGCTACTTTTTCACAAGGGGAGGTCTGTCTGGTCTATTTGATCCTTGCACCGTACGGCGGCCCATATGCGGTCATTATGCCCGGCATTTAGTTCGGCCTCAACGCGATATCGGGACTCTTGCACACTAGAGTACAGCTCCCGCAAGATGCTCCGTGCACCGGATGAGCAGGAAGGCACCCTCGCGGGTTTAGATTACTATATCACTTATGGGCAATGAGCGCCTTGAGGAAAACTCCCCATGATGGACTCCCGCAAGGCAGCGGTGGCGAGGCTGGTGAGGCTGATGGCGATGGTTGCGACGCCGTCCTTCTAGATGAGGGTGTCCACCACTAGCACCATGGTCATGAGAAAATTGAATACGGATAGGACGTGAAGGGAAAGAGAGGGCGCGAGGCACTGATGGGCCGGATCGCGACCCGACTTTCGGCGCGTTGGAGACTAAGGTTGCGACTCGCTCCTTCAAGGTAGCTCGGCGCGCGAGGTCAGGCCAGGGATCTCCAGGACAGTGAAGGCAAAGGGGGGTTAGTGGTCGATGGGAGGCATAAGGTTGGCAAAGAAGCCGACCGTGTCTAGGAGTACCGCCGATATCCGCCGGCGACCTTGGCCGGGTATGAGGGTAGGCTGGCCAGTCGCCGCGACCTCAGAAGGGCGTGGTAGCGTGCGGCCACAAGGGACTCGCCCGTGACGGCGAGCAGGGCCACGATGTCGAGGCGCCACGCGCCAGAGTCATCCTTGCCGGCGGGAAACTTAGTTTTTCATTTATTGTTAGAAAAAGATTTATTTACCTAAAGGCATGTTATCTTCGAGGCGGTACCCAGGGTGCCATATTAAGCTGGAAGAAGCCGTCCTACACAAGTGAGTAGAAAAGAGACACTTCTCGATTCCTCTTTAACTGGGCAGTTCACGCCAAAAAGCCTCGAAAAATAGGGCAAGTGTAGACAAGAAACTACAAATTACTAGTTAGGGTAGGATTCTCTTATAAAGATAAATAGGACGATGTAAAGCTGCAGATTTAAGTAAAATAAATCTGAGAGCCTGGCGGCCCTACACACTTCTTCGGGGTTTGACAATATAGATGGAAAAATTACCTTGGTAGGTACCGAAATCTAGGCAGAATATCATCCTACACTGAGTACTGGTCGAGCTGCTGTGGAGATATTATTGGCTCGCCGAGGGCCATGACATCTGGCCTCAGGCTGCCGGGCGTAGTGGGAGGGGCTGTGCCCGATTTGCAGAGAATGATTGAATTATGTTGGTCTATCATAGGTAAAATATGAAGGCAAGGCCACTGCTTTTATATGTTGGTGAGAGACGGGGGAGCGGCGTTTATATCAAAAAGCGGCCTTCCAGCATAAGGGCATGAGGCCGTATGTACTATGCAACAGATTAGCTTTAGTTACCTCACTGAATGGGTCCATTCATAGTGCGATATTGTCTCAGTCTGAACTAGAAGTCGAATCTTCATCAAGTCATAATTTTGGCTCAACTGCACGTCCTATGTACGTACTGTACTTGGCCATTTGTTGACCTTTTCTTCATATACCCAACAAAAAAGGTCGTATCAATCGACGAATACACAATTACATGGCCTAGTCTGTTTACTCAGCATCCAGTGGCGCCTTTGGAGGAGTGTTATCGACCTGAACACCGCCCCTCTTCTTCTCCTTGCTATCAGGCATAGGGAGTGCCCATCCGCCTTCGTCCTCCGGCGTCGATAGCCACAGCCTAAGAAGGTGGCGGCGAGGAGCCGGTGGCGGGTAGTCTAAGCCACCAACAGTTAGAAGAAGCCTCTTACCAGGAATTGATGTATTTCAGCTTACCCTTGTATTCCGTCCTAGCGTGGAGGAGATGGGCATTGCTGACGAACTGAATATCTCCCACTTCCAGGATCATGTGCAGCGCCAGGCGCTGGGCGGTTTCCTCCAAGGTCTTCGCCGCGTGTTCCTGCTCGGGGCTCAAGGCCGGAACCAAACCCTGATCAGAGAACCTCTTGAGGGATCGGATGTAATACGGGTCCCACTTGATATAGACTCGGTTCTTGCCACCATTTTCGAGATATATGATAGGCTGTCGGGTCCACTCCTCCTGTCCACTCGAGACCTCGCCTTTGCGATCGAAGTACCAAATCGGCTGCGTCAACAGATCAGCCACGTCGGGATTTTCCTTCACTAACGTATTCCACACATTGTGGACGCTGACAATGTCGCTTTCGCCGCCTTCCGCCGCACGATGCACACACAGCAAGCCGACAATATCGCCATCGTCAGTATGGAAGAACTGGCGAGCCGTGGTGCGGTAGATGCGGACCTTGTGAATTTGGGTAGGGTCGTCGCCGACGTCCTTGACGTGGCCGAGGACGTGACCACGGCCGTTTTGCGAGAGGAAGTAGCCGAGGTGAGTGCCGAGACCCATATAGCCCACGGCAGTCTTATGAGGGCCCCAAGCATCGGCCGGGAAACCCTTAAATAGGATGAAGCCCTTGCCGTTGAGGAGATCATCCCGAAGGGCAGCGAGGACTTTGCCCAGGAGGGGAAGAGGAAACAGTTCCTTGATGTAAGTGTAAGCCAGACTTGACTTCTACAAATTGACAAAGAAGGAGAAGAGGAAAGAAGAATGGGATAGTGACGAGAAACTCACCTTAGAGATACCCGTGAGCGCTGTTCCACTCGCGATAAAGTTGTCGGCGGCTTTTCCAAGCTCTTCCACTTCTTCGGGCGTGAAGGGGTGCGTCCACTTTTCGGGGTTGTTTTCAAAGTCCTCCTTACGCCAGACAGTTGGCCCCGTGATTTCCTTGGGGAATTCTGAGAAGGGCTTTAGAGCGTCGTAGAGGGGCGGGTGTTGTCCCGATGTCCTGATGCCATCGGGGAAGATGTCTCGAGGGGCTTCATGGTTCTTGGTTGGTGCCCGACTCGAGGTGGGGTGGGTGCGGGGAGCATCGACGACAAGGATTCCAGGAGCCATGGTCAACAACAATAGTCTGTGAGTTCAATTGAAATACTCTGCTGAATATAATAGGCTATCGGGACCAGGGGTAAGTTCAGGGGTAAGTTTATATATGTAGTTAGGCTTATCGCGGGTGGCAGCTATGGTGGCCGGCTTGCTTTGTTTGGGATAAATGCTATGGGAGCGACGACCTCTCGATCCGTTTATATAATCGAAATTCCCGATAAAGAAACTCCTACATCGGCACTCGGTCGAGCTCACCAGTGATATTTCCGTCCTGGTGTTACGATTGTTACCCCCGAAGTGTGGGGCCACATTGCGTGCTCAGCTTTAGAGATCAAGCACGACGTTTAGGAGGTAATGACGCGATGGGCCGATTAGGCTCTCTCGACCACGCAAAATACCGCCGAATCCCCGGCGTGCAGCATGCGCCAGAAGAGGTCCGGCATATCCAAGCCATTCCTAGAGGAGTGCGTTTTAGGCGGACAGTGGTGTTATTCCTCCCGTCCGAAAGGCGTGCGTGCCTGTCCATCGGATACCCCCGGCAGAGGGGTTCCAGACCTTATGGCTGGACGTCTGAAAGAATAGTAATCACGCCTTTAATATAGTGAGTTGTATCATTAATCAAGTATGAGCTTCGGCCTGAGCCGGAAGGAGCCTATATTGACAGTTCTGCATTGGTGTCACTGCCCTCCAATACCCAATGCCGGGCACAGTCGGTTTCTAAGGGTTCTCAAGAGGACGACTTTGCTATTTTCAGCAATGCCTATTACTCGTCAAATGAAAATCATAGGGCGAATAGTGTAACTCAGAGAAAGAGGCATATATGGGCATCTCGTGGAAACCAATCAAATCCAATCAAGTTCAAAATTCATGGCGGAAGCCCAACTAAAACCAGTGAACTATAACACAAAACTATGAAGCAGCTACTCCCTCATCATGACGTCCGCTCTACAAATTCTTCAACAACTTCTTCCACCAAGGTACCTCCCTGGGATCAAGTTCTCTAGCTGCAATCTCTTTGGCCTCGTCGAGATCCCTTCTCCTGCCGGACTGAAGGTCAATCTCATGCAGGTTCCAATATGTAGTTTTGAACGCGAACTTGTACGCGAAATAGATGATGGCAAACAACGGAAGCAGAATATACGCGTCGACAAAGTTTCCAGCGTTGAACGGGGAAAGCGTGCTCCATCCCTGGACAAAAGCCAAGAAAATGTTGGCGCCGAGCCCGAAGTATGCATTCCAGGGGTACCAGAGCGACTTGAAGGGAAGCTCGTCGACGCTGTGACCCTGGGCAGCCCAGGCGCGACGGAAACGGATGTGAGTGAAGGAGATGGAGCCCCAGACCAAAAAGGTCGACACACCACTCAGGTTGACGATGTAACTGTAGGCCTTTCCGGCGCCAGTGCTGACATTCATCATGGAGAGCGCGCCGAAGAGGTTTGTGAAGATAATAGCGGGGATAGGGACACCGCGTTTGTCTGTCCAGCCGAGGAAGCGAGGGGCTTTTCCGTCCTGGGCCATGAAGAGGATAGTACGGGAGCCGATGTAAATGGAGCTGTTGATGGCGGAGAGACAGGTGACGAAAATAAAGGCATTGATGAGATGGACGCCTCCTTGCCAACCGGCATTTTGAATCGCAATAGTCATGGGACTCTTGATAGCTCGGCTCGTGCCGCTGACAAGGTCGTGAGCATTGGAAGGGCATGTAAGACCGAAAAAGAGGGCTGAACCCATGTAGACGAAGATGATGCGCCAGAGCACTTGGCGAATCGAGATGGGTACGGCAACGCCGGGGTTCTTGGTTTCGGTGGCGGCAACGGCAACGGACTCTACACCGGCGTAAAAGGTGGAGCAGAAAACGAAGACGGTAGCTACACCACGGAAGCCCGATACCCACGGACCGGGGTCCTTCCAATACGTATCACCAAGAGCTTCGACTCCCTTGATGCCCCCGCCGACGTACCTGCCAGAAGATGTCAGCGCATACTGGGCCTTCCGTGACCAAATAGCTTTTAGGGCGGTGAACCACTTACACAATGGCAAAGATGAAGAAAGCGCCAAGTCCGATCAGTTTGACGAGCGCGAGCCAAAACTCGGCCTCACCAAATGTCTCAACACCAAGGAGCTGGAATGCAAGGAAAGCGAACTAGAGCGAGACACGATTATTAAACAATTCGCAACAAAAGCAATAATTTAGAGTCATACCCAGAATATCAAGAAGTAGCCCCAAACGGGAACTTGGTCGCCCCAGAACGTAAAGATGCTGGAAATCACATTATACTCATTCGCCAACACACAGAACCAAATAATGTAATAGTTCCATCCCACAGCGACACCAAAAGCCTTGTCAACAAAGCGATCAGCCAGGCCGGTGAAGGCACCACCGCTGGGGTAGAGGGTGGTCAATTCGCCGAGACTCTGCATAATGCTATTCGTACGACAAATTGAGTTAGAATAGGCCGGAATTCTTCGCAGCCAAAGCACCCAAATAAGGTTGGTGACGCGGAGCTTACCTGAAAGCGATGATACCAATTACACCGAAGCCAATTAGCAAAGAGGCAGGGCCACCGTTTGCCAAGGCACCACCGGATCCGATTAACAAGCCGGGACCAATGATACCAGCCAGAGCCATCATGCTCAGATGGCGTGTCTTAAGACCCCGTTTCACACCGCTATTGGGGTCGATAGACCTAAAGTCGCCCGACGACTCATCGTCGGAGGCGGCCTCGACCGTCGAGGGCTTTTTCGGATCGGCCATTTCGGAAAGATACCGGCTGTATGCGAGGAACAGGTCACTGAAGCGGAGTGTGCTGTTGGGTTAAAGTGATCGGCAGGTTCGTTAAGACAGGTTCTTATGCTGTTGATCGGTGATGGTGTGTTACTTCCACCGGGGAGATGGTACTCAGGATTCGGGAAATGCAGGGGACCCTCTGACCATAAATTAGAGGGGACGAACAAAAGGACCCGCACAACAGGAGATCCCGCGGAAGAATCCTCAAGTGGAAGAAAAGGAAATGGAGGGTGAAAGGTAAGCCGGGAAAGGGAGGGGAAAGTGGAGGTAGCGGAGGAGGAATGGAATTGGCATGCAGCTTGTTGAACAGTTGTCGGGTCTATATCTTATCTTCTAGCTACGAACTATAAAAATGCCCATTTGGACGGACTTCCTCGAAGCAGGAGATGGCCGATACGCATTGAGAGCCCCCATGTTTACTAGAGACAAAAGCGGAAGCGAGGTTGGATGATGGACGATGGCGCAATCGCCGGGTCTTCAACCGTCATTCTGAGGTCCATTCAACGCGACCGAAGATTGGTCCCAGATGCGTTTATTGGCCCAAGGGTCAGATGCACCCCACGCCAGGGCCGACCAGGCTAGAGATATTTAGGAAAGGGTTTGAAGGAGAAATTTCTTGCCTGGCCTGCTTTCGGACTATTTGTTTCTTCATCCACCAGGCAGAGGACAAACACGGAGAATGACAGAGCTTGAGAGGTTGGACCGGCGTCTCAAACCGGATTCTGGGGGCGCTAGTTTAGACTTGGCTTAGACCGAAAGCCACACTTGCCGGCCACATGCAATGGCGGATTCAATACATTTGTAACGCACGACACGGGCATAGCTGTATTAACATGCGAGCACGATTGCAGGTTTTCTTTTTCCCCATATGTTTTCAATCAATGCCTACTTTGTAGAGGGGTTGGTGGTTCAGACACAATCAGCATCTCGTGCTGCTGGAAGTCAACACTGACCGGATGCGCCCAGGATCCATTCCGTCCGGAACAATCTCAAAATGTTTACCGTCCGGATTCAACACTTCACCAATCAATACCGTTATTTAACTCCATCACTATTTCGGCATTTTTCCATATCGCTTCCCTCATTTAAGAAAACAGATTTATCAATCATTCACTCTACGGACACCCCTCACCTTTCTCTTTCTCCACCCCACACCATGAGACTTCATTCGAGTTTGTTTTAACGACATCTATAACAAACTAACTGCTTAATTGCTCTTCGTTCTAGTCGATAATTCTTTCTGTTCTCTTCGAATTTCCAAGCTTCGATCTATTCGCTCCAAGAGGGTGGTGTACGCCTTGGTGGTCTCTGATGTAATGTGAGCGATACCGTGACCTTCTGTTCTGGATCAACTCACTAACTGCTGAACGGTGGCGTCTCAGCACTCATCGGTTAGTCTGCTACCCGCAAGGTAATAAGCTGCTATTATGCATTGTGCATCAGGGCACCCCGCGACAGTGTCGAGAGGTGTTTGTTATCAACTAGTTAATGTAGTGTGATATCTCATATTACCTCGTGGCTGAACAGTATAAAATCACTCTTATCCACTAACAGCAGGCTAGCCTGTGGGTGCCTGCTATATCAGGGCTGCCTGGTTTGCTTTACATTCTTTTCCCCTGAAGCAACCATATTTCGACAAGGTTACAAGCTATACAGCATTTCTAAAATAAGACCTCATCTATGCTAACAGTATTGGATGAATCTCTAGCTTAAGAATCCTACCATCTCCACCCCACTCACTAGTAGTTTGCTTAGACTTAGAGTAGAGGCCAGGGGATGAAAGGTCAGGGCTGTTGTCTAGGCCTCTCTTGTAATAACTGTGAGATACTGCTGGGTGCAGGGTAATGCATGATGTCTCTCAGCACATCTTCGGAAATTGCTCTATCTAGTATCTAATTAATTAAAACATTTATTTACCTCTTAATAGAATAGGACTGAAATATTTAAAGTAGAAGTATTATATAATTACCTGTAGGTGGCAGAGTGAGAACTGGTCAAATATGTTGTTTAAGGTGAGCGCCTGGGAGGTAGAGAGATGCGCCAAGCTTGCAACTCTTGTAGGCTTGAACTAGCAATATGTAGTATGCTCTATAACTCTAGGATCTGCATTCCGAGGTGAAGCATTTGTTAGTACTTCAAAACTCCTCACTGGCCAGTAGTGGATATGCTGGCGGTTGTGGTATGACTCTTTGACCTGAGAAGCCCCTTATCTCTAACTGTCCTTCTCTTATTACTAGATTTCTTTGATTCCCTTAGAGAAAGAATAGTAAGAGATGTCTGCCTGTCACATAATGAGCGCAGGATGCTGTTAGTTGCAATGCTGTGATATCTCTTACTATAATTATTAGCTTGAGAACCCTCCTACCTTTATCCAAACTAGAAATTTTCACATCTTAAAGAGAGTCAGGCCAAATATAATGCAGGAGGATCATATAATCATGCACAGGTGGCAGGGAGTAAGAGTCAGCTAATTATAATGGGGTCAAGGGGCGTATGAAGGAGGCAGAGAGAGGCAAGGGTCCCATGTATAAGTGGCCAACTGACAAGCGACCTTAGGTCAGAGCTTGTTGGGTCTTATGGAATGTGGGAGGTTATCTGATAGTTAATCTACCTGTTTGTTCCCCTTACATAAAGATACGAGTCACGAGAGAAGGATTGCTTTAAACAATCGGAAATGCTGGTGCTCGAGGGGCTACAATGGCTGTGGTTGAAGATCCTGTTACCCTTTGTGTCGAGATGGCCTCCCTTATTAAGGAGGCGGGATAAACTATGCTCCATGACTCCAGGATCCAACTTCTATACTTAATTAGGCTTATAAATATCTCTCGTAAAAGAGAGAGAGATAAAGGATTACGCGTTACTGAGATAGAATAGGACCGAAAGGAGTGTAAGACATCTGTGCGGTCCCGGACCTTATCGACTTCGCTCGGGGAGGATCGGTTGGTATGGATCTTAGCAAGGCATCCTGTGCCTTGTAAAACTTGGATTTCGTAACAGAGGAACTTCTGCGTAATCACCCAGGGTTAGTAGTATATGAATTCTCAATTGGAGATGGGGGATGTGGTTACGAAGCTTGGGATTTAGTTAAGCACCCAAAGGATATAAGACGAGCAATACCTGAGGGTTATAGCTAATAGACCTATATAATGCTTCGATCCCTTTAAGGTATGTCGGACTCTTACACCTCCCTTCATTATTTGGCCTCCTCGCCATTTGTCCTCATACACTGTCGCTTAACTATTGCGATTTCCCTCCTTTCCTGCCAGCTCATCTTCCCGCTACATTCCTCTCATGTCTTACTTGCGAGCTGCGTTTAACATGGTCGGTCTAGATATCGCAAATGCTCTTACGAACGCTGACTAGCTGAGAATTTCTATCTCTTATTAACCTCTCACCTAATATGCGATACCCTGCTGTCTCCTGGACCAGCATAAGGCCCTCTTAGAAACGCCTAATGGGAGATGACAGAGGTTAGGCAATACTGCCGATGTGGCCCTGCGGCTTCCTGCGCCACATGATCTGTAGATTCCAAGGAATCTATAAATTTCAAAAACAGGTTTCTTTTTCAGCTTCTTACTTTCTCTCTCTTACTCTCTTCTCACAGGCTCCCTCCAATAGCTATAGTAGTTCATCTTTCCAGTGCCGAGGCTCACGCACCTCCGTCAAGATATTTCCGTTCAGTAGGGGCCCCCAAACTCCAAGGTCGCTCTAATGTTATATTCGTAGCCGAGGATCTTCACGCGACAATACTATATGGATTTCCCACAACAGAGACGGCCAAGACCATGAAGACAGAGCAAAAAGGAAGAGACCCTTGCCTTCCCCATCTTATTCACACTAAAAGCATGTGAAGAATGATGGTAAGAAGATCTGTAACATTTACGTCCTTTTTATTAAAGAGTGTACATCAATGGCTAAAAGCTAGAAGGTAAATTTCGTCTCGGAGATTCTATCATGAGCTCGGAGATCTTAAATAGCCCATCCATCAGAAGACAATGTCGAACACAAACTTCCCCAAGGCAGCCACCTACCCTTGACCTTAGGCGCGACGACGATACTCTTGTTAAACACTGGCCCAGTCTCGAAATCCCCAAGGCTACTTCTTGAATCTTCTGTGGGAGAGGGCTCTAAGTAATAAGCCGGTGTCCAATTTGGGACCCCTGCTTTATGCGTGGGTTGTGCTAGTTCCTGAGCTAGCTGTGAGGCTAATATGGATGATATAAAGGTTGAGGAAGAAAAGGCGAGAAAGATACTAGAGGAGAGCAGATTAGTAAACACACTAAACCACTTATAGCTACTACATCTATCAGACACTTCTACCCCTAGCTAGTTCGGGCCTCCCGAGGCTACTTATTGGCTCGGATTAAAATGGCGTGGGGAATATTGACCTGGAGCTTAGTAGTCGGGATTGGCAATCGGAGGGATTTCCACGGGAGACCAGAAGCAAAGGTGTACAGTCCCGATTGGCTGGTTTCCTAACCAAGTTCAACCGAACCTCTACCGAAAACGCCAGTTAGTTTGGGAACCAGTAACCGATTCCCAGTGAGGGAAAACATTCTTCCCTAATCAAGAACAAGTTAATTATCCCAATAAGAGGTCCTGGGGTGCAAGTCAGTTCCAGGTGCGGACAGCTGCAATTGGATGTTCTGCGTACTGATTGACGACGAAGCATCATGATGTTGATGTTAATGTTATTAATGGAGGAGAATAAGTTGGAAATCAATAATACACGTAGAAATACACGAAGCACCCAAGGACCCATTGTTAATCAAGGGCCTGGGCTTCACACATCTTCCGATACAAACCCCCCTTTGCAATCAGCTCTGCATGCGTCCCCATCTCCGTAATCCGCCCTCCATAAAACACACAGATGACATCCGCGTCCTTGATGGTACTGAGCCGGTGAGCCACGGCAAAAGTGATCCGATCTCCGTCTTTGGCCGCTTCAGCGAGTGCATTTTGCACAATCCTCTCGCTCTCCGAGTCCAACGCACTAGTGGCCTCGTCCAAAAGGAGCACTCTCGGGTTGCGGATGAGTGCTCGCGCGATGGCGATGCGCTGCCGTTGACCACCGCTGAGCTGAGTGCCGTTGGGGCCCGCCGCCGTGGCGAGACCTTCGGGGAGCGACGAGACAAAGTCCCATGCGTTGGCGGCTCGGAGCGCAGATTCGATATCCGCGTCTGATACAGGGAAGGGTTCAGAGTCGTCTGTCGAAGGATCGTCGAAGCCGAGTGCGATGTTTTCTCGGATGGAGCCTTGGAAGAGTGTGGGTTCTTGCTGGATGAGGGCCACGATGCCGCGGTACAATCGAGGGTTGAGCTCTGTAAGGGCCGAGGATGCGATGGTGATTGAGCCCGTCGAAGGATCATAAAATCGCTCGAGCATGGCGATGATGGTTGACTTGCCACACCCGGATGCGCCCACGAGGCCGACGAATTGACCCTTCTTGACCTGAAAAAGAGAACGAGAGAATGTTAATTGATCCCAGGGTCTGAAAGAGGAGCATTCGAATGATGCCTACGGTCAGGTTCACACCCCGAAGAACGGTCGCCTCGGGCCGCAGCGGGTAAGAAAAGCGGACATCGTTCAGAGCAATGGGGCCCCCGTCCTTTGGCCCGTTGTCACGATTCTCGGGCGTCTCCCGCACAACGGGCTGGAGTTCGTTGAGCCAGAAGAGGTAATTGGATGAATTAACTCCCTTTGTGATGCCTGGTTCACTAATTATCAGCATTCTTTTCGACCAGTACTTGAGACGTGCGATATTATGCAAATCGGCGATTCCTACTGGTAGAGAATTGGAAGAGCTGCGACGATGACTGCCCCGAGAAAAATACGGCGAGGAAGGTCACGAAGAAATTATACATGGTGACCTCGTCGTTAGATAGGAGGCGACACCCATACCTGCAGCCCATGTAAGTCAGAGATGCTTATAGATGTCATAGACTAGAAGCACTTACCAGAACCCGAGTGCCATGAACCAGTATTCTATGCACTGCGTAAGACCAAAGAAAATCATCAGACGCATCAACGGGCCTTTAGACCATGATACAGCATGGTCGAGCTCAGCCGTGTACTTTTCAAGGACGGACTCTTCGATGGCAAGCGAGGAGACCGTCCGGATCGCGGTCACCGCTTCCGAAGCTATAGATGCGCTCGCCGCGTACCTCTCACCCGTCGTACGGTCTAATCTTGCATCGGAACGGATCTTGAAGTATCCCGCACTCACGAGAGGCGGCAAGCCAGCGCAGACAACCACCAAGCCGAGTTTCCAGCTATGCACGACACCCAATATACTGCAGGCTACAAGGTTGAGAATGGAGATTAAGATCAACCCTACGTTAAAACCCATAAGCTCGTGGATGGACTGGGGATTAGAATCGACTCGGCTGGTGAGTGCGCCAGTGTTGTTCTCACTACGGTCGAAAAATTGGAGGTCCTGACGCAGCATGTCGTTGAAGCATTGTTTTCGATACTTGTGATTCAGTTGCTAAAGGGAGGAGGAAAACAGACCTGGGTCAGAGTTTATGCAGCAAGGAAAGGACCCGCTTGAACATACCTGAGCAATAGCGTTTGTGAACCAACCTAGCACGAAATACGCAACAAACGCGCCGCCCGCCATGGCGATGAACATTGCGGCAAAAAAGCTTCCACGCTCCACCATAGCATCACCTGTGAGTGTGAAAACGTCCATAACTTTGGCTATCAGGATCGCTTGGCCAGGGAAGAGGCCCGTGGCGAGGATGCAGCCCAGTATTAGGCTCACGTATGCCCACGTTAACTCAGGAGACTCCCTAATAAGACGGAAGATCACGGCCAGAATACCAAGAGGCTCGTAATTCTTGAAATTATCGCGCTCTTTCTGAGAATCCATCCGACCTTGGACAGAGGTTGCGTATCGTGTGAGGGTGGTGGTGAGATTATCTGCATTATCCTTGTCTCGAGCGTAGGACTCCCCTTCCCCTTCCTCCGCCTCGGTTATGGAAGAATCCTCCGATACGGCGAGATTTTGCATCCTCACGAGTCGGGCGTAAGTACCGTCCTGGGCAATTAGCGACTCATGGGTACCGTGTTCGACGATGCGACCCTTGGCCATGACGACGATGTTGTCAGCTTTTCGGATAGTGGCAAGCTTGTGGGCGATAACAATGGTCGTTCGTCCCTCAGCGGCCTTGTCGAGTGCCCTTTGGACAACGGCTTCCGCGTGGGGATCAAGAGCACTGGTTGCTTCATCAAGAAGAAGGACCTTTGGTTCGGATACGATACTACGAGCGATGGCTACCCGCTGCTTTTGACCGCCGCTGAGGAGGCTGCCGCTCTGACCGATCTCGGTATCGTAGCCGTTGGGCAACTCGGAGATGAAATCGTGGGCGTAGGCGATGTTTGCAGCCGCCTTGATCTGCTCCATCTGCTCTTCTCTTGATGCATTTTCCCACTTTGTGCCGATGAGACCATGTCGGATGTTCTCAAATACTGTTCCTTGGAAGAGAACCGGTTCCTACGAGTGTTTGTTAGCGCAAGATGGGCCAACATTTCCGAGACTCACAATAAATCAACCTACCTGTTGCACAAGCCGGACATTCTTCCGGAGCCAGTTTAGATTCAGCTGGTCAATGGGACGACCATCGAGCTTGATGGCGCCCGATCTAGGGTTATACCAGCGCTCGATCAATCCGACGATGGTGCTCTTCCCTGAACCGGATTGGCCCTGGGTTGTGACATATTAGCTCCCGTATCTTCTTTCAGGCAAAATGGTTGGCTCAACTTACTACCAAGGCAGTGACTTTGCCCGGAGGGACTCGCAAGGTGAAGTTATCGAGAACCGTGATGGTTGGCCGAGTGGGATAGGCGAAAGTCACGTTCTCTAGCTCAACTAGGCCGATTGTCTCTGACGGTTGTTCGCCGGACTTGTCCATGGGGTCGATTGCAGACTCTCGGTCAAGAAGACAGAAGAGCTTGGCGGCAGCCGAAGCAGCCCTGCTAAAGTCGATCGAGTATGGTGCTAGCATAGTCAAGTTGATGGCTGCTAATGCCACAGAGAGCAAGACGCTAGATATTACAACGCTTAGCATGGAGGCGCAAGTGGCGGTGTTTGCGACAAACCTACGTGAAGATATCTCCGGGATTGCTGATGTCGCCGGATGCCAATCTCTTGACACCTTGCCAGAAGGCGAGGCCGAAGCCCAGATAGATGATGGTGTACTCGGCGGAGAAAAGGACTCCAAAAAGGGGGGAGATCTTTTTGCCGATGCGATGTGCGTCCGTGAGAAACTCATCGAATTTGCGGACAAGTCTGGCCCTCATCTCAAAAGCATGGACGGTCCGGGCACTAGAGAGTACTCCCTCGGCGAAGGAGTTGGCCTGAGCATAGATGTCGAGGATCTTGGTCTCATGACCTGCCTCGATAGTCGCAACAACGCCCATTGTTATGATTGTGGCCGGGGCAATGCACAGACAGATGAAGGTGAGCTTCCAACTGACGACGAAGGCAATGATAAACGATGTCAGGAATGCCGACAGCCCTTGAAACGTGAGACCGAGCTTCTCAGCGATACCTCCTTGGATTAGACGTCCATTGGTCGTCGCCTGCGCGGCGATCGACCCTGCTAAGCCGAAGTCGTAGAAGGCAACCTCTTGCCTTAAGGCCGACCGAAGGTACTGGTGACGGATGTTGCGAACAATCCGGTAGGAAGCGTAGGTGAGGAGTACGTTGTATGTGTAAGAGAGAACAAATCTACCAATGCCGAGGTAGAAGAAGTATAGGCTTGACGCTTATAGTCAGTACAGACCCATGTAAGATGCTCTGCTGCCAGGGGTTCGCTCGGGGGTCCAAGTATTCACGAATATACTAACGCTAGTTTCGAGACATCGTCCATGAACTTGCCGGTGGCAGTTGGATCCAACGCGAAGTCGGTAATAACGTTGACAAATTTACCAAATATGAGGTTCTGAAAGGCAATGCCGGCTCCAGAGGCGATCGCAGCCAGTACTGCGATGCCCTGAAGACTATATTCAAATGGCCCAGCATACCGAAATATTCTCTGTGGAAATAAGTAAGTTTATCATCCAGCACGTCGGGCTTTCAATTCGCACCTTGTAAGCTACCCACGTCGATTCTTCCTCTGGCAGACCAGCAGTCGGCACATCCTCAGAACCTGGGGCATCTGGCGGGACATGGTGCGTGTTGTCGCTTGGTCCGCGCTTTTCGTTCGCCTTTTCACTTGCGCTTTCGGACCCCATCGCCCTCAGGTTAGACTCTTGCTTGGGTGTTGGCGGCACGAAATCAAAGTCTCGAGGTGAGGTGAGAAACGAGGGGAAAAAACAAAGGGCGAGGTTGAGGGATCAAGGGAGGCTTTAAATATCTATTTCAACCGCGTCTGTTCCTCTCTACATATTGAAGGTCGGTCGTGCGCGAAGCAGTCTCGAGACAGGAAGAGGCGTTTGTCTTCGGCGGAATGAGTAAGGCCGACGAAGCTACAAAAAGATCGAAACGACAGTGAATGCTTACGGTTCATGCAAGTGGGAGTTTTGAAAGGGTCAATTTGATTCTGCTCTTAAGGCTTGGCACTGAGATTGGCCCCTGCAAGACACCCAGTCGCCAGCTGGTGTCTGTCGGGTCCCGCGGGGACTCCAGACCCGCTCTAGACTCGGATCTTGGCGCAGTCCTTGCCGCCAGGCAGCAGAATTAGAGACAGTCCTTGAAGAAAGTCCTATTTCAGGGTGCAGTACCTTTGTAGTTGCAAGTCACAAAGACTGATGCTGGTCAAAATACGAAGGAGATGACGCCGTGCAATTCATCGCTTCTTATCAAATCCTCGTCTTCATGCTTGCTCAGGATTGGAATTCGGGTTCACAACTAGCATGAAGGTTCACAAGTCGACGACGCAGAGAGCATAAATCAAGGTTGCAGCCCCATTTGGGCTAGTCTTGGCGCTATCGCGGGACATTCCGAGTCCAACTGCTTGATCAGGGCTGTTTTCCGAGGTCGCTTGGAGGTTGACCGATGACTAAACTAGTCGGAGCCCGCGGATACCGAAAGTTCATGTTGCGGGAAAGGAGACTATTCATTTCATCATCAGAGTGGCTAACCGACCGCATTTGGATGAAAAATCTCACAGCCCTCAACGTGACGGGTCGGCTCTCTCACATTATCAAGTAACAAAGTTCGGGGACCGACTGTACCGCACCCCGATAGGTCACGCAGGCGAACACCCCCGAAACAATTGCCCAGCTCCAGCTGTCTGCCCACCTGCCATCTTCATCGGTTCCTCGTCTAAATTGTCCTTGCTTGCAGCAGGCATATAGGCTATGGAGGACTACCCGGTGGAGGCCAATGGCCCTGAGGAGGGGCTTGAAAGCCCTCCTGGTTCTTCTGGTCCCATACGCCGAGCAGTGAGGCTCCCCTGTATACTAGCTCCAGTCTCCAGGATGCTCCTCCCTGATGCCGTCTTTAATATCTTCAATTTTATACTAACTCGCACTGCGTTAGTGTGATGCATGCCGAGCTCGTAAGGTATGTCTCAACTTGGTCCTAACCTTATATCCACCTTCCTCATCCTCTGCTCGCCTTGTTCTACTAGTAGTGTACCACATCCACATACATGTATGATCAATCAGTTTGGCCTGTCCTTGGTCATACTAAGAACTCTCCTTAGATCCGGTGTAATAGAGAGTCGCCATGCTCGCATTGCATCCAAGCCAAGATTCAATGCACTCATGTTGATAACAAACCAAGAGAGAAGCGCACGCGTATCCTCATCACCCCGCAATAGTATGTTGTGACCCTTTCCGCTCCACCTGCATACTATTACTTCGCCTTCCCTTGGTACTTACCCATATATCATCTAGTGAAAGAAAAATCGATCTCATTGATCGGCGGCTCGATGGAGTTATTCGATTGTTGGAGGATCTCAAGATGAATTGGCAGCCCAGTGGAGCTACACCTAGTAATGGCCCCGACAAGCCGACTCCCCCGAAACCAACCTCATCAATGTCAACACCGGGAAGCGCACCGTCACAATCCGAAGCGACCGGTCCAGTTGTCGAAGGAGACTCCTCTCTGACTGCCCACTCGGCGTTTGCGAACGAATTTTTCCAAGAGGTTGTCAGCACCGACGAATTGCAGGACTCGAGTTTAGAAATGCGAGAGACCTTAGATGCACTCCATCACATCGTCCATAGCTTGAAGCACCAGACTGCCTCAAGCGAACTGTCATATCCAAATTCACGGCCTTCGTCGAGAGTCGCCATACCACCTTTTGAACTTCCACCAATCCAAAAGTCGGTAGAGGTTATACAAGCTGCGAAAGGTAAGTGTGCTGAGGGCGGCCACACCCTTCTACCGATACCACTACCCCATAGGTTGGAGCTGAGTTAGATAAGACTCTAATACTCTTTGAATGTGTCAGTGTACAGCTCCGGATCGACCTATATTTTCGAAAACGTTGGTTTACCCGCATTCTCAGAGCTTTGTCTTCGTGTTTACTTCTCACCGGATTTCTCGGAAGCAGATTTCATCATTACCAACGTTGGACTCTATTATTTGTTTCTTCACTACGCCTACCAAACCTCGGAAACTTCGAGAGAGGAATATCTGGGATACGTGAACATGTGCCGTGATAACACCGAAACCGCACTCTCGAACCTCCCTCTTCATCTGCCGGCAACGTACGATATGATTTTGGCACTCACGCTTGGTGTAAGCAAGATTCTTGGAGCCTAAGAAGAGGGCTGATTACACGAGGCATATTAGGGTCTCTAACTATATTTGCAGACGGTCTATACTATAGAGATGTCAAAGCCTTCTCTTTCCTGGACACTTTGTTCAAAGGCATCCGAACTCTGTCAGACACTCGGATACCATAGGGCTGTTTCGATGAAGAACGACCACCCCGAGGAGGCCATGCGCAAACAAGCTTTATTCTGGGGTGTCTACATGGCAGACAAAGGCCTCTCGCTCCGGATGGGTAGGGCGTCAGTCATTCAAGATTGGGACATCACTATCCCCTTCCCCAGACCAGAGGATGCGCGAGGTCCCCTCTGGCATTATTTCGCCCTATGGGTTGAATGCGGACAAGTACAAGGTAAGATCTACGAGTTACTATACAGCCCAGAGTCCGTCACTCAGCCAAGCCATGTGCGCCGATCTCGCGTGGAGACTCTCGTGAAGGAGCTTGATAATGTCATAGCGAAGTCAGCCGAAGCAAACGTAAGTCACCCTCTTGTCTATCCCGCTGCGGGGAAGCCCCATCTAACGGAGGCCTTGCATTGACCAAAATTTCAGTTGAAATGGTTACAGAAGACGAGGGAGACACTCGGTGACCAGCTAATGGAGTTCCTGTCGATTTCGGATGACGTTCTCTTCCTATCTCTGCTTACCTTGATCCATCGCGCGACGCCTTGTGACGAGGGCTCTCCGACTACATTTTCGCAAGAATGTATCAAAGCTGCGAGGGCAACTCTCTCGCGGCACCAAGATTGCATGAATGTCTTAGAGGGAGCAAATGCCGCTCTATTTTCCATGTATGTACATTGGTAAGTGATTCGGTGCACTCCCTATTGTGTGGCGCATTCGACTCTACCGGATGTGCTGACCAGTTACAAGGACCCTTTTGTACTCACCGTTTATTCCTTTCATCGTTATCTTCTGCCATGTCATCAAGACACAAGATGGCGAGGATCTCGCCCGTCTCCATGCGTTCAACGCGTCAATTCAAACTGCTCCTACAGTCTCTGAGGCCGCTGGAAAAGTGTACCGACTCTTCCAAGTCCTCTATAGTGTAGCGCTCCGCTACGTCGAATTCCGTACCACCACACCCCAACCGGAACAGATGGAGGCTAGTGCTGAAATGGATGCGTATCTTTCTGCCCTTGGATTTCCCGCCACCGCGCCAGGAGAGCAGGATCAGGAGGCGAATTTTATGAATCCGACGTTTGGGCAAGGCGCAGTAAACGGCGAAATGTTGGCCCCAGGTGTCGTCGAGGCTGCGCGGACCGGGAGCCCGATGGCGTACTTGGGGAACGGCGCGGCACAGCTGGACGACTGGCTCTACAGCAATTCCCAGATGATTGGGATCCTTCAGGGGCCTGGGTTCAACTTTCCGCGCCAAAATGAGAATCAATAGATAGTTTGGGGCGGACAGTTTGGGGGGTTTCTCCGTTGGGCGGCGCAACAGGTTCGGTTTACTGGTCTACAGGGTGTACTACTATTAAAATCACTAGAAAGGCGGGAGGTCAGCTCTTTCACGGCTTGCGGTTACGGTTAAGACTCTGCTTATTCAGCATCAATTTTAGATACAAATAACACTCCATCTCTCACACGTTATCACCGCTCCTACTCAACGAGCCGTTGGTCTCTTGAGTAGTCTCATCTTAGCCGAGCAATACGGTAGTTTATAGAGGATAGATAGCACACCACTCAACTTCCAAGCCATTTTCCCAGCATTACCAAAGAATATCGTTGTCGGACTGTAAAGTTATATGTCCATCAATCTTCTGCCTCTCCTACGCTTTCGTCCTCCCCCTAGACTATGCATAACGCCCACCAGAACCTGGTCGAGTATCGGTAACAGTAGCTATCGGTCCTTTGTCTTCGGATCCTGCGCCGGGAATGGGGGATCCGGGAGGTGATATGTCCCCTCTTGCTCCCACGTCGGGGGCAATCACAGTATTCGTCGTATCATCATAGAAATCCGGCTTCGGATCTGTCGAGCACGTGAAGACACGCCGGAAAAACCAAGGTAAATGTACCGTAGCTTGGAATTTTGCAAATTTTCTTTTCGATACGGCATAGATCTGATCAAGGTCCTCGAGGTCGCGCTGTTTCGTTTCTTCAACGAGGAGGTAGACAAGAACAAACGCAAGGACGTTGAAGCCCGCAAACAGGCCCAACGCGCCACCACCGCCGCGTGGGTTTCCGCTTGAATTACGGTGGCCGCCCAGAGCACTGTCGAGCAACGGGTAGAACCAGGCGAGGAGACCGGCGAAAAAGAGGTTGGTCGTGATAGCTACGGAGCATCCCTAGTAGAAGGGAGGGTTAGAACAAAACTAGAGCTCCTGGCAAGACAAATAAATATGCCAGAACTTACATGCTCCCTGTGGCTCAGTGGGAATCTGCAGACATACATCATGAAGTTAGCGGGATGATTATATCAATGGTGTTGCCAAAGCTCCGGGGATAGCACGCACGCCTCAGATGCTAAAGTAAAGGGTACTGGCCCCATGGCTGGACTGTAAAATACAGTGTGGACTTCGCAATTGAGTATTGTTAGCGCGAACCTATTTAGCATCTGCGAGTCGGGCAAACTAACTCAGCATGAAAATCACCACTAGTGTAGTCCGCGTGTTGGGGTCGGGATTCTCAAGACTCAGAGCGGCGGCGAGAAGGGCAAACGCCATGCCCGGTATTGTGACTAAAAGCCATCTTCGCCGTCCGAAGGTGTCGATGGTTCCGATGGCGGGTATTCCGAAGAGGAAGTTGGTGAGACCTTGAGAACTGTTAGCGATGGTTCCTCCGGAATGGCCCTGCTTTTTGGGAGGCTATTCTATTTACCGAAGCCAAAAGAGTAGAGCATTGCCCGCTTCCAGGCTTCCCGGTTGTCATCCTCGTTTCCGTCGTACTTGATACCTCCTAAGACTTTGAGGAATAGTGTCGTAGCATAGAAGGCGAAAATATTGACTGGTCACGGTTAGGTATCACCTATGCTAAGACTTATACAAGGTTCAGGGATCAAATGTGTCAACTCACTTCCGCAAAGTTGCTGGCCAAAGGCGACCGTGCATGAGGATATGGTCGAATTCCGCAACCTCGGGTTGGCAATAAGGTCGCGATATCGTGAGAAGTACTGGCGAATGCGAACAGATAGTTTAGGCCTCAGCGTTATTTCTGGTGTATCTACTCTTTCATCTAGCCTATCATCAAAGTCGCTGAACTCAACGCTGCGGTGAACGAGGTACAAATCTCGCAAAGCTTGAAGCTAAGCGTGGGAGTTATTAACAAGGCCGAGCAAGAAAAGGGGAAGAGGCTTAAAGCTATACCTCGGTATTCCTCAGTCTCTTCAACTCTCTATACGCCTTTTCCGGGTTATAGTGCCCACGCTGAGGTCTCAGGTAAAAGCGTGGGCTCTCCGGCGTGAAGATAAGAGAAATGGCGAGAAAGATTGCCGGTACCATGGGGGAAGCCAGGATTAGCCTCAGCGAGACAATAGGGCGTGGTGAGAGATAGAAGAGAAGGTTGAAGGAGTTGGAGACAAATATCCCAAGGGCAACCCTTCTTCACGTTAGTTTCAATAAAACTGAAGGAAGGCTTGCGAAGTTTGTGGGGGCACACCATAATTGCCAGACGAGGAGAGCACTTCCTAAATGCTACCAGTTAGTTTAAGCTCTCCCAAGCCACGGTAGCGCTTGAACTCTCTAACCCCACACAATAGTAGAAGCTGCTAATGTTCTCCACTTTCGACTGCAGCTCTACAATTGTATGGACTGCAATATGAGAGAAATAAGTACGAACCTCTCCAGTATCCGATGGCAGTTTCCGAAGCAAGGATTGGGGTTGAGACGGCCTTTATTCCCATGCCGATGCCATTGATCAGGCGAAGTCCCACAAGCGTCTTCCACGCTGTCGATTGAGCTGTTCCGTCTTCGTCAAAGTTGGATAATGAAGCAGCCGCAATAGATGTTGTCATAATAAGGATGGATGCAAAAAAGATGGCGCCTCTTCTTCCAGCAATCTGGTTTATTGGATCGGATAATGGGCAGCCGCTGTGTGGTTCAGGTTAGATAGAACGTCATGATGTTTATCATCGGCTTTCAACTTACATCAATGCGGCCGCAAGATATGCGATGCCATTTGTAATTCCCATCTCGTGGTCGCGTTTATTATCGTCGGTAATCCGCCGCCAGTAGCCCTCGTACACATTGGCTCCAGCAAAGGAGCTCTGCACGAATCCCTGCAGGAACGCGGCGAGTGCGACGGTGACGAAGACATACCACATTCCATGCTCGGAAATGATCTTTTCTTTCTCTCTCACCAGAGCTCTTTTTTCATCGTCTGTAAGAATCACAGGCGGGCTGGCGCCCCCCGGATTGTAACCACGAGCAATCTGTTCATAGAAGCGAATATGCTTGGCGACATGGGCCGCTCTCTGGACTTCTTCGACTCTGTCTGATAGAAAGCGGGCCTTGCTATTTACAAATCGGGTGGCGTCGATATTAACTTGCTCGTCATTTAAGGAGCCTACAAGCGGGCCTTAGCACTGCTGAGACGGAACATGGATTAGAAAAATGTGAAAAGAAATGCACGTACTGAGCGGGTTCTGGATCCTCACTCGATCCTCGACCCTCCATCGACCAAGAGACATTTTGTCACAAGATCACACTTTGGAAATTTAGCAAATGGGGGAAGGGGGGAGACAGTTATGAGTATTCGGTTCGTGACCGGAGCATGTCGATTTAAGACTGGAGCTTGAGGTGTGCCGAGCCCGAGCCACAGTCCCAAATCCACCACAGTTCAACTTGGCACACGGCCAGGGCTGCGGAGGTAGCATCGGGTGGAATGACAGGAACAGGGATCGGCGACTGGGATTAATTTTCTTACGAATTTGCGCAGAGGCGGAGGGGAGTATACTTCATAGGGAATCAAAGAGCTCCTGTGGTGCGGGGCTTCATGTATCTGGGAGGAGTCTGTATGTACGGGATGGAAAATGATAGGATTGGCCACGGCTCAAAGCAGTGTTTAACACCAGCACGAAGTATTAACCAGGTAAAACTCCTACATGCTGTGCGTACCCCTCTTCAGTAGGATCTGCGGGTGGGCGCTGTGCAGGTGCTGCCTGTGCAGAACTGAGTCTAAATCCATGCCAACCAGGGTGAGTGAGTGACGTAGACTGGGCAAGTTGGCTGTGTATGCTCAGCTGCTCACGCACAAAATCAGAAAATCTCTCTTGATTGCGCGGCCGGCGAGGTACTTTACTTTGTCCCGAAACCAAGTTCGAGCTTAAGTTTTCTTTTCTTTTATTTTTTCTCTCTTTTTTTTCCTTCAAATTGGGGAGTGGCTGCCGAGTTTGCTGAAGGAAGGGCAAAAAAGAGCGGCAGTTTGGATTATACTCGGTGTCTTAGGGGGAACTTTGAGCATTCCAATGTTCGATGTCTGTACCTTAAGACTAGCCGTGGTACGAATATAGTCAATATCGATCAAAGTATAATGTACTCTCAAGGTACCTCTCGTTGTTGGTGCATCGAGCTAATGCAATTCGGCTGCGAACGTGAGTGGTCCCAGCAAGGCAATAGTAGGGCGAACAAGAATATTGTTCATCCCCGGGCTTCGTATCCGTCGCATCGCTCCTGGGTCCTCACAAATAAGGTGTAGGACGGGTTGGCCAGCCGGGGTGGCTGGTCCTTAATTGTCTGGCACCACTCCCTTGGCTGTTCCTAATTCTTGTTTCTGGTTTCTTGGAGCCCGCTGAGGCCCTCCTCCAGCCCCAATGCACACGCACATGACGACGACCCAGGCAGAGACCAATCGAGCTTGCCCACCCACTGAGGCGGAGCCTGCAACTGACATCTAATGACTCGTTGCTGTCTCCAAGAACGGAACCGTGGCGTTTCTTGGAACATTAATTGTATTGCCTCAATGCTGCCCGAGACATTTTCTGGGCATCGCGTGCGGAATTCCCTCAGTTGTCTCCTTCGTGTCATCCAGTCCCGTCCAGGATTCAAGCTCCCGTCGCTCGCTCTCACATATTGATACAAGGACATGCAGCACACCCACAAGTCTTTGAAGAAAGGGATGTTCCAGACTTTGTACTGCATGCGTGTCCCATTAGCCGTCTCAGCCCCAGTCTCGGTATCCAATCCGTCCCTTATTTTATTGAGTTTATTATGTGCGTTCCTTTCCAGAACGTCATTCTAAAACCAAACACTTGCATCTCCACTCTTGACGATTGTCGTTTTCCTCGTCGCTGGCGAAGACCTTTTTTTCCCAACGCCCTCTTCACTCCAGTGTTGGTTGACATGCGACAAAAGCTGTGATGGATCCTTGGAACATAGCGGGAGTCGTTTTGGCCGCGTCCAAAGTCGCCTGGCACATCGGAATATTCTGGCAGGAGTCTGGAAATGCCCCCACTGAAATAAGTGCGTCATCAGGGAAATCTCTCTTATCCACCCGCACCCAAAACCTCACCAGCAGCTGCCATATCCCCCCAGAGCATTACAGTAGCCTAATAGTACGAGTTGGACAGGAGAATTGCATCAGACCGTATCTCTGCTCCAGCGATCCATCGAAAACGTCCGCGATGGCTTCCTCTCGCGTGGGATGCTCGACGATGTGGAAGAAAAGAATTACAGGTCCATCATCAACCTCGTCAACAAATGCGAGAACGACTTGGAGCGGCTACAAATCATCTTGCCCAAACCACCAGATAAGGACGGGACCTTTGCCGGCCTGAGGGCGCAATTTGCCCGAAAGTTGTGCGAGGACACCGTGAAGGACATAATTATGGGCATCAAGCTTTGCAATAGCGTGGGTAATATCGGAGAGCATCGAAGATACCACGTCAACCTAACCAATAATAATTACAGGCCCTTCAGATTGAAATCCAGTCCCTCACCGTGTACGTAGTGAACAACTTTTCACCCCTTTTATCCCTTCTCCTTTCGAACTCACGGCTAACGTCGCACCTTTCATGCAGCTTCGGAATGGAGAAAGCCGAAAAGCCCGAACACACAAGCATCCAGAAGGCATGGGAAAAGGTTCTTGATGAAGCCGATCGGAGCCTATGCCATCGTCCATTCCGGAATGGAGACCCGGACTGGAACGACAAACTGGATAACTTTGTTGACTCCTTGAGGGAGAGTGCTTCGACATCTGATGGCCGAACCACAGTTCCTGATCTCCCTCCTCCGCTCTCTCGTCCGCTGAGGAGGGGCAGCGGCTCTACCTTAGCCACGACCACTGCAGTAACCAACCGAGACGACGGCGATAGTGGTGTCTACATCCCCGACGAGCGCGATGAATCTCAGGTAAAATTGGCGGCGGTGCCAAGTGTGCTTCGTAATTCCGTCCTTAGCAGGACCTTGAAGAAGGTTTCGGAGTTCATGCGAGAAGGAGACTACCATAAAGCAGCCACATATCAGAATCGGGCTATCGGCTACCGTCGTATGTTTTCTGGTGACGAGCCTCCGGATACTGTCGAGATTTGCCGGGACGATATGAAGCTAGCTGAGATCTACCGCAAGATCGGAACCCCCAGCGATCTCCAGCTTGCCGAGAAGGTCCTCCTCGGAGTGATAGACCGTGTCGAGACAGAAGAGCTTGATTCCAAAGAACAGAAGGATGTCTTGCGTGCTGAACTATACCACGACCTTGGACATACCTGCATCCAGTTGGAGAAGTTGGATGAGGGATGCAGTTATCTCAGAGATGCTTTCGACCTAATGATTGGATCCACGAATCAATCCATGTCCCTTCTGCGAAGCGCTGGAATAATGCTCTTCCGTGTTTATACAAACCAAAACAGTTCCGAGGCGGCAGAAGTTATTGACGAACATGCCGAGGAAACTTGCGGGTTTTCTCTAAGCACCCTGTCCTGGTGCCAAGAGCATGGCTTTGATACCGAGGCCGAGGAATTCAGATTCGACAGACGCCATCCAATTAAAGGCACCTCCCCGCTTCATATTGCCGTCGAAAAGGGGGATCTTGATGTTCTCGGACACATGCTACGACATCCCCTGAATCTGGAGGTTAGGGAGTCGAGGAATCGTCGAACCCCTCTCCTCATTGCCTGCTCGCAGCAGGATGCCGAGGTTGTAAAACTCCTTATCTCCCATGGGGCCGATATCAACGTCGTCGATGAGCTCTCTAAAAATGGGCTACACCTCTGCCAAAGGCCAACAGGCGGAACTATGGTGGCCCGCTGGCTGTTGAAACACCCCTCGAGGACAATCAGCATCGATGATACGGACAGTTGCCAAAATACAGCTTTACACCTCGCCGCTGAACTAGGCAACCAACCCATGGTGCAGCTCCTCCTCGACATGGGCGCCAGAGCCGACATTCCAGGTCCAGGAGGGTTCACGCCTCTCATGGCAGCTGTGCAGGCGACAATGAGAAGCCAGGATGAGAAACTAAAGGTTCTAAAGGCCTTGGTCGACAAAGGAGCAGACCCTACACTCAAGTACTACGGGGGCCAGACGGCTATTGACATGGCCAATGACGGTCAAATACGCCGGTGCCTTCAGAATTGGAGCAAGCCGTTTTCGAAACCGACAAGGAGATTTTCAATTGCTTCTTGGAAGAGCTAAGCCATGTCATTTATATTTTACCATATTCGCGCTGTACAATCTTTTCTTTCTCTTTTCCTTTTTCATTTCCTCTTTTTAACAAAATGACGGGGCATGACCTTGGTCATTGCTATGGATTGAGATGGGACACGATGCTACGAATATGCCTTCTTTCCTTTTCTTTTGCTATGACAGGGCTAGCAGAGCCCATAATATGATACCACAATTTTCACTTCATAGTAAAGTACTTTACCCTCAGCTTTGAGCTTCACTTGTCCATCCTCTGTCGTCCCGCAATGATAAAAGCAATGGTCCCTGGGATGCATGCATACCAACGTACCGAGGAGGCGAGCGCATGCATGGGACGCCCTCCTTGTGCCAGCTTCTTGGTCCTGGTGACCAGCCCAGTGGATGTGCGGCATTACTAGAAAATAAGCTTTCAGAGAAATGCAATAATCTGCATCCCATCTTATTTTGGGTAGATTGCCTAAGAAAGCGGTAATTTGCACCGTTGGATCAATGTTTTATTGCTGAAGCTTCTGGACTTCATTCATACTTGGGGGATAATACCGAGCGGAAATGGAACAAGCCCCCCAGTTCCATGTGTCGTCGTTCGGGGCAAAGTCGTCCCGGCTGACACACCCACAAAGAGAAGACCATCCTGTAGGTTGTCCGGTCTGGGGGAGGTGGTGTGAGACATATGCAAGATTTTGTGCAGTGTGCGGAGAGGAGAGATGATCAGGGACACTGGGCTTGCCAAGTTATTGAGTTGGTTACAATGTACGAAGTACCCTGAGGTCTGCTCGCCCTGTGAATTCGCTTTGTCCAGGGCAAATCTTGAGGCACACGACTCGTCGAAACCCCTATTTTCGGCACCGGGGATATTAGATAGCGTCCTTTTTCTTTTCTATTTGCTTCTTCGACGTGGCCTCATGTAATATGAAGAGGTAACTACGTAGTGCAAAGAAATTGTTTTGCGATTGCCGGGCGACACCAATGCTTGAGTTGCAAGCAAGGTCCAGCGTTCCTCTTGGCAAGAAGTTCATCCCAGCTAAGCCTCCGCAGTGCTACTGAGTGGACGAATGAAGGCAAACAACGATGCTAGGATGGGTGGCCTTGGTCCACTTCGTTGAATAGGAAGAGGCTGCGGGAGAGGTGACCTCTGTCCATATCAGCTGAATAGGCACCGTGCTCTGTCTTACATTGCTTGTCTCACACGTCAGCAACCAGCCTTACAAATTTCTCGAGATGTCCGATCGAAACGGATGACCCACGAAGTACTTTTTGCGTCATTATTTTCCCCCCCTTGTAGATATCAATCCTTTAGATTCCACAAAAGACGATTCAGCCTCGCTTCTCGAGAAATTCTTACCCTTACAAGAGATCGTCTCGGACGTGGTCAATATCACAGTAGATGCTGTTTTCAACATCTATCAGCTATCCCAGGAGAGAGGCTTTACTTTTTCTGGCAAGTGAGGAGTTTCCGATCTTCATGCGATAGCAGCTTGTGCTCTTAGCCAAGGAGAATAAGGCGCATTCTTGAGGGAAAAGGAATACAGTGTCCTGAAGTGGTATCAATATCATGTTAAATCAGAGACTTGGGGAAAAAATGGCACTGAGAGAAAAACCTCACACGCATAGGGACGAAAATCATGTTAGACGATAATCAGAGAATGCCAAATATGGAGTTTAAGGAGAGCTCGTCAAGAATCTGGCTCGTTGATGTTGATTGTGGTTCGGACACTTCCTCTCGTTTTCGTTGGAGGACGCACCAACATCACCAAATCCGCAATGGGGCTTTGGGAAGTGTCCGGCCTAGAGCCGGTCCAATTTGTAGCGGCGCCCAAGTCTCCCGAACCGGCCCACTTTGTACAGACAGGCACAACCGGGGCCCTTGATTGCTTCCAGACGCGGTCAAGGAGCGAGGGACACCAGATTTCCCTCAGTTGCTTTCGGTTTTATTTCGCGTCCCTCGCGGAGCCGTGGTCAATTTGTAAGCGTCTTCGAGAGGGAGTTGATGGACGCGGCACTTCTTTGCGCCGTACATGGAGCCCGGAAGCAGCAAAACTACACCGAAACAGAAATTCGGCTCCAGATAAATACACTTTCTTCCTGGCAGCTGTCCCCTGCCTCTTCACTCCCCCAAAACCCTTTCCTAACGCAGCACTCTCGACATGTGCAGATCCCTGGCGATGGCGTTGTTTAGTCGGTTCAGGGCGAGAGGAGCTTGGAGGCCTAGCTCACGGAACATGAGAGAGTGTGTGTTGCACAAGTAGGTTAGATGAGGAGCGAGAGGGTGGCCGACATGTCGTTCGAGGAAGGGACCAGGCAGAAGGATAGATGACAAGAGAGACGTAATAAAGACCAGAGGAAGATGAATGGACCAGCTCTTGTCGCCATCGTGTCACATAGAGGTCGAATTCCGTCTCTCGAGCTTTGAGAAACTGATGCTAAGCAGGCTGCAGTCCCCACCTACCTAGACATGGTTGGTGTCCATCCATGCCAGCGATCTTTTCTACATCGCATTTGCATTTCTTAGAGAAGAGACCTTGCAAGATTATCTATAGGCTCTAGACCACCTAAGATCACTTTACGAGCTCTACGATACTCTCTCGGCTGCTGTCTATTATCTCAATGATGAAAAGGCTACAGAACCGAAGATCTATCTATCACTGAACATGACAGACCTAGGAAAGTAAAAACTTCGCCTTCGTCGACGTAGCCCTCTCAACTCCTTCACCATCCATGCTACCCTGAATATAGGCCTCGCCAATCAAAGTGCAATGGAACTTCTTCTTCTTCTTCCACAATCCCAATCGTAAGCGTTGCTTCGGCTGCAGACGCATTACAAGGTGGAAAGTTGCACCCGGGGATGACATAAACAAGATCACTCAGCTTGACGTCTTTCAGTCCGAGACCGAGCAGCCCGCAGTTTGTAGTGAACAACCGCCTTCCATAATGGTACAGTACGTCACCGTATTCTCGTCAGCGCCAGCCGAGCTCGGCGTGATATTGTCGAAGTCATCGGCCCCAGGCCCTAATTTTGCCACTGAACCATCGAGCACCCCACTAATGTTTAGAGTTCTGGCTTTTAACGTGGCATTTCCATTATGCCCCTGCCCACCAGCATTATAGACTTCGCCCGTCCATTGTGAGGTTTCGCAGTTCTGGTGCCCTGAAGCCGACCAGTCTGGCACCCACGATGGGAGGCTGCTCATCCTCCCACGCACGCCGCCACACCTGGACAGCAATTCGAACCCTTCTTGGTTGATGATTGCTGCGGTAACGTGAGTGTACACGTCAAGGCAGTTCTTCGTATAATCGGCATTAACACCGAGCTGGTGCAGATCGCTCGCCATAGCCAAAGCACCAAAAACGTAGTCGCGACTGTCCGCCGCTTGCATTTTAGTGTTTTCCATGACGAGATTCACGAGAGATTGCTTTGTAACATCGGGTGCTTGACACGTCGATCTCAAGAGACCCGGAGCGCTGGTGAGTATGGGAAGCAGGGGCCTAGCCAGGTAGCTCAGCCGGCCACTTTCGGACTCGTTCAGGAACCAGAGGTGGTAGATCACTTCAACTCCCAAAATGATACTGCGGAAAGGAGCCACAACTCCACCACATAGGCAATACACAGTTGGAGGGAGCCTGACTTCTTGGAGGACGGTCCGGATGCGATACCAGTACGGACGCTTCAGAAGCGCAAGTACTTCCCTCATGGGGAATGGATTGTTGAGTTCTGACCGCAGCAAAGGCAGGAAGCCGTGCATCAGGTCTTGCTGAGATGCGTCGGGATCTCTAACAGACTATAAGTGGCTAAGGCGGTTCAACGTTCCGAGGACAATGTCGCTCCCATCAGCGGCGGGTCCAAGCCAGGCGACAACTAGTTTTGCATTGGAATAGATATTACTCATCTCCCGGACCTGGTTACTCTTCTCTTGTTCGTCTTTCTGGTTTAATACAGATAACGTTGATCCATATCGGGAGTATGCGATCTCCTAGGTGAGTCTGTATGTGCTCCAAGGCAACGTAGAGGTTGACCCTCACTCTGAAGGGCCGCCCATTGAGGGATATGCGCCGCTGTTCCGAAGGATCGCCCCAAGTATACGAGAGACAGACGTAATCGAGTGAGACGGGCCTAATGATCCCGCTCAACGTGACGCCGTCGCCATCGCGATCGCCGTCGTTACTGCGGAGACACATCGACCTGATTTCGCGTCGGCGTTGATCAAGTGCTTTCGTACTGGAATTCTTCCCTGAGAGCGGAGTCTTTCCGCTCGAGCCTGTTGTTGCTGCCGAAGTCTTCCGGAGAGAGCAGGACTGATGCCCAGTCACCCGAGCCATTTGGGTTCAGATAATCTTGACTCTCCATGCTCATAGCGGAAGCTTTCCGACTGTGGCACGAGGATGGAGGCCAAGGTTTAGGGAGTCAAGCAGCCGGGCTTCAAACACCTCGAACGGGTATTGTCCAGGTGGACCGCCAAGCTCAACTGCTCATCTGTAGAGAGATAAATGCAAGGAGAAAAGCAAAACAAAGTCGATTTGAGACGGATGAAGTGCCCTTGCCATAGAGGAGACACTGAACAAGCGGTCTAAGGTGCTCAGTGAGAAGTTAGTTCTAGCAATGGAAAACACTTCGTACGTGTGGGAAAACTCCATGCAGCGGAATTCCAACGAAGGAGAAAGGTTTCAAGGATTACTGCAGAATTCGTTGGAAAGGCCCGATCAGGACGGTAATACTTACGTCGGTAGACTCCTGGGCAATAGAGATGGCGGCTCGGCACTTCGGGAGAGATCAAATCCTTTCAGCTACAAAATACGAAAGGCCGCCTGCCAAGTTTGTTGAGGTGGCCTTGTTCCGTTATATTCATTGTCCCTAAGAACCTTACAATTCGTGCGGCGCGCTGGGATATATGGGTTTGAAGGTTTGTGATTCGCTATCCCGCCCGATGTTAAGAAAACCAGCTACAAGTCCTGCAGCCGATGGAAGATGGAAACCAAGCTAAGCAGTGATAGCCAATTAAATGTAATGAACAGCGGACACGCTCTGGGGAGGGGTATTAAACGCGAAGGACGGGAGCAGAGGTGCTGTTTCTAAACGTTTAGATAGCCAGCCTTATTACCTATTGCGCTTGCGGAAGAGGCTAAGGCTCAAAATTATACCAACGAAGATATATAATGGGGTCGACTACTACATTTGTCGCACTCGTAGTGAGAACCCTTAGTATAACGCAGATCATGGTTCCGCTAGGTGTTCTCTTCGAGAGCAGCCGGGGTATGTGGTTATGCAATTCAAGACCAAGAATAAAGTGTGAAGCCCGTTGGTGATGGGATTTCTCCTTGCTATTGGATGCTGCCCGAGAACGGGTCTAGTCTGACTGCGTTTGTCATGTGTGTATCGGTGAGGGATTCGCAAGCGGGCTGGCTGTGCTTTTTAGTGCGTTTGAAACTGGTGGGAAGGGAAATTTTGAGAAAGGTTTGTACCTGGTAGCAGCTCGAAAAGATGCCTACCAGCATGCTAGTCGAGGACGCGATAACCCGCTGGGAATCAGAAAGCGATATTCCGCGCATTACAGCACTACTGAACGCGCGACCTACGCTTTAGGATTGGCATGGGGACTAACCAGCATGTCCGGTTGCGCATAGAAATTTCATCCATAACGATTGAATACATTTGGGGCAATGATAGAGGAATTAAAGTTGCAAAAGACCCTCCCCCACGTGTCTCTCCGAGCTCTGCTGGGATCTAGCCGAGCAAAGCGCCATGTTGATACATACTCAAAGGTGGACGGGGCCAATTCATGTCCGAGAATCCGGAGGAGACATCCATGAAAGGCGGCGCCCGCGGGGGCATTGCCCTGGCCATAGTAGGCAACTCCAACAAAAGGACCAGATCAACACCCCGGGCCACTTTCCCCGCGCTCAGCATGCAGTGCGGCTCCGCAGATACTCTGACCGCATGCTAAGCCGCACAGGGGAGTCGACCATCCTGGACTTCACATTCAAGAGAGGTATCTAGAATCACTAGGCTGAAACTTTTTCCCCGCTCCGTCGAGTGACTGCGGCAGGCCGTTTGGATCCCAAACTTCTCTGATGCCCATGTGCGACATGGGACAGTCATCATCGGACACGGCCATGTCGCGACAAACAGTGCCAATGTCATGCCAATCGATTCTTTTTTCTTCGTGCTGCATTCCACCCATGTCTGCGGCCTTGTAGGAGAGAGGGGGAAACAGGAAGAGGTGGGAAAAGCTGTGTAGGAACGGGCTTAGACCGTCCCCTCTACGCTATGCCGAATTCACGTCTCGTACCGAGGTATCTCGTGTGGGGTATTTCATCGCTCCACGCTCCGTAACATGGGGTGCGGGGTCCCGCCCGCCCACCGGTCTCCAATTTCGTGAACTCCTCTCCCTGATATGGGCAGTGTGCACTGCGTCTCCGAGCGCATTAGTCGTGGGTGTGCGGGGCGAGCAGGCAAGCGTCCCGGAATGGAAAGGGGATCGGGAATTTACCTTATCCAAAACAAAGCTAGCGTATCTGGGGTAGTATCTGGGGTAGTATCTGGGGTAGATTCGACGAAGGCACAAAGCTGGGGAAATCAAACCCTCCCGTGACGTTTCCCCATGGCGTCCACTGGAAGGCCCAAGCTGTCCTCAAGCATATAAAGCTCAAGTGTTGGAACGACTCTCAAGTCTCGACAAAGGAAAGGTCCGGTCCAATTCTTTCTTTCAACAAGTTATAGCCCCCAACTTCCTCGTATCTCCGCGCATAATAATATCTTGTCATCATGGGACTGTACACCAAGCATGCTTCCGACATCTCGGAGGTAGACGTCATCATTGCTGGAGGTGAGGAAACGCCCCTACTTTCCTTCGTCTTTACACCACGCGGGCTCACGAGAAAACGGTCTGCTCATGCCTGATCTCTATTAGGCGGTACGGCCGGATGCATCGTCGCTGGACGACTCGCAGAAGCAGACCCGAACTTGTCCATCCTCGTCATCGAGGGAGGCCCCAATAACCACAATGTCCCCAACATCGTCCATCCTGCCCTCTTCGCCACCAATCTCCTACCCACTAGCAATACTGCCATCTTTTACCAAGGCAACAAGGCGAAGCAGCTCGCGGATCGCGAGCCCATAGTTCCGTCTGGTGGTACCCTCGGCGGCGGCTCCTCCATCAACTTCATGATGTACACTCGGGGACAAAGGGAGGACTTTGACTCGTGGAACACCCCCGGCTGGTCCGCGAACGAGCTCAAGCCTTTCCTGAACAAGGTATGCGGCATGCACCGGCACCACCTTATCAAAAAAATCGCTCTTTGCTAACAACAGCACAGTTCGAGACCTATCACGGCCCCGGAAAGAAGGAGAACCATGGCTATAGCGGCCCCATCAACGTCTCCCGAGGCACCTACCTCGCCTCGATCTCGGAGGATGACTGGATTACCGCCGCCGAAAAGGTCGGCTTCCCGGAGATCGAGGACCTCCAAAGCTTGGACGACTGCGGCGGATTCCAGCGCTGGCAGCGCTACATCTCTCTAGATGGCAAGCGCCAGGATACCGCCCACTGCTACATTCACCCAAAGCTGGAACAGGGCGACAAGTATCCTAACCTCCACGTCCTCGTTGAGGCCAAGGTCGTCCGCGTAATCCTTGACGACAAGAAGAGGGCCGTCGGCGTCGAGTACATCGACAGCACCGTCAAGCGTACTGTCAAGGCGCGCAAGCTTGTCGTCGTCTCCTGTGGTGCCTGCGGTACCCCTAGCGTTCTCGAGCGCTCCGGAATTGGCAGCCCTGAAGTGCTTAAGAAGGCCGGCGTCCCTGTCGTTGTCGATCTCCCAGGCGTGGGCCACGACTACCAAGACCACAACTTGGTCCTACCCCCTTACCGAACCAACCTTCCTGTGGACCAGACCATTGATAGCATCCTAAGCGGCCGCATCGATGCCACTGACCTCATTGCCAAGAACGACAAGATTCTCGGCTGGAATAGCATCGACATCTCCGCTAAGCTCAGGCCAACCGAAGAGGAAGTAGACGCCCTAGGGCCTGAGTTCCGTGCCGCTTGGGACCGCGACTTCAAGAACACCCCCAACAGGCCCATCATGCTTATGGCCCTTATCTCCGCCTTCTTCGGCGAGCACAGCACCGTCCCCGCCGGCCAGTATGTCTCGGTCGGCAACTATACCGCCTATCCCTATTCCCGAGGCCACATCCACATCACTGGTCCCGAAGTCACCGACCCCTTGGACTTCGACGTTGGCTTCTTCTCCGATGAGCATGATATCGACCTTAAGAAGCAAATATGGGCCTACAAGAAGTCCCGCGAGATCATGCGCCGCACAAACATGTATCGCGGCGAGGTTGCCCTCGGTCATCCCAAGTTCCCCGAGGGCTCTAAGGCTGCCTGCGTGGAGCTTGACGCGGGACTCAGCGACGTCAAGGACATCGAGTACACGGCAGAGGATGACAGGGCCATCGAGCAGTGGCTCCGCGAGAACATTGAGACCACATGGCATTCCCTGGGAACCGCCAAGATGGCGCCGCGCGAGCAGCTCGGTGTTGTTGCACCCAATTTCGATGTCTATGGCACACAAGGCCTCAAGCTTGCCGATCTCAGTATCCCTCCCGAGAACCTCGGCGCGAATGTCAATAACACTGCGTTGTTGATCGGTGAGAAGGCGGCGGACATCATCATCCGTGAGCTCGCCGTTGCTACGTAGTTAGCACGTCTAATTTTTTTTTTTTTTTTTTTTTTTTTTTTTTTTCGGTGGTAATCAAGTTCCTCCGCCCACTCTCGTTGACACCGACTGCCGTCAAAAGCGCCCACGCGTGCTACTCTCTGGTCGTTCCAGCGAGTCGGACACTGCCCTCAGCTGACCGCCATCTGCATGCTCCCCGGATCATTTAGCGGGCTTCCTTGACAGCGGCATGCAGGGGAATGCCGTCGTCAGCGTAGTGTCTAGGACCTTGGACAACTTCTTCAGAACCCCTTGGGTAAGGCGCCAGGAACTGGTTTTGGCCCCGCTTCACTAAATATGTGCTTAGTGAAGAGTATTGTGTCCTGGTTGGCAAGCATAATTCTCGGCGTCAGTCGTGGTGGTGTCAATGATGATTTGGCGAAGCGCCTTCGGGACCTAATCGAGAAGGCGATCAAGAATCTCAGGATATGCACCCTCGTAGCCTTTATCATGATTATTATGATTATTACTTTCTGTGTCTCTTCTTCTTATCCGAAGTCTTTTTTCGCCTATACTTCTGATCTTTCCTATTTCATATTAGTTATCTTCCAAGCCAAAGTCAAGCGAGGCTACCATTTGGCATGCTTCCGTCTGATCTGAAAGTCCCTGAAGCATAAATAACTTAACAAATAACTTTCTCTAATAGCCGTACGTCTATTTCCTGACATAGGCCAATGAGAGCATAATCTCTTACCTATGACTTCAGTAGCCAATCATGATTGCTATGTTCGGAACTGCATCCTGCTTCAACACCACCCATGCGCCGAGTCGTCATCTACTATGTAACGTCACACGCAGTACCGAGGCAAACCTGATGATATCAATGTATAAGTGTCGATATATCAGACAAGTGCAAATTCCTCGGGGTCTTCGGCTGATGAGCTCAGGGCACTATCCCTAGCTGCCTAATAGTAAGCTAGTGTTACGATCCTAAAGCCATGGCGCTTTGACTCGGGTCGAGACCCGAGAACTAGGGGCATGGGTGAAGCTAGGGTCATAACTCTCCGTTCAAGGAAGCACTGGCAGGCCAAGTTGGTCTCCCGGGTAAACAACAGAAAATTTCCACACAAGTTTACAAAGGAGTAGAAAATGCTAGCCTAAGAAACGCCTTGAGTAACGGCGACCATGGCCAGGATGAGACCAAGAAGGGTAACCAGAAAGGTGACGGGGGCGAAAGCGTTCTGCAAGTCGATGCTGTTGATAGAGGAGAGCCATATGGGAACGAAAGCCAACCCGAATGTCGAGACTCCAGCAGCCCAGCTAATGATCTTCTTCAAACATGGCCCTTGGGTAGCATGAAAGCCCCAGCCTGACATGAACGCCTGCTTCTTCAATCCAGGTGGAGCTTTCAACTTGGGAATCCCATCAAGGACGGTTTTCTGGCCCCGGCCAAGCCGCGGGTAGCGGATGCCTTGGAGGATAATCTCAGCAATTATGCGCATGTGGATGTCGATATCGACGGTGTGCGCGCATGTGTACTCATAGCCTTGGCAGATGCCTTGGAGGTTTCCCAACGTCGACCAATCGAAAGTTTTTACGCCGTCGCTGTTGTTGTAGAGGAAATGAAACTAGCGGATTGTCAGGCCCTTCTTTGTTAGAAAAGAGCAACTAGATTTGCTTACTTTGGAAAGGTTGACATGAGTGTAAGACCTCCACGACAAGAAACGTTGCAGCCAGTTGCCTTGGGCACCACTTAACACTCTCCGGGCTTCGGAGAAAAGAACGAAGTCGTCGCGCATCGATTCTACTGTGAAGAGAGTGCTCAGATTCGTCTCTGTTATACTCGTCCAGCATTTATCAACGCAGAGGTACGACTCCCTCCAGCAGCGACTTGCTGGTGGTTTATCGGGGTCCGATCCACCGATCTGGCCTGTCGTATCAGATCCAGCCTTGGTCCAAAATGTTGACCTCTGAGAAAACCAAGTGAGGATAGATGAGGGTTGACTCCGGCTGCTTATACCAGAGGTCGAACTATTTGTAGTTGTCGATGTTGGAGGTCGAGACGATCGCCAGGACGGGGGTATTGCGCCATCACGAGCGTGTGGGCGGTTCCTGAATCGCCGAGCTGCTTCTTGATCGAGAACAATCGACATTTCTTGTCCGCCATACTTTTGAGGAGTTAGTCTGTTTCATTATGGATCCGTCTGCCTGGACTCACCTCCCACTTTAATTCCACATGGCCTGGAGGCACCTGCCGCTTGATTCTGGGTAGAGGCCACCAATCAATTATGGCGTCTATGTATTGCTCAAGCCATGTCCTAGACCTATCGAGCGCGGAAAATGAATTGGCATGAACATCTTGAGAAACTAGTCTCAGATTTTTGAGGCATTCCCCATCCTGGCGCTGCTCAAGGAGTCTGCTATCCTGCAACTTTCAAACGTGAGATACGTTGGATCATCTAATATATGACTCACACGATCCATACCTTCTTGATATACTCCTGTGAGTCTTGATTAACAAGAGCTGGATATGGTAATTGAAGCGGGCCCATATCTCTGCCCATGGGCTCTCCATAGTGAGGATCTTTGTCGAATCTTGCATTCATCATCCGAAGGCTCGCAACACATTCGTCTGCACTGATACGGTCTTCCAATTTCGGAACCAACATTCCATTCTCAATGACATGAAGAAGATCCCGGATGAATGGGGAACTATTTGGATTTTGGTGCAGTATTCGAAACCACTGAATCAGGTTAGTATTCCTGATGTGCGGATATGACTAACGGAAGGTAATTCTGACCTCGACGACCGAAGCTTTGAGCTTAGCTTCACTTTGCATGCCATCGCCTCCGGCTTGGATAACGCAGAAGCTATCATCGCGGTCTAGGTGCTCAGCGAACTGCCTTTTAGTTGATCGCAAGCTCCCTGTTCGGGATGCGGGAAACTCTCGCATCACAGCCTCCGACCCGTTTAGCATCCAAACCGTGAACTCAAGAAACACGCATCCAAGAGACCATATATCCCACGCCCGTGATATTCTCGCGTCCGGCATATCGCATTCCGGCGGCCGGTAAGTCGACGTGCCAGCCAGCCTTCTGGGTCGTCTGTCAGTTGGGCGGTGAAGCCGCCCCAGACCAAAGTCGGAGATCACCAACCGCCCCAAACTGGAACTCCCTGGAGGCTTGAACCACAAGATATTTTCGGGTTTCAAATCTCCATGTCTACCATGTAATGGGCGCTTTTCGTCATCCGAATGGTTGCCGTGGATTAGTGATAGGGCTTCTGCAAGCTCGAGGAATTACTTTGATGCCCATTTGAGGCGGGCTTTTAGATTTGCAGGATCAGGGTTGCGTTTCCACAAGTCGAGCAAATCGCCGTCAGCCCGGGGAAATACTAAGTAATAGGAATCCCTGAACCTAAACGTCGCCAGGAGTTTGATGAGGTGGTCATGTCTTCCGTTGAGCCTTTTCAAAAAAAAAAAAAAAAAAAAAAAAAAAAGAGACCTCTCTGTTGAAGTCCTCTTTATTGTCGGACCGAAGTCGTTTTAGAGCAAAATATGAGCTGCCGGGCTGCATTATGATCAGCGCTTTTCGTCTAAGAAGCCAAGCGCAAAACTTTTGACATAGATTAAGAACGCACCAGTTGTCCTGCGGCATCCGTCCAACTGTGCTGAGACGGGTGGATTTTCACTTTGGTAGCAGTACCGAAGCCCCCTGATTTATCTGGGTTTGGAGAGTTCGTATCTGTGACGAATGGGAGTATGGTATTGTCATTTAAGAGATAATGATATGGCCGCGAGGGTACTCTGGAGCCACTGCTGAAGTATGGGCTTAAGAACTGCCATTGGGCCTTACGAAATTCGACGAAAGCGGCATGTGGCCAGTGGCTCAAGTGCAATGACAGATTTCGCAGTTTCTTCTTGTAAGTTTCTTTCCCCTCAGTAGATTTCAATATCCCAGGGAGTGGGAGATCACTGTCCTCAATATCTGCCGATATGAACTCTTCAATATCGGCAGAACGATCTAGGAGAGTCAGAATCGCAAAGATCTTCATCATTGATCCCCGGGATGTCGGGGTAGGGACCTTAGCACTAGGCTGATTGGCATCAGTATGGACGCAGACTTCATTCAAAATCTGCTTCAGCGTCGAACTTGAAATCTCTGGGCGTATCCGAAGCAGCTCTCTCCTGGCGTTTTCTTCACTGAGCAGCTTGTTGAGTGTGGCTTCGGGAATGAAACGGGATCCTTCCACATTGTTGATGCCAGCAGCTGTCAAACGCGACTTAAGGCTGGCTTCCTCGGGCCAATTATCCTCAGAATTATCTTCTGGTAGTGAATCCACTATGGGAAGCGGACTGGTTCGAAAACTGTCACCCCTATCGCGAACTACGCTGTCTCCGTCTTCGATGGCTTCGGTATCCGATCCGGATGCCTCGTCGTCATCTTGATCCTCTCCACTTCTCGAAGTCCCTGCAATTGTATTCACTGTAATGAGCTGTTTGAAGCTATTTATAACGGTCCGCGACCCTCTGCCGTTGCTGGCAGATTGTTTCTTAGTGGGTGAACTAGTTGAAAGCCTGCTAGAGGGCTTAGGAATATAGTCAGGCGAAAAGATCAATTGCCTTGTGTAGCTCGGTTCACGTACTTGGGAGCTTGGACTGCGGGCGAGCTCGCTTGTTCGCTTTTGACCAATATCTATCAGCTTGAGCTCCTAACGGGGTGGGTAGAAAGTAAACGTACAAGACGACGTTCTGAGCTTTGACGTCTCGACGCCGTAGAGCGGCCGAAATCGCAAGACCACGCCTGTCGATTCTGACGCATGGCGGTCGTCGCAAGATGGTAGAGTCAGAGAAGGGGTTAATTTGTGCGAGAAGGCGGAGAAACTTTTCGTAATATATCGACTGTGTCGCGGACTCTACTTTGCGAGGGTGTCGCCTTGTTATCAATACTTCGGAATGCAAGGCTCTCGGTGATTTAGACGGAGGGCGAGGTGGCTGTGCAAGCTCACTGGGAGGTACCCCGGAGAGCCTCCCTGAACCGTGCCGCCCCCGCCGCTGTTTGATGCGCCGCCTGGCTATCTGTAGATGTCTGTTGATGTGTAAAAGAGGTGGCGGAACACAGAATGTATTGCAGCACTGGCTGGCCATGTCCAACCAACTAAGCTCCTCATGTACCATATCCCGCCACCCTCCTTTCCAACCATCGGCGAAGTCCACCCTCAGTTCGATTGCGCATTTGTCGCCCAAGGGATAGTTTTGGTCTGCTGGACGCGCCGAGCTCCGATTCGCGTCTGGAGATAATCTGTACGACGCTTGTGGGACTGACAGCAGGTTATTCTAATTTCTAAATCATTTACTTCCTCGTTCACCCTTCACCTCTAGTCGGGTTAAAACGGAAGGTGTTCAAGTCTAGAGAAGGAAATGGATAAGATTAGTGCCGATTTAAGTCCAATCTAGCTATAGGAGTTGTCAACAAATTCCTAACAGCATCCTTTACACTCCGTTGCAGGTGATGTCTCCTATATATAGCGCCCTGAAAAACTCACATGCCTTTGTAACTTCCATCTATTGGACTCGCCATCATTCACAACAGAGTTCTTAATTCTGCCTCGATTCAAACTCTTCCTGTTCCTTCCCACAAGATAGTTGAAGTTACTAGGCTAGGTTAATCGAGTCTTGGGGCTGAGGTGTAAGAACGCTACCTGGCTCTCTAGAGGAGGAAGAAGGAAAAAAAAAGAAAAGAAAAGAAAAAAAAAAGGAGGGCTCGAGGATAGAACGTAAACGCCGTACTGAGTCGAGATTAGTAGCTAAGTCAGTCACACCTAAATTAAGGATCTAAAATTTAGATAGGTTCTTAATTTAGAGACAAGCTGAGGAGAAAAATCCTGGCAAGAAGCCGCCAATCTGTTTCCCTAGACTGCTCCATCGAACCCGAATAAGGAATGGTAAAGCGAGACAGTCACCAAGGTCGGTTAGCTCAGTTGGTTAGAGCGTGGTACTAATAAGCTATCCGGTTTATCAAGTAAATGCCAAGGTCATGAGTTCGACCCTCATACTGACCATCGTTAATTGCCTTTTTGAAGTATAAGCTTTTTTTCTTTCTTGTTTTGTGGTTTGTTTATCCTGTACTCTTTCTTAAACTCGTTTGTTTATCTATTTCTTTTTGGCGTGTCTTGGTAGTAGTAGTTTCCCATAGGGCCCTGATTCGAGGCTGTGGGGAGTCGGTCAAGTGGAATGAATGATGATAAAAGAGATACCTAGGGTTTGCCAAGCTGGATTTTGATGGGTCCCGCTGCTATCGATGCCGGTTCCCGCTTAGGAGTTCCCCCCACTCCGCGGATACCGCTTGGTTGGCAATTAATCTCGCTGCAGGAACATCATTGACTCAAGCCTGGTCTGGTTAGTCTCCCATCTTGCTCTATTTGGAACCCCCACCCGGGACCTTAAAGTAATATCAAGCTCAGGCTGAGGTGCATAACGACCCTAGTATCTGCCCATGCCCGGGGTCTCTGTGCGTCCGGTCTGACTTGGTAATAGTCTTCCTCGGTCTCAAACATGTCAGAGAGACCACGCATATCATATCAAATCCTATTCAAAAGCGAGTCGGGGATTGAGGTGTAGATATCACGGGACTGCATGGTCCAAAGGAAGATCCCCGTTTCTAGGCCTTTAAATGTCATTAATGGAACTCTGCTCCAGACATTGTGAACTATTACGCGAAGTATTGTGGAAGCAGAAACCGGGCTATCCTAGAGATCAGAAGCAGTTTGTTTTGGGAGGGGATACGTGGCATGAACCCAGACACACGGCCAAAGCTGGACCAATTCGTGCGGATGGAGAAAAGGGGGTTCGGATGATTGCGATCCAAGGCTCTTTAGCCGTCTCAAGGTTGATTAAGGTTGGATTCTCCATTACCCGCAAAGACCAATGGGCCACCAGAAAGTACCCCAGAACAAGCATTCTCTGCTTGATCTTTTGCGGGGTGTTTAGAGACGGCCATGCGGCATTAATACACCTCCGAGATTCTGGATGGATTTGTTCAGGTTTGGCCCTGGGGATCCGTGCCCACAAATCTTTACGACCCCCTCAGTCATGAGCCACACCGTCTAGGTTCCCGCCAGCCATCTGTATCTTGGTATTACCCCTTGAATGACGGTGTCACCGCTCGATTTGCTTTCAACCCACGATATGAACACGCGGCATCATCAAATGTTGCGAGTAGAGACTAACGTTTTCACCCGCAGCATTCGCATGCAGTAGCTTTCTAACAAGGCGATCTCTGGCAAGGGAAAAAGAGGTTTCAAGGACGTCATGAACGATATTATACCAATGTATCCAGCATGTTACCATTGCCCGCCACTTCCAGCTTGCGATAGATGTCGCGCATATGTCGCGACACAAAGGTCTGCTGTCGAAGGAGCAGATTCAAATACAATTTGGGACGACGCTTGCAGCTTCCTTGGCCGTCTACACGACCCAGATCTGGCTGTCGGTCTCGAGCGAAGCTTCCCACTTGGCCATAATGCAGCGCCTGAATCGCTGGCTAGCGCCGAGCCCGGTCTTGGCATTTTCCCAGCCGAAGAAGAAGAGACCTCAACGTTGCGGCCGGGCCAAGGGCACCGAAACTTGCCGCCCGCTGCGGCGGAGGGGTCGTGGGGGACACGGAAGACCAGCGTCGTTGCCCGGTACGCCACACAAAACATAGTTTCGGCTCTTTCGTTCCGTCGACCAGCGGATCCATTATTCTCCGGCTTATCGTCAAAAGAGATATTTCTTTTACACCTCTTCTTTGATCGATCATCTCTCATCCGCCACTTCGTCCTCGGGCCCAAGTTTGCCGACGGCGTCCTCGGGAATCTCTTCGCTAGCCTATACTCGTCTCCCGAACTGCTGCTTAGTAGCTTCCTTTCTCTCTCAGCCGGTTTCGCCAGGAAGGGGACCATCGGACTTGAGAACTATCGATCTGTTGAATCTGTCCATGTGCCCAGGGCATTGAAAGAGCTGCAGACACAGGGCTCAAAAACAATGTTAACTAAACTGGATATCACAACAGCTGCAAACATCGGGGTGGGACTGATGACGTAGGATATATTAACAACCGGAAAGAATGCTCACGCCATCAGCCGCTTTACACTAGGCCTGGCTGCTCGCTTTTACGAATCAAACATAGCGCGTGAGCCAAGTTACTATCAGGCCACTGTCCGCGAGGTGGAATCTATCATGTATCCCCTATTTGTCATGGACACCTACAATTGCCTCATTCGAAGACAAATTCCGGTGCTCAAAGTCGAACGGCCAGATCCAGAACTCGTCGACCGATTCTTGGGCGTCTGTGTCCATTTGCTACCGTATCTGTTCGACTTGTGTCACGTCAGTCGGGACCTCAGAATCGCAGAATTGGGAGACGGGGCAGAAGGTACCCCAATCTTCGATAACGCCAAAATACGCCTCCGCGTGATAGAATCCACCATTCGCTCATGGGTTCCCACGGTACCCCGAAGCTTTGCCGCCTCAGCAACAGCAACCGAGATTGATATTATCGAGGGACAGGGAAGGTTGCATCAATACGCTGTGCTTCTTGTTATACACCGGATATGGCATCCCTTCGGAAGCGAGGACGCCATAGCGCTGGGTTGGTCGAGACAGATCCTTACGGGCATCGAGAAGATGTGTAGTGGCGCTGGGCATGAAATGCATCGTGGGCTGAACGATGATGGTCAAGAGGCGCAGGCCGCCTCGACATCTACCAATTTTGACTATAGAATCCTGTTTCCTCTATTTGTGGCTGCTCTGGAGCTCACGGATCCGACGGAGAGGCTTGCCACTGTAACGGAGATGCTAGGGATAGTACTTCCACCGATGTTGTACCAGAATATTATTGACATGGTAGCACAGTTCTTGGAGTATGTCTGGGAAGGTCGGGATCGGGGATACCGAGCACGCTGGTTTGGCCTTGTTGATAATGGTCCGTCGTTTATCATAATATAAATTCGGTGACCATGTGAAGCAGGACTGCATTGAAAACCAATTCTCAAACGCCGATGGCAATGTGAGTGTCTTGGCCACAAGGTGCCAAAGAACAAGCTCTCAGGAGAGTTTGTGCACACAGCCGTGGGTCTTCAAAATGGTCATAGATACTCAAAGGAATAGTTAGTCGAGGTGATGAAGAATATGGTTTCGATATATTTGTAATCTCATTCAAGATCGTACAGCTACTGACCTAAAGGTGACCAATTATAAAGAACGGCGGCGATTCCTTCCTCCGAATCGGCACTCTTTCCGCGAAGTGCCATCAATCGCTGTGCCTAATCTCAGCTGCATCCCCATAGCCATCAGCCTCACCGGAACCGAGTGAACCGAACTCTTCGACAAGAGGGCCGCGGATACTCGCTCCGTCTAAGATGGCCACTTCCCAGCAGCTTCCTGCTGTGTTGACATCTGGGCAAGCTGATCTCGAGCGATCACGACATGGGAAGGGTCTCGACCATTGAACTGTATCCACCTGTCATTGCCTATCTTTGACTGGCCTCGAAACTGCCTTAATTTCCTGCTTGGTCAGAGAGGTTCGTGCTATTGGAAATCCCGAGGCGGGGCGGTGTCGCGCCTCAGCTCATGATCACCAGGCGACATTCAACATTCAGAGGGATTTTGGAGGTGAGTACCTCGGTACTTCGTTTATTTTTACCGTTTTCTTGCAAGGCACTCTTCTCGGTCGGTCCTGGTTGAAAGCAAACTGAAATTTCGGCCCCCGATCCATAGGGTAGCATTCCCGCCTCACAATATTTTAGTACCTTACCTGTTGGTGTGGCGCAGGGGTACCGGAGGCCGGACTATTGGCGGGGAATGTTGGTCTGTCCATACCTCTAAGTATGTCACTGTGTCGTGTCGATTGGGTGGAGAGTTGGGCTGTTGTCCTCCTTCGAGTGAAATCTCCCAGACGAGGGTGGCACTTCCAACTCCCAACATGTCGAAGGCTCACAATAGGTCGACTCCGGAAATTCAACCACGGCCAGCCATAAAACAGGTTTCCGCCCTGCAACCACTAAAGAGATGGTGTCTCAATTGTGACTCAACTGGGATGGGCCTGGGCTTCCAAGCAGTCAGGTTAGGGTTCCTTGAATAACGGCCAGCGAGTTTAACCACTTTCACTGTCAACGGCCCATCCCTGATCAAAATCAGACAGTTCAACCCCGCCAATTTGTCTCGCGTTCAGCCCTAACCCCAGTTCACTTTCATTTATCGGTCACATCAGTTGATCGTCCGAAAACAGGAACCAAGGCGAGCGCGTTAGCCAATAAGATGCGGGTGCACTCATCCTGTACAGCTCAGTGCATGAGACCGCGCCTCACATCCTGCAGAGGGGATTAGGTGTCTAAGCCGTCGGCAGGGAAACTTGGCTTTGGAAGACCGTTGACACACCCCTGCCTGCAAGCCGTTTACTTGTGCCGTCAAGCTATCGGACTAGGCTGCGGCTGAGGGATAAAATATGCGGTGTCATGAGTCCACCTTCATGCAATCCCTGTCAACGGTCAAATACTAATCAAGCAAGTCTTCGCCTTTGGAACCTCCCCCGTTCTGATTGAATGCTCTATCCATGTCAGGTTACTTCGTGTCTGTGTGTTCGAGACTTTATACCCCCTCCATCATGCTGTTTTCCGTTTGCTGGCCATGAGAGACCATGTTCCTTCCCTCATGTCATAGGTCCATCTCTCGCTTAGGCAGCGAGGGAGGCAGGACAAGTTCTGCATCGACTAGGGTATCTCCGGTGCTGAGATTGTGGAGAAATAGAGAAAACACATGTACTGAGTATATATAGAATAGAACTCCCGATTTTGAATAATTTTTGTTCCCTTCCTTTTCCCCTTGTCAAGAAGATTGAAATTTCATTCGTTTTTCTTGGAAACCGCTTGTAAAGCAAAAATCCCAGTGTCGTCTTACATTCGTTTGTATTCCCATCCCACATTAACACCCTAAAGATGCGGTCCTCCGTTGTCAAGTTTGTTCTCGCCGCCGCCTCCCTCGGTGCGGTCGTAGACGCCTCCGTCGACAGTCTTCACACGAGGCTCTACCGTCGCCAGGGTGGTGCTTTTGATCCCGATGAGACCACCGCTTACGGTGCCGACTGCGTCGAGGCCTTCGGCCCCGGCTATGTCGAGTGTGTTCCTGAGTCGATTGGCGTGACCAGACTCTGTATCATTCCCAGTGAAGGGGAAACATGTTGTGAAAACAAATGTTCGTGGAATTATGCAACACCGAACACATTGATCTCACTGCTAACCATTTAATTAGGGGGTTGCCCTGCCGCGTCCTTCTGCTTGGTCCAGGACCTCTGCTGCCCTGATGTATGCCTCTTTCCGTCACTCCCATCATCCCAGTATTACAGGAGCTAACCAATTACCCCCAGGGTCTTGATCCTCAAACCTGCGCTACCCAGAACAACGTCGACCTCCCTCCCAACTTTGTTCCCGGTGGCAACTCCCCCCCGGTTTCTTCGGAACCCGCCGATCAGAGCAGCGCCAGCATCCCCGCCGCTCCAACAGCGGAGGAGACTACCGGAGGTGGAATCGGTGGTGTCATCCCCACTCCCACCAGGGGCAGCGTGCCCTCTTCATCTGTCCCCGTTCAGGTGAACGGAGCCGCCCGCGAAGGCTTTGGTGCCGCTATCGCCCTTGCTGGTCTTGCTGCCGCCCTTATTTGAACCAGTTCGAAGACATAGGATCTGTTAATGCTTGATGGAAAGTTAATATGGGGTCACAGAGGATTTTCGAGCCTCGGTGACCAAGGTTATGAGGATATGTAGTTTCATATTTTACGAACGTCAAGTAATACCCACACGTACGAATTTACACACCTGCCATCTTTAGAATGCATTCTCTTCACGGTCAGTACAGTGCCTGGAACTTTCTACCCCGTTGGCGATCCCCTAAATCTGGCTTTTTGTACCCATTGCTTCCTCCCGCACTCGGGAAACCGCAGAATCGTAATAGTAAGACGATATTGTGTTTTTTTTCATGATGCTGTATTCGCATTCAAAACAAGTGGATGGAAGGCTGCGATTCATTCGCGACCCTTACTCTGGGTATCAGTCACCGACAGCATCGTTCTTCCTTTTCGTCCCGTGAGCAGCACTCGACTTTTTGAAAAGTGCGTCGAGCTTCTGCTGGCCCTTTTCTGTCTTCTCAACCTTGACCTTCTCGCTCGCTAGAACTGGCGGCAGCCCTTGTACGCGCCTCTTCGCGTCATCCAACAGGTCAATCTCACGCTGTCGCTGACCCTTGACCGTTGGGACAGACCAGGTGTTGGAAGACGACAACTTGTGGGCCAGCTTGTACTTGGAACCTGTGAGATGAGTCTCGTACGTGTTGGCATCGACCTTCTTAACATTCTAAGACGTGTTTTGGTGAGTTTTGCGACCTTTTAATTGGGGCTACTCGGCACATTTTCTTTCGTACCTGATGAGCCACAATAAGCCAGTGATATTCGGTGCCAATCGGAGCACCACTTCCAGCCGGGGCTCTGCGTGCCCTCCTCTTGGTCGTCTGATAGTCAATCTTCCACAGGTCAGGCTCTACCTTGGTCTCTTTCCATACCCCTTGGTCGTAGTTCCACGTATGAGACCCGCCGATGGCCATTCCCGAATAGACTTGCCCATGGAAAGACTTAAGCGCATTGTATCCCCCGGCACCGTAATTGTAACTCTGCCGGCCACTTGGGCCCGCATTTGGACCTCCCGTGGCCTCGGATTTGTCACCAATGACATCATCGAAACCCTCTTCTTCGTCGATGATAGCTGTGTCGATTGACTCGGCACCGTCAAAACTGCTCTCCGTCTTCTGACTGCTAGAAGCTAGAATTTGCTCATCTTTGGCATCTTTGTCGTCATCTACGTGTGGCTGGCTTTGGTCGTCCGGCTGGCGATCCGAAGGTTGAGATGATGGGGCGGGAGGAGAGCTTTTTCGAACGCGTTTCCTCGGAGGCATCTTTTGAAATATGGCCTATGTAGTGTCTTATGCAATTGATGATGGAAATCCAGGATAGCTGGATGGATTCGGTCACTTCCTGAGATGGTGGGACGTTATATGTGGAGATTGTGGTGCCTCAGATGACGTCGAGATGAGCTGTTGCAGAGGTCCAAGTACCCATGCTCCAAAACGCGGCCGGGTATACATTGTATTATTCAATTGTCACATTAAACCGGATGTTAACGTTCTCTCACTATTTGAATTACCCGAATATAATCTTATCGAGGTAACTTCCGATATCTTCCAGCCAAGAATTTTCGTTAACATGTGCCGTACGTTCGAACTGAGCGAGCACCTCAGCCTTACTTATTGACTCTTTCTCTTCTCCGATATTATGGCTTCAGTACCTTTGCGACAATATCATCAGCCGTCTCCCAGACTACACCTAAAAGCTCCGAATCCGACTCTTCCCTCGAGGGTGCCACAACACAACGGGCCTGGCCCTTATCAAAGAGCTGGGCCACGACCAAGTCTAGCACCCACCCTCCTGAACCTTCCTGCAGTTTTTTTCTCCCGCTTTCCAAGAGTGACTCGGTTGTTGATCTTTCAGTCTCCCATTCACTCCCAGTTGCCCTTTTAAATGCAGCCAGGATCTCATTCTGGCTAGTCTTGACGGAGAGGACCTTGACGAATCGATTTGCTGTCTCCTTGGGGTTCTGCAGCACCCCTACGACGGATTGACCGATGCCCTCAAGTGTCGTCCCGGTAAATTGTTCAACTCCATCATCATAGATCGTGGCGCTTTATCTGGTGGCGTCGAACCCCATCGTTGGGAACCGTTTCAGCGCCTGCAAAGGGTTAGATCTTTGACGCAGGTTATAAACTAACACGCAGGAAATACTCACCCAGTCGATCGGGTTTCCGGTGGAGATACCTGTGAAGGTGAATTGCGGTTTAGAATCGGCGACCGCCTTCGCATGGTCCCAACCCGCCCGACGCTGTGACTGGATTTCCTTGAACTCGGGCAATCCCCGAACGTTCGGGCCCCACCCAAAGTCGTCGATGATGAATCGTTTCACTCCAGCGGCGGCGGCCGCGTCAATCATTGTTGACTGGAGGCTGATGCCACCCGGACCGACAACACAGACGGCTGCGTCCTGACCTACCAGTGCCTTAGTGAGGTGGTCGAGGGTATAGTCCGTTCGGACAACGGGGACCCCATCCGGGAAGGTAGCCTTGGACTCTTCTCGAGTGATAATAGTCAAGTCAAACCCGGCCGCGATGACTGCGGCGGTAATGGGTGTACCAAAATTGCCGGATGCCAGTGGGATTGTCAGTGTCTAGATGCCTGCACTTTTTGGGAGACCGACATACACCGAAAATAGCAACCTTGTAGAGGCTAGTCATTGTGACCGAAAATAATGTCTCAGAAGACTAATGTTGTATTCAATCTGGATTGTGCCCTCGAGATGACTTTCTTCATGTATGAACTCAATTCCTGAATATGACAGCTAGGTGGCGAACTTTTATATATTGTTGATGATCGAGGCGCAACTGGCGTGGCGGAACTCCGCCTATCCAGACTCGGCCGTAACGAAAGTCTGAGCTCAATGTCAGGCGGCTTTGCCTAAGAGAGACTTTGGACATCGCGTAGATAGTAAACCTCATATGATAATGCCCTCGTATACCTATATACCACAGAATAACTGACTTTCAGCCAACTACCTAATCACTACAAACCCTCATCGCACTCCACAGGCCAGTGAGGATTTAGGACTAGCAGTGCGATTTATGGGGGAGTTTCAATCTTGATCTTAGAACTGCCGCTGCTAAAGTAGCCTTCAGTCGCGACAATCATGTAGTTGTGCTTGCCAAGCTTGAGACCAGCTTGCTCCCAGGCCTTGAAATGGTTGCCAGTGGTGACGTTACCGCCAGTGTGCTTCTCCGTTCGCTATAATGGGAGGCATAATATGTCAATGGCACTGTTTAATCCACAGCCTCCCCGAGCGAGGTATAAGAATCAAGACTTACGATGGACCAGTATTGTTGGAAAGTGGACGTTCCCTCAATGCTTGGCTGGTTGGTACGAGTGCTGACGTAGATATCATAGGTTCCGCCGTCAGAGGTCAACTGACCCTTCTTCTGAGCATTAGAGGCAGGGTTGTACGTCCCGAAATTCTCGATAACGTAGTATTCGACGAGAGGGTTTTGGGTCCAGCCGTAGACGGCGAGATACTTGCGATGTAGTGTTAGACCTTTCATAAAATCTCGAGGTGCTGCTTCTTTCTGCTTATGTTTTCGGTAGACTTACGCTGTTGCCGTTGGGGTTGTATGTCCCAGAGTAGGTGATTACCCTGAAACCACGAATCAGCAACGTGCGCCATCTTTCTGGTATTTTTTCTTCACCTACTTATCACCCCCAGGATTCCATCCCTTGCCGCCGACAAAGTTGCCGCCACCACCGCCCCAAGTCACCGAGTACTCGCCGCCATCGAGGTTTGTATACGTAACGTCCGAGCCACCATCAGTCCACCACGAGTAGTAGTATCCGTTGTTAGTACCTGTGGAGCTGGGAGTAGCGCGCTTCTGCAGAAGTTCGCCCGATCCCGTTGGGCTTGCCAAGACCCCCAAGGTCGTAGTCAGCACGGCAGAAAGGACTGCAAGGCGTACCATCTTGGCATTCGGTGAGGATACGATTGGAGAAACCTGGTTACCTTTTAGGGTTGCAGATCCCTTGAATAGTGGTATATTGGCCAAGGAATACAATAAGTCTTGGCCTAGATGCAGCGAGGGCTTGGCTTCTTATACACAAGTTATCATCCATCCATCTTCCTCTTGCCCGCCTCTGAACTCTCCACCTACTATGGTTATATTCAGCGTGGTATTATCACATTCATTTAATTTGAGGAGACGCTGCCACTTGGGTATAGGAGATGCTTGCTGATTCCGGTCTAATGCCCAGGTGGATTCGCAATCCCTCACAAGCGTCCGTAGCATTTGTGTGCGCGTCCAGTATAAGACAGCGATGATCACCCTACAGAGAGACACTCACTGGTCGAAGCCGGTACTCGGCATGCATATCATTAAATTCAGACGCAGAACAGCCGGCAGTTGGGCCTAGACCACCATTTGAAGGCGTTCAGCCGGAATTGCCGTCCACTCGGGTTTTTATTCTCCTCCGTAGAACTCCTCCCGGAGCTATGAATGGACGCGGAACTTTCGATCTGCATATTACCCAAGGCGGGGTGAGATTGCGCATTCCTTGGGGGGATATTGGGGTACTTGTCAGCCCGCTTCGTTCAACATCAGGGCTGGAGTGACAGTTGCTTGGATAGACATAGTATTAACCGACTAGCTGTGGGGGGGAATGAATTCATGTGGGTTCGGCTCGTTGTATGAGGTAGTGTTTTCGTTTCGGCTAGGTGTATCGCTCTGCTAAATTCCTGGGCCAGTTCGCTAAGTTGACCGAGTCGGATGGAACTTGATTTATCCTCTCCACGGCGAAAGCTATCACGTATTCATTCGAATGTGACTGAAACCCGGCGATTTGACTTATGAGAAGGTGTAGACCACAAATAGATGCCAGTTGATAGTGAACGACGGAGGGCATTGGGGTACATAATTCTTAGAAAGGATGCTATCTGGTTGTCCTGGCGCATAAAATCCACTTCGTTTGGCAATACACACATACACCTAAAAGTTTCAGGGGCAATAACATAGATCACGGTGTTGATATTTGGCGTCTCTAGACTCAGGACGACTTTGATAGACTAGAGGCCCACTATCTTACACCATACGAGGTACATGAAATAGTAATGGACCTTGGCTATATTTACGAGCAGCAACGGCATCCAACATCCTTTCTATATACTAATAATACTGGGTCCTAGCCAAAAGTCGAGCTGGATTTCCATGATCTCAGCCACATATACGAAGTGGACTTAATACTGAGACAATCTCAAGCTCCTCCTTCATGGCGGACGTCTAGATATTCTTTCCGTATTCGCTTATACAATGTCCTGGCTCTCTCAATCTCGGAGGTCGCCGTATATCCAATTCAGTCCTCCGTCAGTGGTTGTTTCGCCCTCCAGAGAATGAGATAGACGGGGTATAACCTTGTTAGATCGTATCTTGTAAATAGGCCTGGCCCGGCCCCGGTCCTCACCAAACTCTCCCGGCGTGACGGGAAGAGTACGGCAGCCAACTGGTAGAACTTGATCTCCTGAGGCTTGTCTTTTGATCAGACAACAAGGTGTCACCTAGAGAAAGGAAGTGGTGGGTGTTTCATAAAGTGTGGTTGCGCTATAACGAACGTTAGGTTAATGATAATGCTGGGAAAGTGCATCCAAGGTAGTCTCTAGGTTTTGGAAGGTTCGAAGGTGGCTCTGGTTCTGGCATCGCGGGAGGCTGCAGTCTAGGATCCCGCTTTGTGGGTTTGCGATTCAACAATGACCTGAAAACGGATATTAAAATTTCCCACCTTCCATCCTGGCAAATCTCCTTTCCCTTCCTCATCTGCGCCATCTGCATCCAAGGGACCTCGAAAATTGGTGGCTTCAGCCCGAAAGGTCAGTATCTATGTCGAGACAAAACTAGATGGAGTGTTCTAACACCCGATTACCCTCCTCAACCCCAGGTTTCCCACACCACCACTTGCCACATTTGCTCAGGCACTGCTCAGGGTATCCTCAGGGAAGTTACTGAAACTGGCTTAGCAAGAGATGGCTGTGCTGTATAGGCCTAGAGTTAAGAAAATAAAAAATGTCAACTTTTCACGAGGGAACAGTTTCGGACCACTAGTCCCAGAAATAGGCCACCCAAGGAATCTGTAAAACCTACCTACGCTATTCTAACAATCCATTAGAAGCCCAGTTTTGGGCCCTACCTACTCTTCATTTCTCCTTCTTCCTCCATTCATTACAAGGGAAACCCTCTCATCAACTATAAATTCCTTCAGCCAGTCAGAGTAGCTCTACCCCTTTAAGAGTCTTTACATAGCAGGTGCAATACCTATCTATTCTTCTAGCAGTACTGCTAATTTTTTTTTCAGTTTTACTCGTTTTGTTATCGTAGATAGGTAAGAAATGGACAGCTGAGGAGAGGAGGAAATTTGTAGAGGAGAATGGTTTCAATGATAACAATATACATGTTGACAACAATCCCGTCCCTCAGGACGTCTTAGATTACACCAAGGAGAGTTACGATGTCCAAATGGACCTGTGGATTGAGTAAGCCGTACTATACGAACAGCTGTCCACTCCCAGGTCAAACTAACAGGTTTCTAAGGTACAAAACAACACACCCTAAGGCTACTCCTCATAGATTGAAGACTCTAAAGCATTTTGCCGAGTTTATGGCAAAATCTATTAAAGGCGTGCTTGACCTAAACGGAAAGCCGGCCGTTCAGACTGTGCGGAACTATTTCCAGCACCTCATCTCCAGTTGGAATATAGACAACCCTAAGTCTTTGATTTCGAGGGACCTTACAGACTCTATCACTATTGTAAGTCTCCTAGTCTTCTAGCATAATTCTACCGCCGATACTGACTACAAAATAGTACATCAAAGGTCCACTGAAGAAGAAGCCAAAGCACGGCCAAAGAACGACCCTTCGACCAGGCCGATTTATAGAATCTCCAGGCCTGGTCGCGTGAGAATCCGCTTCCCTACAGCTGGCCATTGACGACTTGCCTGAAGACTTTGGCTTTGACAAATCAGTCTCATGGTACGCAAGGAATTTGCTACCGAGTTACCCGAACCCGACCGCATTAGCACTATAGAGCCGTCATGGCTTCTGTAAGCTTTTTCCCTGCATGTCGTGACACTGACATCCGCCAGGTCGCCGAGGGACCCCTGGGACCCATCCGGAGGAAAAAAGACCGCGACGTGATCCGGGGCAGTTGCAGAGCTCCGACAGCGAAGCCCGGCGTTCGGGTCAGACGGCCAGGTCGCGAGGCAGGGTTAAGCTGTGGAAGCGTTCCAAGTCGAAGCGAGCAGCGCCAGTGGGAGCGGAAAGAGGGAAAAGCAAATGTTGCTCCTCGGCAGTTATAGAAGAAGGGATAAGGCACCTGGGTTTAAAGGGAAGTCCTGAGAACGGGACCACGGGAGAGGGGAAGGATAGCGATTAGTGAAATTACAAAGGCACACCCATACTCGCGCCAGCCGTTGGCGAAATCGAGTGTCATCTACAGTCCCAGTGACGGCACAGGGACGCATAGATACTTCAACCCCAGCCCATCTCCCGCCGAATCAAAGCACTCAAGTCCTGCTGGTTGTAGTTCCAGCTGTATCTCTTCACTCTACTTCAGTGGCTTTCCCCAGGTCAGGCCGTGGCCGTTCTGACATCACTATCCGTACACGAGGCAACTAAAAACCAAGCTCACAGACTTGCTTTTTTCCGAGTTTCGTATGGCAATATGAAACTGACGAGACCTCCAGAAATCCACAGACTAGCGCCCAGAAACAGAGGCACGTTGGTGAATCCAGTGAATGTTGTTGCCAGGGTCCCAGCTAGACCACACAACCGGTTAAATGCGGCAGCGAGACCAGTCCCTGTAGCTCTGTGAGACGAAGGAAATACTTCGGGTGTATAGCAGTATAGAGCCCCCCACATTCTTTCACGAGCTCTGTCAGTACTTGTTTGATCCATACCGTCAATAAGTCGAGGGGATTTGGGTTGTCTTACATGAATTGAGTAAAGGATATGATGCAGTTGAAGGCGAGGATTGTTCCTTCGGTCCGTGCCGAAGTAAAAGCGAAGAGGAAGGCTCCGGTAAGAAGTAGTGAAATACCAAGCGTGCCTTTTCTTCCCACTCTCTTCAAGGTGATTAGGTATCCTGACAAGATCGTGCCGGGAATGGTACATGCAATGGTAACAACCAGGTTACGATAGGTGGTCGCCGTGCTGCCGTCCCCCGCTGCAGCACCGTGGATCTTCAGGTATACTGGCAGGAAGCTGTTGTAGATGGGATTTGCCATGCCAACCATGCCCCAGAGGACCATGATTAGGAAGAAGCTCCAGGCCAGTTTTCTTGTGCTCCAGAGGCTGCGAATGTTCTTCCACCCCTGCGGTCCGAGATGAGCAAAAGCCCGTTTCACGTGTGCATTTCGCTCTCTGGTTTCTCTAGACACCTGTTCTGCATTCCGTAGGTCGTCCACGCTGAGGCTCTGTCTTTCCGGGCCGCCGTTATATTCGGAAATGGCGTTGAGGACTTCGATTGCCTCCTCATATCGGCCGAGACTGGCCAAGTACTTCGGAGACTCGTAAAGCTTGAAGAGGAAGAAACGGCAGATCCAACCTATCAGGGTCAGGCCGCCCATAAGGAAAAAGAGGTATCTCCATCCCATATTATCCTCTCTCCGGCATTCCCCGGCGGGGGTCGACTCGCTGCAAGAGAAGTTTGGCAGAAATCCCCACGACGCAAACGCAGGAATGAACTGGCCAACCGCCCACCAAATAGTGAGAATCTCCAGGAGGTACTGGTGCGTTCCTGGGAGGAACTCCAGAAATACGGTACTGTCAACGGGTACTGGAAAGAGCTCAGCAAATACTATGTGTACAGGGGGGATGATTTGGGTACTTACGATTGCCACCAATACCGAAACCGCAGACAGCAGCCAGGGAGCACGCCGCCACCCAGCTATTTACTGCGCCAATACACAAACCAGATACGCACGCGATGAGGAGCGTCAGGTTCCAAGCCCAACGCCGCCCGATCAGATCGGCTCCGACGCCCCAAAACGATGCGCCGAGCGTCAAGCCTGTTGACAAGGAGACCACGAGGAAAGCCGGTCGCTCAGGGTTAAACTCCATGGCCATGATGCTCAGGGCGTTGGAGATGGACGCAGACCAGAGCTAATGCACCAGTTAGGAGTTGGCTTAGAGCACAAGGTCTTGCGCGGACGTACCTGGTCTATGAGCCAGCCGAAGCCCGCCATGATGAAGAGATGCCACTGGTACTTGCCCATCCCAATAGTTTGGATCGCCTGGTTGATCATGCCGGCCTGCAGCTCAAACACAACATCGGTACCGGCAGTTTGGAGGTTCTCCAATGCCACTTGGTGTGTATCGTCACTCCCCGCTTTCTGTGACATTGTAAGGGCTAGTTCCACGTGGGACGCCGGCACCTTGCCGTCCTCTCCGGTGTCATTACTCCCAGACATTGTGAGCGAAGCGCAAGTAGTATACGCAGGTTTTCCGTGCAGGGTTTGGTCAGACGTGGTTAAAACGATAAATTGAGGGTTCCGAGAATTACTGTTCGAACTATTCTCGACTTGCGGACATCGAGCCCCTTATGAGGCCAGGGTTCCCGCAGGGTTCTCATACACCTTGCATCCGGCCATCAAACCCAAGCGTCGCAACATTAGTGAGAAACGCTTTCTCAAGGGAACGGTTATCCCTGGCCCAATCACCATCATTCGCTCAGACTTGAGTCCGAGAGCCGCGGACTAGGTCTAGTACAGAAAAGTGGACGCCAATTCCGCCGGACTACGTACTAAGAATTGGCCAGTGTGCGGGACGGAGCACTTCCACCCAAGTCGAGAATCACATGACTACCAGCGTACGTGCTCCAGCGGCACTTGTCTTCCGCCGAAGTGGATTCTAACGACCATGCATGCATCATGGCGGATATCCCTGCCCTCCAAAGGCGCAAGTCTTTTACGTGGGCGGACCTCTTCCACGAAAGTGGCATCTTACCCACCAATCGGAAGAGACGCACCACTCTGAGAGTTCACCAATCGGAAGAGGCGCACCGCTCTGAGAGTTGTCAAATCATATCCAACACTCAGGTGTGTTGCTGACAATGTTGGGATCACACGATGTCGTTGATATGGGCTTCGTGTGAGTTGTGTAAGCTGTAAGTGCCTTTCCGAACGTACGGATCCACAGCATGAACAGCTATAAATATCGTCCTTTGGAGCCTCTGGTAACATTCGGGAAAACAAGACGACTTAACAAGGCAAGACTGCTAGGCCATATTGAATCATTATCACTGCCCCCACGCTATTGTCCATTGAACTATAATACCAATGATTCACAAAATTACCGAGTCGAAGAACCCTTGCGGTTCGTGCTTCAACCCCGACAAGCATTTACGCTTCTCTCAGCCGAAGAAGGTTTATAAGCTCGAGGAACTCCTGCTGAACCCTCCATCTGCCACATCCCCAGTCGCCATTACTGAACCATTCCCGCTTTTTACAGAAGAAGGGGTCCAAGAGCTCCGGAGGGACATCTTCCGCCGTGAGGTCGTGGACAAGCATGGCCGGAAACAGAAGGCTGGAATTTACATCATTCGGGGCTCCGGCGTCGACACCCCGTTTGTATACGATGCCTGGAACAGCGAGGCGCTGCGCCGGGCATGCTCGCGCGCGGCGGGCGTAGAGCTCCAGCCCGTCTTCGACTACGACATTGCCCACACCAACGTCCAGCTCGGCTGCGAGGCGGCAAAGTACGAGGACATTTACACCGTACTCCCCTCTCCGAAACCACCAAAGCAGACCGGCCAGATAGACGAGGAGGGGCGCGACAAGGACATCAACGATAACGATGCGGTGGTGGGCGACTGGCACAACGACGTCTATCCATGGGTATGCGTGCTCATGATCTCCGACCCTACGGGCATGCACGGCGGCGAGACGGCGCTACGCAAGGGGGACGGATCCATCATGAAGGTCAGGGGCCCGGAGCTTGGTTACGCCGTCATGATGCAAGGAGGTTCCATTAATCATGCAGCGCTGAAGCAGTACGGTAAAGGCGAGCGCATCACCATGGTTACCTCATTCCGTCCCCTCGACCCGCTGGCCTTGGACGGATCGACCCTCGGCCGCGTCAAGATAGTAAGCGACCTTGGGATGCTATTCAAGGACTGGACAACCTACCGGCTCAAAGTGGTGATGGACAGGGCGGAGGCGCTGAGGGCAAAGATTGAACAGGGAAGCCTGCCCGCCCAGAAGATTAAACGGGAGATGCAGAAATGGGTACAAGAGCAGGACGCCTATCTTAAATTCACTCTGACCGAAATGGAAGACTAAATTGTTGAGTTGCGGTTGAGTTCTTCAATAAGATTGTTGTAACATGCTAAGTCTTGAGGCTGTCTCCAATAGTGAATTAGGCTACTCCTGTTCCTTTATGGATAATACTACGCTTTTACCTGTGTCAACAAGATCCCGCCTGGAGTAACTATCGTCATACTGGTCGCTGCACGCTCCCGGGTCTGGTGGTTTCGTCGCCGTCGGGTCTCTCTCGGGTGAAATCGGAGAAGCCGTCAGCTTCTAAGGGGTAACCATCCTCAGGCGCCGAAGACGGAATGTCCATATTCGGGGGTTGCACTTCTCCAGGCGGGGAGATCCAGACATCTAGCGGCCTACCCCAGTCTAACGAGACTCGATTCCAGCACCCTTACAGAAGGGTTAGAGTTCAGATATTCATACCAAAGCACTTGTACCAACTATAACTCAACATTTCGGCGAGCGGCCCCAAGACCCCGCATGCTGTAAGTAGGTCCGTACCTCGTATCTCCGGCCAGTGACTGAATCCGATGGCTGGGATTCTATTGGAATAGCCGGAACAGCCAATGACGTCTATTCGCAGCTAGGTGCGGCTGGGTCCCAGACCGACCGCATAGCCACACTAGCAAGAGGTCCATGCCCTTTTTGAGCTACCCAATCGCTTTCCCTGCATAAGTAATTCTATCATAACATCCCCAAGAGGTTAAACTCGCTCGTTGCAGGGTCGTATCCCCATTAAGCTCCACATACACCATGGGGATCGGCTAGTAACCTCACCAATTGACACTGCATATGCGGGGTAAGCGGCTTTCGATTAGTCCGTTCATCTATAACCTTGGCGGTGTACCACTTCGAGATCGATGGCCTTACCTTTGATTTTTAACTAGACTCCATGCTGTTCCCAAAGCTTTGCTCGATTTCCCAGCTCTACTTTTTGACGGGAGTTACAGACAAAGACTCTCGCACGCCAACATTAACTATTGAGGATGTCGCATCCCTTGTTTACCATACCCGCGATGCCCGCAGCGCCACTCATGCAGGCCGGTACAGGGCCCAAGAGAAGTCGGGCATGGAGAGCGTGTTTAGGGTGCCGCAAGATCAAAGTACGCACTAGACGATTTGTGAACGACAATTTGGATGGCGTCGACAGGGCTGAAAGGAGTTTATTCTAGCGCAGATGTGATGGTCAAGATCCTTGTCGCACCTGCGACGTCAGTAGTAAAGAATGCGTGTATATCGAAAGCTACGATAACGCTTCTACAAACCGCCGGTACTGTTTATCTGACGTCCCAGTCGCTTATTCTGCTGACTTATGAATCCTGATAGGCACGCTGCAACTCTTGAAAGCCAGACGGACCGCATCTCTCAGGTGTGCCAGCAGCTAGGGTCCCTGGTAGAGAGATTCGGCTACGCAATGGAGATATTCGAGAAAAGACTTGCAGAGCTACCTCTCGCCGCACCACAGAGCCATGCCGGCGCTATTATTTTGCATCAGCAGGGCGGTAGGTCTGGCGTATCGCTCATGGCAGATCTAAACGTGCCCGCTCATGAGTCTCCAGCTCGACTTCTACGACAACTAGAGGAGGAAACTGAATCGAACCTAGATGAGGATGAAGACGAGGCTGAATTATATCGAAGCAGCGAGGAGACAGAGGACGTTAAAATCGTTGCTCTGGGAGGCTTAGCTACTGACTCGTTCGGCCGACCTAGGTACGTACTGCTAGCTCCGACACCGATGAAGTGCTGTGTGGTTCCTCTAACATTCTAAAGGTACGTTGGAGGTGTGTCCAACCTAGCTATAATTGAAGCCTTGACTGCCCTATCTCATGGGGGGAAACCGCGACCATCGTCGGGTCCCGAGGTCGCTGTCCCTAGAGGTCAAGGCGTGTCTGGTCACCCATTCTTCATCCCAGGTCTCCAGGGAGCGCGACTGCCATTCCTGCCGACACCAGAGCAGTTGGATATACCACCTAGCTATATGTCGAATCTCCTAGTTACTGTGTATTTTGATAAGCTACATTATGCGCTGCCGGTTCTCTGCAAGAACCAATTCCTGAGCAAATATCGAGACCTAGTGGACGGCGCAAACCAAGTAAGGGCAGACGTTCGGTTTCTGGCCGTGTTCTATGCGGTGTGCGCCTGTGCCACGAGCCTGCTGGCCCGAGATGGCGGTGTGCAATCACTGTCCCCAGGGATCGAACATTTCGAAAAGGCCGCGCTCCTACAGCTGAGCTTGAACGACGACGCCAGTATAGAACAAATTCAATGCCTCGCGCTTCTGTCCCAATGCACCGCAAGTTGGAATTCGCTCGGTCAAGCCTGGAAATACGCCGGCCAAGCAGTGAGGGCAGCTATTGATCTAGGGTGTCACGTAGGTAGCCGGGTTTGTGCAATCAAGTGTGTCGGCGCTGACTTCTACATAGCAAGGAAAGTTGGGGAACGGAACCAGCAGAGCAGACGTCGAAATGAGCAGCCGAGTTTGGTGGAGTGTCTATGTTCTAGATAGGTTTGTGGTATTTCTGCGTGCATCTCGTTTCTTGTTATTCACATCCCCGGTACAGGATTCTTTCGACCTGCCTTGGACGACCGATGGCTGTAAACGACAGAGATTGCGACCCTATATTCCCTCTCGATGTGGACAACGAAGAGCTTAATAGCAACCTTGCAAATATTGCACCTTCCTTTACGCCGGCCAATGAATCCTTCTCGGCAGTGTCACCTATGACTGGCTTCGGTGCAATCTGCAGACTTAGCCAAGTCCTAGGAAACGTGATTAACTCGGTTCATTCGGTCCAATTTCACCACAAGGAGATGCTATGGAAAAAGATTTCTCATCTTCGGTCCGTAATACAATCCCTGGACCAGAACACTGCGGAGTGGGTGCAACTAGCACCGGACTTTGAATCACTCCCAAGGCAGGATCCCAACTGGGACCAAAGCGCTACGATGCGGGTGATCGCTTCCATAATTCGCGAAGGTTCGATTATCACGCTCCATTGGTAAGTACCTACGCGGAGATCACGGGTCGTAGCTTTGCCAAGGAAATCGAGGACTGATATCTCCTTGATTTAGGCGCCTACTCTTCAACAGCCCCGAAGGGAGTGACCCACACCTCGAAACCTCGCGGACCGAATGCATCGCAGCCGCCCAGAAATGTATCCAAACCGGGAGTTTCATCCGGGACCATGTTCCTCCGTCTTTTTATCTAGCCTTTTGCGTCCATTACTTGACCTTGTCTGGTATCGTCCTGTAAGTCCAGTTCTACTGCGGTCTTCCATGGCTGTCCCGGTGTTTTCGGTTTCCTTTCTCACATGCCTTGGCAGGGTACGCTTATCAAAGTCACGCGAGTCTGAGTACCGTAGCGATATCGAAGCCTGCGTGAAACTCCTTGGTGGTCTCGAGCGGGTGTGGTCCGGTGCGCAATGGAGTCGAAACATCATCCAGGAATTGCTGCAAAAGCGGCACTGCCTTGGCCTTGTCGCGGAAAATGAGTTCCAGTCAGGGGGCGTAAACAACACGATATACACATACGAGTCTGCCCCACAAGATCGAAGACCTCTTGTCGATTGGTACGACGACCAGTTTGATTTTAACTCGAGCGGAGAGCTACTCCGCGGCTTCTTCACCTAAGTTCCAAATTTCTTAGAAGCATTGGATGATTAGCCATTACAATGATCCAGCAGGTCAACACCAATGTAGTAGCCCAGAGAGGCGTACTATTTATTGCACCTGCAATGCCAATATGCGTAATAGGGAAAAAGGTGTCTAGCCTGCGGCATAGCAGTGCAAGGAGGCCTTTGTTAGGCATGAGGGTGACTAGAGATAAACTGCTTCTGGTACTCAGTCTAATCACGAGTATAAATGCCTGATCCTTTGCCATGGTCTTTATCAGAGTGCTGTTCGCCTCTCATTCGAGTAATTAGTTACTCTAGTAATGTCGAGGTGCGATATGGCGCTCTGGATAATCGTAGTGTGTTCCCGTTTCCCCGTGAATAGTCACGACGCCAGAAGATTTTGATATCTGTCTGCACTCGTATGGTAAAGTAAGTAGGCAATTATGTATGAGTCGAACGATAATGTACACTGGGCGCTTGGGTGGTGTGTGTATATGAGCCCAAAATTGGGCCCTGAAAGGACCTATGGAGGGTGAATTCCATTTTTGATTGATGGCAACTTTGCGATAGACGAAGGCTAGGCTCACTCATTGATTCACCCCAGCTCAGCTGCAGCTCAGGAAAGTGAACAGCAATGGAAACTGCTGAGGGTAACTTTCGGGTGTTACATATTGCTGAGTCTAACTCAACATTGCCCCTGTTACAGTCCTCAGAATCGCGATTAGCCATCCGAAATGGCGACTCCCATCAAACACATCTCGGCACATTAGCTATACCCGTGCGAGAAACGTTGCGCTGTGGGCGACAAGGAAACCACGACTCTCTGCACCCGATGCCGTTCAATTTATTACGGTTCAACCGACTGCCAGCGGGCTGATTACTCGCTGCACAAGCTCCTCTGCAAAGCTTGGGCGAACCCTGCTCTGGCATCCAAGACTGTTGTCCGGTCCGGCCAATTCGGCGTGGATCCAAATGAAGCGCCAGAGGGGCGCCGTGCCATTTACTTCCACGCAGGCGAGTCGATGCCCAGGATGACCTTGCTTCCTCGGGCGATCTTGAGGGGATGGCCTCGAGAGATTATCTCTCTGTTGGGGGACGGGAAGGGAGGACATGGATTCACATACGTCGAAATGAAAGTTGCAAACGGCGAGCGGCTGCCCTACACCCTCGAGATCGTTACCGTCGGTACTCCTAAGAAGTACAACTTGCCTGCCAACGCAGGGTTGGCGCGGGCAACTCGAGCTGTCGCGCCGGACACGACCGATGCTGCACAGGCAACTGATGCTGTTCCTTGGAGAGGTTCCATCCTTATACGGCGTGTCGCGCACCCGTCACATCATCGGCATTCGTATCTGGAAGACATGACACTCGCTGACTTCCGCAATGCGATTCTGGCACAGCGTATGGAGGATGGACTAACTGAGGATGCCTCCCCCAACTCGCCAAGGCCTGTCGATACCAAGACCGTCAAGGGCGTCAAACTGCTTTGCAATTCGGCCCTCGCCCAGGTCGGTTACACGAATTTTACTGAAAAGATTGCGGTACCCGTCAATCATGCCGCCTACACTGGTGGTGACCAGTCGCCGGTTTCGGTCATCGTCGGCATTCCCGTTCGCTTGTGGAAATTCCCAGATACAGAAAATTACCGAAGTCGAGAGGGTGGATCTACGAATCAGAACGCAGAGATTCTGATGTCGCAGCCGAGCTCAGATCCTCACAACTTCGGGCTCATCATGACGAAGTGGCAAGCCGACCACGGCAACGTGTTGGTCGTCCGCAACGACAGACAAGACCTAGACGAGGGGGACGTTCGAGCTCCGGTGAACTACGCTCGACAGCACATCTTTGCCGAAACGGAGTATGTGGTGAAGTTCTTGGATAAGTCGGGTGAGGAGACGGCCACGGATTTGTGCCACCCCACCATGTCAAAGATCAATAAGAACCACTTTCAAAGCTCCAGGAAGCAGCAGATGAAACACTAACACGAGACTCGATCGGCGATGTTCAACCGACTTCTCAATTACTTCACAGGAGGCGTTTAATTGGAACAAGGCTACGGGGCTAATCATTCGCTCCACCGATCTAGATTCTTAGAAAAGGGGGGGAGGCATGTAGTCCTTAGAAGTCGGGTAAAGCACTGAATCAAGGACTTTTATTTCCAACTTTGATTTATATGATAATGCCAAGCCGCCCTCGTTTGGAAGCTCTTCCTTGTGCATGACCACCTTCACATAACGTCCTCGATAACCGTGTAATATCTTGGTCGGATGGACAAGAGGTCTTATTGTTGATCAGGGAAAGGGTTACTAACATTAATGGCTCAAAGACCTTATGAAACTAAGGTCGGTTCGATAGAAACACAGGCACGCTTTGCTTTCTATTAGACTAAGGCACTATTACCCAAGTCTAGTATGTTTGCGCCAAACTCTATATGCCAAACCTTGTGAAGCAAAATAAATACGGTAGGATACCGTCAAGGCCATATCCGCTATTTAGGGACTCTCTCCATTCCCCCTGAGCTGTGCCAAAACAGAGTCCCATCCGTCATCCATCGCGAATGGCGGAGCATCGGACTTACACACCGTCCCGGGTTCGACCACGGTGCCGTTCAGGAAATACTCTCGAACGGCCTTGGCAGTGCATAAAGACGCCTGAACAAGAATCGAGTGCTATGAGAAGCCGTTAGACAACAGACTGCGATACGGATATTACACTCAATTACTCACTCCAGGGCTATCTTGTTCGAGAACGACACTGCCCTCAAACCCAGCGCTCATGTTGTAGGCGGAAGCGCGTGGGGTCACAGGATCGGCGGTATTGGCGATCATGAGGATCGGATTCCTGGTCTCGGCACGGAAATCACCCTCGTATCGCTCCTTCGCACGCGTTTTCCATCTCAAGCAGTCAATTATGCTGGCCTCGGCAACGTCACCGCCAATTCTACTCTTCCCGAATCGGGCTTGGGTGTGTGGGAGAAACTGGTCCAGGGTTGACTCGGATATGAGCTTATCACTTCCTCTGATGGCCAGGAGAGCCTCCGTGTCGTCAGGGCCGTCCTCAATATTGACGGACAAGGCCGAAAAATAAGCTGTAATAGTAGTAGTGTTACCAGAGAATAAGACATCGAGGCTGCTGGCAAGAAGTGGCCAAGTCTGAGGCGCGTAGAGCCCGCCGAAGATGGTGCTCTTTAAAGCACTGTAATCGAGGAGCATGGCTCCAGTGGATAAATACAGGGGGATCGGGTTGTATTTAATTCTTTCCAACCCGGCGTAAATGGCGTCTTCGAGTTCTTTTGCCGTATAGTTACCGGCGATTTTGCAACGATCGCGGGCTTCGACACATTGTGAGGCGAAGATAGAAAGCGTTTTGTCGGTATCAGAGAGATACTCTAGCTCACTTACAGAGAGCAGACTGAGTTAGAATCGAGTGACCTTGTGGAAATTAGAGACGAGGAAACCAACTGAGTGTAGACTTACTTGGTGTAGTATTCGTGAGCGTTGACAACTCCATCAAAGAGCACCTTATCCATTCGATCCGGGAACATTGATACGAGCGTTGCACCCAATACAGTTCCATAGGATATCCCTGTAAAGAGCGAGTTAGCCATTTGATATCGGCCTCTTTGCAGAGACAACCTACCCCAGTAGCGAACAAGGCCATCCTCGCCGAGAGCGTCCACGACGCTAATTATATCCCTGGCTGTGAATGCGGTACCAAGGAGGTGGGCAGTCTGGTTATTCCGCTGGTAGCATCGGTTCGCGATCGTCTCCGACGCAGCCCAGATCGTTCCGAGAGCCACATCGGAGGCATTTCCAGCAGAGGGCCGGAGCCGGGCTGCCAAATTTCTTTCCTCCGGTGAATCGTAACACGAAAAAGGCAAATTGGTCCTCGTGCCTCTAGATATCGAGCATATGGTGTTAGTGTAGCAAAAAATCACCGAAGACGCTCGCTACTCACCTAGGAAAGATGTTGATGAGGTCGTAGACGCCGCCAGTAAGACTGGCTATCATGTTAGCCAGAGACCGCGGAGACAAGGCCACGAACTTTGTCCGATTTACTTACGCGAGAAGGACATCTCCATAGACAGCGAATTCTGTATCTCCAGCAGACCCAGGCCCGCCAAAGTTGAAAAAGATACTGCCTTGAGACGGTCCGGAGCTTGCAGCTATCTTTATCATGTCGAGATCCAGTATACCGCTTGATTCTGGCTCTGTATAGTCTAGTGGTACCGGAATGCTACCGCAGAATAAAGGAGCCGTTGCATTGGCTTTGTCGCAGGATCTCCATTGGATGGTGCCTTCCTGTCGACCAAGGTTGGGGAGCGCAGCTGCCGATGCTGTCCTATACGTGGCCAAAGCCAGTGAGATGAAAATCAATGACGGAAAACGCGCCATCTTTGGGTATTAGAAATGAATCTGGGGTTATTGTGTGTGCATGTCTTGTTGGAATTCAGGTCAAGGTTGGAAAACCAGCTCCTTTTATACTGCTCCGAGGTGATGATCATCCTCTATGAGGATTTGGTGTTGATTTCCACGTCTGCTATGCCAAGACCCCAGTGCCGATACGCCACCAGCACCGCTGATAACTCGACGTCCGACCGAATAGACACCGGGGAGACCGGGCGGGGCATATCGCCAATAACAGATGGTAGAGTGGCTGAGAAGGCGAAGTGGATGTCGGCAGGTGGGTCGTCGGAGGCGCTGGGCCTCAACCAAATCAATTCTGGATCTGACGGGAACAATAACGCACACATGCACCGCCATGTGAAACGAGCCAAATGACTGGGAAGCGGCAGTTATTGGCTTGTGACGCGACAGACCGTGGATCTGATGTCAAATGAATTGCTGCGGCGGCAGATGACGCGCCAGATCCCCGTAAGCTGCGGAATTTTGACCTGGATTTACCGAGAAGGGTAATATGAGCCGCTGGTCCCCGCCAGAAATTCCATTCAATTGCTCAAATTCAATCCCTGCACACAGGCACTTCTAGCTCCCGACTTAGCTTGTAGGAGCTGATCATAATCATACGGGTGAGAAATGCTCTTGGCGCCTCCCATTTACTTGGCAAAGATTCGCGTTTTAGCAATTGGTCGACAAGGCACTAGATCTTGATGCGCAGTCGGTAGTCGCTGTCAGCTTATCCCTATTCCACCTTAGGTCTGCGCCTGGTTTTCGCCAGTCGAATCTCTCGATTGAAGCATGGCAGACTTTCTGATGCAACGACTGGAGTCGCTGGGCTCCAGCCCGAGATTTAAGTGACTGGGAATTTGAAAAGTGAGAGCGGTAAGACCGAAAAGTAGATGTAGTAGTATCAACAAAAATAGACTTGATGTCCAGAGTTCGGACCCCAACCTCCGATATAAACTACGATCCAGGGGGGATAGGGGATTTCAGGCCCGAGTTTGAGTGCGTGGCAGTGCCCAAAACGGTAACACGTTGCGATCTACATCGAGGAACCAGACCCTATTAAACTTCTACAGGATGGCGAGTAGAAGAAAACTATTTCGGGCCTGACGGTATCCGATCATTACGCCTGTTGATAAATGGTGACATATCCTATGACGGCCGCTTCGCACACACCGCTTTATTGCTGAGCCGCCGTGACCTACCGCAAGATAAAGAAAATGACGATCGATTCATTCGTTTCCGTCCGGTAAAGCCGCGGGAGGATGGGGCTCTATTATATGAGCAGGAAATGCGAGTCCTCCAGGCCTGTCCAACAGAGGATCTCTTCGCATAACAAGCGGAGAATGCGAGTACTATTTTGATATTAAAGCTCTGGAGATGTCAATACGGAAACCTCATTCTCAATAGTATTGAATTACTGTGTGAGATTAGAGATTCCACCAAGCGTAAAGATGTGGCAAGCACTAAAGGGGAGAGAGCCAGCTTTCCCCCGATTCGCAACGAATTGATCGATGATAAACCATTAGCCTAGGGTCCTGTTGGGACATTTGTTAATGCTGCTAGAGTGGCGAAGGATGCATTCCTGTCAATCCAGAGTCTCGCTCCTCCCTTTCATTTTTTGTAGTGTTATTTGCCGTGTTGTCCAAAGCCAATTCCCCACCTTGAAATAACTGAAGCTGGTCAGGCAAACAAATACGTCGCTAAATCCGTATATTATTATATCGACTAAGGACTGTGACAATTTCGCGGTGGGTGGCATCCGTGTTTAGGAGGGGGAGCAGAGATCGTGTTGTTTCCTCCCAATTTCATGTATTTGACGTAGGGTAGTGGGAGAATCCCGATTTCCTGACCAACGTAACTGACCTGCATCGAAGCGAGTCGCAACTTCCAAGTCAATATCCGCATCAGGCAACGAAAGAGAAGAAAAGGAACGACAAAACAAAAAGACACGGCAAAGGTGTACACTCCCCCGGTGCTTCTCCTGGCTTCATGTCTCCGAATTAGACTTCTCGTCGCTTCAGTCTCTGGCCGACATTTTATTGGCGTCCTCACGGGCAGCCTTGAGTTTCTCCGCGAACTCTTCACCAAAGTCTTCCAATTGAGCGATCTGGCGTACTTCGAGGACCCCGCCTTCGGGGAATGGGGCCTTCTGAGCCCATGATATGGCCTCCTGCAGGTCCTTGGTTTCGAAGATCCAGTAGCCGGACACGACGGTTTCGTGTGGAAAAGGCCCATTAGCAACCGTGCTGGTACCAGCGGTTCCGAAAGTGATGCGGACACCCTTTGACGAGTTGTGAAGACCAGCAATGTCGCGGACAACGCCTGCATCAGCGAGAATTTTGGAACTTAGGCATGGTATCAGGAGGAGAAAATGGACAGAGGAAGGGATATAATTGAATTATAGGCCTTTAATTCTCAACTATTTTAAGATTTCAGTATTGCTAACTGATGGAGAGAAGGGAATCGACGAAGTCTAGCTGAGAAGGGATCATTAAGTTCTTATATATCCTAGAATCACGAATCCAACTGCTGCTGATGGCGTCTTCGTCGAGTCCAGGCTGTGAGAGCCATTTCCATCACTCGGGGCAAAGATTCGCCGTCTAAATATACCTGGTGTTACCGATGCCTGGAAAATATGTGAACGTAAATCGGTGAAGATGGATATCAGTTGCGGGGACTGTATGCATCTTGCTGTCTAAAAATCATTCGTGAAGTATATTGAGTATTTTGTGATCATCCCGACTCCTATCGAGGTTTCATTGCGCCAGGCTGCCTTCGGCCGTTTAAGCTTATCCCTCATTCATTAGCCTTCTCCATGGGTGCCCGTCTATACAGTCTTATTTTCAGACACACCGCTCTTCGACCAATCCCAGGCTTCTTCCCAACAGAGCCCAATCGACTAAGGCCCGATTATTATAGGTATACAGGGATACTATTGCGCTAGTATAGTCTAATGATCCTTCAACTAATAGTTCTCGCCATACGTCAAGCCATACAATGGGAGCATAAGGGACTCCCTGGATTCTATAAAAGAGCTGCTGTCTAGACTCTAGAGGATCCAGGGAGTTTATGTGCGAAGATGAATACTTTGATTCCAGGACTCTGTTTGATGACAGGAGCCTAGTTAGATGCAAAACGAATGCCCCCGTCGACGGAGATGGTCTATCAAGCTGGTCTTGATAACTCTAATCCCGTGGCTCAAGGATTCGAACCATCCCATTCTCTGTGACTTAGCCACCATCAGTAGGCATCAACGCCACAATCTCAGTTCATTGTCCAGGAAACTTCATCTTTACCCAACCCTTATATCCTGGCCACCGGGGATAGGCACTGCTCTCTTCTCACAGAAAGGTGCCTTCGGATTCCGGAATAAACCCAAGTGGGGATCGGCCTCGTATTCTTCAGGTCCTCTTCATTAACATCTCTGCTTGGATTAGTTGGGTTCGAAACATGCTGAAGACGAAGCCTTCACGACTAAGGGACAAAACTCTACCACCCCCATCGGGGTAAATGTTTGGAAGAAGTTGCTGGCTGAGTGTGTGTGCTCTCTCTTCTTAGGTTGCTTGAATTATGTCAAATCTGCTCCAGGGTCCTTTAGAGGCAGAACTGGGAACAAATCGTGGCAATGTCTGGAGAAAAGTGGAGAAATGAGGGAATTGCCAGAACTGGAGCAATCGCGTCTTCCGCGGGAGGGGGGTGACAAGAAGTTGTCATTATCAACTGTCTCACAGGCTGCCAACACTTCTGCAAATGCGACGTCGTACCAGTCTACTCCACAACGCCATGTCGATTGAGCCCTTGCGAACAGAAAATAGATTTTGCTACTACCTGCTCGATTGACCTCTACAAGGAGTTATCAAACGGCGGTTTCTAATTCGCCCTGTCCATCAAACTACCGTATTAGGAGTATTTGACACACACCGCGTCCTTACAGCAATGACGTGCTGGAGGACGAAACCGGGAGCAACCGTCCACGGGAAAGAGGAATTGCAACCGGATGGAACTAACGGGCGAGGTTATTTCGAACGATAGTGTAGCGGGGAGAGAAACTGAAACACAGATAGCGATCGTGTGTCGCATTATCAAGCCGCTCATCAATAACCGCTTTAGGAAGTTGTGTTCCATTTTATCTTTCGATTGCTGCAGCTTGCAACTGTCAACTTCCAACGTTCTACGCCCTTCGTATCATCATTGCTCCTTTGAAGGTTCGACGTTCCCCACATCGTGTCGATTTCTAAGCCCTTCCATCGTTCCCCTGTCGGGTTGGCCCAATTAATAATACCATTTCTAATCTCATTACCGAGGACGGCCGAACGTATTTATCATTGATGAGATCTCAACTCCGTTTCAAGCGGAGATCTCCAACTATATAAGTGTCGGTTGGTTCAGGGCTTCATTCCCAGCTAGGTCTTTCCATCCAGAACACACTCTTGTTTTTTTTCTCTTTTTTTTTTTTTTTTTTTTTTTTTTCATTTTCCTTTTTTTTCTTGAACTCAACGAATATCTTTCTCCCAGAAACCAACAATGGTGTTGCCAATTACCCTGTACTCTCACCCGGGCGGCCCTAACCCGTGGAAGGTCGCCCTGATTCTAGAAGAGCTTGGAATTCCCTACGAAAACAAGTTCCTCGACTTCGTGCAAGTCAAGCAGGAACCTTTCGTTTCCGTAAACCCCAATGGCCGCGTCCCCGCTATCGAGGATCCCAACACGGGCCTGACTCTCTGGGAATCGGGTGCCATCGTCCTGTACCTCATTGAGCAATATGATACCGAGCACAAGATCAGCTATACCGACTTCCCCAACAAATACCTTACACAGCAGTGGCTCTTCTTCCAAGCTACCGGCCAAGGACCCTATTACGGACAGCGTGTCTGGTTCGAAAGATACCACCCCGAAAAGATCCAGAGCGCCATCGACCGATACACCAACGAGGGTCGCAGGGTAGCCAGCGTGCTTGAAAGCGTGCTGGAGAAGAACGACTGGCTTGTTGGAGACAAGTGCACCTACGCCGACCTTTCTTGGCTTGCCTGGCAACGCCGGGCCCTGTCTCTGTTCGGGGAGGATCTTTACGAGAAGTATCCGAAGGTTGGAGCTTGGATCAAGCGCATGGAGGAGCGGCCCACGGTGCAGAAAGTGTACAAAGACCAAGATGAGGCAATCGCTAAAACAGCCCACTAAATATTTGAATTACGGCCGGGAGCCACTTTGGACAATTCGCTTAATAGTTGCATGCGGCATGAACTCGGGGAGCAGAAAAAGAGAAAAAGAAAGAAAGAAAAAAAAAAAAATAATCGCTTTTGAAACCAAGATCACGAATGTAACCTCTTTCTTCCCTGTAGATATTGGTGCCCTCATGTTTATGCCTCGAAATGTCTGCCTCGAGGGGTTGTTGTTGGAGTTGGGGCAAGTCAGAACCTCTTCAACGGCGATACTGATGGCCAGAGAGGAACTCGAAATTATTGGACGGAGTCCCGAGGTACAGAGCCTTTCAACCCCATCTCGGTTGGTATGAATTCTTTCAATCTCAAGTTGCTCACAATTTACAGTCAGGAATCTGCGATGTTATTTTCATCGTTTTTTTTCCCGCCTACAAACGGGCACTCATTCATTATAGCTAGTTGAAACAGTCTTTCGAAAGGATCACTTAGGGGCTTGGCGACATATTAAGGGATAAACAGTAATCGCGGGTTGGCTATACCGAGGTACAGAGGAATGGGATCTCTGGGAACCGGCCGGTCCCACATACCGCCGCTTCCAGAGCATACTTTGGCCATTGAGGCGAGCCTCTAGACGGAATATCTGGCTATAAGCCCGTTCCCGGTCTTCGGGGAACAGTGTTAGTTCCTACGGAATTCACAAGGGCATCCCAATACGGCCCCATGCATCTCTTTCTCAGATGATATCTACAAACACTTGCGAATAGCGTCTTGGCCGTCTTACGATTGTAGGTAAATCTCATCCACGGCTTGTCCCAAACAGAAAGCGAGCGGAAGCTACTCCGTTCATGGATCACCCTCTGACGCGATCATTCGGATGAGACACCGAAGTTGGGGCCATTTCATTGGGCTTAAAAATCATGATGAAGGCAATGACCCATTGTCTAATTGCCAATTGGCCAAGACTATAGTGGCCTTCCAATGTGCCGGGAGATGCGGACAGTCGCAGGAACATCCCACGCTTCTCGGACCATTCCGTCTCCCCCACGTCGAGAACGTGGGGGCCTCTCGCCGGCTCTCTTAACCTCTGTTTCATTCTGAACCTTAGGAATAAGGGTCCCCAAGACCACGGGGAGATCGTCGAGCTTCCATCTACTCGGGAACAGTGGTAACCACGCGAGATGTAATGCCATTAAGCTTTCCGAGCGTTGACGAAACCTTTCCCGACGAGCACAGCCGTTTGCGTCTCAATTTGCCTGTACTCCGTATTTAGCGAGCACGTAAGACCTTAGTACAGTCACCTCATCGTAGCGCATGATGCACTGGATGGCTGCAAACGTCAGATCGGATTCGACCACTTGGCTAGGTAGGGCATAGCGTCGGTATTTCGACGCCCAAGGTAGGAAGCACATGCAAAATAACCTTACTTTGTCCTCCAAAAGAAGCTATTTCGAACACCACACCAGGTGTTACGCATCTGTGAGCGTGCATGACAGCGGAGCGTTGCACATTCCCGAGGCTGCGGTGGCCCCCGCAGTGGGGCGACTTGACCCTCCATGGCTCTCTGCTAGGCAACTAGCACAGGGTTTAGTAGCATTTATAGAGGTGTCTCGAAGACGGAGGTTTACTGAGTTTGGACTAGAAAGGGGCATTGGCGTGCAAAGTTAGCTTTGGAGCAAAGCTTGTCTGGTTGGGTTTGTCGCTGCCAGACAGAAAGGGGAAAGGGGGAAGAATATGGAAGGTTGGGGTTCGAAGAAGGTAAAACATCAATTGACGTCTACTTGCAGACCATCTATGGGTGCTCTGGATCGGTTATTTAGGCAGTATAAAGTAAGACCATCATTCTTGGATTTGAATGAATCCGATGGTGTCTACGCTGGGAGCCTAGACAGGACGTGACGCCCTGCACTGTGGCGAGTCTGGCGAGGAAAAGTACTTGTCGTTGCATGAGAACATCATGGCTGGGCATTCATTCCATATCCAATTACGAGGGAGACAGGCACTATTAGTGTGTCAAAGCTGTCCGTAAAAGGTTGAATGGCAAGAATATAGAGGTGTGGTGATGCCATCACGCCTCAATATCCGCCAGCGGTCAGCTAATCGTCCACCGAAGCAGTTCAAGCCAGATGTGGCAGGTGAAATCACGAGTGTTCTTGGACACTAACCATTCCAGGCGTCGAAACCCGCGAGTGGAATCGCCTCTCGGTTTCGTATCACTTTTGCTTACGATGTTTCGATGAATAAAGGCCAGGAGGCCCGATCAGAAAAATCCAGAATTTTACGACGCTGCGGTTCTCTCTGAGGTGCGAAATTTTGACCTAAATGGCGTCATCGGCCTAGTCGACCAAAGCGGATCCGCCGTCTCCTCTTCTGCCCCGAAAATTTTCAACCCGAGCCGTGGCACTCGCCAAAAGTAGGTGCTTTCTAGGCATTATGAGGTGCCTGTTCCATTTTGGACCGGGCCTATCACTCCACAGGCCATGGGGCGGAGATGGGGGAAGAGGGACCTTCCCAATGCAAAAGTTCTCCTCCCACGCAGTAAGGCCTTCCGACGGAGCCCGTGGGTACCAGAGTTTTCAATACAATAGACACATCCCCATTCCGTAGACTTAGATGGAGAGCTTGCTATTTTAAAATAAGAAGCATCCGCTCTGTGTTTCCAAGACAATTCTCACCTTCATTCAGAGTATCCTTTCTTGTTTTGTGTTACCTTGAATTCGTCGGTATATCAACCATTTTGAGCCTATTGGTTCCAACTCCAAGATGGTTAGCTTCCTCTCCCCTAAAGTTAAAGATGCGGCCCCGGACTCGGCAGCAGGGGGAAAAGGCCACAAGGATGGCCTCGACGCTATTCCCCATCCGACAGACTACGATAGCGATGTCGGTAAGGCGGCATACAGACACTTATGCTTTGGGACCTGAAGATCATTACTGACAAGAACTCCATAGTCGGACACATCGCCCAAGCACGCGAAGCGAAGCGGCAGATCGGCATTCCTAGCGCAGTGTTCCTGATCGTCAATCGAATTATCGGCACGGGTATTTTCGCGACTCCCAGTGGTATCCTCGCCCTGTCCGGCAGTGTCGGCCTTACGCTCTTCATATGGGTTGCTGGCATGTTGATTGCCTTCGCAGGCACCGCAGTTTACCTGGAATTCGGCACGGCCATTCCCAAGAACGGAGGCGAGAAGAACTACCTTGAATACGTCTACCGGAAACCAAAGTTTCTTGCTACCGGCCTGTACGCTGGATATGTCGTTCTCCTCGGTTGGGCCAGCGGTAACTCTGTTGTCTTTGGTGAATACATCCTCCATGCCGCGCAGGTCAAGGTAGATCGGTGGAACCAGCGTGGCGTCGGGCTTGCATGCATTACAGCGGCCTTCTTGATCCATGGCCTTGCTCTCAAGTGGGGCCTGCGACTCCAGAATTTCTTGGGAACGATCAAGGTCATCATCATCCTTATCATCGTGGTTTCGGGATGGGTTGCCCTCGGCGGCCACACTAAGCTCGACACTAAGCCCAACAACTTCGACAACGCATTCGATGGCACGACCGGCAGCGCATACGGTGTCGTCACGGCGCTCTACAACGTCATCTGGAGCTATATCGGTTACAGCAACGCCAACTACGCCTTGAGCGAAACCAAGAACCCCGTCAGGACGCTGAAGGTCGCCGCTCCCCTCGCCGTCGGCGTCATCTCCATCCTTTACATGTTCGTGAACATTGCATACTTCGCGGCCGTTCCCAAGGAAGAGATCCTTGCTGCTCGACGACTGGTCGCTGCTTCTCTGTTCCGAAACATGTTTGGCGAGACGGCCGAGCGCGCTCTCTCTGTTTTCGTCGCACTATCCGCTTTCGGCAATGTCCTGAGTGTCATCTTCTCCCAGGGCAGGTTAGTCCAGGAGTTTGGTCGCGAGGGCGTGCTGCCATTCTCGCGGTTCTGGGCAAGCAACAGGCCGTTCAATGCGCCACTTGCCGGATTGTTTGAACACTGGCTCGTCTCTATCATCATCATGTTGGCTCCCCCGCCAGGTGATGCTTATAACTTCATTCTCAAGTAAGTGCCTTTCATTTGACATGACGCCGGATAAGCAACCCCCTTACTGACTTTTTCTTTTCCTTCTTCCAGCCTCATTTCCTATCCTCTCGCCATTGTCAATATATTCGTTGCTGGCGCTCTCGTCCATCTCTACCTTCATCGCAAGGCCTGGAACTGGAACCCTCCCATCAGCGCCACTTTCCCTGTCGTCCTCTTCTTCCTCCTCAGTAATATCTACCTCACCGTGGCACCATTCGTTCCTCCGGAGGAAGGACAGAACATCTACGAAAGCCTCCCCTACTGGATCCACTGCGTTGTCGGTATTGGCATCATTCTCGCTGGAGGCGTCTACTGGCTCTTCTGGGCTATTATCTTGCCCAGGATTGGCGGCTACCAGTTGGTTAGGGAGGTGGAGGTTGACGACATCGATGGATGGGAGAGAAACGTGTTTAGGAGGAAGCCTCTTTCGGAAACTTCGTAGAGGCGGGTTTGTGGTGGGTCCAGGGACTCTCCATTGAACAGCTATTGGTTTAGTTTGAAATGCTGGCATTCATTTTGTTAATTTCAGCAAGCATGTATTTGTTTCGATTACGGTCATCAGCTAGGATACCCTAATAACAATGTATTCACATACCCCTAATCTGGTCCTGAAGGATCTCCCTTCCATTGGAACCGAGCTGCTCATACCTTAGTTTGAGTCGCGGGGCGTCCTGCCATTCCTGGAAAGGCGCTCGGACCAGTCCGTGACGTGACCCAAGCATCTCTGCTGGAGGCTGCTTCCCACTTCTAATAGAGTTGCGCATGCCGTTGCAGCCTATTGCAGCCTGGAGGGTCTTCCGAATCACAACACACATCAAAACCAAGCAACTTTCTCTTCGACCACCATATCAAGGAAGACAAACACTATTCTACCAGAAATATGGAGAGGAAGAAGTGGCTAAAGCTCGGTAAGGGCACAGACTTTTGTGGATGTTAGTCGTTCTGTTCTGCTAAACAGATAAAAGAGAACAATCCTGAGGTGATGGCCCAACTCGCAACAAAGTTAGGCCTGTCACCCGAGCTACAATTCTACGATGTTTATTCCCTGGACGATCAGGAACTTCTATCCTACATTCCTCGACCAGCCTTGGCTCTCCTTGTAACCATCCCGCGGACACCAGCGTGGCAGCGCGATTATGAAGCCGAAGATGCTGGCAAAGGCGACTACGCCGGTTTCGGTCCCACAGAGCCTGTTATTTGGTTTAAGCAGACCATCGGGAATGCCTGCGGTTCTATCGGTCTTCTCCATTGCACTGTCAACGGACCGGCTGCCGACTTTATTCAACCCAACTCAGACCTCGCGGAGATACGCCGACGTGCCATACCGCTGCAAATGACCGAACGTGCTGAGATGCTGTACAATAGTAAGCCGTTTGAGCTCGCTCACAAATCTATGGAGGAAGTCGGGGATACGTCAGCGACATCTGCAGATACGCAGGAGAGCCGTCATCACTTTGTGGCTTTTGTGAAAGCCGAGGGAAAACTCTGGGAACTTGAGGGAGGAAGGAAGGGCCCATTGGAAAGGGGGAGCCTCGCAGATGACGAGGACGTTCTAAGCCCACGAGCCCTTGAGATGGGACTTAAACGGATCATAAAGCTGGGGGGCGATGAAGGCGGAGATGTTCGATTTAGCTGCACTGCTTTGGCCCGTACGTCCTAGTTGCGATTGGGACTAGAAACTGGGTTTCGAAACCCTTTACGATGGGGGCATGGCTAGGTTTTATATTGTAATGTGATCGTCCTTTTGGACATTGGCCAGCATAGTAATAGCTTCCAGTATTGTTATGAGACTTTAAGCTAGCTCTGATAACAAATACCGCTTCTACCCGTTGCAGATCTCTCAACCCGTCTCAACGTTTCTCCCTTAGGCGGTTCCATGAGATGTGTTCGAGAATTTAACAAGAACCAGGTTTGAAGTAACCTTCAGTGTATGTTCATATATCTAACCACATCTATTTGGCTACACTTTCTTCTAGGTAGACCCATGATAAAGCCTCGAGAACCCACTGTTTCTATCTTCCAACAACTCGGAAGGGTTGCCCAGCTCAACGAGACGCCCATGGTCTAGAACAGCTACCAAGTCAAAATCAAGTAGGCTAGAGAGCCTATGAGCGATCATGACGATCGTGTGATTGCTGAACTCGGAGCGAATTATCGATTGCATCTGAGCATCGGTTTGGGAGTCCACACTGGGAATGCCAGCCCGGTTAGCCGTATCTCCTCTCTCGCTTTGCAATTCGCTACGGATCGAGTTTGCTTAAAAATGCTTACCTGCTCGTGGGCTCATCTAATATCAGAACATTCCCTCCTTTCAGTAGAGCCCGCCCAAGGCAAAATAGCTGGCGTTGGCCATGTGAGAGGAAATCGGTGTCCATCGGGGTGTCGAGCACTGAAGCCAGGGTAGCTTTGTCGGAAGCCTTGTCACGAAGTACGTCCCATATGCCGACCTTCTTCATAGCCTCGGAAATCTCTTCATCTGAGGATTTTCCAGGAGGGTCCGCATTCTCCCGTATACTTGCAGGGTAAAGGAACGGATCCTGCGTTAGACAGGTGATCCTTTCTCGCACGACGGAACCCTGGATCGTGGCAATATCGACGCCATCGAGTGTGATCTTGCCCGCCAACACGTCGATCATCCGCATAATAGCCAGGGTAGAGCAACTCTTTCCACTAAGTTTCACGTTGGTCAGCAAGGCTTTGAGAGGGATGGAGGTTGCATCATAGACATGACATGCGCTTACCTCCCTGTCCTTCCTACGATTCCCAGCTTCTGGCCAGCTTTGAGCGCAAAGCTGACATCTCTCAGAACCGGCGCAGACTCGTCGCTATAATTGGGCCATGGGAATCAGCTTGCCTGCAAAGAAGAAATGTTCTCTAGTCACGGTTCTAGAAACTAGCACTCACCCATAACTGGCCAATACACCCTCAAACTCGAGAGAACCTCTACATGGCCAACTAGCCTCCATGTCTTCAATCTCGCCGGGCTTGTTTTCAACCGGCGTGTTCTCCGAAAAGTCTTTGATCCTGGCAATTGCCCCGAGCGATGTCTCGAGCAGCGTCCAGAACTGTACTAGGTTCGTGAGGGCGTGAGACAGGGTCATCATGTTGACCAAGGCGATACCGATAAAACCAGGGTCAATTTTGTGTCGGAAAGCCACGGCCATCCCAACGAGGACCACTGCGAGGCCGCAAACAACAAGGTCTAATACTAGTACAAGCCATCGCTGGATGCAGAGGAGCAAATAATAGGGCTTCTGCGAGGTGTCTAAGAGGCGTCGATTCTTCGCCGTGTATGCCTGCGTCCAGCCGAAGGATCGTATTGTGATCAATCCACTGAATGATTCTATGAAGTGCGAGTATAAGGGGGCATTTGTTTCTAGCCTATATCAAGAGTCAACACACTGAGACAGCGAAAAAGGAAACTGAGACGTACTCTAGCAATCGTAGCTGTCGGGATGTGAGAAGGTAGAACTTCTGGATGAAATAAAGTGCTATCATAACTACTGGCAGAACACCGGCGAAGTATCCGACAGCGGTAATGGACAACGATGCCACCACTAGGCAGGTCCCCAGCTCTTATAGTTGTTAGCACAGCAGGCTGGGAGCTAAGCTGGGAGTTATCACTTACGAAAAGCGCAGTTAATGATGCTTCCTGGTAGTTGCATGTCTGCGAGTCTCAGGTCCTGACTGAATCTGTACACGGATCAGGACTCTGTTTTCGCAGGCTCGCACGAGTATAGATGATAGCCAAACTCACCGGTTTACTAAAATTCCTGTTTCTGTCTTGGCGAAGTAGGATAGGGGCGCGCTAATGGCTATTAGCAAAGCGTTTAATACTAAAGGATAGTCATGCCGATCTCACCTCATAGCTGCTTTCAATATCGACTGGTGCAAATAGTTTCCAGATCGTGGGACCATGTATACGTACAGAAAGCTATCATAGTTAGGGCAACAGGGACCGATCGAAGAGACACTATAGGCACTTACGCGATCGCAGCAGCCATGAGGAAGGCGTCCATGAAACTGATGAAACCAAACATTCCCATCCAGTAACCTAGTCGAGGCTCTTCGCCCCTTTCGTTGCTCGAAGCCCACCAGTTAACCCAGACGTCTGCTCATGGTTAGCTTAGTCGGAAGGGTACTCAAGGACCCTATCCCAACTTACTTCCTAGGGCGTTGAAAACTTCATAGACTGCAATGATGGACACGAAGAAAATCAGTGCTAGCGGCCCTAAGGCACGAGCATAATACTTGTAAATCGTCATGTCGCCAGTTTTCCGACTCAGGTCATCGGGCTTTGAGATAGCCGGTTTTTGTTTGTGTTTTAACTCGGTCTCGAAAGAATCTTCGTCTTTGTCTCGATCGTCGGACTCCTTTCCAAGGTTAACCTGTAGGCTGTGAATATAGGTGCCGGCAACGTTAAGCTCAGAGAAACTGCCCTGTTGAACGATCTGACCAGCAGCATTGAGAGCCAGGATTAAGTCTGCTTGAGGGAGTCTCTTGACTGCAAAAGGAAAAAAAAAAAATATCAGAACTTATTGTAGCTAATTCCCGGAGTGAATGGCTTACCAGAATGCGTCGCGAGGATCACCTGAGTACCAATCTTCTGGAAGAGTCCGTCGCGGCTGAAGACACGCCTGAACACAGTCTCCTCCGTAACTGAATCTAGTCCGCTTAGTACATCATCCAGGATTGCTAATGATTTCCGGGAATATAGAGCACGAGCGATAGACTATTATACTTATAATCAGTTCCGAGTCTCTCGGATGGCGCTAGAATCAGCATTTACCAGTCGTTGCTTTTGACCCCCACTCAACTTCAGCCCTTTGCTTCCAACCATGGTAGAGTCACCATCGGGTAGGTTTTGCAAGTCGATGTCTAAGGCACATGCCTGGACCACCGTACGGTACCAGGCTTGGTCGAATTCTGCGTCTACTATGATGTTGTCTCGAATAGAACCATTGATGATCCACGGTGTTTGGTCGCAGTAGGCGATTTCTGCGAAGGTAATAGATATGGTGCCTTCTTGACTTGGAGTCTCTCCAAGCAATGCCTTCAGCAAGGTAGACTTGCCACAACCTACGGGGCCGACAAGGATGACCAGTTTCGCGTCGGATCCTATCCCGGTCGAGACATCCTTCACAATATTCGGATTCGAATCAGACCACCCGAAAGTACCACTTTGAACGACGATACCACTCTCGGGGTGAGACGCACTCCTCGATTGCAGCTCGAAAGCACTAGAAGACGGCGTAGAGTCCGAACTCTCGGCAAATGAACGGGCAGAATTCTTCCTATAGTCCTCACGAGACTGTTCTGCCAAAAATTTTTGAATGCGATCGAAACAGCCGAGGGCAGCCCATCCGACGGGTATGGAGCTAAGCAGACTTGCCAGGGGGGTTGCGAGCAGGTTCAGAGCAGCCAGAGAAGTGATTGCTTGCGAGACAGACATGCCTTCGGTCCCCTGAATTTTAGCAACGATTGCGTACGCGACGAATATAAAAAGTCTGTTGAATGTCTCCGGCAAATTCACTGGAGACATCGTGAGTGTTACAAGAATCATGAAACGGCGCGCTTGAAAGGGGGCGTACCAAGAGCAGTATTTAAACTTTGGATCCTTCTATATTTCCGCGAGATCGACAGCTCACTCTCCCGCATTGATTGGATGTTGGTCGACATTTGGTTCGTCAGGCCAAGCATTTTGACATTCCTCATCGAGCCGAGGATCTCTGAAGTGTAGTTGATTCGGCTCTGAATGGCTTCAAGCCAGACTTTCTGTCTCAATGTGATGCGGCTAGCGAGCAGAGTTGACAATGATGTCGCGACTTGATGGCAAACTTCAGTTAAAGGGGCTTATTGTAGAAATAGGGAGGGACACCCACTGATCGTAGTGATAATCGGTGCGACACAAACTGCGCCTATTTGAGTGTAGAGCAGGTAGATAGCAATGCCGAGCTGGACCACGTCTGGTACGACATTGACTAGTAACATATAGAATGTTTCTGCTATTCTTGGGACGTCGGTTCCCATAAGAGTCATGGCTGATGATCCGCTGACATTGGTAACCTCCAAAGTTAACAGCTTGCTGTAGATGATAGAAATGAGCTGGCCGCGCATCATCGACATAAGGCGGAAAGTTAGATGGGAAAACCAGGCAGTCATGATCTGTTATTATAATATTGTAGTTAGTGTCTGAAACAGTATCGCTGCCTTGAACACTAACCGCTACACCGAAATAAACAAGACCAAAGGCGCCAATAAGTCCATATCCTTTCGAAATGGAAGCGTCGGAATCTTGGACATATTGGACGGCGGCTTGAATGAGATATGTTTGACTCAAACTCAATGCTACGACACAGAATTTAGGTACTGCTATGGCCAGAACCTCATACCGCAGGCTATAAGTGCAAGCCCAAGCTAAAGCATGTTTTCTCGTCTGGTTCCCTAATAAATGTTAGCAAGGTTAAAGCGGAGGATCCACTAATCGATCGTTGCTTACATTTATCCCAGGCGGCCTGTAATTCGCGGGCTAGGCCTTCCGAGTCAAGCTTTTCATGGATGGTCGGGAGGTCTTCCGTGGTCAGTACGGTCTTGGAACCCCTTACCAACAGACTGTTGAGCCACCAGAAGGAGCTTCGACTAATGAGGCCGGCTGTGCTCTCTCTTGAGAAGTGCCTGTCGAGCCCGAGTAGCAAAGACCGTTTTTCGACACCTTCAAGAACGACCAAGACACACTTGATAGCCAGGGAAGCCGTTAGTGAGTCGGCAATAGCCTGGTTTTGCCTCGCTAACCATTGTGTTCGGACTCGGACGGCATCCAAAATGACCGTGATGATTAGGTAAAAGCTAATCAAAAAGGACGGACGGATGGTCTTAGCATGCTCCAGATGGGAGAGGGCAGCCAAGACAAGCCCCGAGGTGAGCGAGAGCGCAGAGGACGCAACCAACACTTGATTGCGGACTGTGGCAGTGGTTGCCAGTACTAGCAAAGCCAGTTGGAGTCCGGTGTAAATGCCAATGGTAATCTATCCATTATCAATACATATGTTCGAGCACAATCTCAATATATTGGCATAACCGCTTACCAGCTTGGCAACATATAGACCATTGCGCTTGACTCTGATCCGCCGCCTCACAAGTCGAAGGGCTCGAAATGGACTCAACAAGACGAAGATGGCGGCTGGAAGGATGGCTAGAATACACTCCTCGAAGAGAACTAAACCATTTTAGTACTTGGTCCATGGTTGTCTCGAATTCTGGACTTACTAGTAAAATCAAAACCACCACGACAATCCACGGACTTGACGCTAGGTCCGAACGTGTTGTCGCCACAAACCACTGGATTGGCTAGAGCCATGAACTCTAGTAGTCTCTAACGAGTGGGAGGCTTCTCAGATTCCAGCATCTCACCATAGGTCCAGGGATATGATTTGAGTGTATATTTAGATTTGGATTTATACGTCGATATTGTTTCCGGTGCGAACTTCTACGCCATTCGGCGAAGCCTGCAGGGGGGATATCCGCTTTTGGCCGCTCGCGCGGGGTGAAGCATTATGGTCTGGGAGATAATACGAGAGAATACGAAGTTGAGAGACAGCTGTGGATGCCTTAAATCCAAGGTGTCGACAGCAACAACAGATAGGAATGCCTCTCAAAGTCTTGATAAAAGAAGACAAAAGTAATTGGGATGAATTATCTAGGATTCAGGTCTTCTTCATATGGTAGTTGATCCTACTTGTTCATCATACGGTAACCTTGGCAAGTTTAGAGCCGCCTTTACACGACGAGGTCACGCCTAAGCAGAAAGAGAATGGCATCTGAAATGCCGGAGGCAAATCCCATCCCTATTATTGTAAACTAGGGAATACGGGACTGAAATAGAAGTATTTTGGGGGAATTGAGAGGAAACGATAAACTTGGCGAGAGGCTCCAACTAAGGCTGAGAGTTGTAGTGAAATAGTTTCTTCTGTGTGCGCCTGCGTCGCTGTCCTCTTATTTGTCTCTGCTCGGGTGTTTGTTTCCTCGTTCCACCGATTCCTCGAGTTTCATTTGTAGGTGGATAGTCGGACGGAGTTGCTCAACAATCCGCCATCCCATATGGTGTAGTGGTTAGCATAATGCTCTCTCATCTAATGAGCGCAGCATAGACCCTGGTTCGATTCCTGGTATGGGAGATGCTAAAACATCTTGATTTTTTTTCTTTTTTTAGCTTTCCTTTTTACTCTGTTTATGAGTCCGCGGAATACAGCATCTTAATTGTCCTATTCTTGTTTCCTATTTCTTTTCCTTTCCAGCCTGGCTTTCCCAGAGCTGGATATTCTTTGCGGTGAGGCTTCTTTGGCCGGCCTCATGATAATACGGTGTGAGGGCGGCTCGTTTTAGGCTCAACTTAGTTCAGCGGTGGAGGCGAAATGGCTATGCTACTAAGTCACTCAGTCTCGCGCTTGGCATAGATTCCCACATCTCTAGAGTCCATTAGTAGACAAAACGGAGAATTGATAAGGCATTAGTATCTCCAAGGAAAAGACCTGTAAAATACCTCTCGGGAATATATACTCTCTATCCGAAAACTAACGACTAGCCGGCTATAGGTAGAGTTATATAAAGTCTATCTTATTAACCAGGAAGCAACTTCAGAAGGTTAGAAATATGCGAACGCTGAACGACGATTTAATCGTCGTCGAGCTTCGAGCTTGGGCTCGTCACAGAAGATGACAGCTAATTCCCATTTTCAGACAATAAATGGAAACTCAATCACAAGTTCTCCATAGCTATCTCGAATCGGCGCCGAGTTATATCCCGCGATTTCAAACTGGTAAGGCCTGCTGCCGGCTTTCCCGAAGATTCTATTGTCTTGAGTTCTTAACATTCTGCCACTACGAAACTTATCAGGGGAGGTAAACTGGAGTTTCCTCCTTGATCTCCTGGAATTGCACCCAAATTCACCTGAAACCTGTATTCCTTCGCATGAATCTAGTCGCTTTCCAAATTGAATGTCAAACGTACCCAAGGCTTATTCTCAGTTTTAAGTTGCGTCTTTTTCTGTGAGATGTAGTGTCGGAGTATTAGAGGATAGAAGGTGGACAGGATTTAGAACCCGCCCGGCTCTTTGCTGACATAACAATTTTGAGACGCTACAGACCCAACTTCTGCCTGGAATCGATCAAGTTATTATACGATCCGCACTGTTAACATCAAGCACGGGGGCAGAACAACATGTCGGGTGGCACCGGAGAAGAGAGGCCTTTGCTAGGCCCCAAGCGTGGCCACGATGACGCCCATCAGCGCCGTGTTATCGCCGTAAGCTTTGCCATGGTCATTCTGATCGACCTTGCTGCTTTCTTCCTTGATGCGCCCCAGACAAGCATCCTCGAAGGCATTATTTGCAGCCGCCATTACAACTCCGTTCCGGGCGAACACGACTGCACGGTAGGCCCTGTCCAGGCTGAGCTTGCGACAGTCAATCAATTGCTCAACACTTTCAATCGTCTTCCAGGGCTCTTAGTGGCTATACCCTTCGGCATCTTGGCTGACCGCTACGGACGTCGCCCCGTCATCGTCTTGCCTATACTCGGCGCTCTCTTGCAGGATGTCATCTCAAAGACAATTCTATGGCACCCGGACATGTTCCCACCGCGCCTTATCTGGTTGTCTTCGATTGCGACCTTCGTGGGCGGAGGCGATGCTGTTGCTAGCTCCATGATCTTCCTAGTTGTCGCTGACGTCGCCCCACCGCGAGAGTAAACCTATTCTTCCTTCTGGCCGCTTGCGGGCTCGTGGGAGAAGTCGTGGCTACACCATTAAGCGCTTTTCTTATGTCTAAGAACCCGTGGATACCATACTTCATCTACAGTGTTTTGACTATTCTTGGTGGCATGGTTCCGCTCCTCCTCCTGCCAGAGACTTTGCGGAAGACGTCACCTGAAACGGAAACACTTTCACGCGATACTGGTCCAGATGATGAGAGGCACGCCGAGGTGGATGGCACGCCGCCAATACCTACGCACTCTGCCATGGCTTTAAGGCTCCGGCCTCTCGTAAAGCGTAACGTCATCGCTGTTCTGTTAGCCTTCTTCGTTTCCGCTTTAGGGCGTCAGTCGATGAGTTTCCTCCTTCAGTACATTCGGCAGCGCTTCAACTGGAAGTACGAAAAGGTGCGAGCCCTGATAATGGCCATCATCCCCGTCTGGTGTTCTGCTTTGACTAACCGCGGCACTTTTTATCCACAGGCTAGTCTTTTGATCACAGTTCGAGCCGCCATAAACCTTGCTCTGCTCCTAGTTGCACTTCCGGCTCTTAACAGAGTCCTGGTAAAACGCAAAATGAGCGCCCAAGGCAAGGATCTGCTTATTAGTCGCCTTTCCCTTGCCTTCTTTGCCGTCGGGTCGCTCGTTATTTCGGCAGCTCCTATCGTGGCCCTCGCGGCACTGGGTATCGCCATCTTCGCGTTAGGTTACGGCTTTGCCCCAGCCGCACGCAGTCTTGTGACTACCTTCTGTCACCAGGATGAAGCAGGGCTGCTCTACTCGGCCCTGGCGGTAACACAATCTATCGGCGGACTCGTTGCAGGCCCCCTACTTACTCTATCCTTTCGATGGGGCCTCAGCCTTGGTCGTGAGTGGACTGGCATTCCATTTGCTCTAGTGGCTGGCTTGTTTGCGTGTGGGTTTCTCGCAGTATCCTTTGTCCGGTTATGATGGAGCTACATATTTGGGAAGGGAAGGGGTGCACGGATTTGGCCGACCAGACAGAAGTTCCCAACGTGAGGATGGTAGGCGTCCACCTCTGAATCTGGTCAAGCGTAGAATTGCCGCGAATGCTGGTTGTATTATAGCGCCAAGGAAATATTGAGAGGGCATCTTCTTCACAGAACATCTACCATCTAGGTTGCATCTTAAATCGAATCCCGTAGACATCATGGTAATGGAATTGAATGTGATTGGCATTCTGTCTTCCAGCTTCGCTATATATACGCTTCCGAGTTAGGAATACCAGTTGGTAGCTTTTTAGCTCTTTCTTTCATACTGCCATTGCCCAGAATCACGATCGATGCTGGAACTTCTTTAAACGACGTTTATGATGTCCTCTGCAGAAGCGATTCATCGACTCGGCATACCCCGATGTTTTCTGACAAGTTTTCAGTGGTCTCAAGTGTTACACCACTAAATTTACCTCGTTTCGAAATTCGTGAGTGATGAGGGCGTGGATAGAGAAACGATAGCAAGCGCAGCAGAGACGGCGTATTATCTTGACTCAATCAAGTACGGGAAGGCTACTCATCGGCCCAAATGTCTCAAGCGAATAAGATTTCGCAAACACGACATGATGAACCGATGGGGATGAGTGCACTGGCAGGTTGTATCCATCTTAAAAGATCCTTATGATCTACGTAATACTTCTTGTCGGATAAAAAGTGTCGCCCAGGTGTTATTTGTCGTCTCAATACGGACAAGGTCACATCGCTCCAACAAACACCTATTGATCTGTTTTATTAATGAGTTGGGGGTGGAGCTGCCAAGGGGATGTGATGTGATATCAATGCAGGTCAGATGCAAGGGTGAGGCTCGCCACAAAGCAACCGCGATAGAACTAACTTCTCGGCGCTAAGCTCATGTACCTATCTGGAACACCAAATGCCGATCTGGGAGTGAGCTCTGGAGTCCCAAGCGCCACTGAAACGGCATCTGTTTGCCAACCATTCAAGCACCAGACCCAGGAAGTGCCCAAACTCATCTACCAACCAGTATTGTGCAGTAGTGTGGAAACACTGGCTGTCTTCGACCAAGGAGAAAGAGGGGCTGTGTGACTGGGGACCATTGTCTGCATACGCACACGTCTGGAATTGGGGATCAATTGGCTGCTGGTTGGTGGGTATGGTGTATGCCGCATGGGCTTCCTGCTTATTATGTCTTCGAAAATGTTCAATCGACATCTGCATGATCCTCTTGTTTCCCTTGAGTGAGCTTTATACTGGTCCTCACATTGATTGTGGAACTTCCCACCAGTTCTGCTCGAACTCATCCCTCCAGAGGTACATCCCAGATTGATATTGCCAGCCCCCAACGTTTGTACCGTTCCACCATTTCTCCATTTACTTACAGACCTTATTTTCATTCTTGCCCATCTAGAACCCCGCCCTTGAAACCATGCTCTTCGCCAGCATCCAGATCTTTGAACCACTCCCCATGGATCGGGATTCTCTTCTGCAGCGTTGATTTTTTTTTTTTCTTCATCAAAATTCTGAGACTCCATCTAAGATGCGGATCGGTTGTCTACAGTTCTCTCCCGTCAAGGCCGACGTGAATAACAATCTCTCGAGAGCAGATGCTGTTTTGCTTCGACAAGACCCCGCCGATGTAGAAAATCTGGATCTGCTTGTTCTCCCAGAACTGGCATTCACTGGTAGGTGTGAAAATTAGAGTCTAGAGTACTCCTAGATAAACAAGCAGTTTGACTGTTTCTCCTTTGTTGCGACGCCACTAAACGCCGGTGAAGCCCGGGCACACACAAGGAGTTGATGGTTGCGATCTGGGCCTCGCTGGTACATAGCTGATATGTTCCTGTACCGCTGTTAGGGTATTACTTCAAATCACTCCACGAAATATTCCCTCACCTCGAACCTACGGGATCAGGAGTCAGCAGTCTTTGGGCCAGAACTACTGCACTTAAATACGACTGTACTGTGGTGGTCGGGTACCCCGAATCGTCAAGCGACGCCATTCAGAACTGGCCATCCTCGCCGGAATACTACAACTCTGCCATAGTGGTAAATCGAGACGGGGAAATCGTTGGAAGCTATCGGAAAAAGCATCTCTTTAGCATCGACGAAACATGGGCCTTGGAAGGGAGGGAAGGCTTTTATGCTGGAGAGATTGCTGGGGTTCGGTCAGCTCTCGGAATATCGTCCGACATTGCGTAAGGGCTCAATTCCGTACTCGATCTATCACTCTATTTCCAGAACGAATGATTGACTCTGCAGCAGTCCATATCACTTCCACGCTCCGTCCACGGCGTTCGAGTTTTCCACCCATGTCACTAAACTCAACTCCAATCTGGTCATTGTAACTATGGCTTGGCCGACGAACGAGCCTCCCGAGTTGTTCGGCACCTCACCCCAGGAACCTGACATGGAAGCCCTCAGGTATTGGATATCACGGCTAACACCACTTATCGAGAACCAAACTGAGAGGGAGGTCATCGTTGTTTTTGTCAACCGCTCGGGGGCGGAGCATGACCTTAATTACGCGGGAACCAGCGCCGTCCTCGGCATTCGAGATGGAGAGGTTAACGTGTACGGCATTCTGGGACGAGGAGATCAAGAGCTTCTAATTGTCGACACAGCCAGCCCGCCTTTCGGACAGCTTGTCTACCGACCTGACGGACAAGAGTACCCTACCGACAATGAAAATTTGTTCCTTCCTACAAGTATCGCAAACAAAAATGCGACGACTGTTCCTCGGCCACCTCGGCAAATCCCCCGGCACGGAATGCTTGATGGGCCTGTCATGCAAGGTTCGTCTGCCACTAGTTTGCAGCGAGAACCCCAGGAAAGAAGCCGAGAAACCCAAACTTCCTCGGGGGCTGGTCTAGAAGTCACTCCATCAACTATTAATGCCTACATTCCCACGCTGACAGGCCCAACCCCAACCCCGAGCCCCCGTCGGTCTTGTATGTCTCTTCCCCCAGTTAAGCCAAGAACCCAACAGTATGTCAGCTCTTACACGCCCGCCGAGATCCTGTATACCACACCGAGTCAAACCGCTGCGATGGCTCGTTCACGACATCATCGTTCGTCTTTGCCTGACCACGGCCTATGGTTTTCCCGGAGTCGGCGGTTTTCTGAGAACGACGTTGGCGTTACTTCCTTTGGCTATGGTGCTACCAACTCTAATATCGAATTCCCAAGTACCAGTACTCTCGAAGGACGCGATAATTTAGATCAGCGGTATCTATACGATGCTCCTAGGGGCTCCAACACCGCATCCCGTCTATCTTGGTCCAAGGCAGATGAGGAAGGATACGTTGAAGCTCTACCTCAAACTCGAACTCTCGAGCAATTGGCTGTCGAATACACGAGATTGCTATCGATGGGAGGGAAAACAGATCACTCGTTCCCAGTCACAGACTCTGCACAATTCAGCTCCTCGCATGAAGAGAGCTTCAATTTGGCGAACCGAATGGGACAAGTCAACGTCAACCCACCTTCGCGCAGGCACAATTCCCACCGGTTATCTCTATTCGACTCGAAATTAAACTCTTTACAAAGTCCAAGCCAGAAAGCGAATCAGAGCAAGAATGATTCTCTATTTAGCAGAGATCACAGACGGTCCACCTCGATGGAAACACCTGCGTCCAGGCTGGAGAGTAGTATAAGCCGTGCCGGACCCCCTGTTGACGTGTCCGCGTTCCATATGAGCGAAGAATATCCGCTTCTACATAGCTCTCGGCCGCGGTCTCACTCAGAATCGGTGGAGCAGAGAAACAGGATCGGAACCCGCACTGCTGCCTACCGCGATGTTTCTGCGTGGATAAGGCACCGGAAAAGTACTTCTCAGTTGTCCCCTTTACAGACTGGTCTTGGTATCTCACAGGCCCACGAAGAGCTGGAGACTCCATTCGTAGCCATCAGCGCAAATCATCTGGCGGAATTGAGTGAGCCCCTTACAGGACGCCACTCAGACAGGGAGATTCGAGGTCGGCGCAGAAGTCCAGACAAGACATCCCTACCCAAGTCTCGTGACCAGCCTCGACAACGCACTATCAAGAAAGGGGGAAGTTCGTCCAAAGGTGTAGACATAGAAGCATGGATTAACACCCAGTCAATCACTCCACCGCCAGCGACGAAAGCACACGCTTCAACTCCTCGGCAGGGTGCTACCACAAGTCTGTCAAAAGAGCCGCGAACACCTACAGCTATGCTTATTCCTAGCGATATGGCCGAGGGTGACTCACATTCTTGAAGGAAATGAGGATTGGCAGCCACAGGCCTTCACAATACATCGATAAAAAATGTACTGCAGCAAAGTTTGTGGGATTTTGGGGGGAGGGGGGCGGCGATGCCTTCCCATCTTGGTACCGTATTTAGATAACAGTTGTTCTCAATTCTCACGAATGGCAACCTGTCGATATCATGTACTCAAGGATCACATGAAAGAATGTACCTTTGCTATTTGGACATCTCCTCGGACTTCGGTCCCGCATCTGCCTTTTGCTTCTCCGATTCGCGATTCGGCCATCGGACTTTGTCGGTCGCGCGAGGGCGGAGCGGCATCCCAATCAAATGATGTCTATCACCGCTAAACCCCTAGCGTCCGCTCATCCATAGACACCCCAGTGAGTGTGTCATTGCAGAGGAGCCTGGCTTTAACCTTGCCGGTTTGGGATCGTAATGAGCTTGCTTCGTTGCAATGACAAGGCCTTGCCTACATCTAATACCTTTTTTACCGATCCTTTTCCCAGGCCGCGAAGTGACTTCCACGACTCCGGGCAATGGACCGGTTCAATCGGCACCGTGGAAGACTTGAGTCATCAACCCTGGTCGTTCGGTGTTTCCCCGCAAAAGGCCCAAGCTTAGCCAAGTATTTATACCTTCGCTTGACCAACTCCAAAACGCCTGGAATATCAAACCATCTGATCTATCCGTTATCAGATCTTCATCGCACTGTATCACTCCGAGTCACGAACAAATGCCCCCAACACCAGCGCAGACCCGGGCCGTCACGGCAAGCCAACGCGTGCACGATCTGCTCGTCAAACTGCACGCCGAATCGGCGGCGCAGGAGAAATCCGTCTCTCAGACCCTCTTCTATCTGTCCCGTTTGATCAAATATTATGTCTCTGGTACCCTATGGAACAAGTCGGCCGATGACCATATGCGAGACAAGTTTGTCAGTCTCGAGGAGGACAAGTGCCAGTTCATGTATCTCCTCGCCCGAAGTATCGGCGCCAAGAACATTGTCGAGGCCGGCACCAGTTTCGGCGTATCCACCATCTATCTCGGCCTTGCCGTGGGGCAGAACGTCGCCGATGCCAAAGCCGCCGGCCAGTCCGTCACGGGAAAGGTCATTGCGACAGAGAAGGAACCAACCAAGGCCGAGAGGGCTCGAAAGCACTGGGCACAGGCTGGTGAGGAAGTCGAGCCATGGATTGAACTGAGAGTCGGCGATTTGCTTGAAACTCTCAAGGTTGAGGAAGGGATGCCCGACCAGATTGACCTGCTCCTCCTCGATAGTAAGTCATGAAACCTCCTAGACTCAAAAAAAAAAAAAAAAAAAAAAAAAAAAAAAAACTACAATTTTGCTAATCATATTGAAAAGTCTGGACCCCACTGGCCCTCCCTACCCTCGAGATTATCCGCCCACGCCTGAAGCGAGGTGCCATTGTCCTCGCGGACAATACTGTCATGGCCAAGGCCCTCTATAAAGACTTCCTTGGGTACATCCACGACCCGAAGAACGGTTTCAAGACGACGTGTGTCCCCTATTCTGGAGGGCTCCAGGTATCTGTATATTTACCGGAGGAATGAAATTTCGGCGACAGACCAATGGCGAGCAATAATTCAGGGATGAGCGTGACGCATATCCGCTGTTAACACCGATCGGCTGTACTGTCGGACATTAGTATCGGTGCCTTGTTATATATTTTCCTTGATTAGGAAAAACTACAACTTTTCTGAGTATGGAATCAACAGTCAATATGAATCAGAATTTAATACCCATAACTTATAAGATTCGTGAGTTGCGGGTTCGGATTAGTGGTCGCTTCATCGGAGCCGGAGTCGGAGCCGGAGCTGGGGTGGGCCGGGATCCATCCAGCGTTGACTTCCATTCTTGTCAATGACTCAAATAATACTTATATATTTTGCTCAAGGGTCAGGGAAGGAGCTATCACTTGATGCTTTTATTGACCTGATGAGATGGAATGGAATCCAAAATCCCGCACAAGAAACCCATGTTTGGCCGACCAAAGCAATTCCACTTCACAAACGCATAGTCAACTCCGTCAGAGAATCGCCGTCACTCGGGATGCTACGAGCCCAGTATCATACAATGTTGCTACAGGCGCATTGGTGCCGAGTTTTAGGCCTCTTCTTTCGGAGATCCCGTTCCAGGAGAGGAAGACATTGGATTGGTACTCAAGCCCACGATCCTACGCGGAAGATATCTGGGCACCAGTCTGAGGTTGAGCACCCGAGAATACTGCCGCTGAATGAGAGGAAAAAGATGCACCAAGTGTTGCCGTCATTGTCATTTAGGTGGAGGTAGCCTTAGCCTCTGCGCTCAGCTGCCCGACAAATACAAGTCGATCCAGTGTATAAAGACACAGAATTTAGAGCCTAAAGAAACTAGGCCTTACCCGTAGTAACGGGATATATTGAGACTATCGCTAAATAAAAATAAGTGCGTGATGATATTGATCTCTGATTCAACCCAAAGGCCGTTGGGGGGTGTATGATTTGTGTGGATGCCCCGAATTATGCATAAATTACAATAAGCGATCGTAAATTTTAGGGTCTTAAGACTTCACTCCTTCACTCATCCAAAAATGTGTCTGAACATGACAATTTGATATCCCACCAAACCATCCACCAATTCAAGAAGACCCAAATTCGCCTTCCTTCACACATACCAAATCAACACTAAAATCATAAAACTCTCAAAATGAGCCGCCCCATCGCCAGGGCTGCGCGTCGCGTGCCCACCACGGCTGAAGTGGTCATTGGCGCCCAAGTCAACATTGTCCTCAAAGCCGACCAACCAACGGGAAGAACTGTCACCGGCACCGTGGGCAGCGTGCTCACGCGCGGGAACCATCCCCGCGGCATCAAAGTGAGACTTGTCGACGGGCGCGTGGGGAGGGTCCAGACCATGGCACGGGGCTCAGCATCAACAGAAGATTCCGGCACGTACGCGGGACAAGAGGAACTGGGCGGCTCATTGGCAGCCGCGGGCGATGCACAGAACATCCTTGGTGGTGCGCTCCTCTCGGTGGACGGAACGGCAAACGAAACAGAATCACGCCCACCACGGCGGGGTGGTCGGCGGCGTAATGACGAGGCGTACCAGCCCCCGCCGCCCCAGGGAATAGGACTGGATGCCTACATACGGCCAGCGAAGCAGAATAGGAGGAGGCGGCAAGAATCGACTCAGTCCTCCGAAGACGCGCTGCAGCAACCAGCGGCTTCAACCAGCGGCGAGATCGTCACATGTCCCGTATGTGGAGAATTTGAAGGTGACGAGGCAGCTGTTTCGCATCACATAGCGGGCCATTTTGATTGATAGACAATAATTCAAACCCATCTTGTTAAGAGCAATCTGTGGCGTCAAGCTAACTAATAATATTACAACGGGATGCCTTCAGGTGTCGCTTCTAGGGGGCGACAGGCTAGAAAAGAGAAAAAGAATAGAATGGACTCGCGACAATCACCCGAGCATCACAACCAGGCCATCCCTGATAGCCTTCCTTTGGCGAGGACCAAGGGGGTCCTTACCGTTGAAACTAACCTCCTTACGCTCCGCACTGGTCCACGAGGTCAGATCGAGCGAGTCTCCTCCAATGGTTACGGGCCCCAGACCATTTTCGAAGAACGGAACGCCGTTGTCTCTGGTATACTTCTTCAGGGTTTTCTTCCAGCCCCAGGTGTCCCGAGTGGTTGGGGGCAGGGGTAAAGCGGCGAATTCTCCAGAGGCCAGCTTTGCATCCAGCTTGGGCAGGCGGCCCGTGAGCGTGATGTTATGCTTCGCGGCGTACGCGGCGATCAAGCGAGGCCAGGTGCCTTTCTTATACTTGTAGGCAGCCTTTCTGGCTTTTCCGCTGGTCTCCTTCTTCTGATTCTTTTCGGGTGGCGCGTCCTCTTCGGAGTCAAGTTCAGGGTCAAGGCCCACTTCGGAGAGGCAATCGGCCAGCTCAATGTAGAGACCCATGACAGCCGCAAGGTCCCTCACCTCGGAATCGGGCGAGAGCTGTCCTTCACGCTCCAGGCGGGCAAGCATAGAAAGGAACAAGAGGCCGACCATCTCGACGGCCACCATCAAATCATCAGACCCGTCAATTCTAGGTCAGCATCGTTAGCAGATGACATTAACAGGGGAAAGGGGAGGGGTCATGATTCATGAACTAACTGGAATAGAGGCGAGAAAGCGTCTCGAGGCAGGATCTCCACGATGGTCTCACAAACAGCCCATTGCCTAAACCAGTCGTCATCGGCCTCGTCATAGTCAAGCAAGAGGTTCTGCAAGACTTGGAGGATGCCTCGGCCCGTATGGTCGTTGTAAGTATAGGCGTCGAAATTATCGGGACAGCGAATCTGGGATTGAACATGACACTGAAATACGAGCTGACGACCGGCCCGAGTCATGCACCAAGGATGATCGGGATGGGCGGCAGCAGGTTTGCCGCAGATGCATGTCCGACCATGGTCGCAGCGTTTCTTTACGTCTTCCAGTTCAACGACGTCTCCGTTTTCGCCTTCTTTTTCGTCTCCTTTCCTGTGTTCTTCGTCTTCATCTTCGTCTTCGTCTTCCCATTCATCATCGTCATCATCTTCACCAAGAATGCTCGGTTTGCAGTAGCAGAGGAATTCACGGGCTCTGGCAGGATTGCGCATATTGTTGCGAAAGTCAGTGTCTAGGTTTCCCGAGACGGACGCGGGGGACCAGCGGTCTCTCCGGGGCAGTCGGGGGAGATCAGCATTTCCACCGTTGTTGTTGGTGTTGCCATTAGCAGCGTTGGCAGCGTTGGCAATATTGGCAGGTGCTTCATCGGCAGCATTGTTGCTTGGGTCATTGGTCCTCGACCTCTTAGATGAGGTGGTCGAGTCCGAGTCCTCGGCACCAGACGCGGCGGGTCGCTTTCGAGTACGGGGTGGCATTTTCGGGGACGCTGATGAAATTAAGGTTGATTTGATAAGACGGAGTATCAAAGTTGAACCCGATACGATTACGATGATTCAAGAGCTCTTAAATTATTTGACCAACTTGACGGCTAGCTCGAATCGACAATGCAAATGGGCATTCGAGGCTCTCCTGATTTCATGATTTCAAGATCAACAAGTTCGTTTGACGAGGTTGCGACGCGTCGATGGTGGCAAATCAACGTGATTTGCTGAGGTGATTGATGTTGTGTTCCAGGGGTCCCATGGCTCAGCAAACTGCTAACTAATCTACTATTGCCCTATTTTCTGCTCGCTCCCCTGTAAATAGGGCGTTCGCAGTCACTCGCCACTACAAAGTACCTTGTAATAATACTCCGTCGTATCACTGTTCAACAACCCTCACCCATGGGAAGAACTGAGCTATTTCTATATTGAAGTATTCGTCAAAACGGAATAGTACTTTATGACGATGCACTGATCTGCGTCATCACCTGATAGGAAAAGCAGTGGTGGGCTCAGTCTGGGCAGCAGCCCCAAAATAAATCATCCACCTGGTCTGTGCAGTCGAAGTGCATCACTCCATGTCCCGATTCTCTTGACGTCGCTGACTCCAAGAAATATTCCGTGGTCCACTTTGTCTAGGAATTGGAAGGGCAGAACTCAAGATTGATTGTCGCATCAAATTGATGGTGGACTGGATCACAGACTCCACTGTTCAGTGTCGGAACTCGGAAATAAAGGGACCACCAAAACATCGAAGATTTCCTTGTCTTCACCAAGCACAAGGGATCAAGTTAGACAGTCTCGGTTATGTATGTTCAATAGAAATACCTGTCAATCTGTTTCTCTCCCCTGCACTAGTTTACGGAGTACTTCGTATATGTATTCGTAAACTCGCCTCGCTCACCTGATATCGCTTCCGTTGTGGAGTTTGTGGAGTTAACGTTCACTCCACTGCGGCGCCGTACCTTTTCCTTCACCAATTTGGCTCTAGTGTATATCGGTTCGATGCTCTAATGTACGTACGAGGACTACGGAGTATGTGTGCGGGACTACTCAGTACCGAGTAGCCAGGTCAGCCAGTCTGGCGTGATAATATCAATACAAAGTACAAAAGAGATTAGTTTTGAGACCTGGAGTCTCGGGTCTAGCTTAGGAGAGACTCTAGACACATGGCGATACGGGAGCAACGCTTCGCTGGACGCTTTCATTTCATCACACCACATTTGAGCACCCACAAGTTCATCGAGAAGTTGTTTTTTTTTTAAGAAGTTTTAATTAATTAAAAATATTCCATCGAGTCTGCTAAAATATTACAATACACTAATATTATGGCAAGCCGTGACACCACGAGTCTGGCCAGGTTGTTTATGGTCGGTGCCACCTAAGTTCCAAAGCGCTCCCTGAGCCACCGATCCGCGTAGTTGGCAAGGGTCGACATATCCGACTCTTACAAGAGGGCGCCGAGCAGAGCAACAACGATGGGCGAAAGAATGCCGACGGCGAGGTTAAGGAGACCCTTAACGGCGTCGCGAAGCTCGGCAACGAGAGGGCCGTTCAACCCAACAGTGGCCAGAACGCGGAAAACAAGATTGACGACGATGTTGAGGAGGCTATCTACAGTATGCAAGAGGGTCTTGACCAATACCGTGATGCCCGAGAGATTTCCTGGATTGGATTTAGTAAACCTCGCTTATGATACTGTTTCGTACGCGCGAGTTCAGTACATACCATATTTGAGAAGAGTTCCAACAGCCTTCTGAAGTGCAGCTACAAGAGCCTGGACTTCATTGACGAGAGCGACCACATCTTTGATGGTCGCGGTTGCGGGGTCGATAGCAGCGATGGCAGGAGTCACGGTGCCGACGGTGCCCTCAACTTGGGAGATGAGGCTGGTGAGCTTGTCCTTCGCCTTGGCGATGTCAGCATCGCTGGGATTGCCGGTGCCAACGAGGGCGGCTGTGGGGGAGTCAGTATAAAATGAAAGTAATATTTGTAAGTTCAGTTGGATCCAAACGTATGCGTACTGATGTCGGCTAGCTCTTTGTCAATCGTCGACTTAAGGCCCGTGATGGTAGACTGGACATCGGCGATGCCGCCGACGGGAACGGCGCGGGTCTCCGCCGGAACATCGGTCCTCGCATTGAGGGGCAGGACCGAGGCGCAAGCCGTGGCGATAGAGAAGGCAGCAACGAAAAGAGTCGAGAACTTCATTGTGTTGGATGGAGAAGGTGGTCAGACCGGATATCACAAGAAACTTGCTATTAGATATGAGAGCAGACAAATGGAATGGAGAAGGATTCAATGGATGAGTCTGGGCAGTAAGGAACAAGCCGTGTCTTCTCGACGGCGGCAAGTCTGGCTTTTATACATGAATTCAATGCCCCCATCACCGTCCATTCCGCGACCCCAAGGCCTAAGACAGGTATCATTGCATCATTGCGGTGAGGCCAAGACAACGGACCGTTGATGCTTCGATGTTTGTCCCCGCTGCTATAAAAATCTTGGGCTAAAATATCGATCGGCACTCCCGCAACGGCTAAGTCTCATGGCAGTGCCTCCGGATCCGGTAATTCTCCTGTCAATCAGTGGTCGGCCGGCGGTGGCGGCGCCATTGCCGGCCCCCAAGCCCACAGGTAGGGATACCAACATGGTGGCCCTAGTGCCGACGATCCTACTGGATCCTGCCAATAGCAAACCCTTGAACAGCCCACGATTACCTGCAGCGGGTGTCCCTTGCTTAGTCCCTTGCTGGCCAGTTTCGGTCGGATGCCGGTCATTACAACTGCATCGTAAATCAGTTCTCATTAGGGACATCAAATTTTAACCTCGGGCATGTTTGGCTGGAGACGAACCAACAAACAACTATCACCTCATTGGATCTCAAGCAAGGCATTTTTTTCCCATCTTGCGGGTTGAAACGGACGATGTGCTCGCTCGTCCCAGCCAATAGTCATCGTCCTGACAGGAATGTTCCTCCTATTGTTTCCGTCGGATCCGTCCAAGCCAAAATTACATTACATCACAAAGACTATTGAACCCGGCCGAGCCAGCAAGTGGGAATTAGCAGTGTCCGAGACTATGTTCCAGGTGAGCCTAGCTTTTGCATTTTTTTCCCGGCACACTTCTCATTCTTCTCCCAATCGGCAGGCCCTGACTTTCTCTAATATCTTTAAACTGCTGATTCTGGTGTCGAATGTGCGCCCGCAGCCCTTATTTTGAGCATTCCTCCTAACTTCCTAACGCCCGCCGGCTGATATTATCCCTCAGTTGAAGCCTGATTCAAATGAGGTTTAAATCATCGTAGTTGAGAGAGTCAGTCTCGAACACTCGCCCTCGCTGCTGCTGCTGTCATTGTCATACGAGCTGAGCTCCTCATCTCAGTGCACGGGGAAGCTAAAGCACCAGGGGAGCTTTTGATCTTCTATGTAGATTTATCAGCATCAATGACCGATCCGTAATAGTCGTATAGCGATTCGGTGAGATGCATTATAGTGATTATATCGCAGGAGCGAGCTTTAAGCGAGGTGCTAGCTCGTGTGAGCAGACTCAACCTTCGTCCACTAATAACAAAACTCCTATCTGCGCGTTGTCTCAATGCATGGCTCCAAAAACGAAACGGTGCCGCCCCTTAGCCCGTCCAGAAACCCCCCATGTTGCAGATGATCCTCCCCACATCATCAGACATGGGCCCGGGTCCACTTATAAACATATCCACTTGATCTTCTCCATCTCAACATGCCAGCTTGTCTTACTAGATTCCAGACAAATCTAGCCGCCTTCCAACACATTTCAGAGTGTCCATAACCACTATTTGCGAGGTTAGAGTGAATCAGTGACTCAAACAGCGGGGCCCCTATAAGCTCTTTCGAGGGCCAGGCTGTGTGCGGAGCAGAGGCAAAGAGTGTCGAGGCACCAACACCTTCAAGAATTCAGAAGAGGGCCGTCAACTTTTTCAGCTCGTCGAGTTTCTTCAGTAGCTTAAAAGCTCGACGAGAACTGGAATGGACCCACTTTCCCAGCTAACCCCTTCAGTTACCCTCTTCTGCATCGATAAATATCGCCAGGTGAGGCCATGGTGTTTCAGCCTGTCTCTCCTTCGAATCGGATGGCTCGTGTGATGCGGGATCATGAGGAACAGAAGAAACCCTTTCTTTTTCTCCCAGCCGCTTGCTATAGCTTTTCCGACAGACTCCGTTTCGAAAGGGCGGCCGATTTTGGGCGCAACACCGTCTGTCTTGAGGCTCAGTCGCGCGAGATCCGACACCAGAAGTTGGACGTAAGTCCAGCCCCGCTATGTATCCAAGACCTCAAAAGCCTCGTCCTCAGTGATGCTCATAAAGACGCTTGATATGAAGGTATGATCCCACCAAAGTTAAAACCTCCAGGACAATGTGAATCAGGCAAGAACACAACACTCGCATAGCGCCTTCCGCTCTAAAAGAAGTGAAAAAGGTATGTGAGAGCCATTGAGAGCATAGCAATGTCCCAGTATCAGCACGGAGGCTTACATTCGGTATCATGACTGCCAAAGCAAACATACCAGCGGAGCCTAAGAAGTGTATAGACATCGTAGACCAGTACACTCGAGATCAATAAGAAATATTTACTGTCTGTCGACGTATACTCAGCTGAAATAAATTTACCAGCAAACTTGAGGTTTGCCTAAAGGATCCCTACGCTGGCATTTATATGGCACTACAGTGCCGGCCGGTGATTGCGTGCCGCTGCGGGAGCATATTCGAACTTGTCACTTTGGCAGTCAAGAAGCAGCATAAATTTGGTCCTTTTAATGGGGGTGGCGGGGGGGGGGGGAATGAAAACAGGATCCTCGATCCTCAGGGTCCATCAATCGTGTTAGCGGCAGCTCGTTCTTCCAATGGACCTCTAGTTACCTCAAGCGCTTAGCATTGGAGTTGGAAAAGATCGGCGGGCTCCCCCGAATACACAGACCGTGGTCAAGAGCCTCAGTCTCGGCATGCGGGATTCCCCGTTTCCCCACATTAACCCTGGTAGGCTGCGGAAATCCGGGGTTTCGGTGGACAGGGTTGAGTTGAGTCGCGGGGCACCATGCTAAATTTTGCCAAGAAACGAAGGCATTGTAGATCAGATTATCTTGTCAACCGTCATCGAGAAGAAATTTGCTGGCATCACCACGGAATATGCCGTTCAACATCTTGGCTTGGAAACATCTCAGCTTTAGATGAACGCCATAGGATCGCTGGGGATAGAATATAGCAGAGCCGCGCTCGCCAGGGCTGATACTGTAGGCTAATCGCCTTTTTCTCTCGTTACTCCACCCCGTGGAGACCGTGGTCCTCGCCTCCAGGATTTGTCTCGACGTCTTGGTCTCAATACATGGAATTTAATGACATCCACAGAGCAGTAGCTCTGAATTAACCAAGAAAATAAATTTAATATGAGGCATATCTATCGTTTCACTGGAGTATATTTATTGTCTTCTCGGCGGGCATAAGGAAAAGAAGAAAGAAAGGAAGAAAGAAATAGGCAAAAAGCTCGCTCGTGGGTCGCTCCCAGGATCGAATCCTGGTTGCTTCCCAC